TCAGACATATTTCTATCTCCGGTTTTTTTGATAATGGATAGAGATACTTATATAATAATTTAATTTAAAAATGGGGAATATCAAATCATGCAGATAAATAGCATATTGATAATGAATAAGAATTTGTTTAAGAATTATAATCTTAATGTAATATTAAAAACATATATTATAAAAAAAAGAATAATAATAATGGAGAAGAAGAGGGTTATTTAATAAATTTAATGAAATCTACAAATAAATATAATAAATAGACAGAAGGTTTATCAAGATTATCAGATGGAGCTATTATTATAATTAATTTTGGCTAATATATAAATCATGAACTTGAAACAATAATTAGAACATTTTTAAAAGAATAAAATCCTATGGTATTCTTAATAAATAAAATGGATAAAGCATTTTTAAAATAAAATCTTAGCGGAGAATAAATATATTTAACTTTACATAATTAAATAGAAAGAATCACTTAAATTATATAGCTTTATTAATAAGATAAAATATTAAGTCCTGCTGATGGTTAAGTAATATTTGGATCTGCAAAATAACAATGGGGTTTTAATTGTTTATAATTTGCATAATTTTATGAAAAGAAATTTAATATAGAACATATAAGATTAGCTGAAAAATTATGGGGTGATCATTATTTTGATACATAAACAAAATAATGGAGTAATTCAAGTATTAATAAAGAAAGTTAAGAATTAAAAAGAGCATTTGTTGCTTTCATTTTAGATCCAATAATGAAATTATCAAAAGCTATAATGAATGGCGAAAAAGATATTGTTTATTAAATGACAGAGAGAATTGGGATTAAATTAACTGATGAGATTAAAGAATAAGAAGGTAAGAAATTATTAATATCAATTTTTGATTTATGGATTAATTTATCAGAAATAGTAGTGTAATCATGTATATTCCATATACCACCTCCAAGAATTGCTTAAAATTAAAAGGTTGCAAAGCTTTTTAAATAATATAAAGATGATTAATTATATGAATCAATTAAAAATTGCGATCCCAAAGGTCCTTTGGTAATTTCAGTTTGTTTTATGATATCAGATAAATAAGAATTTATATCAATAGGAAGAGTATTTTCAGGAACAATACATTCAGGACAAGAGATAAGAATACATGGAGCTCTGTATTAATTTATTAAAACTTCATATAAATGTGATGATGATATTTTTGAAGAAGTTGAAGAATAAGCATATTAACGTGTAGACTAAACATTTTAATCAATAGGATAAACATTTTGTTTTCCTACAGAGAAACCTACTTCTATTGAATATGNTTGTTTAAGAATTATAATCTTAATGTAATATTAAAAACATATATTATAAAAAAAAGAATAATAATAATGGAGAAGAAGAGGGTTATTTAATAAATTTAATGAAATCTACAAATAAATATAATAAATAGACAGAAGGTTTATCAAGATTATCAGATGGAGCTATTATTATAATTAATTTTGGCTAATATATAAATCATGAACTTGAAACAATAATTAGAACATTTTTAAAAGAATAAAATCCTATGGTATTCTTAATAAATAAAATGGATAAAGCATTTTTAAAATAAAATCTTAGCGGAGAATAAATATATTTAACTTTACATAATTAAATAGAAAGAATCACTTAAATTATATAGCTTTATTAATAAGATAAAATATTAAGTCCTGCTGATGGTTAAGTAATATTTGGATCTGCAAAATAACAATGGGGTTTTAATTGTTTATAATTTGCATAATTTTATGAAAAGAAATTTAATATAGAACATATAAGATTAGCTGAAAAATTATGGGGTGATCATTATTTTGATACATAAACAAAATAATGGAGTAATTCAAGTATTAATAAAGAAAGTTAAGAATTAAAAAGAGCATTTGTTGCTTTCATTTTAGATCCAATAATGAAATTATCAAAAGCTATAATGAATGGCGAAAAAGATATTGTTTATTAAATGACAGAGAGAATTGGGATTAAATTAACTGATGAGATTAAAGAATAAGAAGGTAAGAAATTATTAATATCAATTTTTGATTTATGGATTAATTTATCAGAAATAGTAGTGTAATCATGTATATTCCATATACCACCTCCAAGAATTGCTTAAAATTAAAAGGTTGCAAAGCTTTTTAAATAATATAAAGATGATTAATTATATGAATCAATTAAAAATTGCGATCCCAAAGGTCCTTTGGTAATTTCAGTTTGTTTTATGATATCAGATAAATAAGAATTTATATCAATAGGAAGAGTATTTTCAGGAACAATACATTCAGGACAAGAGATAAGAATACATGGAGCTCTGTATTAATTTATTAAAACTTCATATAAATGTGATGATGATATTTTTGAAGAAGTTGAAGAATAAGCATATTAACGTGTAGACTAAACATTTTAATCAATAGGATAAACATTTTGTTTTCCTACAGAGAAACCTACTTCTATTGAATATGTACCCGCTGGAAATATAGTTGGAATAAAAGGGATTGATAAATTCGTTAAAGGAATTTGTACAATATCAGATCCAAGAAATCCAATTTAAATGACTCCTTTATAATACTAATAAGATTATTAAGTTAGAATTAACATTACGCCTAAAGATCCAAAGGATTTGAATATTTTAATTGAAGCAATTAGATAATTAACAAAATTAAATCCTACTATATCTTTTTAATTAGATCCATGTTTAATGTTAATTGGAAATTCTTATCATTATTTATAATATTTTGTTGAAGAATTAACTAATAAAAATCTTAAAAATATTGAAATTAAAAAATCTAATTATTTTATTAATTATAATGAAACTATAACAGGTAAATCAAATTAAAATGAAATTAAATCTCTAAATAATCATAATATCATAAAAGGAGAAGCAATCCCATTAAATGAAAAATTAATTAATTTAATTGAATCAAATAATCAATCTGAAATATAATAATTAGATAAAAATACAAAAAATTGGTTTCAAGATGAAAAATTAGAAATTTTTGCTTTTGGTCCAAATAATAAAGGTCCTAATATTATTGTAAATAAATCATTACCTGATGAGAGTTACAGTATTTATGAAATTGAAGAGCATTTGAATGTAACTTGGTAATGGTTTACAAAAGAAGGAGCACTTTGTGAAGAAGGAGTAAGAGGAATGTAATTAAACGTATTAAAGTTTTTATCTCATGCTGGTAATATATATAAAGAACCATATTAAATTATACCTGCAGCGAGAAAGTTATGCTAAGGATGCTAATTATAAGCTAAACCAAGATTATAGGAACCAGTATTTTCAGTTGAAATTTATTCAAACATATCAGTCATAGATTAAGTCTATAAATGTTTAAATAATTCATAAGGAATTATTTTAGAGGAAAAGAAACTTCCAGAAACATCCTCTTCACAAGTATATATTAAATCTATATATATTAGATTAAAGCATATGTGAGAGGTCCTAACATAGTTTAATTTCATGATTAATTAACTTTGATGACTTAAAATAAAGCATATAGTTTAAGTTAATTAGATCATTGGTTAACACTTAATAGTGATCCATTATAATAGGGTTCTGAAGTATATATATATATATATATTTTAGGCTAATCAAATAATGTAAGAAATAAGAGCTTACAAAGGTTTACCTATATAAATTCCATAATATTTGTGAGTTTTTATTTAATTATGTAAGCATATTATTAAAATCAATATTACAATAAGTAATATTCGATTAATATTATAATACAAAACTTTATTAAATATTATTGTTTCTATTATTATTTATTATGTCATTATTTATCAAAAATCTAATATCTTAAAATGCAAAAAAATTAAGGCTCCATCCGTGTTCGTTATGTGGATAATTTTTAAAATAGATAAGAAATGTAATAGTTTGCAGATGCTCAAATTTTCAAGTTATAAGTAGAATAATTTTATTATTTAGTAAAGTGAAAAAGAACTTATATAAGTTAAAGGTAGATCTTAAATAAAATAAAATGTATTCGAAACTTAAATAAATTAAAGCAACAATTAATATAAAATTAAAATAATAGAAAAAAAATGAAGATAAGGATACAAGGAAAAATAAAACTCAGATTTAAATTGAATCATTTAATACTATAAAATTATAGAAATTTTAAATACTATTTAAAGATGAGATTTATAAACACACGTCTAAAAATTCAAGACCTTTTAATATAAATTAAGAAACTTAATAATATAATATTTATTATTTAATTATATTATGATTAGAGATTTATAATCTATTATTGCTAATAAAAATAGTAGTTAATTTAAAAAAACTAAAATACAAACTATTAAATAGTTTATAAAAGATTAATAATGATTAGAGTTATTATAACAATAAAAAAATTATGAAAAAGAATAATTATTAAAAAAAATTGATAATGAACTTTAGATTGATAGAACTTAAAATTAAGAATAAAATAAAAAAAATAATTAATTAAACGAACACCAAAGATTAATAGAGACATAAATTTAAAATCTGGCTATAAATAAATAAGAATAAAACCAAAGTTTGAATTTAAATATTTAGAATGAAAATATTCAAGAAAAGATTAAATGTTTTAATTAGTTATTATGAAAAATTGTAATTTCAAATAACAAAAATTGATTTAGATTTTGATAAATATATTGAAAATTTGAAAACAAAAATAATATAATTAGATCAATAAATTATGATGAAATATACTGAAGGATAATCACTTTAATCATCATAAATTTATGATACATAAAAAAAAGTAATTAGTAGACTACATAATTTTGGCTTGAAATTAGAAAGGTAGAGACTTAGTTAAGAATATAATGAAGAATTAAATAAGAGTCAAGAATAGAAATATAATTATCAGCAGAAATAAATGTAATTAAAGACAATGATAAGGAATTTAGAGGAAGATCTTCTTATAAATTAGCAAAAATTAAATAAAATAAATAATTTAAAAACTATAACTGTAAGAAATTGAAAAGCGAAAATTAGAACATTAAGAATAGATGCAACAGAGTGAATCAAATTATTAATAAACATTAATTAATTGTTAAAATCAAAACTAAATTTTTGAAACCTAATTAAATGAAATAAAATAAACAATAGATTCATCATAAAATTAATAATTGAAATTACCAAATATCAATTTATAAAATTCTAGAACAGAATATTAATATAATTAAGATCCGAATAAATAAAATATTAATGATTTAATAGAGATGCATAAAAACAATAGTCTTCCTTTACTTCATTAAACATATGATGAAGTTTTAGATTAAGATTAAAATACAGTAATGATCTTAAAATTAAATAATATAATCTATTTTAATCCAATGACTATTTTTATTCCTTATTAAACAAAATGGATAACTTAAGAATCATTATAAATTTCGGACTTCTTTTATAAAAATTAATAATAAGTATATATTGATTAAAATATTCAAGATCTTCCTTATAAAATTAATGATCAAATTAATGTTTATGTGAATTATTATAATATTAAGATTAAGCTTTCTATTTTGCAGTTATATAAATCTATTTAAAATATATAAATTATTGTTTAATAAAAATATTAATAATAAAAAAAAGTTAAATAAATTTTTATTGTAAATTACCTAAAAGAGTTAGAAAATTTTATCCAAGATTATTAATTTTACCTAGTTGTTTTTTATAATTAAAAATTCCTAAACCATAAGAAAAATATGATAGTATTAAGGATTGTTTAAATTTTTTATTTAGTTTACTCGTAAAAGAAAATAGAGAATTTTAAGTTCTAATTAGTCCTACATTTTCGAAGATGTAATAAAAGAAACATATGATCTATAATTATTAGATACTCATTATTTATTGATAAATGAGTATTACAATTAAATAACAGAAAATTGTAAGTTAACAATTGATTAGAAAAGTATATAACTTAATAATCCATAATATATAGTTAAGGATTAAGAAATTATGGAATCTATTTAAGTTCCAAAATAGTAATTATTTTCTTCACATTTTAAAAAAAAGTTCACCTAAATTTAAGTTATACATTATATCAATTTTATCAAACTAATGATAAATTAATAAAATAAAATGTTGATAAAAATTTAGAATTTCTTTCAAAATTACAAAGCCAATTGAAATAATTGAAAAAATGGAGTAGATATTTAGGAAAGAAAGAAAGGATAATTTTTTAATCATTATTGAGGAAAGTAATATAAAATTGTTATATACTAAATAAGTCAAAAGAAAGGCTATATTTTTTTTTAAATTGAGATTTTAAATCAAATAAAGAAATAGCAAACATCAAAATTCAAAAGAGATTAGTGTGAAAATAATTATTTAATATTGAGAATAAAGAAAATCAGATGTTATGATATTTCTAAAATATTTACAAATTTTCTTATAATGAAAATATATTAAAATGAGCAATTGCTTAATTATTTGATTGATTTGCTTGCAATAAACTTATAAGCCAGAAAAATAATAGAATTGAGATCATTGATTCAATCTTAGAATCGATTATCATTTATTATAATAATGCAGTTATTTCTCTTTTTTAAATTAAAAAAAGATGATATTTAATAAGGGAGGTGAAGGATAAATATTTATTAAAGTGAATCACAATTGAAAATAGGTTTTCTAAAATTCTTAACCATAACATCCTCAGAAATCATAATAAAAAGTTTGATAATAAATTGAATTTTTAAATATTTTAAATATTTTTTAATTTAATCAATGGACCCTCACAGTGATGAAGAATAAGTAGGTGATTATAACCCAGAATAAGAAGTTTTTTCTACTGGAAATGGAGAAGCTACACTTACTAAAGTAGATATTTAAACTGGAGAAGAAGAAGATGAAGAAGTAGCAAAATTCCGAGCTAAAATTTATAGATTTGCAGATGCTCAATGGAAGGTAATATTGTTTTATAGTTTTAGGAAAGAGGTGTTGGAGACTTGAAATTCCTTAAAAACAAGAAATCAAATAAAATTAGATTACTTATGAGATAAGATAAGACAGGAAAATTAATTGCTAATCATTTTATCACAGCATAAGAGGGATTTTGCAAATTGTCGTAATTAAAGACAGCAGACAAATCATGGATATGGACTTGCTATGATGCTTCTGATGAATAAGCAAAAGTATGGTAATTGTGTGTTCGATTCACTTCACCAGAAGAGGTTGAAAGATTTAAAACTGAATTCGAAAAAGCTTATGAAAATAACAAGGCCGTACAAACAGAAGAGCCATAGAAGGAGTGAATTATAATTGTCATTGTTAATTATCACAATTTATATATTTATGAATTCTAAATAATTGGACTAAATATTGAAATGACATTTCTCAAATTAATAAAATTATTCTAATTACAAAATTTTATTTTGTTATAAATATCTTTTAATATTTTTTTTTTGATTACTTTAGTAGTAGGCGATATTAGTTAAATGTAAGTAAATTGATAAATTATATAATGACAATTTAATGGAAAAATATTTTCAATAGAATAACAATCAACAAATTTAATATTACATATTTTTTCCAATCAAACAAAGGAAATACTATTACTGCATTTGGATCTTCTTGTTTACAATAATTTAAATTAGAGATAGTTTTCAATTCTCTTTTCAAATTTTGAAGAAATTAAATAATTAAAATCATCTTTTAATTAAGAATTATAATTCATAAAAATTTTATGAGATTATTTGTTTTTATTAATAATTTATGAGGAATTTTTTAAATAAATTGAACATTTTCTTGAATGCCAAAGAGAATCCCCATTTAACCCAATATCTAGTTCAAAACTCAGCGTTCAATAGATTCGTTCATAAAACAGAATTTATGAAGAAAAAATTTTGGTAAAAATTAGACGAGGCAGCTTTTCCAGAACAATACTAAAATAAATTACTTGGATAGAATTAGAAAAATTCAAAGAAATGAATTGATTACCTATAATTACAAATTATTATTCAAATTGTTTAGTTTATTCACTTTACAAAATTAGTTTGATATGATGAAGACTTTAATCTGAAATAATTACTGAGTCTAAAAAAAATATTAGAACATAATATTTATTAGACTAAACTAATTTTATAAATGCAAATATAAAAAGAAACTAAGGTTTAAACTAATTTATGGAACTAAGCTCAAGTAAAATTTAAATTTATTATAAAATTTGCAGTAGCGTTTCATGAATAAATAATTCTTTTTTATCCTTTTCTCTATTAGAAATTTAACAAAATACAATATTATATGATAAAAACCTTAATTAATATCTAATAATATATTAAAATAAAAAACAAAATAGTTTTTTAAATTGTTTATAAAGGAATAAATTTAATGTAAAAGATTTTACCTGAAATGATGTAAAAGATTAGATAAAACTATTTATCATAATTGTTCATAATGATGAGGTATTTTTTTTTTAATTTTGAGACATCTCTGGTAATAAACATAAGCTTTAAACTTATTTTGAGGATTTTGTCAATTTAACAGATTAGAAATTAAAATTAAGCATTATTGAGATATTGGAGGTTCTACTAAATTTATCAGAAGTTTAAGAATGAAGCGTCCTAATGGAGGTAAATTGTTTTTTATTAAGAAGAATTTGAACAACTTCTTTATCAGAAACTTCAATATTTCTTGAAGATAGTTTTTTTCTATGTTAAGAATCTTTCCTGTAAAATCCAGTCATAGTGGTTAACTCAGACTTTTATAAAAGAGGTTAAGCTGGTTTAAATAATTTCTCTTAGGAAATCATGCTTCTTAATTTATGCTACCTTTAAAACTTAAATGTTTAATTTTCAGGAATTTATAGGTCAATTATATGATTTTCCAATAAATTTCTTCTCAATACGATTTATTATTTTTTGGATTATTCAATAAGCAATTTAGCAGATTCTGGAAACAATTCTAGTAATACTTTATATATTTAAAAACTTAGGCATTTTTAGATAGAACTTAAGCAGAATAATTAGACATGGCACATTCTTCATTGATAAAATCTACAGGGTTGCATTCCATAATGATGTTTCTTTTAGTTATAATTTACACATTTCTGTAAAAATGATAAACAAACTATCCAATTTTTGATATGATAACATAATGCAAGTTTGTTCTTCATAATAGAAAAGCTAATGTATTATTAAAATACTCAAAGTGAATCTGCAATCTAACTTAATAGCTATTTATCATCAAAATTATTAGGTTTGAAAGTAATTAAGATAAAGTGTCTTTTCTATCAGATTAATAACTCATGTCTACTAGAAGCTTTGATGTAATTTCTGTAGGTGTTAACATAAGTAAAGTGCGATATTCAACTGCGAACTATTGTAAAATTATCGATAATATTTTATTCATATTTTATAACCTTTTGATAAGTCTTCTTAATACTATTTTTTTTTTTTCTTTATATTTTTAAACTTTAATGCAAATTCATCCAAATCTTCAATATCAATCTTATCTCATTCTTCCTGAGTAAACATGTACAAATTATCCTATTCATTTTATGGCACTAAATTAAATGCCATCAATTCATACACTTTAATTCTTTGAAGAAGCAAGAATCGATTATGAAGTTACTTCTAAATATTCAGAATGACTTTGTAAAGTGAGTAATTTAATAAATGGTTCTAATTTAGGGAATTGCTCTTTATAGAGAATCTAATTAAACACTATATCTATATCGATTTCAGCTTTAGTTTTATCAGCTTTTCGAAACAGATCCATGTGTTTCAATATTTATAAAAAATATCAAATAATCATGCAAATCACAAATTAAGTCCAAACACAGCTCCATTACCAAATTTAAAATCTATTCTTTATTTACTACATTATAATATTGCTTTAATAATTTGAAAATGAGTGACAATTCCAATTTTATTTTAGGATTCATCTTCTTTAATTTTATCAACAAATCCTTACACTCTACTCGTAACATTCCTACTATATTCTAATTAAAAGCTTGATCCTTTTATGACAAATTCTTCTACCAAGAATTTTTCTTAATCTTCTCTAGTAGGTTTACAATCATTGAGATTATAACCTTTTTGCAATAGATCAAACTGCCAAAATTCAAGATTCTCTGGCATCTAAGTAAAGTCAAATTAAATTGGATTTCCATTCTAAATATCATAATTAAAAAGGATACATCTTATAACAATTATGTTAAATTGCCCCATTTATAAATTGAATTTACGGTGCTTATTTTCTCACAAATTTCTGGACATAGAATAAATTATATTTTCTATCTCTAAGGATGGTCACAAAACAATAATTGAGTTGTTTGTATTGCTCTATAGTTACTTTCAAATAATATGCCTTAATAACGGTGACACATAGACTTTATCAAAGTCTAATTTATTTATTTCCTATTTTAATTTTTCGCATTGTTTAGTCCCTAAATACTGTAAAGGAGGATCAATCAAATCATAATGATATATATTTGAATCTTTAAATTCTGTTACTCTTTTAAAATAATTATGCCATGCCAAAGCATGTCTGACTAAAATTTCATTCTAATTTAATACTGATTATGAATTTACTATTGAGAGTGTTCTATGGAGCAAATTCTAAGCTTATCTTTAATTTTTTCCACCCCTCATCTTCATCTTTCATTTTGTAAATTTCATGCTCTAATTGTTTAGCCTCTATTATTTTTTATTCCATTATAAGATATTTATGTCTGAGTTATAAAGGGCATCTGAAATAGAATAATGCTTACATTTTAGATAATAGTTATGAATCATAAACTAAAGGTTATTTTATAAGCTAACTAAAATTAAACATAATTAAATTTGTAAAAATTTTAATATCACATAAAATATTTTAATTAGCTTTTTAAATACTTTAGATTACCAATTTAAATTCTTGAATTTTCTTTGCTAAAAAAATTAGTTTTATAAATAATTCAATTTTATTCATTCATTTTTAAATTCTTTTTTTTGAGAACTACTACTAAACATAGTATATAAATAATCTTTGTTTATAATTATTAAAGATTTGATCATTTATATAAACTAAAATATTTCAACAAATATAAATGCATTATTTAAATAGGCTATCTTTTAACAATCTATAGTTAGAAATTCTAAGGAATATTTGATATTTAAAATTTAAATTGAAGAAATCAAGAATGAAACAATATAAATAAATGGATTGATTAAAGTTCAAACTATATAATTCTATCTTTTTTTTAATCAATTTTAAACTAATGTCTCCCTTTTTGAGTCTACACTTATTGTTTAGCTTCCATTTTTGCTATATATGCATCTTCGTTATTGAAGAGAATGTATTCTAGCTGAATTTTCAAGTGGCTATGAAGTTTTTGGTGTTTGAAGTCTCATTAAAGTTCTAGAAGGAAAATTAGATGATTGTGTTGGATTTTAATGTAGATTCCTTTTTAGTTCATTTTATCTTCTATCTAATAGCAAGATTAAATTTGTTAAGTCTTTTTCTTAATTAATAGAAGGAACTTAAAGTGTTTCACAGTAATCCTATATTATGTCTAAAGCATCTTTTGTCAGATTAAAGCATTAATTAAAATATTTCCATTAATATTATAATTGAGAATTCACTCCTTTTATTTGTAAGGGTACATCGTTTGAACTTTATGTGTTTTTTGTGAGACTGTGATTAATAAATTTGAAATATTTACTTTTCTTTTAACTGCTCCAAATACTTTTATTATCGAGATATCTATTTCTAAAGGGATTTAATTTCTTAATTAAATTGTTCCTAAATTGATAATTAATTATCTTTAATTCCAATATTCTAATTAAGTACATTTTCCAATTAACAAAAAATTTGTTCTAATTAATTACTCTATTTTTCCTAAATAAGACCTATTCTTATAGAATCTTCATCAAACTTTTTAACAGCTGAATGAACTTCGAATTTCACAACTTTTGAATTGTTTAATTCTAATTCTTAGTACAAGTTTATCAATACTTTAAACTTTTCTTCCATTTTGGTAATATCTTCATGTTACTATCAATTATATACCTAATTTACAATTTTCTATTCTCTTTGACAAATAACCTAATTAATTAAAGCATTCATCAATTTATAAAATCTACTTATCCAGATTCTACAATTATTCTTTAATAAGGCTGTTCTCTTATTATGCTTAGCTTTTCATTTCTTTTGTATTTTTAAACAAAAGTTGTACATCATTTCTTAAATAGCTGATGCTTTAAGATACATTCGAAATACAATCTCGAATTTCGATCTTATTATCAATATTTATATTTTACAAAATTATCATCTAAATTTTATTTTAAGGCATATTTATGTTTTATATAATCTAGCTCTTAGTTAATTTTTTCAATAGTTTGTTCTTAAAATTTTTATTATTATTTTGCATTAATGATAGTTTAATAAGTTAAATCAACATTGCTTTTGAATTAAGTTATATCCTCCCTAACTTCATGAACCTTGGTGTTGAAATCCTTATCAATTTTAGAGATCTCAGTTGTTATAAGCTTTTCAAATTAAGCTAATTAATCAGTATTTATGCTTTACTTGTATTGTATTCAAATAGATTTTCTACATTTGAGTTCACACTTTTTTAAAATTTCATAAACTTTTCATTTATCCCAAGGAAATCATTATTTTCATTTAATGTTACATAAATACAATTTTAATTCTTTTACTATGTTTCTAAGTACCTCGTTAATAAATTCTTTTAGTCATTACAATTATAATTATGAAATTAAAACACTTACTAGATTGCGTCAAATATTTCATTATATTTCAACAGAGTTTATATTATTATTTGTTCCATCAATTATTCTCTTAAAATTAATAATATAATCAACTTAATTGATTATAATATTTTTGATGCAAATAAAGACTTCAAAACAAAAAAGCAGCTTTTTAATTTGTTTGCTAGCTTTATAATTTTATTATTAAAAAACAGGATAAAGATTAAAGAAATATTATTTATGAGGAGTTTTAATAATAACCCTAAAAATAATAATTTTTTTATTACAAAGAAATGTTCTAATTCATTATAAATGAATAGTTTAATTTGATAAATGATGAAGTATAAATAAAAATTTATAATGATACTAATCAAAGTAAAATCCATCCTAAGAATTTATATAATTATCTTGTACTTTAATGTAGTAACTTAGTTTTTTTGATATAAATTCATTTAATTCTTATTTATAATTAAATTGAGATGGATTATCAAATTTTTATTTTATTTATCAAATAAAATCTTAATTAGACTTTATAAAGATCTTAAAAAAATATATAATTATGCATTTTTAAATGATGATTGTATTGAATTATTGTGAAATAAATGAAAAAGATTTTAGTTCACCAAAAATAATGTCAATTTCTGTTCTTCTTAGATATTCATTTTAAATTTTCGATTTAAAAAACTGCTTAATTTAAATTTCTAGAATTATTACTCAAAATTAATAATATTTAATCAAGATTATGTCTTAAAAACACAAACTGCCCTCAAGCAAAAAAGTTTATCCTATTACAAACTCTGGATAGGAATCGCCTACATAAACTTAATAAGAGGATATATAAAAAACAATCTCATTAGATTAGCCATAAAAAAAGAATGAAAATGTAAAATTGATCACAGATGAATATGTATATTTCTTATTTAAGGAAAGCCTCCTATGACATAGGAAATAATGAAATTAAAGGAAAAGCTATAATTGATAGATAAAGATTCTCTCACATTTATAGAGATTGAAAAAGGAGATGTTTATTATTTCGGTGATGTAATATTTAACATGAAATGTGGGTTTGGTAAATAGTTCGATAAAAATACCTTAAGCTATTATTAAGGTGAGTTTTTAATGGATTAATTTCATGGCAAAGGTACGTTAATTTATTAGGATGGTACAATAAAGGTAAATATATATTTTTCTAATTTAGTAAGGTGTATTTTTTTAGGGTAAACTAATTGAGGAAGCATTTCCTTTTTTATAACCTTCTTATGATTTGAAATTGGAAGTATTTGAAAGTTATTTAAATGGTGCAAATTTTACTGGATTATTTGATGAAAATGGAAAAAGAAGTGGAGTTGGTAAATATATATGGAATGATGGTTCGACTTATTTTGGAGAATTTTCTGATGGAACTTTTAATGGATATGGTTAGATGAGTTTTTCAAATGGTAATAAATATTTGGGAGAATGGAAGAACGGGTTGATGCATGGGATTGGCAATTTCACTTGGAAATAACCTAATGAAGAATATATTGGTCAATATAAAAAAAATAAAAAAAATGGATTTGGAATTCATAAATTTTCTGATGGAAGAAAATACATAGGTTATTTTCTTGAAGGTAAATTTAATGGTTAAGCATTATTGTAAAAAAAGAATCATTTAAATAAAGTTTCATTTTGGTAAGATGGAAATTAAATAATCGAATAAACTTAATACACAAGTGAAGAAAATTTTTGATTAATCTTCCAAATATTGATTTATATATTATTGTAAACTATTACATAGTTATATCGATTAATAATTTTTTTATTATAAGAAGAAGATTTTTATCCTCATAAAATGATATTAATTAACATCAATTTATTCTTAATTTTTATTCTCTAAAGAAAAACAGAATATATCTATTTATTATGATATATTAACATTAATTATTCATTGGCTTTACCTCTTCCATCAATCAGACAAAAATGAAAATAAGTAAAATATAGATAATTTATAATGCCAAAAACTAGAAATCTAATTAATTAAAGTCAATATACAAGTTTACAAAAAGTTTATCAATTTACAATATCAAGTAGCTTAAAATATAGCCAGATCCAAAAGCTACGTTTATATTTATCTAAATGTTAGAAATTTTTCGATCAAATTTTTACATTCATCCTGATAACGTAATAAGGAATAATTTATCAAATTAAAATGAAAATTTTGATTTTTAAATTGATCAAAAATTACTTTGAAATATTATAGAAAGAATTTGATGAAAAAAAAAATAAAGCCAAATTTACAAATTTAGTTAGAAAAATTTTTGATTCCAAGTAATTCTTACTTTGGATTTTTTCTAAAAAAAAATAAATTATATAAATAGTAAAGAGATAATATTTTTTTCATTAATTGTTTTCTGTTTAAGTAAGAACCAAAAATTTTGAATAATTTTCATAATAAATTTCTAATATTTAAGCTGCTGTTTTTTCCTAGACTGTCAAAAATAAAAAACCCATAATAAATTGTATAAAAGATATCTAGAGAGCCAAAAATATAAATAATATATGGAAAAGAAAATATTAAAATTGCTTAAAATATCCATATCAAATCCATTGTAAAAAAAGTTCTATTACTATCATTCAATTAAGGCACTGGACTTAAGGTAGCTGCAAAAACCATAATTAATATCACCAAAAAAAGTACAGTATCACTTTTAAAGTTGGATAAAATTGATACTGTAATAGTTATTGGATCCCATCAAAAAGGATCCAATAACTATTTAATATAAGATTTTCGGCCTAATCTTGGCAATATTAGGATTTTTTTGAATTCAGCTATTGCACTAAATAGACCAATGCATATTGTATGAATTGTTTTTAATATTAAGTCTCTTCCTGATAACTCTTCAAAAATCTAAGCACTATAATAAAAAACTGCAAAAGAACGCATCAGATTATCTATATTTGTACAAATAATTACTGATTATTAGAGATTAGAATGCCATTTGCTACTCCAAGAAAAACTAAACATAATTACCACAATTGAGTTAACTATGACAGCTAAAAAGTTTGGTAATCAAATTAAATCAGCAAATTGAATGAAATATTTTGTTGTAAATTTTTTTAAAGAAAATATCCAATAATTACTCCTACAACAAATTCTAAGGTAAATTTCATTTATAAAATCAAAGAACTCTTTCTGTTTTATTTTTATATGTCTCTATGTTTTTAAACCAAAAAATATACAATTTATCAAAAAATGTGTCAATTCTGGGTGTTAATTAAGAGAGAACATACCCAATATTTAAGCCTCCTAGTTAAATGTTTACTTTCACCAAGATACTTGAAATACTGAGTTAACTCTAGGTTAATTATCGCTGATATTTGTTTTCATAATATATTTAAAATGAGATATCATTAATTTTATACATGCAAATCAATAATAAAATCATCAAGAATCTAGAATTTATGTAATTTACAGGTCCCTACTTTTCAACATGTTAATTTAAGATTTTAATTCAATTTTTTATTTAAAATGTATTATTTATTTTTTTGTTTTATCTTTATTTGATTATAAAAAAAATCAGCCCCAAAATAAAGGCAGTTTATAAGCCAAATTATAAAGAAGGAAATTTGAATTACAAAATGGCAAATAAATTTTTAATTTAATAATGATAATTTAATTATGCTAAAAAGTCTAGCATAAGAATTTGACAAGTATTTAGGAAAAATAATAATTCATATCAAAAAAATAAAGTTTATAATAATAACAATATAATTGTTTTTCTAATTTACACGTAAGCCTAGTTTATTTCTTAAAAGAATTTTGTTAATAATTTTTAATTATAAGAAGAATGTTTGAAACAAGATTTATTCCTTTTTTAGTTGTGAGTGTTTTGGGGTTTATATTGAATGGGTTAAGAAATGCTTTGAATCAATAATAATTCATAGCATTTTTAGGATATATGGGATTAAGTGTATTTGCATACGTGTTATCATTTTGGATGATTCCTAAAATTGCAACATTAACTGTGAAGGCAGATATTTTTGGTTATGATATTAATAAAAAAGGTAGGATTTTGAATTAATTTTTTTAGGAACAGAGGCTGGCAAGATAAAAATTCCAGAATCATTAGGAATAGTTCCTGCGACAATCTATCTTATATTTAATATATTAGGAATACTATTTACTAGGGCATTTATGCCTGATTTAATATTATCACATATATCAGGATTGTTGGCAATAACTTTTATAGTCTTTTTGGGTTTTGCGGATGATGTCTTAGATTTGGCTTGGAGATATAAATTATTACTACCACCAATAGCAAGTTTACCTGTAATTGTTGCATACACAGGAGGAACATAAATAGTTTTACCTTTAATGATTAGACCATTTCTTGGATAAACAATAGATTTAGGACCATTATATTATCTGTACATGATTATGCTTTCAACTTTTTAATCGAATGCAATTAATATTTATGCTGGAGTAAATGGATTAGAAGTAGGACAATCAATAATAATTGCTTTATCTATTGCGATCTATAATATCATTGAAATTTCAACATATTAATAACATTTGTTTAGTCTCATGATAATAGTTCCATACATTTTATCAGCATTAGCCTTGTACAATTATAATAGATATCCATCAAAAGTATTTGTTGGAGATGTATTTTGTTATTGGTCTGGAATGACATTTGCAGTTGCAGCTGTTTTAGGTCATTTTTCAAAGACTTTGATGTTATTCTGCATTCCATAACTTATTAATTTCTTATATTCACTTCCATAACTTTTTGGAATTATTCCATGTCCAAGACATAGATTACCAAGGTACAAAATCATTTAATTATAATTTAGATATGATGAAAAGACAGGTTTGTTATACCCAATTAAGACTAATCTGACTTTAATTAATCTGGTTTTGCTTATCAAAGGACCAACAAGTGAAAAGAATTTATGCAGAGTTTTATTATCATTTTAAATACTATGCACAATAATTGGTTTCGCTATAAGATATTTAGGTTCATAGATGTTCTTTTGATAATTATTTTATAAGTTATAAATTATATAAATGTTAGCTTCTTTTTAATAATAGCCGCTTGTAAGAAAAATGATCAAATCTCAGGTTGAATTGTCAGTACCTTAAACAAAAACCACCTCAGATTTACTCTTTTAAAATTAAAGATCTTCTTATTAATAATACAGAAAACAAACATAACAATCAGATGAAATTTCAGTTCAGAAATTGTTTTTCAGAACTACTGAGCCCTCTATTTAAGAAACTCCTGGCTCATTATATTTAACTAGACAAAGAGAAGAGCCTTTCATAACCACTACCTCAAAATTTTAAGAATAAAAATATAAATAAAGAATTGATTTCTCTAATTCAGAACATAAGAACTCAATCGTTGAATTACCAAAATTTAGAATGGTAGCTAATATGTATGGTAGAAGTATCATGTCTACAGCTAAAATTAATAGAAGAATGGCAGAATCCTCTGATAGTGAATTTTTTATGTAATAGCCAGGGTAAATTTATTATAAAATATCAAGAGATTAAGATAAATGATTATTTGTAATCAATTATTTATGGAAGATGAACGATTTCTCTATTAATTTATGTTTGTTCCAGATTTAACCTAACCTAAAGAAAGATTTGATGACTTTATCAAGTGTTTGAGGAATGTCTAAAAAATCAATAGCAAGAGATTGTATTTTTATCTAAAAGATGGAACTCCTGTTAATTCTCACCTTGATATTCCTCCTATTCATAAAACCTTAATTTATAGTCAGAATTCTGTATATAAACCTTTTGATAATCCATAATTAGATCTTTTAGAATAATAATGCAAAACTTATAATTTTCTTTAAATTAAAAAAAAGTAATATAAAAATAGCAATTCTCAAGTAGATGATATTATAAGAACTTTAAATGATGGATAAGATAAATAATACAACTCCAAAGAGTTAAATTTACAATTAAAAAATGTCTCATTAAAAAGATAAAGTCAAAGAAATTCCTTAGAAAAATTAATAAAACCTACTTAATTATCTTATATCAATGACTCTAATTAGAAATAAGAAAAAACTAGTATTTAAATAGATAAAACTGAAACTCAGGAATAAAATAAAATGGAATTATTTGATAATATTTTGTAACTCTACGATTAAGAATTAAAAAAAATCGATTTTAATTAAAATTAACCTGATGATATTAATTAAATTTAGTTTGATAATGAAAATGAAGAGATGAGAACAAAAATTAAATAAGCTGCAATTTTATTAGAGCCTTTATTAAATAATATTTTAAATTAGCCACCAAAAAAAGAAGAAATTAATAATGAATAATTTTAAATGAATAATAATATGGAATAAAAAAAATAGAGTAAGACTTAATAAAATTTTGTACACAAAAATATTAAAAGAAGAATAAGTCATAAATTTAGTTTATAATAACTATTAAAAATAAATAGAGAATTGTTTATTTAAAATATCCCAAAATTATTATCATCTTCAAATTTTTCTCGTTATGAATTGCACAATACTTACATCCTTTATTGTGCTTTATAATAAATAACATCATAAAGATATAAATACTATAATATCAATGATGGAGTGGATTATTAAACTTATAGGAGAGGAATATTTTAAATATTCTTTTAAAATGAATTTTTAGCTCAGCAAATTTTCAACAGAATAGATTACAATTATAGTGGTTTTCTTAATTGGGAAGAATTCTTAAGATTGATGATGAGCATTAAAGCAAAAACAGTAGTTGAAAAAATCGATCTCTTCATTTCTATTTCAGACAGTGATGGAAACGGAAGGCTTTCACATGATGAAATATTCAAATTAGCAAAACTATGTCTATCTCATTATGTACAAGATAAAGGAGAATTTTTAGATATTTTGTGTGAATATTACACCAGGCTAATCTTTTAAATTGTAGATAAAGATGTTACAGAGGAGATTCCTTTTGAAGAAATTAAAAAGGCAATATTAGAAAACAAATAAGATAGTGACCTATTATTAATGTTTTGTGGAGCAGATGTATGAATGATGTATATAAATGATTTAAGTTTGCTTCATATTAAAATCAAGTTCTTTCATATGCACTTTAAGTTGTTAATAAATCATCTAGATTAAAATAGTAATTATCTGCTCCAATTCTATTTAATTATAAGGCATGAATCAAATGTGATTAAAGAAATTTGGATTCATAATCTCCAGCATAATTAATGTCTGTCTAAACATTTGCTTTATTAATATTTATTCTAACTAATTCTGATAGACCATGTCTGATAGATTGTTTAAATACCCTTTATTGTAAATTTTATAATTCTGTAATTGTAATTGAGCTTTAAGATTTATTTAAAACCCACTAATTCAATTTCTAAATTTAAACATGACCTTTTTTATCTTGATTTTTTGTTATGGCCTTAAAAAATTAAGTTCTTATAATTTATTATTATGCTGGCTTCTATACAAATGTTGCTATATTTTTAATAATTCCTCTAATTTTATTCATGAATATAAATTGTAATTTTTATAAATAATGAATATATATTCATCATAAATTTTAGTGAAATAATGGAAATTATTGTTAAGCAATTATTATTAATAAAATTATGAGGCAATATTATCATAATAAAGAATGAATGAGTTATAAATAATTATATATAAAGTATTATGACGGTTATAAATATCTTATTGCAAAATTATATTGAATAATATTTTTATCAGATGGGAATTTGTACTAGCACAAAAGCTGTTTAAATACCTGCTCATGAGCATGCACCAGAAACATATACGCCTTTCATTTTCGATACAACAATTGTTCCTGAATAACAACTATAAACTATTTCAAAGTCAACAAATACAGTTGCTGATCGAATTGTTCCATAACACAGTAATAACAATAATACCAAGACAGATTATGATTATGCTCTTGAAGAAATGTATAATATTTATCTCTAATAAGGCAAAAAAAATAAAAAAACGTGTTTGAAGATTCAAAATTTCCTCCTAATAATGCTAGTCTTTCATCAGATCCTAATTTTAAAAAAGGAAGAGACATTGTTTGGAAAAGGCCTGAAAAATTTTTATAACCAGGTTAAATTAAATTGTTTGATGTAAAAAATATTCATATTATCAATAGTCAATCGATCCTATGGATATTAAATAAGGGGAACTAGGAGATTGTTATTTTTTAAGTTCATTATCTGCTTTGGCTGAAGTACCTTAATAAATATAAAAATTATTCAGACATTAAGAATATTAATAAAGTGGTAATAATAACTTTTAAACATCAAGGACTTTACGGCATTTTTATGTGTAATAATGGAATATTACAGGAAATAGTAGTTGATGATCATATTCCATGTCATAATTAAGGAGGTCCAATATTTTCAAAAGCAAATGGGAATGAATTGTGGGTTTTACTTTTGGAAAAAGCTTATGCTAAAATATATGGATCTTACCATAAAATAGAATCTGGTTTGGCAAGTTGTGCATTAAAGGATTTGACTGGAGCACCAAGTGAATATTTTATCAGAAAAGCTGAAACATTAAAAGATGCTGATTTATGTTGGGATTTCCTTGAGAAAAATGATAAATAAAAATACATTTTGACAGCATCTTCAGAAACAAATAGTTAAGGAGTGGAATTAGATAATGGAGGTGGAATAGTGTCTTAACATTGCTATGCAATTTTGGATGTGTAAAGAGTTACTGGGAGTGATGGAAATCCAGATAGAATCATTAAGATAAGAAATGTAAAATATGTATTATAAATTTGAATAGCCTTGGGGTAGAAAAGAATGGACAAAAGATTGGAGTGATAATTCTGCTAAATGGACACCTGAATTAAGATAGAGATTGTAAGTATAATAAAAAGATGATGGAATTTTCTGGATGAGTGTTAAAGATTTTATAACTGAATTCAGTTAGGTTTGTGTATGCAAATTTAAACCAGATTATTTATACACAGCAGTACCTCTTTAAGTTGAAAAATCAGATGTTGTTACTACAAAGGTGATATTAATGAGAGTATATGAGAAATCTCATGCATTTATTTCATTAAGTCAATCAGAAAAGCGCTTTTTCTAAAAAGGCCATTAATATTCTTTGGCTAGATTAATAGTTGGATAATTAGATAATAATACAAAAGAGGTATTACATTATTCAGGTTCTGCTTTTGATAATGAAAGGGATATTGTTATTGAAAAAGAATTTGAACCTGGATTTTATGCATTATATGTTGAAGTAGATTGGTCATAAAATTATGATCGATATTTAGCAGTTTCTTGTTATGGTTCTAAATCAGTGTAATTTTCTGACTTGTAGTTTCCACCTGGTTAAGGAAAACAAACAATTGATAAAATTTTTGATGGATTTTTAAGAGCACATGAGAGAGACACAGATGAAGAGAAAGTTAAAGATATAGAACCAGGAATTAGAAGAATTTCTGGAACAGTTGCAGGTTATCTTTATTATTGGTATCAAAATTAAACTACCAAAAAAACATTATAGGAAATTATTTATTTAGATAAAATATCAAATTTAGAAATATGCCCTCCTTATTAAAATCCTGCTGAAGTTCAGGTTTAATGCAAACCTCTTTCAACTGTCATGGTTAAATACAGAGTTACAAAACAAGGAGGAGGTTCTTTTGGATATGCTATGAAATGCCAAACATAAGTTATTGAAGCTAAATCTGAATAAGATATCATTCAATAAGCACTTTCAAAGCCTGATTAAAAGGTTTAAAGAAGCATACAAGGAAAAGTATAATATTTTTAATATTAAGAATATACAAGTTTTCTTTTATCTTGTCAAATTCCCTGCAGGAGTAGCTTTTTTTTATGAAAATAAAGAAACTAGAGCTTTTGAAGAAACAATTTAATTTGAAGTCACCAACTTGAAAGGAGTTGGAATAGATATTTCTTAAAAAGTTGTCATAGAAGTATTACCTGGGCAATCATAACTAATTTAATTACAATCCATCGACCCAACAAAAGGATATTCGTTTAAATAATAGATAACATATACATTAAAATGAAAAATAATATGCCATGCATGCAAATTATATATATTAATTATTTAATAATTTATTATATAATATATATATGGGCCAGGCTTAACCAACTTAAATGGGATAATCCCCAGAAACATAATAGAAAAACACAAAATCTACTCAACATTAATAAAGTAATCAAAGTCATGAAATTCAAGAATCTAATTCAGAAAATGCATAATAGATTATCTAAAATACAAATTAAAACTAAAATTAGTAAGAAGAGCTATAAAATATTGACGAAGAAGAAATATAAAATGACAAAGATATAGAAAATATTTGGTTGACTAGAATTTTTGAAATCTTTACCAATACCTAATAGATTTATGGTAAGTAAGTAGATTTTATACCCCAAGATTAGTAATTAACAGTTGATATTTTAATAGAATAAGTATACTATTAATTCTTAACTTCCTCTTAATTTACCGAATAGGAAAAACTTGAATTTCTTATCAAATCTTTAATTTCTCTTTCGGATTTCGAAGATTAGGATGGATTAGTTAAATTAGCTGAAGGTAAAATTAAAAAAGACAAGTATTTAAAAATTTTGAATCATATTTAAGATTAGCTACTAACTTGTACATTATATCCTGATGCATTTGAATGGTAAAATATTGATGAAGATCCTAATATTTTTGATGACATTAAAAACTACAGAGCAGAAATCGTATTTAATTCCCTAATTTATTCGAATAATTTAGTTAAGGCTTAAAAAGCTCTCAAAAGCTTATTTGATTATTTGGAAACATCAGCAAGTGAAGATGATTCATTTAAATTTATTGAACTCATGTTGAAAAGAGAACTTAGATCATATAAACGATTATCTTTTGATAATATTCAATTATAAATACATTCACTAACTCTCCTGTAAAATTTGGCATAATATTAAAAACTTATGGATAATCTATTATTGAATAGTTGGGCTTTTGGAAAGTATGATTAAATTAGTACGGGCAATCATTTTTAATAAAGAACTCTACTTGGATTATTATTAACTTTAAGTACCTTTCCAACAGATGGACATCAATGGAAAAACTATTTTTCAGATGATAAAGAATAAATGAAAGATCAAATGTGTAGTTTAAGAACTAAAATATTTAAAATCATTGAAGATTTATGTGTTTTATTTGAGACTATATATAATTCAAGCGAAAAACTTAGATTGAAATTGTTTGAATTATTTTAAAAAATAATCAAATTAAATTTAAATTTAGAAAAATAATTGAATGTCTAGTTGTAAAAATTATCATCAAGCCCAGGATTAGTATTTAATTTTTTATTCATTCTTACTTATCTATTTAACTAATTCATTAATTCATAAGCAAAAATCTAAGAATTTTTAAAGAAAATAGATTTAAATGTATTAAGCTATTGTTAGAAACATCCTTTCTTTTCATCTTTATATTAAAATGTTGATTTATTAGCACCTGAACTAACTCCCTTTATTGAACCAGAAGAGTATATAACTGTGATTGACCCAATTACAACCTTATTTTTATTAACTTAAAGGATGACTCATGTTGTAGCTACTAGTTTAGAACAATTTTACATCTCTACGATATTATAAGAACTAAAAGAACTACCTCCAGAAGCTATTTATGCTTAGGCATACAGTAAAATCTTAAAATAGAAGGTTTCTTATGATTTATAAATCTTACATCCTAAGAGCATTCAATATAATATGCAATTTTTAAGTTTTGCCAATTAATTAGCTTTAAGTTTGATAGATTAAAATTTAAATCCAATTTATCCTTATGGATAATTACCTTCCATATTTTTAATTGATACTTAAATATTTTTTTCAATTTATTCCTTTAATGATGAAGTAATAAACCATTCATTAGAATTATAAAAATGTTTGGAGTTTGCAGCAATTTCAATGAATAAAAAATTGATTGCAAATCCTCATCTCAGAATAAGAAGTATAAGTTTATTTTAGATTATTGATGAAAAAAAAGGTTCTATTTTATCAAGGGAAGTTAGATAGACTTGGAATTAATCAACATAAGTTAATATTTTATTTTATTCTAAAAATCTTCAAACCTATTTGATTGATGGAATTCTTCAATCTTTTGTGGATACAGAAAAAGTAGCTGAAGAAAATTAGTTCTTCCAAAAATTACACATTAGATTTAAATTTTGCTTAGTAATGAGGTATCTATTTTAAGAACATAAAGATCATTATAGAAAATGTTTGATTGATGGATATAATGATAAATAAGAAAAATACTTACACTTTTCTAATCACTTTTTAAGCGATTTGATTTATTTAACAGAGGAATGCTTTTAATCCATCAAAAATATAAAAAAAATCTTTGAAGAATAAGTTTAATTTTTCTTAGGTCATTAATATCATAAATTTTTGAAAGAGTTTATAATTAAATCTCAATACTTCTATGAATATTTAAGAACACTGGAAGTTGTGACATCTGTTTAACCTAGCATATTTTTAATTGATGAAATCAGAGAGAAATTAGCTAATTATTTAAACTATATTTTAGATAAAATCAATGGTAAGTAATCGAATGAGTGTTAAGTGCAGATTTTACAAGAAAAAAACATTGATAGATTATTCATTCTAGAATATTTAATGAAAATTTATATGAATTTAAGTTAAAATTTACAATTTTTATGTGATGTAGTTAAAGATGAAAGGTAAAATTGATATTTGATAAATTAGATGTTTTTCTGTTGACTTATTTAAATAAACATAAAATTAGTTGTAAAAAATAATTAATTGTGAAAATAAATAAAGGTCCCTTTAAGACTTAATTAATTAATTAGAGGAAGAGAATTATAAATAAAAAGTTATAAATGAAAATCCAGATGAAATACCAGAAGAGTTTGTAGATCCACTATGTTTTTCATTAATGAGAGATCCAGTGAAACTTCCTCATTCAAATGTATTAATTAGATAAATTATTAGGTGATTGTGGATAGGCTAACAATTAAAAAGCATCTTTTGAATCAATCAATTGATCCTTTTGATAGAACACCATTAAAATTAGAAATGGTGATTGAACAGAAAGAATTGAAAATAAAAATAGAGTAGTATTTAGAGAAAAATTTGGAAAAATAAAAAAATAAACAGAAATTTATTTAAGAATAGAAATGATGAAAATTATAATATATAATTTTATATAACTCGTCAAAAGAATTTCGTCACAAAAATTATAATAATTTTAGAATAATTATAAAAATACGTCTTAAATTGTTCAAAATCGTAATAATATAATTTAAAATAGTAAGTCTCTTTCTTCTGAAAATGATAATATTATTTAAATTATGGCTAAATCATTAAGAGTGATAGTAGGGACTTTTTTCTTTTAATTCTGGATTTTATTTATGGGATTAGCAGGCTATATGATCTACAGATTAATTATTTATAGAGAAGTTTGGAATATAGCACTTTTTATTGTAACGATGATCTTACAAGTAAATTATGTAAAATCAGAGTTATTCATAAAATTCTAATTATGGTTCAAAATTATGGAATGGTTTGACAAAAGAGAAATATTGGAAGTGGAAAAACCTAAGTAAAACAATTCAATGGTATTAGATAGTAATAATTTAGTTTTGTTTTCATCCTCATGGTATATATAGTATGGGAATGGTTCATAATTTGTACACTAAAAATACATTCTTTGAAAATTTGGTTGTTTTAAGTTCAAGATTTGCACTATCAATTCCATTTTCTGGACTATTATTAACGTTATTTGGATTAGAAGGAGTACATCCAGAAAACTTAAGTAAATTGTTGAAAAAGGGGTCAAATGTAGGAATTATGGTTGGAGGATTTGAGGAAGCAACACTTACTAAATATGGAGAAAATAGAGTTTATATAAAAGAAAGAAAAGGATTTATAAAGTATGCTTTGAGATACGGGACAACAATCTATCCTGTATTTACGTTTGGTGAAAACAATATGTTTTATACGTACAATGGTTTTTAATCGTTGAGACTTTGGCTTAACAAATTCAAGTTAATAGGAACCATTTATTGGAGTAGATTCTTAACAATACCAGTAAAAATATTAAATATATCGACAGGAACCTCATACTGATATGATTACAGTTTGTGGAAAAGGAATAGAATTACCAAAAAATGAAAATCCATCAAAGGAGGAAATTGATAAATATCATGAGATTTACATAAAAGGATTAAAGGATTTGTATGATACTTATGCTCCAAAATATGCACCTAAAGTACCTTTACAGATATTTTGACAATATATTGTTTATGTCATATGATTAATATAAATAAATTAATAAATGAGTCTTGGGAAGTTAAAATTCAAAGGATAATTTGGAGAAAAGCAAGAGAAAAATGAATAAAAGATAAGAAATAAAGTAGAAAGAGAGGAACTTGCTTAAGATGAACAACAATTTTTAGAAAAGATTCAAGAGAAAGGACCAGCAAAGAGAGTAGTGATTGATAAACCATTATAAGATGGTTTAGGAATGATATTTACTTCTGGGACATCAGTACATGGTTAGGACACTTAATTTTTAAAGCAATTGGAAGCTGGAGATTTTTTAGTGGTTCTAAATGAGTAGACATTAGAAATGGAATCTAGAGAAATTTTAACAATGTTGAATTAAAAATCGTTATTAATAAGAGAGGCATTTGGTTAAGATATTCCAGTATTCAAACCTTATTAATTTCGTAAAAAACCAACAGTTGAAGAAATGAAAAGTTTGGAGGATAGATTAGAAGAAAAATTTGCAGGAGTGGCTAAGAAAATACATAAACAAAAATAGACACTAGAAATGCGTTAAAAGAGTGGAATGTGGAGTTATAAAACAGATAAAAAGGCTGTGGATGCTGAATTGAGTAGAGAAGATTTAGTTTTAATAAGGGCTAAATAGAGTAGGGATAGACATTGTTGGCATTGATAATTAATTATTTAAAAAATAAACATTGAATTAATTCTTCATGATCTTCGATTATATTATTAGTCAATTTCTTTAACTAATTATAAGTTCTTAGGATCTTCGAAATCATCATTACTATCATTTCTGATTGGCTATATAAAGTAGCCTTTTGTTTTTCGATTTATTGATTTAAATTCAACCTCTTTATTAAAAGTAAATAGAAATTGATCAGGAAAGCTTTGTTCAAGTAACTGTTTGGTTTCTTCAGACACTTGAACTTAACCACGTTCTCCATTTGATTCCATTTTATTCGAAATCATTACATCAGCTCCATAAACATCATATCTCACTATTTCAGTACCCAAAATTCCTCCAATTACGCAACCCTATAATACAAATTAAATACAATCTTACTGTATGAATTCCAATCCTCATATCTAATCCATCAAAACCAATTATTGTTCTCACTTATCTTATTGTTTCTATCATTTGAAAACCTAATTCAACTACATTTTTAGCTTCTTAAGCTGGATTTCTTTAGGTTACATCAACTATACCAAAAGCAACATAACAATCTCCTATTGTATACAATTTATAAGCATTTTAAGTTAAACATTTTTTATCAAATTCAGTGAATAAATTTCTAAGCATATTTACAACTTATTCAGGCTCGACTTAACTAGAATATTCTGTAAATCCAGCAATATCTGCAAATAACAATGTTGCATCTTCAAATTAATCAACTAATACCATTCTCTAATTAGTATTCGATAAAAACTATTTTAATATATGAGATGGGAGCAAATACTTTACTAAATTTTGAGTTTGCATCTTTTTAGTTTCAAGTGATCTTTTATTGTTGAAGGTACCAAGGTCTTAAAAAAAGAGATGGTATTAAATTATGAAAGTCATACAACTTTAGAAAACTGTATAATAAGCCACAGATAAATCTTTGTATTTAATTAATACTATTAATAATTAAGCTACAAAAAAGCAAAAGTTAAAGCAAATTTTGAATTTTATCTAAATGTTTGGGATTGATGAAAAGAAACAAATTAATAAGATTCCTTCAGCTGCTTATAATTCTACAGATTTCTTTGTTAAAATAATCAATTCGAATATAATACTGATTAAAAGTGCAATATAAGTAGTAAGGAAATATTCATATTTGTAAAATCGATGTTTTAATTTCTTATTCTAAAGTAATGTTAAGATTAACAAGATCATAGAAACTATAAATCTTAATACAAAAACTATTAGCCAATTTTTTTCATTCTACATATATAAGAGAGTGACAGTCTTGGAAATATATTACACAAAGTGCAATAATAATATTAAAACTATATTTATACCTTCCTTTTATTCCATGAATTCTTTGGCCAGATCTTTTTGGCTATCTTTGAAATCAAGATAAAATTTAGATTTCTCTAATTAAAGTGTTTCACTTATAATTTATTCATCTTCATCGAATTAAATTTTTTCAATTTCAATTTCGTAGTCAGGTGTTTCGTCAATCATTTCTATATATAAATCTCTTCTTAACTTTTATGATAAATCATGGAGTAAATTTGTTTGATTTTTTTCATGAAATGACTCTTCTCTAAAATTATTATTAGAATGCAAACTTTCTTCAGGTTAATATACAATGATAGGAGGAAGATTCCTATTACTTGTTTATTATAAAGCATTCTAGCTGCCTGAGTGTTACAATTGCAGAGCTAAAGAAGATCTATTTTCTTACTGTTTCATAATTAGAGTAGGTCCTCTCTAACCTTTTTTTCTTAAAGGAATTAAGTCTTTTTATTAAGACTCCTTTAATTAATTTTAACTCATCGAATTATTATTATCTTGGGACTATTATTATTCAATTTTTGAATAAGAATCCCGTGCTAACACATCAAATGATTTTTAGTGTGGTATTTTTAATTAACGATGTTCAGATTTTGGGGTTACAGATTCTAATCTATTCATAGTTTATTATTATTCTTATTAACTTTAATCAAATTTAGGAATCAGTCCCTTCTTTTTTCTTTCTTTTTTATCTGTATTTCTCTTAATTTAAGTGATGATTTACCATGTAATTAGTTCTCCTTTACCTTTAGCATTAACCTTTCTCTAATTAAATTATAAGTCTGGCATATTTAATTCCATATAAGCTTCATTAGAAATAGTTATTTCTCCATCTTACCCAGTTGAACAAACTCTACTAGTTGTATTAACAGTATCTCCAATCAATGAAAATTGAGGTTTATGATGCCCAATAACTCCTGCAATTACTCGACCATAATGAATTCCTATTTTAATTCTAATATTGCCAGTTTATCCAAATTTAAACTTCTTGGAATATTCCATCATTTCAAGAGATAATTAAACTGCCTTAAATATATCATAATCAATTACTCTTTTCACTGCACTTTAATTAATAAACTTGGTTCCTTAATCAACAGCTTTTAATCCTCCTGCTGCCATATAAGTCTTTCCAACAGTCTCAATCTTTTACATTCCATTTGAAACACATAATGCATCAAATCCTCTAAATAGATCATCCAATAAATTAACTATGTTCTCTTTTTCTATCGCAATCAAATCATCAAATCCACATATATCACAGAATAATATTGAAACTTCCCCTTAATTTTCCTGTATTTCATACATTCCCTCTTAAAATATTTAATTTTTATCTTACTTGCATTGATTCTGTCTCTTATAAATTTTGGTAAAAGTATCGATAAGACATTTGTCATTTATGTCATCTCTTAATTTAGTGTCGCCGTTATCATGAAATCTTACTTTTCTAACATATTCAATTTATATTATAAAGATATAAATAGAATTAAAGTTATCAAAACTATTAAATTACCATTAATAATTTGATAGTAATCCTCCCCAACGCTAAACTTTCTAAAAAAACCTATTATTGATAAAGTTGCAATTATAAAGTTAAGTAATGGAATATGCAATTTAGAAAATATTATTATTACTATGTAAGACTAACTTAATAATATATCGTAAGTTCCATCCTATCCAAAATCAGATATCATTTTGGTCAACAGTCTAATAATAGCTATAATTAAATTTATTTAAAAGAAATTTTTCTAATAAATGCTTGAAAAAATCATTATTATCAATAAGGATTAACCACTAATACTAAGGATATAAATAATAAAATAGGTTTTAGTTTGAATATCTGTTTTATAAGTCAGTATGTAAATGATTAAAGCAAAAACTTCCAAAAATATTAATGATAAACCTAATTTGAGTTTTTCAAACTTAATCCATCTCAATTTTGACATTCTTTTAAATTTCATTTCGGTGTCCTTGTTGAGGAATCTTAGGGTAAATCGATTGATTTTATCAGAATTAACTTTTAATTCACAAATTACATCTTATATAGCAATATCCATTTCATCCTTATTTTTCTTAAAAACTTTTCCTGCTAATTGCGCAAATCTCCTGATCAAATTATGATATTTTTTGGCACCATTTTTCGAAGGTTTAATAATATAATTTTAAACTTCATCATATTGTTGTTTGTCAATCAATGATTAACAAAAAAGTGGTTAAATCATTTCAATTATACTACTTAAACAATATTGTGCAAATCCATATGAAAAGAGTGATAGCCAAGTTTATGGTAAAATTAAAAATTCTACAAAACCATCCATATTATCAAAGTATGCTGTCAAAATTGCCATTATGAGCCAACAAACAAAATATGTGCTAATAAAGGCAATCCAAGCATATTTACTGTAATTGGTTGAAACAATTAATTTAACAATATCACTTAAAATCAATAGGATTAATAGCATTTATTTAAATGAATCAATAGCAATATCATCTAATATTCTTAAGGAAATATAGAGCAACGCAGCATCTAACAAAGCATTCCCATTTATTTTCAAAATAAATGATAAAACTTTCTTTTTTTTGAATATTTTTATGTTATTCTTAAATTGATCGATATAAGTGATAGAATCTTTATCATATTATCTTTGCATTTTAGATTTTAAACTTACTAATTATTGAATAAATAACAAGATACTCTAATAAACAGTTAGCCANAAAAAAACCTATTATTGATAAAGTTGCAATTATAAAGTTAAGTAATGGAATATGCAATTTAGAAAATATTATTATTACTATGTAAGACTAACTTAATAATATATCGTAAGTTCCATCCTATCCAAAATCAGATATCATTTTGGTCAACAGTCTAATAATAGCTATAATTAAATTTATTTAAAAGAAATTTTTCTAATAAATGCTTGAAAAAATCATTATTATCAATAAGGATTAACCACTAATACTAAGGATATAAATAATAAAATAGGTTTTAGTTTGAATATCTGTTTTATAAGTCAGTATGTAAATGATTAAAGCAAAAACTTCCAAAAATATTAATGATAAACCTAATTTGAGTTTTTCAAACTTAATCCATCTCAATTTTGACATTCTTTTAAATTTCATTTCGGTGTCCTTGTTGAGGAATCTTAGGGTAAATCGATTGATTTTATCAGAATTAACTTTTAATTCACAAATTACATCTTATATAGCAATATCCATTTCATCCTTATTTTTCTTAAAAACTTTTCCTGCTAATTGCGCAAATCTCCTGATCAAATTATGATATTTTTTGGCACCATTTTTCGAAGGTTTAATAATATAATTTTAAACTTCATCATATTGTTGTTTGTCAATCAATGATTAACAAAAAAGTGGTTAAATCATTTCAATTATACTACTTAAACAATATTGTGCAAATCCATATGAAAAGAGTGATAGCCAAGTTTATGGTAAAATTAAAAATTCTACAAAACCATCCATATTATCAAAGTATGCTGTCAAAATTGCCATTATGAGCCAACAAACAAAATATGTGCTAATAAAGGCAATCCAAGCATATTTACTGTAATTGGTTGAAACAATTAATTTAACAATATCACTTAAAATCAATAGGATTAATAGCATTTATTTAAATGAATCAATAGCAATATCATCTAATATTCTTAAGGAAATATAGAGCAACGCAGCATCTAACAAAGCATTCCCATTTATTTTCAAAATAAATGATAAAACTTTCTTTTTTTTGAATATTTTTATGTTATTCTTAAATTGATCGATATAAGTGATAGAATCTTTATCATATTATCTTTGCATTTTAGATTTTAAACTTACTAATTATTGAATAAATAACAAGATACTCTAATAAACAGTTAGCCATGTACCTGTAAAAATAGTATTATTTTAACTACAATAGGTTGCATAATAGAGAAATAATATATAAATTATAAGTAAAGATCTATAAAAAGAGAAAACTAATAAATCATCATAGACTTCAGCAAAAATTCTACTCTCAAAAAACATTAAGGCACTTAAATTTACGTAATCCTTTAAACACACATCAGCTGTGGGTATAATCCACATATCATTTTAAATGAATTTACGATTTAAAGGGTTATCTAATAATTTATTAGAAGTGACTTTTCTATTTAATTTTAATTTAGTATTGCCTCTCTAATAAGACTAATTTTAAATAGGATAATGGCAATATTGAACTCCAATATTTGATTAGCAAAACATATGAATATCATTATAGGAGTCACCAACAGCTAGGACACGTTTATTGCCAATAAATTGAGTTTAGATAATGTTAATGATTTTGGCCTTTTATTGGGAATTAAACTTATAAGCAACCAAAGAATTACAAAGATATAAGAGAAACATAAAGTGAGATAATAAATAACTGTCTTAGAGAATGTCATTAAAGTAATCTCCACTTAAAACAATGCTGAATGATTTGATATCAGGATAAGTTATACATCTTTCCTCTTATATGAATGACCTATGATGTTTGTCAAGAGTACTCATTCTCATAGGTTTGGATGTAGTTTATTCATCTAATTTTAAATATTAAGAAATAATAGTAAGGTGATTTTTCATAACAACTCTGGCATTTTCATTATCTAAGTACAGAAGAGTGTCATTTTAATTAACAATTTTTGATTTAAATGCGATAGGTAAGACTCTGCTGATTTCATCTCCACTCAAGAGATATAAGCTCAGATCAGCTTATTTCATTTGATGGATTAAAGGTTTAGTGTCTTTTCTCATCTATTCTTTGACTCCAACAACTTAAACAATTTACATATCTTTGGATATTTCATTGAAAGCCTTCATACCTTCTTCACCTTAATATCTAGACATAAAAAGACTTGCATCTTTATCTTTTAGGTAGATTTTTGAATAAATAACTGATCTCATACCACACATATGCAATTTGGAGAATACTTTATCCCAATATTCTCTGCTTCCTTTGTCAACATCAATATACATAGGCAAAGAATTGGTTTCTTCCCTCATTATGAAAATATACTGTAAACTTTCCATAGGATCACTTTCATTAATCAAAAGAAATTTCTCTTACAACTTATCAGGATAAAGTATTAAAACTCCTTATTATGTTCCATTATGATAATTTGCCATAACTTGAAATTCAAGAACTTCCCCAAAGAAATCTATAATGTAGACAATTTTGCCATTGAATTCATTACAACACAAAAATTTAATATCTAACAAACTTACAAATCTCAAAAGCTCTTGATCAAAAGTAAATTATGTTGAATCATGCATAAAATGATCCTCACTTGGAGAATATCTAGAAACGATCTCTTAACATAGAAGAAGAGACAAAATAGCTTCTTAATATATTAACTTGTTTAACCCATTAACAAGATGTTTATAGAAATCATTTTCTCTTGAAAAGATAATCTCTAAATCTTCTTCAGCAACTTTATCCATTTACATAGATTTTTTAATGCTTTGTTGTCTTTTTGCATCTCTTGGTGAATTTTCTATAATCTTTCTACTCATTATTGATTTGTTATCAAAAGATCTCTACTCATCCTTATATGATGATTGCTTAATAAGCATTTCATCCTCTTAAAGTTAATGCATACCTCCTCCTTAACTAACATTTATTTAAACTGGTGCTGTAGCAAATGCTTTTTTATTAAAAAATGGTTTTGGCTTGTTAGTACAAAGTTATGGAGTTATTCTATAATGAGTATCATCAAAATCTTCTAATCTCATATTCTCAATTTCACCATCTCCATCATCCATAGGATTTGCAATACTCTTACTTGAAACTAGATCTTATCTACCTGATTCATAACTAGGTATCTTTTTAGAAGTTCTATGTTGAATTGTTAATTTAAAAATTCCTGTATGTCTTATTTTTTTAGATTGCACATCCAAATCAGATTCTTCTATTTCCTCCATTTAAAAGTTTGGGTCTTATTTAACTTAATTTTGAATATTATCTTTGAATATATTCCATTAATTTTTATTCATTTTGTTATAGCTAAACTTATACATTGTATCTTCAACAATTATAGTATGTATTCTACATTCTCCAGTAGTTATTGTACCTGTTTTATCAAAACAGACATATTCAGTCATCACCATATCTCCAACAGACACTGGATTCAATTGTAAATAATCAATATTTGCATTTTCTTATCCTTTGTATTTTGTAAATTTTATGTGAGCATTAATCACTTCTATCAAATCAATACAATTATAAAAAAATATTGGAGTTGTCTTTAAATATTAAAGTAAATAAAAAGCAAGAGTTATACCATCAAAATCAGCTTAATTATATGGCAAACATGCTGCAAATGAAGCTAAAAACCAACTAAATATTGAAATCATCAAAGATATCCCAAGGGTTAAAGCAAAAAACATACTAGATTTCTACACAAAAAATGATTTCTTTTCTTATTTCTCCATATTTAAATAACAAAAACAATTATTACCAGTCTATAACACTACTCCTATCACATATTAACAAGTTTTTAATTATTCTTCTCTAAATAAGATGTTTCTGTTTTCAAATTATTCTCCTTTCGGATCTTTTTTTAATTTAATGAATCCGAAGATTTAAGCATCTTATATGTTATATTGGATACTACCAGTTAATAATTTTTTATAATCAAATCCTTATAATCTATTACGCCCGTTTTTTAGCATAGTTAATTAAGTAGGCTGTCTTATTTAATCAATAGTTTGACCTCGAAAATTTTGAGTTTAGACTTAAAGTATTTCATCAGACACATCCAATAATAACATATCAGCTGGACATATTTCATTTCGTTTTAAATAAATAATATCCCCTAATTCAATCTATTACCAAGAACAATTCTCATAAAGGGATGTTTTAGGTTTTTTAAAGGATGACTATTGTTGTTGTTATTATTGAGTCATTAATTATTTTGGTTTGTCTCTTCTAAGTCTCCGAAAACGTGTAACTTTCCTGTCATTGACAATTTAATCCTCCTTTCTCTTTATATGATCAAAGTAAAGAGACTTAGATATTTATAGCACCAAATGCATTGTTAAAGGAACTACATAAACAATAAGTTCTTCATCAGTAGTTCCAAAGACAGAGAAATGAAGAATCATCACGATAAAATAAATTACCACTCCAATACGTTGAAATTATTTGAAAAAGAGGTTTAATAGTGAAAAATTAAAGTAAGTGGTCGTAACCTTATTTCCTTTATTGTTCAAGATATTCATGCACTCTCCCTATTCCATTTCTAGCTGTGATACAAAGACTTAGTTACATGATACTTATATTTCACTTATTTAGTGGCTACATGCTGAAACTTGGTCTTCAGATATTCAAATATCAAAAGTGAGAGCTATTTCATATAATTTATTTTAATATGCTTTTAATTTTAATAAAACTATAAAACATACCCTGCAGTGCCTTATGACCAACATCTGATTCAATAACCCTATCAATATTAAATTGATACGAATTTGCAAATTTCACATTCGAGATAATCCCAGAATCAGCCATGGTGCGTTATAAATTATCTTGTTTTAGACTATACTTGTTGACATATTTGTTCAATAAGTAGATTTCTTGGTAAGCTTTTATATGGAAAACGATATATAAATCAATGAGATTATTATTGTAAGAATCAAAAATGTAAAGAACCCTGAGAAGAAAGGGGGAACAGGAAACTTCATTGTAAGGTCTAAACTTGGGTAGAATGTTTTTGATGAAAATTTGATATTTGGAACTATTGGAATAGCAGATTATGCACTTCATTTGAATGACATGGTCATTAAAATTGATGATAATAGCACTAATATTGTAAATGATTAGGCATTATATAATTTCTAAATAAATTCCTTAAAGATTTGCCCTAAGGTTTTTATTTATAAATTACAAATCTTAAACTACATATGATGGATCAAATATTATTGAACAATGTGATACCAATTTTACTTTCACAATTTTAGAATCTACTTCATATAATCCAAACATCGCAACATTTCAAACCCTTATGCTATTTCTCCTACTAATTTATAATTTACTATCAATAGTATTAAGAATTCAGCTAATAAAATTATTATTGATGTTGAATAATAATGGCAATTTTAAACAACTTCCCCTATAATCAAATTATGTTATTTTGGAGGAATTTCATCTTCACTTAGCTAGATGTTAATTCAACTTTGAGTAAGTCCTTACCAACTACAGTTTTACGAGCTAAAATAGTTTATATGAATAGGAATCTACTTGTGTTTAAATAATCATAAATCTCAAATTGGATAGTCGAGCATAATTTAATTGGTATGATTAAGGAGTAAATATATATTTTAATATTTAAGTTATCGACAACAATTTTGAATTTATATGCTTCATTATAAGATCATCTCAAAGCATTATTAAAACTGATCTAACTGTTTACAATAGAATTCTTTCATTACCTGAAACACAATACTTACAATTCCTTTTTTGTTGAGATCTAAAATTTAATTAATCCAAATACAGAAGAGAATTATAATACTAGTGAATTTAGAAATGGTATCAGATAAAGTGGTAGATACACCTATTATAATGGAAATTTAGTAGTGTTGGAAATGATAACTCTACCTGGTTAGCTATATCTTATCAATATGACCCTATTATACGCCTATCAAAAAGTCCAAAGTTATTGTTATTTCCAAAATACTCAATTTTTAAGTCACTGCTTTGTATCCTATCCCTAATGGAGGTAGTTTACTTATAATGGCAATCTCCACTGAAAATGCTCAATACGATACTTATGACATAGAAGCTGACTAAGTAATGGCTCTTCCATCAAAATAGTCTTTCAATTAGAAATTAATTCAAAAACTTTCAGAGTTCATTAAAATTATGCTGAATTGATCAGGTAAACTCAATTATATATTTTAACTGAAGTTGTCTCATATTTTACTTTATTGATAATTCCTTATATACTTTACCATCTTAATAAATTGTTAGATATAGTGATGCTACCAATCTATAACCAAAATTGACTAAATTTTCTGTTGAGAATATTAAAGAGTATTCAGCTACCATGTAAATTGAAATTAATCAGATAAAGTTCTTCTGCAATTTCTAAATTAATTTTTTATAATCCAATTTCTCAATCACTGTAGCAGAAGCCTATTATATGTACTGTTTAAATAGAATTACCAAACCTTCAATTTCCTATTTACTAAGTTTAGGACATCCGCATTATAAGTCCTCCTTATCCAAAAACGGGTATTTAAATATTTTGGCCAAATCCAGTATTCCTCTGAATTTATATGTTTAAACTGATTACGCATTTTATATTGGACTCAAAAATTAAGAAGGAATTGCATCAGATTAATTTATACTTAATTTCTCAACCAAAAATAGAAGTAAAATTAGTTTTATCCATTTCTCAGCTAATTAAGCCTAAATTGTTACAATTATGAACTATATTGTTTTCATACTCAGCTTACCAAGTTGGAAAATCGTTATAAATGTATATCATATCATTTAATGATACTGATAATTGTTGATAACCTTAAGATCTGATTAGTAGAATTAACTCTGATGCCCAATTTAAAAGATTAATGAATATTTACCTACTATTTGTTTCAATCTCTGCAATCAATGTAGCTGTACAATTTCATCTTTCATTTTAAATAATTCATATCTTTACGATCTTATCGTTATATTTTTGCTGTTGCTTTAAAAAGTGATGTTTCTACTCCATTTCAAATTTACAAAGGATTAAACATTATTAATGTTCAAACTCCATCTGCTAATGCTCATGTTACGAATTTAGCAACTCCTATAAAATTATCCAATTTATAACCATATCAAACATATTCAATTTATATTATTGCTGCATCCGACCTTCCAGAATATTCTCATTTCCCAGATGCACTTTCAACTCTCTTATGCACAACTAAAAAACTAACCGATAGAGAAACTTTTGAGAATATTTACTATAAACTCTTAAAAGTGGCTTTGATTATATTTTTCATATTTTTTTGATATTTCATTAGTATTTCTCTACCTAATATCTTTTGCGCATCTTTATTCATCGAATATCCATTTCAAATTTTAATTTATAAACTTATGCAATTTTATAATTTCATCAAAATTAAAAGAATCAATAAGTTTTAGAGAAATCCATTATTTTTTTTAACGAATAAATATCATTATAAAAAAACTTGTATTTTTTCAAATAATCATTTTAAAACAATAAATGTATTTTATCATTTTTATTTACCTTAAGTGTTACACTAAATAAAGTCTTAATCATAATAAAATAAAAAAAAATGTAATTTTTCTAATTTAGAATAATTTCAATACATTTTTCCATAATCAACGATTACATTTAACATTATGGGCAATCTAAAGGAAAAATTGCACAGCATGTACCTATTGCATGATATTTGCAATCCAAATTTTATTATCTATTGTATTCTGTAAAAGGTGAATGACAAAATGTGCAATCTTTTTAAAACTCTGGATCATATCTTTTTAATTCTGATGTATCTTTTGTTGAATGAACTTATTATTTAAAATAATATTCATCCAGAAAATCCTCATTTATTATTATATTACATCGAATACACTTAGGGGTTCTTTATAATTTATAAATATTAATGACACATTAGAAACAAATACAATGATTACAATTTGTATTACAAAATGATTCCTTTTTATTGCATTGTGAATCGCAATTACCACATATTGATTATATCGTTTAATTTTAAGTAATAGAAAAATATTAAATTAAATCTGTCAATTCGATAATTACTTAACAATTTGACACATAACACATGAATTATCCTTTATGCCTATTTTAAATTTTTAAAAAGCATAACCAACACATCATATGATTGCATTTTAATTTATATAAAATATGATCTTTTGGTTAATTCAAACAATAATTACATTTAGAATTTATATCCATTGATTTCTAATTGTTTGATATAATAGCATTAGACAATAATTGTTATTTTTATTAAGAATCAGAATTTCGAATTATGTCTGTTTACTTTTATATTGTTTAGGATTTTAATAATTAACTGGTTGAATTTGAAGGTAAGTAGATTTATTTTAATTTACTTTTGCAATCATCCATAGGACAATCAAAATTATTCTGCACATTATTTTTAAATTTGATTTGTAAACATTAAATACAAAATTGATGAGTACATTCTCGAGGGCTTAACAAGAATTCTACACTTAATTTTGTCTAACAAATATCACAACTCTCTAAAGGGCTTATTTGATCTGCTTAATTATTTTGATTTAAAGGAACATGTCCAAGTTTTTGTAATATTAGTTAGAACTCTGAATATTTTATTACTGATGGACAGTTAATTTAATTACAATTTACATCATTTTAATTTTTAAAGAAGAAATTCTTTAAGCAAGTCAGACAAATTACATGTTTACATTACATTTTTAGTATTCCTTATTTTTCAATTTTGCAATATTAACAGAATTGATTTTAAAGGTTTAGATCTTTTTAAATTACATAAAACTTCTAATCCAAATTAAATATAATTATCGTATTTTTGTCTTTTGAATCTATAGGTTAGCAATTTTAATTTATGGCAGCTGGCCATTTCTCAATTATCAACTTTATCTTAAAAATCTTCTCAATTTTTTCAATCGATTCACACTCTGAAAGTGTATATTTAAATTTTTGCTTTAAAAATACTTCAAAAAATTCTGATGGAGAACTATTATATTAATCCTTTTCTTTTAGTTATTAGTAGAGATAATCAATAATTTATGTTCCTTAACAATTTTTAAAACCTAATTCTAAAATGGATTTAAATTTTTTTGCTTTATCGCTTCCTTAACATGAAGTTGACGAAACTATTTCTTTTAATTTATCAATCTCATTATTATAAATAAAATATTCAATTATTCCTATCATGATTGCTGCTTGTAATTTTGAACCTACTCTTCTCCATTTCTTAAAATTTACTAATTGATTGATATGTTCAGGGATATTTTAGATTGTAAAATTCTAATTATTATTATTATTCATAAAAACAAAATGTTAATAATATCAAATTTATATAAGTTTGTTTCAAAATAAAATTGATTAAAATGAATAAAAATTTGAATATTATAAATCATTCTTCTAAGAAAGTTGAAATTTAAACTATCCAAAATTTATTGTAGTTATCATTTTAATAAACATTTTCTTAAGAGTTTTAATATTTAAGATTTTGTTTTATAAGAGATATTTTATATTAATTAAAAACAAATGATAATTTTTTAATTAATATATATTTGAAATTTATTAACTGCTATGAGTTTAGACTAATCATTAGATAATAGTTCAAATCATTGGGAATAATTTGAATAATTTCGAAAAAAAATTACATAAGAGTGCTAGAGTGAGGAGAAACATTTTAAAACAAAGAGAGATTCTTATACATCATTAGAAAAAATTAGAAAATCGTCTGTGCATGATGAAAGTGGACCTAAGGAAGTGTAATTTGTTGTTGATAGTAAACCTCCTATTCTTGTATAACCAAGTGAAGCTGATAGAATAATAAAATTAAGAATAGAGAATTAAGAATTGAAAGAAAAATTAGAAAAATATGAAAAAAATGAGTAGACTCAACAAACAAATTCAGAAGAATTAGAATTGATTAAATAAGCTCATGCAAAATAATTTAAATCTTAAAAAGAATATTATGAAGTTGAAAATAATTAATTAAAAAACAAAATTAATTCCTTTAATGAAGAATTGGAAGAATTAAAAAAAGTATATAAGGAAAAAAATATGAAATTATATAACCTTGTATTATAACTAGAATAAGTATAAAATTATATAAATGCAATAGGAAAAATAAGAATTGATTGACAAAAATATTTAGTTATTAGAGAATAGATAATAAAGTTCATAATAAGATATACATCATCTTGTTGAAGAGAGAACAAGAGTTTTAAGTGAATAAATATATTAATTGGAAGAAAGGAATGCAAAATTATAAGTTGAAAAAAGTAAAATTGAAGAAAAATATATGAATTAATTAAGTGGTAAATAACAATCTATGCAAAAAACATTAAGATCAGAAAGATCTGATAGAAAGGACACTAAAAATTGTGATACTGATCGAAAATCTGTTGAAAAACTAAATCGCTCTTCAATACATAAATCTGATTGTAAACCTCCTATGCCTACTTCAATTAGTTAAAGTTTTGAATAACTTCCACCTGCATAAAAATCAATTTTAAAACCTTCTAAACTAAACACTTCATCAAAAGAGAATCTTTAACCATTAAACAATTCAAAAATACTTGATACACCTTAAACTAACAGAAAATCAGCAAGGGCATAATCTTCTGTTTCTAAAAAAGCAACTAAACCTTAAAGTCAAACTTAAAAGGTAGTAAAGAAAAAGTAAATATATTCTAAAATTAAATGACTATAAATATTCATTAATTATATAATCAAAAATTAAATATAATTTTTTTAAGAAGAAAAAATGCTTTTAAAAAGATGATATTTGTATATAAAGCAATAAATGAATAATAAATAGTTATAGATAACATTATTTAAAATATTATTATAAAAAAATTAAAGTTTATCAAATTTAATTGAATATAATTTTAATTGATCAGAACCTTTCTCCTCTAATTCTTCTGGCTAATTGGATATCTCTTGACATAATTGTTACTCTTCTAGCATGAATTGCACATAAATTAGTGTCTTCAAATAATCCAACAAGATATGCTTCAGCAGCTTCTTAAAGTGCCAAAACAGCAGAACTCTAGAATCTGAGTTCTTTTTAGAATTCATGTGCAATTTCTCTGACTAATCTTTAGAATGGTAATTTTCTTATTAAGAGTTCAGTTGACTTTTAGTATTTTCTAATTTCTCTAAGTGCAACAGTTCCTGGTCTGAATTTATGTGGCTTTTTCAAACCTCCTGTTGCTCCAACAGCTGGAGCAGTCTTTCTAGCTGCTTTTGTTGCCAAATGTTTTGTAGGCTTTTTATTACCAGCTGTGCTTTTTCTTGCAGTTTACTTTGTTCTTGCCATTTATATTTTCTTAATTTATTTTTTTAAATAATACAAAGAGAATTAATATAATTAAAATTAGTAATTCTGTCTTATGATTGGTTGAATTAGAATATCTCGCACTCATATCATTTTTTTTATAAGTAACTACAGAAGATAATCGTAATCTTTTTAATCTCTATTAATATTGGTATTCTAATGGAATACCAATCCTCTAATCCTTTATTTTAATTTATGTATTTTATTGATTTATAAAATTAATCCAGAAAATAATTCTAAATTAATACAGGAAGTAGAAGAATAGTTCGAAGATATATCAATTGTATAATGCATTTCAACAGAGGATGCAGTAAACTAAGTCAAACTCTTTAGATAGATAACTCTGCTTGATCATTCAAACTTTAGAATAGTCACAGATATGGTTAGATTAGAAAAAGAAAAAATTAATTATTTTGCAGGTTTGGAACTTTTATTATTTCTATTTTCAGAATTAAAATTTCAAAATGAAGTATTAGTATTTTGTAGTGATACAAATAGAGCATTAAAAAATTGTTAAGAAAAGGATATTCATGGTAATTATAAAATAACAAATTCAATTGATGAAGTTAAAAGATTTATTAGATTAAAATGAATTCTAGAATATTTATAATAAAAATTGTATTTTTAATATTTAAAAGCTTATAAGACTCATGTCGTAAAATTTATCTCAATTCTTAATTTGACAAATTATATCGGTCTAGAATTTTAAAAAACGATTTATTATTTATATCAAAAAATATGTTCATTTTTGTGATATTTTAAACTTAAAAATATATGGAAATCTTTTGATTAAAAATAGCATTCTAATTAAAAATTAATGATATTTTTTAATTGATTTCCTTTTACATTTAAGATTTATATTTAAAACTCTTACATTGCAAAGAGTTGATTACAGAAATCAACAAAAATTTAGATACAAATATATAAAAAAATATATATTCTGATTAGCTGATCAAGAAATTTTAATATGTACTATTCTTCACAAAATAAACTTTTAATATTGAATTGAGATTGATTCTTAATTACTTAATTCGAATCTCATACTTTATGGGTATATCTTAGGATTCAATAATATTTCATTTGAAAAGAAAATAGATTTATTTTTAGAGATTTAATTATAAAAAGATTTTTAATTTTTGATATTAAATAATTTCTTACCCATTATATTATAGAATTAAAGCAGAAACAATGAAGAGATTCATATTAAATTGGAACAAAAATAATATATATATAAAAATAAATTTTATTTTCTTATTAAATTTAAATAAATCGAATAAAGAATGTTAAAAGTTTTATCGATTTTATCAAACATGTTAGTTGCTAGGGGTTATGATTTAATATAATCCTAAACTTTGAAAACTATTTTGAAAATTATCTACATTTAATTAATGATGTTAAAATTAAAACTAATTAAAAATCAATTAAATTTAGATTTTACTCTTCATTTGACTCTTAATTATGATAAATGAATAAAAATACTGATTTATAAAGAAATATATAATAAATAAAATATTTGTTGATTTAATTTATATACAAATATTCACAAAACAAGAGTTCTACCCAAAGCAGAAGCAATTAATTCAATTCCTAAAGCAACTGTTTATGTTCCTTAAATTCTACCAATCTAATAATTATTAATAATAAAACTTATTAGAAATCTCCAAAAAACTCTTCTCTAAATTCAGATGACTTCTCCAACTTTGGATTAATATCAACTAAATCCATTCCTACTAATTATTTTGAGGATGCTAATTTTCTAAGTAAATAGTGAGCCTCTCTATATGTTATTCCTCCATCTACTAGTGTTCCAGTTCCATGTGCATATTCAGGATCGATTGAATCAACATCAAAACTGACATGTATTGGTTTTCCTTCAAATTATTTAAGAATTCTATTCATAACTTATCCAATTCCTAATTCTATGATTTCATCCATCCCGTAATACACTATTTTTTAATCTCTAATGAATTCTCTTTCCATAGGATCTATATCTCTAATAGCAATATAAATGATATTTTTTGGGTCCAATCTATGTTTCAACCACTCAAAACCTTTGATTGATTCATTAATTGAACCAAACAAATGAGCTAAAGGCATTCCATGATAATTTCTATTTGGTCCAAGTTCATAATTGCAATCAGCATGAGCATCTACCCAAACAACTCTTAATTCATCTCCATAATGTTATAGTAATCCATGAATAGAACCACTAGCCACACCATGATCTCCACCTATATTAAGCATAAACTTATTTTATTTAGCAATTTCAAATGACCTTTTGTTAATTTCTCCATTTATAATTCCTATCTATTAGCTATTACGAAACTGTTGACTTTTGTAGTTGTGTATTTTGTAATTCTTACCTTAGATATCTCCCATATCATTGATTTCCCAACCCAAATTATAAAGTGCAGAGATAAGACCTCCTTCTCTAAGTGCTCTTGGTGCCAATTCTGTTCCAATTTTTGTTTATCCTTCATGAACTGCAGAACCGAACAATCCAACAGCATTACGAACAAATTTCCACTGATTCATTAAAACCAAAAATATTTTTTATATGTTAACTTATATCATGGCTTATATTTTCACAACAATCCCTACTTTTTTAAATCATAATAAGTTTTTTTATTAAGCAAGTTTCCATCTGTATCTTCATACTCTTCTTCATATTCTGGTCTAAATTTACTCCTTTCTTGATCATGCTATATTTTTTTATATAAATTTATCGCATCTTAAATTTTTGTTATTTCTTTGAAATGTAAAGTATTTGGGATTCTCAAACATCTAAAATATAATTGGATTTATAATTACCTCATTCCATAAGAATGTCTCCATCCTTAAAAGTGATCTTCAAATGCTTTTCTTCCCCAATATGATGTATTACCACATATTTCACATTTATATTCTACTCCTAAACCATGTAATTTATATAACCAATATGGAATAGGTCTTCCATCCCAACCTAATGGTAGATTCTTTGGATTATAAATTGGACTTTCATCTTCACTACTTGCTTCTTCAGGTTAATCTAATTTATATATATGTATATTAATATATAATACCTAATTATTAATCCTATACAGGAATTGCTTCTTCATCTTCATTTTCTTCATATCTTCTACTCTATTTCTTTCTAACTAAATTCATTGTATCATTTAATTATTATTATAAACTCTCTTTGTATTACAATATACCCACTTCTAAATATGCCATCTTCTTTTTTTTTTATCCTTCATTATCTTCTTTCGGTTATTCTTATTAATTGCTAGCTTATATAACTTATTCTATCTATTTTTCTTTTAGTTTTGCCAATGCTTTATGTTTTTTTCCATCAAAATGATTAACAAATGTATTTTCATTTTAGAATTTCTTTTAACAAGCTTCACAATAATGAGGATGTCCTCTTATTTCTTCAGTTTCTTCTTTTCTATGTTCCCAACCTTTAACTTAACCATTTTCCCATTATGTTTAAAAATCAATTTCTATTTTTTATTCAATCTTGCTAACATCTTATAATGGATTTACCTAAAATAAATTAATGATCTACTCTTTAATAAAAACTACGCAAATATTCTAACATATTAATAAGATATCTCTTATATTTGCTTCCTTCTTTTTCTTTAATATAGAGTGGAATATCATGAAAATTTTAAAAATTCTGTAAATACCACAAATAATCTCCAATTTTGATTTTGTTGCTTTCTTTTAACTTCTTAAGATTCAAGAATTCCTTATAGCTAGCATGCATATCAAGAAATCTACCATGATGTTCTTCTCCCGAGAAATATGGTTCTTTAAATGGTGGTGCAAAAGCTTATTCATAGTAAAATTCAACCTGACAAATATTATATATATATATATATACTTTATTCTACATAGTTTATACATTAGTGACTCTTTTATGATAATCTTTAATTTCTTTGAATCTTTCATAAAAGTTCTCCCAAACATCTCCAGAACCTCCAACTCCTTACAAATAATTCATCTCCTCTTTTTTCCATCCATCTGCTCCATCAATTAATATTAAAGCATCAGCTGCAGTCTTTTGCGCCATTTAAATTAAGTTATTAATTCTATGATCTAATAAAACAGACTAATTTGGAATCACTTATTTGCTCTACATACAAAATACGATTGTCTTTTCAATGACTTCGATCTAAGAAAAAGCCGCTCTCACCTATTCTAAATAAGTGCTTGACATAAATTAATATATATTAATTAATTTATACATTCATATATTAAAAAAATTAAATAAAACAATCAAATTCATTAGTTGGAATTAAATATTTTGATTATGTCTCTTTAATTTAATCTATTTAGCATTATTATTAAAGTAGGAAATATAGATCTTCATTAGAAAACTTAAAAAATCTAAAAGATTGTGAAAAAAGTGTGGAAAAGTTAAAATAAATAATTTTAATTTATGAAATACCTCAACTACGACTTTATAGCACCTACACATTTACATTACTTGAAGAGTTATCGTTATAAGGGTACAGATCAGTCGCTGTTATACAATTACATACTTTCACCTTTAGCTGAATTCTGTCTAAGATTTGTACCTATGAATGTTGCGTATTTGAATTTGTTTCAACCTTAATTTTTAGACCTAATGTATTAACGTTGATGGGATTAGCATGCATAATCTTGCCTCATATACTTTTCTTTTTTGTCATGGGTGATAACTTTGCAGGATTCATACCAAATTGGTTGCTCTGGTTCACAGCTTTCTTGCATATGCTTTATATGGTATATATGTATATTAAGCAAGAATTTCGACAATCTGGATGGAAAGCAAGCAAGGAGAACAAGTATAAATACAATAATTGTTTATAAGAAAATTCCTCACCTCTTGGAATGATTTTGGATCACAACTTTGATTCTATGATAATATTGCTCCAGGGTATTGATCTACTATTTATGTTCTTCAAATAGGCACAAGTATGACTACTGCAATGTAATTTGGCAATACAATTTTCTCTGTCATCCTATACATAATTCCCTCTGTACCATTCTATGTAATTGCTCATGAAGAATATTATACTCATGAAATGAATTTACCAATAATAAATGCAGCTGCAGAAGGTACTGTAAGTGTGGCTGTAGTCTTTGCAGCAACTGCATACTATGGTATTATTCAACACTTATTTAGGATGTGACATGTGGGTCTAAAAATTACCTTGGTTCTTCGATTTTCAAATCAACCAATTTGTTATGCTTATGTTTATATTTTCTCTTATTATTACTATGCCTGCAGTGTATTATTTTTTATTTATTTTTAGTTTCCTTAAAATTAAAAAATTTACATCCATTGCTTCCTTATTTAAGCAACTTAGATATTTTATCTTTTTTAATGTTGTTATTCTTTACAGCATTTTATTTTCTCAAAATAATGTAATATAGAATCATGTGAGGGCTTATATGTACACAGTTGGATTTACTATGTCTAAAGCAGTTGGGGTTGTAGCACTTAATCATGTCAGCAATTAATAATTACCAGAATATTTAAATTCAATTTATATCTATGTTGTCATTCTACTTAATACTATTTCAGGTTAAATACTTGGATAAAATATTATTAATGAAGCATGCTTAATTTAATTTGCTGCCACTGTTGCTTTTTTAATCCATTTACATTTCCTCTACAACATAGCAAGATAGATATCAGAGACACTCAACATTAAAATTTTTTAAATCAATTCAATAAACAAATGACATTTTATTATAATAAATTATTTTATGGAAATCATTTTTTTTTCGATATATTTTACTATCATAACTATCTTCATTATTTGGAAATTATTTGAAGAAGTTCAATCACAATAACTGTAGACACAAACTCTCAAAAAAGTTCATCAATCTTTGCAAGAATTAGCTTAAACTTATTAAAATAAATAAAAATATCAAATTTTAGATCATATCAAACAAAATATGAAAATTTTGTCCTAGATACAAGAACAATTTTTAAATAGTAACTTTCTATGTAATCGTAACCTCTACTATAAACCCAAAATTCAATGATCAAAAAACTTAATACTAATCATCTTCGTAATCAATCTTTGAATTATAGTTATAGAGAATTATCATTTAGTAATGAATTAAAGTTTTAATGATCACTAATCAGTCTATTTATTAAATTCATTAACAATAACTATCAAGCTAGCCCTCCTAGCTCAGTTGGTCAGAGCGTTGGCCTTTTAAGCCAAATGTCAAGGGTTCGACCCCCTTGGAGGGCGGTTCTTTTTTTTTTAATAAATATTAATTAAGTTTTTTAATATATGGGAATATTTATTAGATTTCTTAATAAATTCAAAAAACTCAAGGAATCAGATTGTTGGATATAAGATATTGGTTCATTTAAAATAGATTAATCAAATTTATTAAAGCGTAATAAATCCATGTCAATTTAAATGTATTCTGATAATTTTATATACAAAACATAATTGTGATTTTAAATTCGAAAATGCATTAAATACACTATTTCTATTTTAAGTGATTTAATTATTCATTTAAAATAAATTATAAAGATGAACTATTAGAAATCATAGTTCTAGTTGCTTTTATTATTTTTTAAATAATGATTGAAAATATATAATATGATGTAAAGTGTTGAATGTATATTTAAAAATCTATTTGTTTAAATAAAACATAGAATTGTCAATTTATTCAAAAATGAAATTTCAAACTTAAAAGAAATCATTTTCCTCTAAAGATTGCTATATATCTTAGATAGATTTAAGAGTCAACTATTCAGTAGATTACTGATTCAAATTGAGTTTTAAAATTTCTAAGAATTCTTGTTTAGTACGTAAATCTATTAGTGTATTTTAATTTTACTTTATTCGATTTATTATTCATCTCCTTCAGTTTCAATCTCTTCCTCAACATCAACATCTGCCATAGTCATATTTATGCACGATAGGATTATCTACATATCTTTAGTAATTCCCATATCCTTTAAAGTTTTATTTCCTTTAAATGGAACTTTCTTACCATCATAATAAAGATGACCTTAATTTATAAATTTTATAGATTCAAGTTTATGAGCTGTCATTGCAAATAAGTAAGTTCTAAATTTAACCAATTCTAAAGAGGGACAAGCTGGTAATTTTAATGCATTCATTAGACTCTTATCATCTTTTTGAATAATGACCATTATCAAGTTTATCACATCCAAACAAATGCAAAGTCCAGCATCTAAATTTTCACAAGTAAAGTATTTTGTTAAATTTGGGAGAAGTTTTGTAACAAACACTACAATATCATAATCTATATTCATTTTTCTTCAAATTCTTTACCTGCATTGTAATACATTTTAAGAAATTTCCATACATCGATTGAAACAATGTCGTAATCTTAACCATAAATAGCATCCGATCTCAATGAATAAACTCGTTAAAATGTCGTACTGTGTTATTGAGGTACTAAATAGCCATCAAAATTTGTATTAATTTCATGAAGATTATCACTTATATTTTTATTTTTTATCTCACCAATTTTAGAGATATCAACACCATTTATATTTTTCATCGCATTTTAAAATTATCTAAACCTGCAAATTGAAAATTAATCAATACCATATTGTTGAGATTGCATAAGCATATCCTTCCTTTATTATTTGATTCTAGGATTAGTAACCATGATAAAAATGCTAATCATTCATCTCTTTAATATATAAATTATTTAGATTATTATTAATATATAAATAATGTATATTTAAAAATTAACTAAAAATTGATAGAATACTTATTGTATTGTAAAATCTCAAAATTAATTTAAAGATGATCTCCTAAAGATTATAATTCATTAATCAATAAATTATTATGAGTTAGAAGTAAAATTAATTTTATGAATTTTTGAATTCTGATTAATTTATTTAACTGAATTATAATTTAAAATGGAAGATCTCATTGACATAAATGTGGAAAGAAATTTTCATGACATTACCTACATCTTAAATATAAATGCAAATAGCGAAGTTTTGACAATAGATATAGAATCTAAATAATCAGGAGATTCTTGGATTGCAAATTTTTAAGCATCTTATATTGAGGAAATAACATCCAAAACAGGAAATTATAAAAAATACTCAACTTTTATTAAGATGTTATAATCTGCAATTAAAAATTAAACTGAGACGGTCTACATTGATATTCTTACTTTTTAAGATTTAGAATAAATCAAAAATAAAAGGCCTAAATAAAATTAATAGTAAAATTTGACTCCAAACAATAAGCGTTACTTGATTCTCAGTTATATTGTTGAATTCGATAAAGTTCATTATCCCCTACCTCTTAATTTTAATGAGTAACCTAATATTTAACAAATGAAACAAACAATAATAAGGTTAAGAAAGGAGAATGAATAATAAGCAAAGCAATTGTCAACTATCTTAGAATCTAAAAAAAATGAGACTAATCCTTTAGAATTAATTAATGAATAAAATAAAGAAATTGAGTTTTTGAAAAATCTATTAGAATAAAAGGATAGAGATATTTTAGAGTTTAAAAATTTAGCTCACTAATAATCTACAACTACTGTAAACAAACAAGAATATATGGAATTGAGATCCAAATATTTATAAAGTGAAAATACAAATGCAGAAATGACTAAAAAAATGATAGAGTTAGAAGATTGTCTTTAGTAAATTATAGATGAAAATCATCTATTAAAAAATTAAGATAAAAAAAATAAATAAAGGATTACATCTTTAGAATAAGAACTTTAATAAACTTTAACAAAATCTAAAACAAAATTCTAGTCAAATATTTCAAGATCTCCTTCAACTTCCAAATCTTCTAATTAATTAAAGGCTTCAAGTAGTATCAATAAAGTATTATCTAAAAAAAAAAGTGCAGAAAAAACAACTCCTATCAGAGTATAAATTATATTTGATATATTTAGCTTAGGAAGGATAGTTTTGATAGTGACACTGAATCATCTTTTAGACGCAAATCAAATTCAAAAAAAACTGAGCAAAGTCCTTCAGCTAGATCAAACTCTTCTCGCAAAACATCTTAAAAATTAAAATAATCAAATTCAAATTTATTTAAAAAATAAAAAGTTTCATAAACAAATGAATCCAAAAAGTTTGAAGATCCAGAAGAACAGAGACTATTAAAAAGATTGAGAGATCTAAGAGAAAAAAATAAGGAAAATACAATTATAACTACTCCTTCAAGTAAAATGGAGGCAAGTTGTGAAGATTTACATAGTATAGATGAAAGACTAAACAAATTAAATAATCTATTACAAAGAGCAAAACATTAATGATAAAAATTTATATTATATATTTTTCAAATTGATAATATTATTCTATAATTCAAATATTTTAATCAATTGTGCTATGATGGATATTGTGAGAATATAATCAAACATGAAAAGAGATATATTTATATCATAAGGATTTTAAAATATGTATAAAATACTTTCACTCTGATTTGACTTTGTTTTTTTAATCCCAAAATCTTTTTTTTAGATCGAAAAATGCCATAATGTAAAAAATGACTAAAATGACACAACCTATTTGAACGACTATCTAAAAGATAATCAAAATAGAGTTACCATTCTTGACTCAAAGAAGTTAACTTTAGGTATGTTATATTTTTGCGGGACAGGAAGATGTAAATCGCAATGTCCATTTTAGAACTCACACATTGTGTTATTCAAATAATAAATCCAAATTCCGTTCTAAGCTATGTTATTTTTAATCCATGGACTGTTTGAGAGATTAACAAAACCTTTTTAGTAAGAATCTGGAAATGAATTAACTGTAGCAATAGTTTCATTTGGACATTCTTGATCACAGAATGCTATGACCCAATCATATTGCACATAGTGTTTAGATATGAGTGTTCGTTTTTAAAAGTTGGCATCTGTGAAGTACTCAAGTTATTAAGCTAAAGCAATTGATATTAAAAGAAATAGCATAAAATAATCAAAAACCTAATTCTTTTTTGAGTTTATCCAATCTCTCTTTGCACCCCTTTAAATTTTCTGTTTTTGATCTTTCAACTTTAAAAATCTTCTTCATTCTTTCTTTTTCTTATCTCACCTCATAAAGTCTTTGTAGTGTCTTTTGACGAGCCAACTCAAGATCATGAAGTTCTTTATTTAAGCCTTCTATTGTTGATTTATTATGCTCATAAAGTTTCTTTAGATCCATAAATTTATGTGATTTCTTCTTGATTTATTAGTTTTCTTATTAGTAATTATAAGCGTTAGGATCTTGAGGTTTATCTTATTTTAAAAGTTCAGTAGACCATAACATATACCTTGGATCTAGTTGATATTTAATATTGTCAGCAATAAATTCTATTGGTTAGAGTTCACTATCTTTAAATTAGCCAATATCGTTTTTTTCTTATCCATTTCTAATATTGGTTTAAGATTTAACTTGAGTTTGAGAGCCATCTTTATTTTCATTAGATTTAGAATTATCTATCGCATTATTCTTTAAATAAGTTTATGATGAAGAGGGGTCCATAAAAATGTTATTATAATAAATAGATTATTAACGAATGCTTGGCAGCAGAAAAGTTCGTTCTCATGAATCGTCACTAACAAATTTAGATGCATACAATCCAAATTGTCAAGTTAGGGTAGACATCATAAACCATCACTAATTTAAAACTCTTAAGTGTGAGAATTAACATCAAATCGATTAAAAAAAGTTTTGTCCTTTTTTTCATGATGAATCTGACCGAAGACGTGATGTTAAATAGCATTCATACTAGTAAAAAGCAATAACAATAATTTTTTTAATTTGTAGATGCTAATTGTGTCCATAAGCAAATAAATGCCCAAGAGGAGATTAGTGCTAATGGTCTCATAATAAAGTTGAGCAAGTCTATCATCCAAATAGATATAAAACTAAATATTGTACCCATTTAAAGGATTGTGAATATGGAGTATATTGTTCATTTGCTCATTCTGAATAAGAATTAATCATTCCAGTTAAATTAGATGGAATGGTTTAAGATAAAAACTTTTGGATGTATTAATATAAAACTGTATGGTGTCCTCATACAGTCAAGTAAACTTATTATATTAAATTAATATCATAGTCATGACAGAGCATCTTGTGTTTATGCTCATAATGCTTAAGATTTTAGAAGAGATCCTAAAACTATATAGCCAAAAGAGTGTCCTCATTGGAATAAAAATAATCAAATTTTAAATTATGATAAAGGTGGTTGTCCTGATTAAGAAAACTGTAAATATTGTCATGGATGGAAAGAATATGAATATCATCCTTTGATTTATAAGACTAAACCTTGTACATTATAGAATTGCTCCAAAAAATAAGGAGAATGTGCTTTCTTTCATTTTGAATAAGAGAAAAGGTAATCATTATTATTATTTAGAATTCGTAAGTAAGTTACAGAAAACTCCTGGGTTATAGAAGAACCTAATACTCATGTTGAAGTAAAGAGATAACCATATAAAACAACATCAAATTATTTGGGACCGATAATTCCTAATTATATTCCTCAAGATTACTAAAGCAGAGAGAAGATGGAGATTGGGTAACCTTTTTGTTAATAATCAATCACCAATACCAAAACTTCTGATTCTTAATCAAGAAGAGGATCTGATTTTTCAGATGGCTCCAAGATTTAAAAGAAAAAACATAATATTTAGCAATAACAATTCTAATCTCAAAAAAAGCCTCGTACTGCTCCTGTTACTCCAGATTAAAAATAATTCATGGGAAGTAACTAAACGATGAAAGTATAAAATAACGTTCAAAATAATTCTTATCTTACTTATTCTAAAAAACTCTATGAAGAAATTTTGAAATTAGAAGAAGTATTTAATTTTGTATAAATTTTTAGGGAGAGTACATTTATAAGATTCTCTAAGGATTCAAAATATCAGAGAAAGTGCTCATGTAGATGAGAGATGAACAAATTCAATAACTCAATCTTAGTGAGCTTCAAATTACTCAACTTATTTAAGCATTAAGTGCTATTAAATAAGAATAAAGATATGATGAAACTTGTGGAGATGAGATTCTTAGTTTGATTTCAAACTAAGGCCAATTTTGAAATTTTCAATATACATAAATATGAAAAAAAATAAATTTTCCTTTAATTATTAACTAAATGAGCTGGTTGTAAAAATTGAAAAAATAAATTGGATCATAAGCATACTCAGAAATAAAGCAACTTAGATTTAATAATTTGTAATTGAACAAACTACCAGATGATTTAGTTTCTGAACTTAAGAAATGCATAAATCTTGAGATCCTTAGTTTAAATCAATGTGGAATAAGATCTCTTGAAAATTTATAGTAAATGAATTCAGTCACTCAACTTGAGTATTTAGACAACTTTACAACTCAGAAAACCTTCTAATAAATTGCTAAAGCATTTCCAAATCTTGAGGTATTAATTGCAGGGGGAAATTTTTTAAGAGAACTTTCAGATTTAGATGGTCTTAAATCTTTAACGAAACTTGAAGTTCTTAACATTATGAATGGCATAAATAAACCAGTATTCATTTATTAATGATTTTCAGGATTCTGATATTCGAAAATATGCTTTTGAAATTTTGCCAAATTTGAAAATATTAGATGAGAAGGATAAAAATGGGCAAATTTATGTTAAACCTAAACAAGAGAAAAAACAATTAGAAATTGAAACTCAAACTAATATGGAATAAGAAGAAGTGAGTTAAGAAGATGAAGAATCCGCACTTTGTTCTGATGACAGTAACGAGGAAGAAGAATCAAATAGTGAAGATGAAGATGATAGTGATTTAAGCGATTTCATAGAAAAAAAAGTAAAAAACGAATGAATATATTGCATACTTCATAAATGGTTTACTTCTTCTTCATCTATTTCTGAATAATCTTATTTTTTCATATGGCAAGCAATCACGTTATAAATGAAATAGCCGAATCCCAACATCAAAGCTATTATTATTATTGTATATGTATCCATTTCCAAAATAAATATTATTATAATTATACAATATAATTATTTTCATTTAGACATCATTTATCCAACAAATTAAGTAACTACTTTATTTGTAATGTCCCCTTATAAATCTTTCATTTTCTTTTTATGATCTCCATTACATTTGTAATATCCAAACAGATTTGTCCAGCATAATGAAAGTCCTATTATATCTATGACAAACTAATTTTATCATCATATTTATACATTCATTAATGTAAATGAGAGCAAATTTATAAAAGTAAAAAAGGCCCAAGCTAATGTAAATCCTAATTAAGCAGTCCAAAAGAATGTTTTATCAACAGCATTTACTTATTTATTTTACAGAGAATAAAATTCCCATTTCGAAGTTCCATCATCTAAAATTACATTCTCCCATTTCAAACCAACTAGCAATCTATCAATAAAATTAAATCATATACCTTCCTGTTATATTCTTAACAGTCCAAAAATCGAAAGCCGAAAAAATTATCACCAAAATGAATGACCAAATACTATCCTTGCAAATGAAATAAAATAATAAAGCGAGTCCTTTAAACAAAAATGTAAAAATGCAGGCTTTTGGATGTGCTGCACGATTTAAATCATAGTTTGATGTTTAAAGAGGAATCGATTCAGAAGTTGAAGTGACAGAAAGTTTTGTTGGTTCATCATTTGATGTTTATATCAAAGGGTTAGGAGGTGATGTTGGCATTTCCTACATTTATATTTTAAAATGCAAATCCTAAGCTTTAATAATTTTATACTTCTTCCATTAGTATTAATCCGAAATTTTTTAATATAAATTAAATTAATGTTTTTGCAATTAAATAAATCTAAACAATAATATATTCTTAATCATAACAAAAAAACTCTGTAGTGTTTTAATTCTGAAAATTAAGTATTTCTATTTATAACTGATTTTACTATCTACTTCTTCCTAAAAAAAGAACTTTAATATACATTCTAAAATAATTAAAGAGATTATTATAATAATTCATCATCTAAATTCTAATTCATTTCGACTAAACCTTGAAAGAGTAGCTCCTTAAAAAAACTATATTTGAGTTCCAAATTAAGGCTTTTTCTGAAACAACCCACTTATATCATCAGCTTAAGTACTTCTCTTACTACCTCTTCTGCCTTTCATTGTTTTATTAGGGGGATGAACAGACTTTTTTTCTTTTTTCTCTTCTAAAGGTGGATCTTCACTAAAAATATTATAATCATAAAAATGAATTACATCAATTTAAGTTTTCTTTTTATTCTTGAAATTTTAGCAATTGCTAATGAATTGAACGTATAAAATGAAAACTAATTCAAAATATTTCTTCTTTTTTCAAGATTTCTTAATAAAATTTTCATAGTTCTTACAACAACAACCTTGGCATTATTCCAACTGAAATAATTGGTAAAGTTTTTTAAAACTTCGAAATCTTCCAATTCCATAGATACAGACTATCTCTCAAAAACAGGAATTGAAATCTCTTATGTTGGATTATCTTAAACTAATTTGGTTGTTCGATGAGTTTTTGCAGTTCTACTTCGATTTGTTTTAGTTTTGGTAGTTTTTCTCTTTTGATCTCTTCTATCATCTTTTTTATCAATTGAATCTCTTTTATAATCAACAGATTAAATAGATGGAGTTACAGGAATATCATTTAAAGGGTCTTTATTTTTTATTTTTTTTTATTAAGATTTTTCTCTATCCTAATTAACTTCTAATTTTGTTTAGGAAGAAAATGGTTAATAAGATTCTTCTCTTTTTTATTTTCTAAGAACAGTTATTTTTTTTTTTGTAACCCTTCCAGGAATGTCAATAGGACTTGGTAATCCTAGTGAATCATTTTTTAATGAATATTTATTTTCATCATGAATTGATGGAGTAGCATTTCCAAAACTAGAGAGATTTTAATCAAAATCATCATTTCTTATTTTATTTTACAAGGAATCTTAAACTCCAAAACCAGCAGTTTAAAGTGTTTATTTAACCTACATATTTCTTCTTTTATTGGGACTTGGACTGTCAACTGAATCTTCACTTTCTTATATAGGTTATAGATTTTTAGTATTATTATTATTGTTATTTTCATATTAAGAATATGATCTATTTTAAGATTGTTACCTTGAAAGTTTGGAATAACTTTTAGATAAAGATGCTAATATTAAATAAAAATATTTTACAATAATCTTATTCATTAGGAGATCCATCATTATCTTCATATGAGACATCTAATTCCTCATCAACAACAGTAATATTATCAGCTTAATTTTCTTTAGTTTGAAAGTATCCAATATATGCAATCATCTTTTTCATTTCCAATAAAGTCGGATAATAGTTACGATCTGATCTTTTCCTCTTAAATGTAATACATCTATCTTATAAAAGAGGATAATTCTCCTTTTTAATCACTTTCTCCTTGTCAGCCACATAATGCAATACTGGACAATCTTTAACTAAATGGTTAAATTTTTTGCAAGAATAACAACTCAATTTGGCAGGTTAAAAATTTTCACATAAAAGTATAGAATCTCGAACCTCACAAAATCGTTCCTAAAATATAATATAAATATATTACTAGATCAATTTGATTAGTTTACAAAACATTTAATAATTATTGTCTTGGAATTTTGTAAGCTCTTGAAAAACCTATACTTTTAGCTGAAGCACATCTGTTTAGACCAGTGAAAAATGAATATTCCCCAAAAGATTCCCCTTTTTCTAAATAAGAAAGGACTCTTGTGTTTCGACCTTGAGGTTCATCTTAAAATAATACAGAAACTGTTCCTTTTGTGATAATATACAGAGAACAATCATCTTAAGTGCCTTAAAGCAGAATTTAATCCTCTGGAGAATACCTAACTTCCTCAACAATTAATGAAAGTTATTTTAGTGTTTTTTAAGAGAATTTGGTTAAGACTTTGTTTGTCTTCATGACATTTAATCTAATTTCAAAATTTAATTCTTCTTAAAGAGAACTTGATAACTTTGTTGTAATTTATGAGACTTCCTCATCATTAATTTCTTGCTCTTCTTGAAATATATAATCATAATAATTCCTAATTCTGGATTGCAACTCAACTTTAATTTAATTCTTAGTCAAATATGAATTCAACAGATTGGTACTACGTTTATACAGTACTTATCTAGAATTTAAATTACTCAACATAAGTCCAATACTATTAAATGAAAAGGCAAAAACTCCACAAGCCAAAAACATGCTCATGTTTGCACATAATCTCTCGTAATTATTCTAAGGTGTTAGATCTCCATATCCAACAGTAATCATTGTTTGTACAGCCCAATAGAAAGCATAATTGTATTTTGAAAAAATATCTTAGCCTGAAACATCATAAACTTCGAGCCAAGTTTTTCTAAATCCTAATTAATAAAATGCAACTCCATGCCATAGACAAGCAAATAAATGACCTACATATATCACCATAAATAAGAGTTTAATTAATTCAATTAGGTCTTACACCCAACCTGAAAAGTTGAAAAATCTAAAAAATTTTTATAATGATTACTCTTCTAATTTGTGCACTCTTGCTTATAATTTAAACTATCTACTACAATAATAAATTGTGTAAGGAATCAATTGCCATCCTATTTTTTCATTAGAACTGTCTACATCAAATTGCTGAGCAATTAACATTGATGCGAATGAACACTTGATTATAAGATATCATTTACTAAATCGTAAATTCCTTATGTATTGACATAATTTATAAATATTTTGCCTCTCTATTTGATGATTATTCCTTTTTCAATATAAGAAGTATTTATCACAATGAATCCATCTACTACAATCGAAAATAAGAAATAGAATTCTACATCTCTAACTGTTAAGGTTTCAAAGACGACTTAATCTAGAGTGATTCCAAATGATATATTGAATGGAGTCCAAAAAAATACAATGATTATAGTTAAAATATGAAGCAATTGCCAACCTATTACTAAATAGCTGCTTTAGTCAAAGATTGGCAAAAATCTCAACTTCTTGCAAATTTTACCTATAAAATTCTTGCGAACCTTATGTTTAGAATCAATATATCTGAGATCATCTAACATTGTATTTTGATAAAGATTGAAATGTGATAATTTCTTAACATAAGATTTTTAAAGCATGTTCTCAACAAATCGGTTGAAGTAGCTCTTTGCTAATACCAGTTTTATGAAATTATTAATGCCTTCTTTATGTGGGTTTACTATATTTGTTTAACCTATTTCTTTCATCAATTCCTTATTATTGGGATTCATGAGATTATTCTCTTCTAGAAACTAAGTTCTTGGAGAAAACTGAATCACTCCTGAATTTGGTGAATGTGATGGATTAATGTGATCTGTTACTTTATGAAAACTCGTCATTGATGGTGGTTTTATTGTATAATCACCTTCTTAAAGTGGATCAATTTTAGTAGCAAATTTAGCTGGACCTGTGAATTACTTTTTTGTATGTTCTTCTATGATATTATTCATTTAATTACCAAATTAAGAATGACCACTCTCACCATAATCTACTAATAGATCAGATAAACTCATTATTTAATTTATGTCATATACACTTTATGGATTTGCAATGTCCTCTTGTACTTAGCGTATAAGAAGCATTCTCAATTATAAGAAAATTCCATACACTTAAGTTTCTGTCAATTTCCTCAAAAAAGAATAAATGACAGAAGAATATAAAAAAATACACCCTCGTCAAATTATTCCTGCCTTAGTTACTCCAGAAGGACATTCATTAATTGAAAGTTTAGCTATAGCAGAATATTTGGAAGAAGTTCATCCTGAAAAACCAATCTTACCATAAAATAGGATTCAAAGAGCTTAAGTCAGGTATTTATTTTTAATAGGCTGTTTACAGGGCTATTGCTGAATATATCAATTCATCTATCCAAACATTTCAGCATTTAGGAATACAATAATATATTAATACTCACTCTGAAAAGAAATTGGAATGGAAGGATTAATGGACTCACTGGAATATGTTAGGAATTTCCAATCTAGAAAAAAGCATTTCAAGAACAAGAGGCAGATTTAGTGTCGGAGATTAATTAACATTAGCAGATATTATGATCTATTGTCAAGTTGATTCTGCTATGACTAGATTCAATTTAGATTTTGGATAATATCATAACATAATGAATATTTACTATAATGTTAATAATATCAAAGAAATCGAATAATCAAGAGCAATCTATTAAAAAGATTACCCTAAATGATTATAATTGAATTGTCAAAAAATAATTATGATCACATATCTAATCCATATTATTTCTTATCATTCATAATCAAATCTAAACTTACACAATTAGTTAGTTCAGAATTATTTATTACTCATAACTTATATTATCATCTCATAATCTAATAAATATTTAAGATATAAATTATACACAAATCATAAAACACTTACCATCAAAATTTTATACTTAATCCTATTATTTTAATAATTCAACACTTAGATGTATAATATAAGTAATCAATATCGTATTCTCTTTCTCAAATTAATTTCTATTTATTTGATAAAATTACAATAATATATATATTTTGATAAAATTTATCTATACATATTTTAATATTATCTAGAAATTAATCTGTGAAATATTATGTTCTTTTATTAAATTTAAGAGAAATCAAAGATTTGAAATCTACTGTAATTGTATTTTGAGAGATAAATTAAGTTTGATAAATTTCTTTGATTATATTATAATATAACCAACGCATATTAGTTTAATATTTAATTAAAAACTTTTAAGAAATGAATTGAGCAATAGACAGAAAAGAGAAAGGACTATTAAAGAATTAGAAGGATTGAGATAATTATTGTAAAGGAGAGATAATCCTTTAAGAGCTTTATTTAAAATAATAGAACATCATTTAAAAGTAATATATCTAGTTTGATGATTCTTAAAAATAAAACAGATAATAAAAAGAATCGAATAATACTCAATGAAATTTGAAGAGAGATAATTTGAAAGAAGTATATATGGGGGAGATTGCTGAATGAATGATTATGAGAATTATAAAAATTTTAATTATATTAAATGATGATTACAGAGTAATAATGTTCTTATGAGGAACAAAGAATGCTTAGTTAATATTAATAACATGTTAACACTAATCGATATGGATCGATTGAGGGCTTAAAGGAACATTATACAAAATTGATAAAAGCAGCTTAATTAAAAATTAAATATTTACTTATAGCCACATCAATATTATTGGTTGTGACAACTATAACTAGTTTGAGTTGTATAATTGATCCAGAAATGGTAGGAATAGAATTAAGTAAATGGTTTTCACATTTGTTCACTATGATATTGTATACGGCAATTTATTTGGATTTAAAAAATGCGAACTAAGAAATTCTGAATGTCCCAAAAGAAAACTTGAAGCTTTTATGTCTCACATATGAAAAGAGTGTATATGAATTCTTGGAAGAGTTTAAATTTTAGGAGAAATTTGATTTGATTAATGTTTTGATGTACAGTTCCTTCATTTGGAGTTTTTGGTTCAGCTAATTCTTATTTATTTTGAAAAGTAATAGCCGAATCTATCCAATTTTAATAACATCATATGTTTTGCATATGGTTCTATATTTGATTGCTTGTATTTACTCATGCTTTCGACAAAGTCCAGATAATTGTGAATGTTCAATTTTAAAGACAAAAGTAGGTTATCAATACATAAATTTGCCAAGTAATACCCATAAATAGACTTAGGATTGATTGAAACGAAAAGGAATACTGTAAAAATAACCTTTATGTTATTGATGTATTATAAAATAAAATTAGCAGTGATTGCCAGTTTTATAGATTCAGCAGAGAAAGAGACAATAATATTAATCTACCTATATGTAATATATTGTGTAACTATGATAATCAAACAATTCTATCATTTGATTCTACTCAAAATGATAAGAAAGGTAAATTAACGACATTTAAGTTGCTTTTAAAATGCCTATATGTTATATTATAAACTCTTCTTCTATGAATCATGTTTAAATAGGACTTTAAAAGTTATCATTTATTTATCAGCATTTGCTTGTGTGGTAGTTTGTTTGATCTTCAATTTTAAAAGTTACTTCAACTATATAGAAGACTCAATATACAAAATTGAAGTGTACTTTATTAATGATACTATTTGCTTTCTTATTTCTCTACTCATTTATATATACTATGCAATCAAGAAGTATTCAAATAGAGTACAATTGGATCATTTGGAATCTTACGAATCAAGATTTGATATGAGATTCTACGACTTAAATGATATTGTTCCAAATCCATATTATAATGTTTTAAGTAGATACTTGTAAATGGAACAATAATAATTAGAAGAAAGAAATCATAGAGAAATAGTTAGAAAATTATAATTATCCCCTGATAAATCAATTAATTTAGATGAGAATGGTGATTGCATTATTTGTAGAGAAAAGCTTCTTCCAGATCAACGATTAGTTGGTTTGGAATGTCATCCTTCTCACATTTTCCATAAGGAATGTCTCATAAAATGGGTTTTGTTACATACTACTTGCCCAACATGTAGAACTTCAATTTAATGAAAAAATAAAATTTAGTATTTTAACATAAATTCAATACTTAGTGAATAGAAACTAGGAAATTAATTACTATATCTCAAAAATAAACACTGAAAATGGTCTCTCACTCTTCACTGATTTAGGAACTTATCTTTCTATGTTATCAAATCCTCCTTAAGAGAATTTTACTGGATGAACCATATTTTTAAAATTAATTTCTCCTTCTTTCTCCAATTAATCAATCATATCTGAGAATGACTCCTTAATCTATTGAATAAATGGATGTTCATACTTGTTTTTTATAGCGAAATAGCATCCGATCCTTTAACCATTCAGCATTAGAAATATTAGTATCCTCTTTAAGAGTGTATTTATTATTAGGAGGACAAAATACCTTCCTGTAATATTAATTATATTACATGAGCTTTCATGTCAAAATATCTCGATATTAATACAATTTCTATATCACATAGTGTTTGAGTTCCTTCAATTATTCTATTTCTTGTTGGCTGATTCTGTGTCTTCAATTACTCATTCAAAATAAAAGAAGCAAAGTGATTTTGAGTTGGTTAAACATTTCTCATAACCTCATCTGGAGATACAAAAGGTGCTGAAGCTCCAAATTAAAAACTTGGGATTGATACTCCAGGAGCTAAATGGGACATTTACATACTATCATTATTTTTTATTAATTGAGGAAAAGACTCGCCTTTAATATTAAGCATATTTTTTACTTGAGTTTCTAACCTATAAAGGAGGAGGTTAATTCATATAATCTTACACAACTGGTATGTAACAATTGTAAACGAAATATGTGCTACTTGGAGTTTAGTTTAATTATGGGACAACATTTTACTCCTTTTATATTTCCTTATTTGATTCTGATAGCATATAAAAATAAAAAAATAATTTAATTAGATTAATTATATTATATAAGGAATAAGATGATTTCATTTATGGCGTCAGAGCTACAATTTCGAAATAATACTAGAACTACTTAATTTTTTAAGGTATTTCTATTTTAGAGAATAATAAAAATATCAATCATCTTTACTTATATATAATTAATATAATTTTTCAATAATTAATATTAGTTATTATCTGATATCTTCTTCTTTATCTATACTTAACTGTCCTAATAATTTTCCTTTAGATTTATTGTTTTTTGCCCTTTTCTTCTTAGCCTTTTCCATGAGATATTTGATCAATTTTTCTAAATACTAATCATTCTGAAAAACACAAAGAATATTTGATATTGATACAGCAATTTGCTTTCTAAATGTAGACTATAATTTTAAAAAGATAAAATTTTCTACACTTTAGAATCTTGATCCGAATTTCTCAGCTTCATCAATTGTGAGATTATTCCTTTTAATTGCAAATTTTCCAAATAATTTAAATAATTCTATAAAAATTCCATGAAGCTACTTTCTCTTTTTTTCAAAGATTTTGTACTCACTTTCTTATTTATTTTTTTTTGGTTTCAGTTTCTTATCAGTATTTAATTGTATATTGTTTTGAAATATAGGTTAAGTTGGTAGCATAATGAATAAAAATAAAAAAAATAATAAAAAATTTCATTTATTTTTCTTTTTATTCATTTTGCGATTTTTTTTATTTTTTATTCTGGTAAAAACTATTTCTGAATTTTCTACTGAGCCAAAATGAGATGTTCCTAAAAAGGTATCTTCATCTAATGCAGATATAAGTTTGTTATGCAACATTATTAAGCGATGATGAATATGCAATAAATCCATTTGTTCTTTTTTAACAGCTAAATTATTAAAAAATTGATATATTTATTTATGTTTTTGGATTTTATAAAAGTTATCCAAGTTTGCAAACTCTAATATATATTTTAAGATTACTTCGTTTATTAAAATGTACAAAAATAATATGTTTGTTATGGAGATAATGAAAGTCAAGTACAAACTTGAATAAATATGGTAATGGATCTTGGGTATTAATAACAGGAGCATCAGATTGAATAGTAAAATGGTTAGCCTTAAAATTTTCATAGAAGGGATTCAAGATAATCTTAGTAGCAAGAACATGTTCTAAATTAGAAAGTTTAGCATAATAATTATAAACAGAATCACAGATAATAAATTATTTGATAGGTTAATGTAGGAAGTAGGAGATAGAGATGTAAGTATATTAATAAATAATGTTGGTGTTGATGCTTTTAATCGATTTCATTTAATATCAGATGAAGAAATATATAAGACAATAATAGTGAATTGTTTACCTGTAACAATTATTTGTAAAAGAGTTATTCCATAATTCTTAAGAAGGAAGGGAAAAAAAATCTGCGATAGTAAATTTATTAGATTCCTACTCCTTTTTAATGTTTATAGGGCAAGTAAATCATATGGTGAATTTTTGACATAAACTTTGAGTGTTGAATATCCTGAATTGGAAATTTTTGCTTTAAGATGACCATCTGAGGTTACTACAAATATGACATTTAATCGTAAACCTGATTTAATGACAATTACTTCCTCGGATTGTGCTGATGGACTATTAAAAAGAATGGGTTAAAATACTAATTTAATTCATTTATATTGATCAAAGTATAAAATATGGATAATACATATAATTTATTGCTCCATAATGGTTAAAAGAGAGATAATCAATATCAACATAAATAAACACATAAAAAAATACTATTGATTATTTTGAATTATAAAAGATATCCTCTTTAAAATTAATTATCAATATAATATTTTTAGATTTAAATATATATTATTCTATTTCATAGAATTATTATTAAATATAAAATGCCTTTAATTTAAATCACATATTCACCAAGTAATAGATCATGTTGTAGGAATTGTTATGAGAAGATTGCTGAAAATACTTTAAGGATTGGATATTATGTAAAGAAAGGAGGTATTATAATTAGTATAATTTTAGGAGGATATACAAACATTTAATGGTATCATGAAAAATGCTTTACTAAAGCTAATTTATGGGGAGTCACTGATATAGAATTGACAGGACTTGAAGAATTAAGTGGATAAGATAGACTCAGAATTAAAGAGAAATTCGAAGCTATTCAAAGCAAAAAAAATCCTGTAAAATTTTGAATTATTATAATACAATTAATTATGAATTAAGAAATTGATTTGTACATGATTATAATATTTCATATTGACAATAAACTTAAGACTCTAGCTCCAATATTCTACTCTATAATATTTGTGATATATTTGGGTAACAATATTATTTTTGGAGAATTGTTATTAGGGTACAATTTATATTTCAATAAAGAAAGGCAGAACCATTTCAATATGTCACTATCACATTATGTTTTAGTATTGTGATTAATTATTGCTTAATAAAATTATGTTCTTAATAGTAAGTATATGTAAGTCAAGAAATTCATTTGATTGCCTTAGGATTTGCAATGTTAGTTTTAAGTGCACTACTTAGTTATAAATATAATGTGATACCTTTTTATTCTATCATCTTAATCAAAGGTTGGATAGCTTAAGCAATCAATGAAACTCATCTCTTAGGAGAAATGTATTAAAAGAAAGAACTATTATGTTTTATTGTATAAATATCAATCATATATTATAGGGTATTTCAATTGGAGCGGTACTATGTACTTTTGAATGGAAATTTTAATTCTTCGGAGTACTTTTTGGATGGATTGGTGCAGCATCAATGGTAATAATAGGTCATAATTTAAAAAAAGTCAAGAAAGTTAGAACACACACTATTACATAATATGTCATGATCTACACTATAACTGTCCTTGGATTGTATTATCCTATTCATTAATTTGGAACATTTAATATTGAACTTATCATCTATTCTATTATCAATGGAGTTTTATTCCCACTTTTTTGTACTTTCTTTTTCCATGGATTTTAAATTGGATATCCCTCAATGAATTTGGCAATATTTATGCTTATTAATATGAGTGGTGCAGCATTATAAATTGGAAATCAATTTGATATGTTAAGTATAATTGGCATATTTATTTGTTTGTTTTCTATGTACTCCATCTTAATTATCTATATAGCTCTTATCTTTTGCTCAATCACAAATCTTATATAGAAGTAGCTGGTTTTGAAATAGAAGCAGAAGAAAATCCATATTATGAACTTAATTAATATCATTAAAGAATCTGAAAATAAATATAGCTTATATTAAATTTTAAATATTAAATAATAATTTCTTTTATAAAATAAAAATGGAGATAGAAAAACAATTTGCACAATATGCCCATTACACAGTGAAATAAACTCTAGGAAAAGGAGCTTAAGGAAAGTAATGAAGCATTTAATTTTTTAGAGTAAAATTAGGTATAGAAGGAGATAAAGAAGTAGCATTAAAATTTGTTTAATTTTCAAAAGACATGGAAAAAGAAATGGAAATTCATAAAGGGTTAAATCATACTAATTTGATTAAACTATTAAATTGTCATGTAAATGAAGAATATACAAAAAGAAGTGGAAAGAAAGAAATAAAATCTTGTTTAGTTTATGATTATATGAAGGATGGTGAATTATATGATTATCTATCATAAACTGGTGCATTCAAAGAAGAAACTGCTAGAACTTTCTTCCATTAATTAATTAATGTTTTAACTTATTTACATGGATAAGGTCTTGCTCATAGAGATTTAAAACCTGAAAACATTCTATTTAAAGATGGTCAACTTAAAGTATCTGATCTAGGATTTGCTACATTTGTAGGTGGTCATCAAGGAGATGGTGTTTTAGCTTCTTTTAAAGGAACTATTAGTTATATGGCTCCAGAAATATTAGCCAGATAAAAGTATGTTGGATAAAGTGTTGATATTTTTGCAGCTGGAATTATTTTATTTTTAATGATGACTGCTCAATTACCATTCAAATAAGCTAATGCTAAAGATTAAATATATAATCTTATATGCACAAATCGATTTGATTAGTTTTGGGCTTATAAAGAAAAATCAGGGATTCCTAGATTCTCAAATGAATTTAAGACTTTTATTAATTCTTTACTTGCCTTTGATCCATTACAAAGACCGACCCTGTCAGAAATTATTAGTACATCATGGTATTAAGGACCCACCATTAGTAATGAAATCATTATTAAATTACTTAATGCACGTAAATTAAAAATTCAAGCATAATAAGATAAAGAAAACTTGTTGAAATTACTTGAAAAATAAAAAAAATAAGCAGCTAATTAAAATTATTAATGTATATTCTTAAAATAGTTTAGTGACTGTTGGAATTGGAAATTTCAAAAGAGGAGAAGAAGAAATCCCAATTGACATTACTATAAAGAGAGAACTTAAACGTTTTAAATAAACAGATGTATTCCTTCCATTTGAACCTAATCTTATATTTATTAAACTTATTGAAAATATGGGTTAATTTGCTAATAAGATTAGTTATGTAAATGATTAAAAATATAAAGTATTCAAATTAATGATATATTAGCTACATTATTGGTTTTTACAAAATAATGAAGAATTTGAAATGGCTATTCAACTTGTGTAAGGTCCCATTGAATAAACTGTTGGACTTGATTTTGAATTAATAAAAGGGAGTAGATTGGAATTTTATTAAAAAAAATAATAAGTAGAAGATATGCTATTATAAATCGAATGAATATCTAATTATAAATATTATTATATGTTTTGTAAATTTCTTGCCAAAGCAACTTCACACATCGTTAAGTACTAATTTAGACCTTTGATTGCTACAAGCATTATNTTAGTTTATGATTATATGAAGGATGGTGAATTATATGATTATCTATCATAAACTGGTGCATTCAAAGAAGAAACTGCTAGAACTTTCTTCCATTAATTAATTAATGTTTTAACTTATTTACATGGATAAGGTCTTGCTCATAGAGATTTAAAACCTGAAAACATTCTATTTAAAGATGGTCAACTTAAAGTATCTGATCTAGGATTTGCTACATTTGTAGGTGGTCATCAAGGAGATGGTGTTTTAGCTTCTTTTAAAGGAACTATTAGTTATATGGCTCCAGAAATATTAGCCAGATAAAAGTATGTTGGATAAAGTGTTGATATTTTTGCAGCTGGAATTATTTTATTTTTAATGATGACTGCTCAATTACCATTCAAATAAGCTAATGCTAAAGATTAAATATATAATCTTATATGCACAAATCGATTTGATTAGTTTTGGGCTTATAAAGAAAAATCAGGGATTCCTAGATTCTCAAATGAATTTAAGACTTTTATTAATTCTTTACTTGCCTTTGATCCATTACAAAGACCGACCCTGTCAGAAATTATTAGTACATCATGGTATTAAGGACCCACCATTAGTAATGAAATCATTATTAAATTACTTAATGCACGTAAATTAAAAATTCAAGCATAATAAGATAAAGAAAACTTGTTGAAATTACTTGAAAAATAAAAAAAATAAGCAGCTAATTAAAATTATTAATGTATATTCTTAAAATAGTTTAGTGACTGTTGGAATTGGAAATTTCAAAAGAGGAGAAGAAGAAATCCCAATTGACATTACTATAAAGAGAGAACTTAAACGTTTTAAATAAACAGATGTATTCCTTCCATTTGAACCTAATCTTATATTTATTAAACTTATTGAAAATATGGGTTAATTTGCTAATAAGATTAGTTATGTAAATGATTAAAAATATAAAGTATTCAAATTAATGATATATTAGCTACATTATTGGTTTTTACAAAATAATGAAGAATTTGAAATGGCTATTCAACTTGTGTAAGGTCCCATTGAATAAACTGTTGGACTTGATTTTGAATTAATAAAAGGGAGTAGATTGGAATTTTATTAAAAAAAATAATAAGTAGAAGATATGCTATTATAAATCGAATGAATATCTAATTATAAATATTATTATATGTTTTGTAAATTTCTTGCCAAAGCAACTTCACACATCGTTAAGTACTAATTTAGACCTTTGATTGCTACAAGCATTATGAAAAACAATCATTTGAATATCCATAATCTGATTGCCTTCTAGTTTGATAGATTACCATCATTACCAGAAGAATAAGAAATAGAAATTATTGAACTTCTTACCAAGAGCTGTCTACAGGGCCTTCGAGTAAAATGAATATACATATATTATCTATCATCAAATTGATATTATTTGATTCACTCTAAATAGAAATCTTGCATAATATTTTTATGTTTTAACAGAAAATTTTAATGAATTTATAAAATATTCTCAATATCTTCTTTAACCAGATTTTCTTCTCATTTATCCATCTTTTTGATCTTTATCTAATTATTTTTTTGATTCTCCTTTATTTTAAACACCTTTACCTTCATCTTTGGCATTTTTAGTGTTTTTTAATCTAATTATTATTATTAATAAATACTTATCTTTATCATCCTTTTTTTCATCTTTCTTTTCTTCTTTTTTTTCTTCCTTTTTAACTTCTTTTTCCTTAATTTCTGGTTTTTATGGAGCAGTCTCATCTTCATCTTTCATTTTTCTTGGTCCTCTTTTATATGGAGGTAATTCTTAATATTCTAAATCTTATTTAGAAACAGATCGTTTAAATTTTTCCTCTATCAATTTATCAAATTATTCTTACTTTTCAGCATATTTTCTATTTTTTTAAATAAAATCTTACTTCTACCAAATTTCAACTTCTTTATTGTATTATTCCAATTTTTTTTAAAAATCTTCTTCATACTTTTTTTTCTCTTTTCCTGGAAGTACATTATATTTGTCTGCTAAATTTTTTGTAACTTTTGCTGTATTAAATTCAGGATTTTCATGACTATATTCTTTTCTATGTTCTGCAATATAGACTAGACATGAAGAAGCAGGTTTTTTTGGTTTTTCAGGAATTTCCATTAATGCTTTATACTTTTTAATATCTGAAGCATTTCCTCCATAATATAAAATTAAATCTTCTTTATATTTTGATTCCATTTCGTTAAATTAATCTTCATAATATTATCTCTCTTCTTCATCTAAGGCTCTCCACATTTCAGATATTTTATGACCTACTTCACTTACTTATTGTTTTCCCTCTTTTTTCAAATCAGGAAATTTTTATGCATAAAATATTTGATATGCTGAGATATAATTTCTTGTTGGAGGCTTCTTAAGTATTCCACTTCTTAACTACATTAATTGGGAGGGATTATTTAAATTTAAAAAATTATTAATTAAAATAAAAACAATATGAAAAATTCAAATGTCAAAAATTAAATATATTAAATAAAGAACTTTAAATGCTATCCTAGAAATATAATATTCTTGTTAAATATTATTATTATCAAAAAAAGTAAATTTTATTTATTTAATAATATTTTTATAAATTTTTAATTAATGGAACATTGTGATCATTGCCTAGAAACCATAAATGAAATGTTTGCTTTAGAAAAGTAAGTTGAAAGCATCAAAAATTAGTTGGAGATTGCTGAAACCCAAGTGAAGATTTTACGATAAGAGAATGAACTTTTAAAGAGTAACATTAAAAAGCCTAATAAGCAAAAGCATTATAATTAAAGTATGTAAAGTGAGATACAGAAATGCTATTAGGAAATAACAAAATTGCAAGATATTATTAGACACAAGGATGAAATAATACAAAATCAAATTCGAAATGATGATAGTGTTAGCGATAAAACTGAAATCTGTTCCAAACAAATCGATACTTGTAGAAAGAAAGTCAAATTTTGAACTGTTAATTTATAGAAATGTTAATATATTATTCTCATCTTTTAAATATACATTTAATATGAGTTTTGCATGATAATATTGAGAATTACTGATTTTATTTATTCTAATAATTAGGTATAGTTTGCTTTATAAAATTTATATAATTTTTATTAATAAAACTCATACAAAATAATGTAAGAATAACATTCATTATTCTTTTGCCCTGAAACAGAAGAGAGTGAAATTATAAAAGCAAAAACCTTTGATGTTTAAACATAAAGAATAGCTACAAGCTTTTATTCATAATTTTCAGATGGCACTGACTAGTTTATGGATCTTAGACGTAATAATTAATGCAATTCTGCATGCTCTTCATCTAGTTTATAATCATCTCGAACTCTACCAGATGAATGTATGCAACATAATTATTCAAAATGCTTAGGTACAAAAAGACACTTAAATTTTAGATAATGACATCTTATCTGAAGCTGCTAAGCAATCATTTAGTTTTGTATTCAAGACATAAGAAGATTGGTTAGAACACTTTGCTTAAAAATGTGTAACTTTGGAAACATTTTTCAAAGAATGTGCTTTCAATTCATTGATAGAAAAGGAAATTTAAAATGAAGATTCTAATATAAAATAAGGCATTGTATTAACAATTGATTATTTTACAAATTTATTCACTTTTTCCTTATATCTAATATGGAAATGGATTCAAAATGAAAATTAAATGGATATGACGAATTATGTGTCATGCTAGAATTCAATACCTATATTTTTTAAACTCTTATTTTAGTATCGCTTTAATGAGTTAAAGAATGATAAGATCTTTATTACATTTATTGAATAATATCTTTCAACTATTTTTAAATTTAAATTTGAAGATGAACAATAATCAAAACCATATTTAGGACTAGGAATGAGTTAAAATTCTAAACCTTTTCCTGTACTTAAAGAAAATGAAGTATTTCCATGGCATCCAGAAGAAGTAGCTAAAATATTAAGTACAATTAATTAAGCTTTTTATGCTGATTTATAAATTAAAAATGTTATCGTTAAAGGAGGACTTAAATAAGTAAAATTATATTTTAAACTAGTATTTTAAAAGAATTAATACACTTTCATAATATATCATATATTCAGTTGTAAAAAGTCCTTGTAAATACAAAAGATAAGAAGCTTTATCATATTGGATTGATTTAGCTGAACGACTATAAATTCAAAATGATCTTGAAGGATTATTTATCGTTTTCAAATATGGAATATAATTACTGCTGAAAGATTACATTTCTACAATGCCTATCTTATTCAAACATTAAAATCGGATTTCAAAAATTAATTCATATTACGAATAATAAATTAAGGACAATCTAAAAAATATTAAACAAAATCCAAAAGGCTATAACATACCTTCTTTCCAAAAATATTAGACTCATATTAAGAGATTGGAATTGTAAGCTAAATAAAATAGATTAGCTTTTGAATAAATAGCTAGCCTTTTAGCAGAATTAGTGGCTATTTCAAAAGAATAATCATTAAAATAATCTATTATGAATCATTAAGTATATATTGAAAATTATTCTTAGTTAACATTTTAAGAATAATAAATAGCCAAATTTCTAACTTAAGGAATTGAATAAGAATTAGAGAAGAACTTAAAAATCCCTTTAGAAAAAGAAACTTTAGTATACATTGAACTCATTAAGTTGTCAAAAATTATGAACTGATAAATTTAAAAATTGACTATAATGTACTTTGTTTTAATCACTATAAAAATTATATATTTTTTTTTTAATTTAAGATAACTTTTAGAAATTATTTACATATAAATTCTGAAAAAAAGATGAACAATTCAATAAATATGTTTGAAAACTTCTATAATAGAGTTTTAGATCTTAATATAAATTTATATTAATATTAAGAAAATTTAATCCTTTTAGTCACCATGATCAGTGAAGTTGTGTATATGAATTAATTGACCAACCTGAGGAAAATTTTAAATTAAAATATATTAGATATGTAGGAGATAAAATCATTTGATTGTACCAGCAGATGTAGGTAGAGAAAATATCATTTTAGTTGGACTAAAGATCGGTATTTATAAATTTAAGGTAGTTGGAGAATCAAAGTCCTCAATTTCAATTTCTTTGTCTGATAAAATAAGATGGGAAGTTAGATTTATCTCTCTTTGAGACTTACGTTCATTTGCTCTCTTCATAAATTTATTCTTCTCTATGTTGAAGGAATTCATCTCGCTTTTAAAATATTAATTAAAAATATATATATATGGATTTAATTAAATATTTAGATACTTTCAAGAATTTTAGAACAAAAATTTATTAGATAAAAAGAAACTGTTATCATACATAATAGATAGAATAAGACTGAAGAGTTTATGTAGTAAAATTTAAAATAACTATCTTATATTTTGCTTTTGAAATTAAATCCTGTTTTATTATTATAATAAAAGTTAATAAATAGTACTATTTATATTATAACTGAAATTTGTTGATTGATCAATTAAGACAAGATATTTAGAAACTCTTGGAAAATATTAATATATATAATTTAATAATTTCAAACAAATAAAATAATAGGTGCTTTCATCTATTTTTTGATCCAGAGTTTTTTTAAGGTCTTTAATTTATTGATGGCTAAAAATTAATATAAATGTTACACATGAAAAGTATAAGTTGGTATATCAGATTTTTTTGAAGTGGGTTTTTTTAATAAATCATGCTTTTCTTTATTAGAAAGAGTGTAAACTAATTTCATTGCTGATTCTATGAATTCTCCTTTTGTAAGTACATGTCTACCTTCTTCCATTTCTGAAATTAAAGGTTAAAGGATCTGATTAACAGTTGAATTAAGATTTTTTAAATTAATCCTGATAGCATCTATTTCACCATCATTATCAGTATCAATTTAATCAAAAATATTAGCAAGTGAATTTATGATTGCTTATTATGTTAAAAATTCAGATTTTTAACTAGCCCTTACTTTTGATTGATTCATAATTCTTTCTTTACTAATAGATTGAACTACAGCTCTTTTTTAAGCTAATAATTAAGCATCTTTATATAGATTATCAAATAAATTTTCTGGTCTTTATTCTGGTGGTCTGCCTGTTCTTGGTCTAAACATATTACTTTCATCAGCACTGGAGTTTCTTTCTTTGGATTTATTTCTAAATTTTTGTCTTCTTTCTTCAAAACTAAGACCTTAAACAAGTTGTTCTGAAATTTAATCAATTTTAGGATGAAATGTATGTTTTTAAGCAAAATAATTTCTATCTAATTCAGTTAATTTTTATTATTTAACATCCATATCCTGATATAATGATTCATAGTGTGGAATAGAAATTTAAGATTATTTCTTCTTTTCATCAACTATATAAGAAGACCTTAATATATGAGTATAATAGATACACTTTATTAACTTAAGGATGAAAAGAACAACTTTATTATTCCATTTCTAACTTATAATTTTATGCATTCTCTCTTTTCTCTTGTATAACTTTTGCTAATTCATTTAAATGTTCACCTACAGGTTTAGGAGAACGTTAAGCAATTTTAGTAGATAGAGAATTAATCTAAGGTTTATGAGTACATTCAACAAGTTATGATTTTTGAAGATCTTTTCTTGCACTTTCAGCTTTTTGAAGTTTCTCTTCTTTTTTTTGAATTCCTTTTTAATAGAGAATTAAGCCATAATTGACTTCTGATTCTTAAGATTTCATAATTTAACTGCTAGATTTATTTTCAGATAATTGCAACTGTTTTTTAAGCTTTTTATTATGAGCATCTTGATATAGTCTGTCATATACAGTTTAGCTATTACTCTCTTATTTCATTGGAGATTATTGAGATTCAGCTCTAATTGGAGAAGAGCCTTATTCTTAGGATTATATTTCACTAGACTTCTCAGTAGGTCTTAGATTCTACTTCTTTTAAGATAACTAAATAAAAAGTTAGACTCCAACTGCTTACGTATTGAACCATATTTAAACGTTCTTTTTGAGCTATTTAAATTTGCTTTTAAATATTATCTATTAGTAATGGTGCTACTCTTTAATTTAAGTTGTATTTAATGCAAAAATCTCTTGCCAATATTTCAGGATCATCTCCTTCAAATACATCTATCCTTCCACTTCTTTTATCATCTATTTATATTGTCATTACTAACAATTATCCATTCTATAATATTTCTATTTTAATACCCTCTATTCCATAGAGCTGTGACTCATTCGATTGTTATAATTAATTTTTTTAATTAATAATTACGTTAATGGATCAATTAGCTCTCAAAAAACTAGTTAATAAACTTATTGATGAAAAGCTTAAATTAGTTTGTGAAGAATGTCGTAAGAAAACAACATAAAAAAAACTTGGCTATCATAATTATAACATTTCTATTCAACCAACACCAATCAACTTTGATTTTAGTATTGGCAATGAAAATAAAGAAAATTGTCTTCTTTCCAATAGAAATGCTAATAATGCTAATAGAGTCAAAGCATCTAAGAGTTAAGCCCTTGATCTTGGACAATAGATATTTAATGCTGATATTAGGTATACAAAATTTTCTAATTTTATAGTGTAATTAGACCCATATCTTAATTTTCAAGTCCTACAGTTAAAGCATCTCGAAAAAAATCTATGCCTTTTCTCAAAAAAGAAACTTAAACTACTTATGAAAAAGTACTCAAATCAAAAAAATGATTTAGTTATATAATTAATACATATATATAATATAAGTTTGCTTACATCTCAAATTTATACCCTCATACTCACAATCAAGCTTTTTAATATTAAATTTGTAAAAATATAACATGAGTTAAAATTAATTAATTGTTAATAATTCAAAGACAAATTCTTCTGCCATTATCATTATCAAACAAATTTTCCATTTATTCATTTAATTAGTTCTATAACATTTAGAACAATAAATTATTTGATTGACATAAAAGTAGTTTCATAATTTAATACATTTGTCTCACATTAAAAAGAATCGTTATTTTCTTTTTATTTAAATCAAATTCATATTTCTTGCAAATTTTGTTTATGATGGGAAAATTATCTAAAAATTCGATAGCAAAAATGAATAATTTTTATTTTTATGGGCAATAAATGCTGTTCTCAAACTTAAACTATCACTCAATCTTAAAAAGAAATTTTATTTCCTATTCGTTAAGATAGTGGAATAAAATCTTTAGGGGATTCAATTTAAATTGGATAAATTGGTGAGTTAATCTCAAAACATTGCAAATTATATCAATATTAAGATGGAGATGGTTTACTATCTCCTCCACCATTATCTCCAAAATAATAACATGTTATTGTTTATCTTGAACCAAAAGTATTAGTAGATGAAGCTATACATTATTAAGCAGATACTTTAAAAGGAATACTAAGTGCTAGATCTAATGAGGGCCATTCTGATTCACCTTGTAGTTCAACTAATCGTAAAGATAAACCATTAAAAAGAAAAGTCTAATTTAGAGAGTAATCAATATAATGATATATTATTCTTTCATCTTATATTGTTTATGCTTTTTATTTTTTCCTTAAACTTTGATTATTTCTCTATTCTACATACAGTCTTTTAATTAAATACAAGAAACAAAAAAATAATCATTAATTTTTTAATATTTTTCTATGGTTAATTATTAGAAATTCAAAGCAAAAGGAATTATCACAAAACATAAAACTACTTAAATAATATAAATTTTAAAATAATGTACCAATTTATCTAATTCCTTACTAATAAGTATCCGTTTACGTATATAATAATGACTATTTTATAGTTTTTGTCATAATCATCCTATTTACTTAGTTTCAAAATTTTTGAATGCAAAAAATTTTATAAGAATTCTTCATTTTCTCCTTAATTATTTAATTAAAAATGAGGCTTGAAATATAATTAATTGAAAATCAATAAATAAAAAAAGACTATGAAGATAAATTCATAATAATCTAATCTATTAAATAAAGAACTTTAGGAAGATTATTATTAATTTATCTGCCTGTTAAGATAATGATTAGATAATATTAAATTCTATTTTTTTCTCACAACAAGAATATTTGAATTATAATACTTTTAGCGAATGAATTACTAATAAAATGATTTCTATTATTAAGATAACTAACACTCATTAAAATTGAATCATTAAAATTTGCAAATTTTTATCCCTTATAATATACTATTGAAATTTTTGAAACCATTTATTATGCCATTTTTTAATAATAAATTAGGTTTTATAATATACATTTCTATAGATTTCCTACTCCCTAGTATCAAAATTGGATTTATAAAATTTCCTATTAATTTCAATCATATTGATTAATTTTTCATTTATGATTTAATCCCTTCCTAATTGTTTTATTTTAATTCAAAAAATGATTAAGAAGCTTCATGTTATAATTTTTAGCAATCTGTTTTTATTTGATATAACAATTAGAGACAAATTTTCTTAAATCAAAAAATGTCTAAAAATATCCCATATTTCCAAAAATAGCATATAAGCCTTATCACAATATCTTCTCCAAAAAAATATAATATGTTTTTTAATAGAATTGTTAATATATTAGTTTAAATAAGGTACCTCCTAATGAATTGATGACTAGAGCAATAAATTCATGTTTATGAATAATCCATTTTTCTAAGTATTCCTCAATTTTATCAACCCTTGAAATAAATTTGAATAATTGACAACTATGGAGGTAATAATTGTTGATATCTTGATTTTAAAAACTCTCTTTCTAAAATTCATAAATAAATAATTTTATAAAATTGAGTTAAATTTTTTATAAAATCAAAATGGTTTTCTTTTTCTTATATATGATTAATTAATTATTAGAAATTTTCTAGTGAAATAGATTCTTAGTAATCTTTTAAGATGAATTAAATTAAATTTATGATTATGAGATGGTTAAGGTTTGATAACTTTTTGAGATTTAGATATTTGAAGTGTGATTATTGCTTTCATCAAATAATTGACGATTTAATAGATAATGTTGAGGTTCAAAGATATGGAATTTATTTATTCTTTATTGATTTTTCAGTACTTTTAGCAGAAGCTATAAAAGATTTTATAAGTGTAAGTTCTAAAAAATTACAATTTAACTTATCTTATTTAGAAGCAGAATATATTTTGAATAATATTCTAATAAACATATATCTACACTTGAAAATGGATTATTATTAAGTGATGGTAATTTACTTAGATTTGAAATCTTCTTAATGAATGGAACACTCATATTTCAATATTCTAATTAAAATAGATTACCAGATTGATTGAAATTGATAAGTTTATCTTCTCATTCTTACAAATAATTTGGTAATTTTTTCACTAAAGAGAAAGAAAAGAATCTAGGTAGGCTAAAACTACAATAATTATGGTTTCGCATTTAATTGGATGAGACAAATATCGATGTACTTTTATTTTTTTAAAACTTTTACACAAATTTGAGTTTTATTAATTCATTTTTAATTCAGACTCATTTATAAAGCCTTTTAAAAATCTTCATCATCATCATCTTCATCTTCATTATCTTCTTATTTCTTCAACACCTACACTTTTTATTTCAAATTTTATTTAATCTATTACTATGGTTTTCTTCGAGTAGTTGCCGACTATTTTATCTCTTATACAGATGAATCATCCTTGGATTATTTCAATTAATTATCATTTGTATTACGTTTTAATCTATTACGCTTTGGAGATTGTTATTATTAATCTTATAAACAAATACCTTGATGAAAACTCAATTCTAAATAATCAAAATATATATTTACCTTTTTTTTATATATGCTTTTAACAAGTTTAACATTATTCTGTTCTAGAACCACATTTTGCTTAATGTTTTGGCATTTCTTTGATATTTATTATCAAATCACAAAATCCACACTTCTCTGGCTTATTTAAACAACTATTTTTATGCATTTCTAATTATCCCTATTCAAATAATTATTAACAATATTGACAGTCTACCTAATCATATACTTTAACTCTACTTTTTTATGAAACTCCATATGATTATCCTTTTCTTTCATATCTATTCTCAAATCACAAATTTCACATTTTATAATGTTTCTTTCACAATAGAGAGAATGAAGTAAATAATTAGTAGTCAACACTTCTTCCAAGCTCAATTATTAATCAAATAATTACCAGCATTAGCAGATCTTAGATTCACTCATATTAAAAATTAAACTAAATAAGAATTCATTAACTTATAAATTTTCTATTTCTTTTTAGATTTCAAATATAACACAAAGAATATATTATTCAATTATATCATTCTATATATATATCATTTTCAATTACATCAAGCCTTTTGTTTATTATGTATATATTTAGAATAAATATTCACTAAATTTTAAATTTATTCTTGAGTTCATTTCCTGTTTTGAATCAAAATCTTTTTATTTATTTTTCGATGCATTATTTCTCATTAATGATTATACATTGTGAAATTGAGTTTTTTTATTTTAAAACAATTTATCTTGTTATTAAAAGTTTAAAATTATTCTATATTATTATATTAATTTGTTGAATTGTTGGATAGAAATTTCGAAATCTATTGTTTAAAAATAAAACTTTATTTTATAATATTTAACTTTGATTTTAAAATCTATAAATGTTTATGTTTATACAATAGAATATCTTGATTAAGAGAATGTATGGAAATTGTAGAGAGATGTAACTGACTAAATTGATATCTATAATAAATTATTAATTTTTAATGACTTATTTTTTTCAATTTCAATTTATAAGAAAAGAACAAAATTTAGGATATTTTTGATTGATTGTGATATGATATAAAATAGAAAATGATTATAAGTATAAATATATTAAACATACAGTAAAGAATATGAAAAAATTGTAATATAATGGAGATAAAAAAAGAAAATAAGTTTTCTTCATAGTAGAAATAAACTTAATTCATCTTGATAGTTGATTGCAGAATGAGATAAGTATTTTGTTATTTTAGAGAGATGTTATTATATATAATAAAAATAATATGAATATAGATTAATTATTAAATGTAGTAGCAGAAAGAATAGATGATTTAGATATAAGTAGTGTAGTATAGCATTATTTATTTGAATTGGCTTAAATGGCGGATGATAATTAAAATTAGGTGATAGATTTACAAAGTTTTGTAACTTTTTTTGTTTAACGAATGGAGGAGAGTGGTTTAGAAGGATTGATAACAATAACAAGATTATTATAATTTTATCAGGATGTTCGTTCCCAAATATAATGCTGTGTATAATTAAAGCATATAACAGACTATTTAATATCGAGTGCAGAATAATTAGATATTTATTTTAATAAGAAGTTTCTTCCAAAGCATTAGATGAGAACAAAAAAGCGTTAACTAATTGCTTCAGAGATATCTCCACCAGAAATATTGGGGTTGAATTAAGATATGCTTAGGAGAATCATAAATGATCTAAAGACTATAGATACAAATAGTAAGACATAAATAATATAGGCTATAAATCATTAAAATGAATTATTTCTATTGATGCAATTTCAAGAGAAGATTAGTTTACATATAGGATTTGAATTTTAGAAATTTATACGATTAAAAAAGAATGATGAAGGAAATTATATACAATTAATAAGTTATGGTAATAATAGATTAGGATGTGTTATGCGTGATTTAACTATTGTATTCTGGGATTAAAGTGATGGATATTAATTTGATTATAAAGTTTAAAACAGTGTAGAAATACAAAAATTGAGATATCTTCATCTTTAAGATTAATGGATTAGTGTTAATAAATAGAATTAAATAATGATTTGGAATTTAGAAACAGCCAATTATATTTGTATCACTTAACAAATAAACTAAATTATAGACATTTCAGAAATTGATCATCTTCAAATGCTATTAGTGATATCAAATCCAAATATAGTAAATTGTTTCGATATGTTTGAATAGAAATTCCTATTCAAATTTTATACTCTTCACAATATTATAACAAATGTCAAGTATTCAAGAACATTTTAATTAATATTTACTATTGGATTAGATAATTAAATTTGTTGCTATCAATTACATACTAAATATAATGATTAAAATCTGAAATGTTAATTGAAAGGACATTTATCCACAATTAGTTGTATTGAATTACTTGAAAATACATCTTTATTAGTAAGTATTGATTGTAAAAATACTATAATATTATGGGATATTAGATCATAGTAAATTCATTAACATATTAAATTATAAACTAAGTTAATGTCCAAATAGTTATTCTATTACAATAAGTGTTTATGTTTAATCACAACTAGATTATAAGCTTTACGTTTTGAATAACATGATGACACTCCTAAAAATACAAAACTAATTGAACTCATTTATGATTAATGGAATCAAAGAAATATTATTGTTACCAGAACAGATGTTCGGATTTAGAATTGTATTAATGGCAAAATAGAATATATTTTATAGGATTTCAAAGATGAAATTACTGCAGTCTGTCTTATAGAACATAATAATTATATGATTTTAGGCACATCTGAAGGTCATGTATTAAAAGTCTTAATAAAAAATGGAGAAATCATTTAATAATGGGATCAATTATTCAATGAAGAGATAATTAAAATCTCATATGATGAAACATCCAATCTACTTCATATTTTAAATATTGAATCTTCTCTAAAATGTCTCCCCTTGTAACATCTTAATGTACGTAAAGACAATGTTGTTGCAAAAGATAAGCGAGCACTTAGATAATTGATTCACCATTCATAAGTTAATATTTGTACCTTCAATCTATCTCATGGTTTACTTATCACCAGCAACGATGAGTTAATTACTATTTGGAATTTAGAATATTACTCAGTTGTTATTCAAATCTAATTGGAAGAATAAGCTATTGCTACAAGCATTTTAATTTCTAATAATAAACAATTCTTCATTGTAGCTACAAATCAAGGCCAATTATATTTCATATCCATCATATCCAAAAATGATCATTATGTTTGTGCTATTGAATTGATTCTTAACTTTGATGATGGACTTCTTATGATTACTAGTCTAATTGATAGAAATTATGCTACTCAAATGTTAATTGATGACTCTGATCTTATAGTTGGATTGAAAAATGGATACATGCTAAAATATGATATTTCAGAACTCAAAATTTAACCATAAGATCCAATTAACACTAAACCTAATTATAATCCTTATCGTGTAATCTATCACAATAATATTTAAGAACATTTTATTGACAATTATAGAATTATTAATTCTTATCTTGTTAAGGATATCAATATGAGTTAACATCTCATATAACTTCAACGTTCTCCAAATTAAAAAATCAAATAAAAGTTTAGAACTGGAATGTCTAGATTGAGTGCTATTAAAAATATGGCTGGGTAATTTTATGATTAACATTTTGATACTCCCAATCAAACACCTACTTTAAGTGTCTCCATTCACTCTGATACCATAATTCAATTATCGTATATGCAAATAGACCCCTTTGAAGTGCTTTTTTCAACCAAAACTTAACTTATAATTTCTGCAAGCTGTAATGATGTTATAAAAATTATTAACAAATCTTTTGAAGTTTTATGTTTGTTTGAAATTAACAATCCTACTTCTCATTTTTGGAATCTTAACGCACAAACATATAAACTTAAAGCGCACATTCTTTTTGCTCTCGAATTACTCAAGTCTATTTAACATAAACTTACAAAAGAAAAATAAATGTCCTATAACATTGACAATATATTAAGAGAATGTTCCTTAATATATATCAAAAACAAATATTATCCTCCTAAAATTTAAAGTCATACCATAAACAATAATTCTAACAATAATACAAATTCACTTCCTGATTTAGTTAATAAAAGTGCTCATTCTCTAAGATTTTACAATGAAAAAATTAAATATCAAAAATAGTAATTGGATATTTAACAATAAGAAAAATAAATAGAAGATTCAACCAAGAAAAGGAATCGCTACTTTTAAACTTAATAACTGTAATCTGAAAAGAAAGAGATTTTAGATTATTTAAGATCTGAAGAAAAAACGAATGAACATGATGATTTTGCTAAAACTCTAATTAATATTCGTATGAAAACAGAACCTAAAAGCAATCTTCAAATCTCAAAGATTACTCGAATTACCAATTTTACAGAGATGACAAATCGTTCTTAAATTAAATATCCTAATCATAGTAAGGAAGTTTTCAATTTGATTAGATAAGTCATATAAAGTCCAAATAAAAAATTAACTGATAAAGAAAAATATGACATTAAATAAAAATTGAAAATTACAAAAATGGAAAAGTTCAAGTCTAAATTATCTTGATATATTTTTGTATTTATAATCATTCATATTTAAATATAAAAAGTTTAAATAATTATGGACCCATTATCGAGTTCATTTTAGTTAGTAATTCTATCAGATACTTTTAGTATGCAGATCTTAGTTGTTTGATCTGAATCATTTTTTATCCTCTAAAAATTGAAAAATTGTCATCAATATTTTAATTGATAACTTGATTTTAATTTTCTGAATTCTAAGCTGTTTTAATATAATAATAATTTGTTAAATTTAATTATTATGCCCACTTTATTTCATAATCTATGGCAATTCTATTTATTTCTTTGATTTACTAAGTATAATGGAAACTCAATCTATGAAATGAGTTTTATCTAAATTCGACATAACTGATAGCTGAAAGTTAAGAATCACCATAATATTTTATCATATGAGATTATGAATCACAAAACATTTTTTCATAACTCTGTTTTGAAACTTGAAAATAATTTTCATTGAATAAATTATGAGCTTCTTCATCATAAATTGTTTATTTAGTTACTACAACTAAATTACTTCTTTTTGACTTTTTTAACAAAGCTACAAAGTCACTGGGCCATTTAAAATGTAAATAATTTTTTTTATCTACTTTTACATCCATATGTAATTCGCTATTCAATGAGATGACATGTTTTTTAAGTTCATCATGTGAATGTTCTCTAAAACCATATTTTTTTAAACAAGTAAATTGCAAACGTTAGGATAGTGCTAGTAAAAAGTTTTGGAAAGCTTATTTAGTTTTCAAAGTCTCATGAGTAGGACGAGATATATCAACATATTATAACAGATTGCTATATATGGATTATTTAATTGGTTCGATATCGAAATATTCTTAAGTTAACTTTCTAAGAGTATTTAAAATATAATACCTTAATGCTTTCAAACATTTTTTAGGTGAACTGTATTGACAAACAGGTACTTTGCAGACAATTTGTTGGCAACAACTTTTGGGGTTGGAATGATAGAATAATTGACCTGATTTACGCCAACTGTTTTCTTGGAGTTGATTATAGAGAGAATCATTAAAATTCTAAATTTAGAGAATAGTTCCATTAGCAGTCAATTATTTGCAACTTAAGCAGAAACCCTATTACTCAATGTTAACAGTATTAATATTGATGCTGGCCATCACAAATTTATGTATATTACAATTGTAGAAATGGTTTGGCAAAGTTTTTTTTAGGTTTTAATAATAGATCATTATATTATGTAAGTGAATTAATTTTACAACAATATTTTATTAGTATTATGTATGATGATAATTAATAGGTGCAATTGATAAAAATGAGAGTTGATGCAATAAGAATTATATATGTAGATATAATTTATGAATATTTTATAAATCCAAGGAAGGCAACCCTAAAAGAATTTGGAACCTAAAAATTGAATAATCTCGACAATCACATCAAACAAACTGATCAAAAGATTTTAAATACCAAAATTTTGATAAAAAATTTTTGAGTTTAAGCATCTGCAATCTTGTATCCAGAGGTGATTACTATTATACTATATGGAATAATATATTGGATTACAAAAATATCAAGTTTGATTTACATATGGATGGTCCATTAAAATATATTGAATAACTGCCATTTATAGTAAATGTGCTATCCATTTAATTGTCAAGATTACTCTTAATTAGTTGCACTTCGCTATTCCTTAGCATCTCTATAATCAAACCATATAGAGCGACAGCTCATAATATATGACTGAAATTAAATTCTTAATATAATTCTTTGTGTATTTGCAATAAAAAAAAACAAAGATACCACTCTCATAAGTATTCTTCATGATTCTCTTGTTATTTATATATACTAAACTAATCAAATTCCAATATAACTAAACTTTTAATTACTATCATCAACCTTCAAAAGGAAAGATTAAAAAATATTAACGTTTATAATCACATTTCACCTTACCCCTTCTAATTCTATCAAATCATAAGGATTAACTCAAAAATCATAATTCATATTTTATATTATATTAATTAATTTAGTATCATCATCCTATCTAAGGTTATTCAAACTCTATCTAATTTGCTAACTTTAGAGTCTTCATATTTTTTATCTCAATTATGTCTTCAATAAACAATAAAATTATTCCAACTTATAATTTTATACTTAATTTTATTCACTTAAGCATCTATACTTTTTTTTTTAGATTTTCAATATTCCAACCTATTGTACCTGGATACCTTCAATCTTTTGAATCTTACTTAATTTTAATCATTAAGAATACCATGATAATTTGTTAAATTTGTATTATCTCTCTTGATAATTTTATTTTTAACTTTTGATTCATATTTTATAAATAAAATTGAAATTTTAATTGCTTTATAAAAATTGAATTATGAAGAGCTATTATTCTAATGATAAAAAAAGATTTTGGGTTCTTTTTTAGATAGCTGCTTTTATTAATAAAATAATATTAAAAGCTTCTTATCTGTGATACTTGTCAGTTCCTTTTTCAGAATTCGATTCTTCTGTGCTGTAAGTAATAAATTCTTTTATGAATTAAATATATATGAAATGATTTTATTATATGATATAAAATATTTACCTTTATTTGATAATAATGATATTTGTAAGAGTATGAGAAATTGATAATAATTGTTTTATTATAAAAATATAATAAATGTAGTTTTTATGTTAAAATCTTTAACATTCTTCATTTTTATATAATGCAAAACTAATTCAAACAGCGGTGGCAATAATATTTAATAATGATGAAATTGTATTGATTAAGCGTAAAGTGAATGCAAGAGATCCACATTCAGGTTAGATTGCATTTCCAGGAGGTAAAGTGGAGAAAGATGAAAATACATTATAGGCAGCAATAAGAGAAACTTATGAAGAGATAGGAGTAAGTTTAGATGAGAGTCATCATTTAGGAAGAATGGATAGAAATTATTAAGCTTATTATATAAAGAATAAAAACTTAAAAATAGCTGCCCATATTTTCTAGATAGATGGATAATTATAATGTCGAGCTAATACAAATGAAGTTGATAGAATAATGAGATTACCATTGAATTAGATAAGTTTATCAAATATGGACATTAAGAAATATAAAAATAAATCAGTTCATATATTTGCTCGTTCTGTTGAGAGATAATAATATTTATCAGATGTAGTGATGAAAGGGTTTCTATATTAATAATTTCCTTATTATAAATTAGAGAAACAAGTCTTTTATGGATTAAGTTGGCTGGTTTTATGTGATGTATTACAGAAATTAAAAATGCATTAAGATGTTGTTGATTACACTTTTCAAAATTATCATTATGGATTTGAAAATGATACAAGAAAAGAATAATTTTTTGATGATTGGTTTAAAAAGAGCCGATTAAATTAGTTTATGTATAATTGAGATTATTCATTTTTTCATTTGACCACAAACTTCGCATTTATCTTCAGTATTTTCTTCATATGTACAAAATGCACAGGTCCAAGATTACAATGTTATATATAAATTAACTTTCTTTATTATAGACAATTTCTTTTTTATCTCATTGATGTCATTTGTACAATTCACATAATATGATTTTCCATCATCATCTATATATGTTAATAATGGATTAACAATATTCATTTAATCTCTAATAAATCTTATTACCTCATCATAGGTCGGGTTATCTTTTTCATATAATTTTTCACAATCATTAGAAACAATATTGAATAACATCAATTTTATATTAATATTAATGTATTAAGTCTTTATTAGTGGTTTACCATACACTGCTTCAGAAAATGATGTTTAAACACTTTTTGAAGATTGTGGAGAAATTCTGTAATTCATAACATCTAATTTAGTTCTATTAAATTGCCTAGATATTAGGATTCAAACAGACTTTTAGGATATGGTCATATTACATTTAATGATTAAGATGCTGTTCAAAAAGCCTTAGCACTTAATGGCTCATAGATAGGATCCAGATATATTGATGTTAAAGAGGCTAAAGGAATTCAATCATAAAAACCAAGTGTTCCGCCTCCAGATTGTCTTACTATTTTTGTTAAAAATCTCTCTTATGATTTAAATGCTGATCAAATTGGAGACTCATTTAGACCATGTGGGAAAGTGGCAAATGTTAGAATGGTTTATAATACTGTGACTAAGAATTTTAAAGGCTTTGCTTATATAGATTTTGAAGATCATTAATCAGTCATTAAAGCTTTATAAATGAATGGAAAAAAAGTTCATGGTAGACTTGTCTAAGTTGATTATGATGTTAAATAACCTAAGGCAGGTTTTAGATATCAACCAAAACAAATTGAATAATAAAGCAAGTACAACAAAGAATATCAAGAGATTTAAAAGAAGAAAATCAAAAAAGAAAATGCTGTTTAAAAAGTCAAGAAAATTAAAAATTTTGCAGAGACTTAAAAGTAAATATCAGCTTAAAGAAATAAGCAATAAATATGATTCTACATGTTTTATAGTTTTTAAAGTATGTATTTGCTTCAAATCATTAAATAATATTTAATTATTTTTAAAACGTAATCAATACTATTTCTGAGAGAAGAATTTATTTATATATTATATAAATATTCTAAATAATTTAAATGTTAAAGTTTTTTGTATTTAGAGTCTGTAATTCGATTGTTTAACTTATCAATTTTTAAGTTTAAAATCTGAAAACATAACGGTATCTTTTAGTTTAATTGAGAATAAATATCTATTTAGATATAAGTTTTAACTTTACTGTGCAATTTTATCTAATTAACAAATTATTTTGAGTATATAATTTATGAAGATATAAAAGAAGATATGATATTTTGTAAATTTATTATGGTCTATAAGAAATTGAGTTTAGAAAGATGACAAGCTTTTTTTGTAACATAAAATGGGAATGTAAGGAATATGATTATTAAATAATATATTAAAAATATATTTACAATAGGCGACAGTTACATTTGGTTAGTACAAAAGCAAATTGCAGTTTCAAGATTTTTCTTTTGTAAATTTGATTTAAGCTTTGCTATTGTAATGGGAAATATAATTATATAAAGTAATTTAAATTAATATTTGTTAAAATTGTCCTAGAAATAATGTTTGAGCTTTTTTATTCTATTGGGAGTGTGAATTTAAATTGAATAAAAATTGATTTAATCATTTAGACGGTTTGTTGGTCAGGTGATCATAATTTGATCTGAATCAATATTTTCCTGTATTAATATTTGGGTAGTGATTATTTGTTGATTAAATAATTTAGAGTGCATAAATAATATTAAAAATATGGGATGCACATCTTCAGCAGAGACTATTCCTTAATCATTGAATGATTTTTAGTAGTTGAAACTAGGAACTTAATCGATTGAGTTAACTCAATTGTTTTTGGTTGCAAACAATTTAATAAATGAGGTCTAACAGCTTTATAAGTAAGTTGAAGGAGATAGACTGATTTTATTACGTATTACGAAAGTATTTTATAAAGTTATTATAATAGGTATCTCTAACAGCATATTAGACACTAATAGATGCATTTGGCTTTTGGACAAGATATGTTTCTATCTGTAATCTTGGTAAGGGTCATTAGAATGGAGTATTTTACAAATTAGAAAATGATGGTATTTTGAATTAATTATTTGGATAGGAAAGTATTTGACATTTGATTTGGGTTTATGTGGTGATTTGAAAATGTAATGGTTTGGAGAGATTCTTAATGATTATTTTTAAAGTCTTTAAAGAATTACATAAATAATTCCAAACATTGTTGAATAGTTGAAAGTTATTCTGGAAAAAGTTAATAGGATGACAGTTAATGTTTAAGAGAAGAATCAAGTTTCTAGAAATAATATTAGTTTATTAAAATTCAATATAAGTTTCACAAAAATAATGAACATTAAAATAATTTAGTATAATGAAGAATTAGAGTTGCTTAATAATAAATATAAATAATTTGCAGAAAATGCAGATGAATTAGGAATTAAACTATATAGTAAATATGGTGTAAGAAAATTAGTTAATTCTGAAAAATATTGTTTGAAATCTAAAATTAATATTATAATAGATTAATGTTTTAGAGGGGAAATGAGATCTGAAATATAATAAGATATGTAGAATAAAGAAAAGGAAAGAAGAAAATTAAAGAAACCAGCATGGACTTTTGGAGATGATATTGGAATTGGAATTAAAAAGTTTCCATTCAGAATTAGATGGACAGGATGTTAATGTGTTGATCATTCTTTTTTTATAATTTCTAATTACTTAGAAAATCATAGTAAACATCTTCTATTGTTAAGAAAATTATCAGTGATACTAAGGTATTTGACTTAAGCTTATAAAACTGATGATGATACATTAGCAAGAGCATGGTCAATTTTTTGTTGTTATTTAAATTAAAAGGAAAGAACAGTTATATAAAATAATATGTCTATTTTAGAAGGAATTAAAAGACTGAAACTTAAAGATGAATATGCTGAAAAATGCAGAATCTATTTCATTTAATATATATAATTGTTTGATAATGAATTAATTTAAAAGTTAGAATAAGAATGGTAATATTATTTAGAAGGATAAGAAAAAGTATTATCTTTATGGTCAAAAAATCAAATATTTAGTACCAATGAATATAAATAACTTGATATACATGATAAATATTATGCATTAACAAGTATGAGCAAAAATATTTATGCTCTCTAAAACTATTTTCCACTTGCTACCAAAATCTATAATACAGGTATTAATAAATAAATTTATATCTTTAGTCTATTAGAAAAAACTGGTAAAAGGAAAAGACTTTCTCAATTAATTATAATCAATTTATATCTCTTCAGGAATTTACACTCTTCAATTTGATAAACTTTATACCTTAAATAAAACAGAAGATGATTTAATTAAAGTTAAGAATAAGGAAATAAAGTATAAATATGCATTTAGTAAATTTGAACGAAAAGGTTGAGAGTTTAAATTCAAAATCATAATTTTGATATTTATAAGTTTATTATTATATGATATAAATAATATATTTATCACGACATGATTAAGTAAGATCAATCATCTTAATCTTTATTTATTTATTAAATGCTCTTAAAATATTAGACAAAATTAATAAGAGAGAACTTTTATTCTTCTTTTTTCATTTATTTAATTTGTTATCTAAGAGTTTGTTTTTTACCTCCTATACTATTTCCCAGTAAATTAGTAATTTAGCTAGAAAGATGTGGTAATTCAACTTTAGGATCATATGGAGGTTCATCACCATCGGTAAATGAATCTTCTAATTTCTATTTGAGTGACTTAAAATCATTAATCATACATTTATCAACTCCTTTAATATCAGGATCATTGGGTGATAATGTTGACTTCATTTAACTTCCAATATTTAAATAAATATATAATAATAAGCCATCCAATTTTGTATGTAAATCCTTAGCCCTTCTATCCTCAATATCCATAGGTTTATCTCCTCTTATTATTGATAACTTTTCTGCTAATCTACTACAAGCTTCAATAAATTCATGAAAATTCATTTAGTAGTGTTTAGAAGAGAAGAGTTCATCCTTCTATGTAACCATGGATTGAAGATACACTAAGTAACATTCTCTTTCACTCAAATCATCACAAATTAGTTTACATTCATTTATGAAATCTTTAAAATCTGAGAATGATACATATTCAAATTTATATTATTGTGGTTTTTTACTTAATTTACAACAAAATTTGAATAAAGATTTAAGCATGGCAATTCTGTCATTCAATAAAATATCACATTTTTGATTCCAAAGTCTAGTTTTTCTCCACTATTAAGATTAATCAAATCTACTAAAATATTCTTGACTTAATTGTTTAATTGCATTAATTGAATCAACCATTGTAGTATGAATTGCAGATCTTATAAATTTATCATTACATAATCTGATCATGATTTCCAATAATTAACATCTAACAATACCTTTTTCATATGCCTATGGAAATACTACATCTTTTGCTGCGCTTGTTGAAGTAAAACTAATATCGATATCATTAGTTTTCATTCCATCCATCAATGAAGTTTATACTAAAAAATCAATAAAATCTTATATCATTATACAAGGTATCGGTGTATTTAATGATCCTGAAGCATGATATTTATAAATATGAAATAAGTTTCTATATAAATCTTTGAGACATTCTTTAACATCTATAATTTCATTCTCTTTCACAAGTCTAGTAACTTTTGAATTCTAAAAATCAAATTCAAAACATTAATCAATTAATTAAGATGTATCTGGTTAGAAATTCCGAAATATTGAATTTTCAACTGACCAACACTATTTCTTTATATTTAGATAGGGAGAGAAATCAAATTTAGCTAAAGGTTCTCTTGGTTTACATTAAACTAATGGCATATATTTATCAAATAATTATTATTTGTTTAATGTTTTTAACACATTCAAACATTCAATTATATTTCCATCTACTAGAATTTCTTCATTATAAAGAAAAGGTATGGAAGGTATTGGAATTTCTAATTAAATTATTGGTTAATCAATTGCTGGTTATTATACACTTAATATTGGATTTGTAAAGAAATAATGAATATCACAATTTGGTGGACACATTTTAACCAAAAAGAATTCATGATTTAAATGAGTCATCAAAAGTGGTTTATAATCTTCAAAATCAAAATGAATAAATATTGGTTCATTATATAAACTTCCTGATTTATAAGCATTCCATTCAAATTTGATTTCTTACCATCCTTCACAAATCCAACAAGTATCTAATTTACCCATCTAATTAACTTTTTAAACATTAAGTTTAGTAGATCTAATTTTTCTTTATCTACTATATGGCATAACAAATTCTTCATATTATTTTGTACCTAAAAAGCAATCTTTTTTAGGTTCATCCAATAATTTGAAATATTATGGTTATTTATATAATTAAACTAATTTATCACTTTAAACTTTTTTTTATTAAATATTATTCATTAAGAATCCATTTTAATTAACTACTAATTCTGTTTAATTACCTTCAAAATGAAATCCATAGATAGTTTCATTTTTAATCAATGCTTCAGCAATAATTTATGCTTATAAATAGGTAAATTTATTATATGAAAGATCAACATGAAGTAATTCATTATATGGTCTAGCTATTGCTTTAGCTATTGATGTAGCAGAATCAAGTGAAGCTATATTATTATGTGATAGATCTAATATTTTAATGCTTGTATTCTTATACATTGCTTTCCAAATAGTGTTTCCAGCACTTGAATTTAAATGATTATATCCAAGATATAATTCCAATAATCTTTATGTTTATTTCAATAAATTTGAAAGACTCAAACAAGCAGATTCTGTTATTTAATTATTATTCAAATTCAAATGTTATAGTGTATTATTATTCATCAAATATTTCACTATTATTTTACATCCTTGATCTCTAATGTTGTTTTTTTCTAAATTTATTTTACTTATTTAATTTTTATTAATGTAATTCATCAGTACATCCATATGTTGATAGTGTAATTTACAGTCAATTAATTCTAAATCTTTCAAGGTTGTAGGAAAACTTATTAACATATCTCTTAATTACTTTGGATCAAAAATATTATGATTCATTTATAAATTTGTAATACTTTTACTTTATTAAGTTTGCATTGCATATGAAAATGCCCTACAATCATCTCTTGATCTTAAACATCTATTTGTATTTACAGACAGCAATTATTATGTATTCTAAATCAAACCAAAAGTCTTTGGAACTCTTTAAGGTTATGAAACATTTAAACTCAAATAGAGATTTTGAGGTTATTACTTATATACTTTAGCAAACTCATTTAACTTTGCAGTGTTTCTTACAGAACTTAGAAAGTCTTATGTACTTAAAGTTGGAAGAACTTTGCTACTAATATTTATAATTATTTACTTTCCTTGTTTCATTCTTTGAAAATACAAATACCTTTCATTTCCTTTCTACAATTAGGTATTTTTTGTACTCGATTCTAATGTTTTTGCTTTCTGTGTTGGTTCTTGTGAAAAATCATCTGAAGTATTCATCTAATGAATCATGTCCTATTCTTTCTACATAAAAAATTGCCAATCACAAACTTCATGTTTGAAAAGTTCATCAGCAATGTTTTTCTCAAAACTAGAGGATGCATTTTAATTATCTTAATTTCTATCTTCCTCAGGTTTTTGACTTCTGAAGAGTTTTCTTTAAACATTTTTCGTTGTACTAGGTTGTTTTGTCAAATATTAAAAGCTTAAAGTAGCCTCACTCTTATGAGGAACCATTAATCTACGAAATGTATCTATTGGTGGATATTATAGCTTATTTGTATCATTTTAAAAAATCATTAATAATTATTTTTTAATACTATGTGTTATCAAATAGTTTATCATTGTTAATTTGACAATCAAATTTACTAAAATATTTATATACATTTAAACAAATCACTTATTTCAAATTATGAAGCTAAAAAAATTAATTATTCATAACTTATTCAATTATATTTATTTTAACCTAAAACCTTTCTATATTAATTTACATATTTTTTATAATCTATTTAATTTTGTATTATAATTTAACATATTATCACTTTTTTTAAATTGCTACATTTCTTTAGATAATTATAATACATAAGTTAAATTGATCAGAATTTATTATCATCTAAATATTTCTAACATTTAAAAATAAAAATAAAACTTTATATTTAATAGATGGGTTGTGGAGTTAGTACTAAAATTAATATTCAAGACCCTGATTAAAATAATGATTAATCTTTGCAAATTGATAATTCTAATAATTAATAATAAGATATCCAATAAATTGAGGCAAATTAGTAGGATACATAAGAACAACAAGATGGAATAAGAAGAATTTTATAAGAGGATATTGATCTTCCATGCAAAAAACCTAAACCAAAATAAACAGATAATAATATTGATTAAATTCAATTTGAACCTTCTTTAAATGAACAATCTTCAATTCTGAGAAATGAAAGATTGTAAAAATTAATCAAGTTTGGAAGGGAATATGTTAAACTATTACATCGTAATTCTGAAACTGAATAATAAATTATTAATGAAATTGAATAGTTGATTTTTTCTAATTAACTTACTTTACAAGAATTGAATGTAATATAATTTTATTTACTTTTTAGAAAATATCTAAAAGATATGATAAATCATTGCTTTAAATATTATTCTTGAAAGGTTGTTAAGGAATTACTTTACTTGAACTCATTTTAATTTATATAGAAGATTTTTCAATAATCACTCATTTATTATAAGAACATTATTTCCCAATTAATGATGATTTCTATTTTGTTGCTATACGAATTATTAATAAAATTAAACCATTAAGAAAAAATGATATTCAAGTTCAATAATCCATTGAATTTATTAAAACAATCTCAAATTTCAATTAAATAAATTAATTAGCAATAAATAAAGAAGCTCATATTATATTTAATGGAGTTACTAATTTTGGATCAGAATTCAATCTAAAAAATCAATATCATGTTTAATTATTAAATGCAATTGTGAAATTGTTTAAAAAATTCTAAATTCATTCAAGTTTGGAATATTTATATAAAACTGCTAAGATTGATAAAAATTTCACTAATTTATCAATACCAAAGTCTATACCAAAAGGAGAATGCAATTATGTCAAATGTTATAAGATAGAATTAGAATTTCTAAAAATGAATTTGTTTCATTGGATAGCATTAAAAAATGAGTGGAATCTTTTTAAATAATATGCTAACAATTATTATTAATAGCCTGATATTTCTGGATAAACTCCTTTTATGATTTTTACAGAAAAAGCTCCATTAAGAATTATTTTAGAATATATAACAACATATCCTTCATAACTAAAATAAGCCATAAATTATTCAACCTTTTAAGGTAAAAATATTCTACATTGCATTTCTATGAATAAAAATATTTCAGAAACAAATTTAAACGAGATTATTAAAATCTTTAATCATTTCGAATCTTAAGAATCCTTAAAAAAATTATTATATTAATCATTCTATGATTAAATTCCTTTAATTTCTTATTTAGATTCTCATAAATAAATTCTAAATCCAATTTGTCAATTTTTGAGTCAATTTATTATCAAAGAATTTGATTTCAACTAATTTATAGTTTAAGCTGTGAGACTTTCACATTTAATTAAATAAACTAAATATAAAGATCTTAAAGAAAATTAAAAGAGTGAATTCATAAAATTATATGATAGATTCTTTTATTATAAAAAGATAAAAGTAGAACAAAAAGATGAGGAAATTGACGACGAAAGTGATGAAGATAATAAGAAGAAAAATGAAAAGAAAATTTTAATCAAACAGATTCCTTAACCATAAATATTAACAGAAGAGGATTTTATTTATTTACATTATATTTAGCTTGTTAAATAAGTAATAAAAAAAGATTTCAAAGTTAACTTCGATTGGATTAACAATTTCAATATTTACACAAGTTATTTTCCTAATGATATAGGAACTGCTTAATAAACATTCATGAATATTTTATTAAGAAATGGACATTAAGAAAAAGTAAAGTCAACTATTACTTAAATGATTTAATAAATAAATTCAAATATGGAGACTAATAATCCAAATATGTTTTCTTTGAAAGCATATTTGCTTGCTTAATTGATAAGTTTAAAAAAAGAATAAAAATAATATCCAAATTAGGAATTATTTAATAGGATAGATTCGATAGTAATAGAATAAATTAGCTAAAATCCTATACTATTGATCACTTAAATTTTTGGAAATACTGATTTTAGATCATTAGAACATCAAACTATTTATTCTTTACTAATTTAATTAAATGATTAAAAATTACTAAAAAAATGTTTATCTGCTGAATTGTTATTCGATATAGATTAGAAGACAAAATATTTAATTTTAAATACAGCATTCGAGTTGAAATAATTAAATTCTAAAGATAACTTGCTTAATAAAATAATAGATTCCATATAAATTAAAGCTAAAATCAGATTAATTAAATATTTTTTTTAGATTACCTTAAATAATAATTAACAAGAAATTAATAATTAAGAGGATAATACAATAAATTTTAAAACATTAATTTATCTTGACCTCTAAGATTATGATGCAAAAAAAGCAATCATCAAGTAAATTCTTTAAAAGGATCAAAAGAATGATGAATTTCATTATTTTAGAGCATATATATCATATAAAAATATTTTAGTATTTAACTAAAATATAGAATCTCAAAAGACATTTTTAGAAATGCTTAAATCTAAACCATCACTCTTTCTAAATAAATTCTGGTCTTTGAAAGATGAATTTAATTTTAATCCTGAAATATTAAATGAATGTGAAGTGAAAAAAAAATTTACTATATTTGATTTAAAATTTGAACATTATGAAAAAGCATTTGATTGGTAAATTTGCGGAATCTTGGCAAAAATATAAAATTCTTAAGTTCCTACTAATATAAACATAAGTAATTTAAGTCATAAGTAGAATGTTATTCTTATTTAAATAAGTCAGAAAATTTCATTTGTAGAAGCTTTAGCTTAATCGAATAAATTGAATTAAGAATTTTAAAATTTTATGTTAAGCTATTAAAAAGAAAAAAAGTTTATTAAACCAAATCTTGTTAAAATGATAGAAGCAGAAGCTTTTAACAATATCTAATTTATAAGCAATTGGTTCTAATTAAGTTTAGATGAACTTATCGCATTATTAGCTAATTAATATTTTTTATTTGAAATAAATGGAAAATAGAAAGCCTATACACATGACAATTAGATTGTTGAACAATTTAATTAACAACTATAAAAATTATTAGAAATTTAAATATCTTAGTATGAATAAAATTAAGGTGTTAAATATAATTTTTCAAATATAATTTAGTTAATTTCTCTATAAAATTGGAAAATGTTAGATGAAAAAACAAAAAATTCTATTTATAAAACTATCAATAAAGAATCTTTAATTGATTTAATTTATTCGGAAGTAAATATTGAAGTCACATAGTCAATAATCATAGATATTTTATCTAAAGGTTCAATTGAATTAATATAAATGGTAATTAAACATTGTACAAAATCATTACCTAAAAATTCAAATATAATAAATTTGATAATAAATTTAGCTCTTAACATTGAAAATAAAGATGAAGAAACTATAATTTTGTTAGAAAAGTTATATGTATCTTTCTTTTCACATAATGAAAATTAAGCTCTTCAATATCTTCACAAAATAAAGCTATAAAGAAATAAAATTTATTATCTTTATGGTCTTGTTTTGAAAAAGAGTTAATCAATCTAAACATTAAATGAATTATTATTCTATTGTGAAAACAATTCCTTAAACCTTGATAATTAGATATATAAAGTACCTTTGAAATGTCCAGAAAATTTAGAAAATTATTATAAGGCTTTATCTAAATAATATTAATTAGTTTTTACTATATCTTAGTATTAAGAATTTTGCAAATAAGTTGTTTTGACAACAGCTTAAAAAATTAAACATCTAAATTCATTTATTGTAAATGGTCTTTATGAAAAACTGTAGTTTCTTCTTAGATAAACTGTTTTTGATTTTGAGACATATAGTACAACTTATTTTTAAATTATAAAATCATATTTAGAAGAATAATTAAATATAAAATTTGAGAATATATATGGCGATTAAAAAGATGATTATTAATAAGCAGATAATGATGAAAATGGAAACGAAAATATATTAAAAAATAATAAAATTTAATTTTTTGATCTCTAACAAAATAATATTCAATTCAAGAAGCTGAGAAATAAAAGAAGTGAAATGGAAATAAAAGATGAAGCTTAGAAAATTGTTTAAAACTTTTGTAGAGTAAATAATATAAATCTTCTCTAAAAATTATTTATTAAAAAAGTTCATAAAATACAATAAAACATAAGTTATTAATAAAGCAAATTCTTTGGAGAATAAAAACAAGATCGATCAGTTTTATTTATGAGTTCTGGAGGATAAAAAACAGATTATCTAAAATGTATTGAATTAATTTAAAAATAATTTATCCCAAAAAAAGTTAAGTCTAAAACTATTTTAGCTAATTATGAATTATATTCACAATTATTAAATCCTAAGAATAAAAAAATAAAAAAAAGTTAAGAAATTATTTAAATATTATTGTCAATATTTGAAAAAAACAAATCTCCTAACGCATTTTTAACTTCAAGAGCATAAGGTTATATAGATTTATATAATGCAAACATAAATTCTAAATAATTTAAAGTAGAATTTCAATTTCCATAAAAATTTTCATAGTTTTAGAAATAGTTTTTTTTGGAAATTTTGTTAACCCTTAAAAATGAGTCATAAAATGAAACAGCGAATTTAATTTTAAGATAATAACATGAAAATATCAGATGTGTTAAATTTCTCTAAAAATATTTAATTGAGTTAGAAAATAAACGATTTAACAATACAACATTATTCTATATAACCAAAAAAGTGGATATATTAAAAAATAATTCATATCCTTTGAATGAACTTATTTATAACAAGAATTCTGAATAAATTAAAACTTAATTTTATAATATGCAATATACAACAGACGAATTAAATAAAAATCAAGTATATCTTCGAAAAGGTAGACATGATCATATTACAAAAAAATAATAGTTTTCGCAAAATCATTTAGTTTCTGCAATTATGGGAAATAATTACACATCTATCATATATGCCTTGAATCTTCACATTGATCCAGTAAATTGTGCTTTGTCAAATAATGTATTCTAAATTTTAATAATCCAGTAATGTGAGGTTAATATAATTGAATATTTTAAACAATTTATTAAAGGTAAAGTAAATGCTTATGAGAAGCTTTTAACAATTAATGAAATACCAATCCTTTATTATATATTTTACAAAAAAATGGAGAGAGTATTTAAAGAATGTTTTCTTGATTATTTAATTAACTTATTGGGTAAAGAATAAGCAAATAATTTAATTAAAATTTAATTGCAATTATCCTCAATTTTAACTGAATATAAGATATATTAAATTGCTTTATTAAATAAATGTTACTATATTTTGAATTACTTAGATGAAATTATAACTTAGGAAGATTTGATACTTGTAAATTCACCATTAAATTTTGTATGTCAAAATGTACCTTAAGATTTAGAAGAAAATTCTAAAGAAGATTTATTTTATAAAAAATATTTTGATTTGTTATAATTGGCATCATAACAATTATATTGGTGTTAGTATGAAAAATTAAAGAAAAAAGATTAAAAATAGAAAAATTTAAAGGAAGAGAATAAAAAGAAAGCAATGAAAAAAAAGAAATAGATAAATAAAAAAGGAAAAAAGAGTATTCTATCAAAAGAATAAGCTCCTATTAAAAAATATAGAAGCCTATATATTAGGGATAAATAATTAAATGAACTAATTTTATTTGAATAAGCTTGCTTAAATTCAGTATTTAAATTGAAAGCTTAAATTAATCTAAAGAATAAACTTTTATCTTTAGAATTAAGTGATAATAAATTAGAATGTTTGGATAAATATTAATATCCAGAGGAAATGTTAAAGTATTTTATTTAAGGAACTAAAATTAAAGATGAACTCTTAAATTATGATGAAAATTAAGTTTAAAATTTCTTAAAAAATTGTTTTTAATATTAAATTATTCATAATCATATAGTCTTAGAATTACTCGAAATTAATCCTTTACTTCTTCTAAAAGTTTTATAAGGAATACATTTTACTTTAGAAGTAGCAGTGATATTATATATTAAATTGAAGGATACTCTTGAATTTGACAATTTTTTAAGTTATCATATAAAAATGTACACTGATTATATTAGAATTCCAGAACATGTAGTACCTATAGAAGGTGAAGTAATTAGATAAGAGGTAGAACATCCTAAATTATAAGAATATATGAAACCATCTGTTGCTTATATTTTAATGTTGTTAAATAGTATTAAACAAGACAAATATGATTCAAAATTATTGAACTAAAAATATATTTCAACTCCATTATTTTAAAGAACTTATGATCTAATAAAATAATACACAAATTAATAAAAATTAATATAGATGGAATATACAAGCAATACTTTATAATTTTTAAAAGATTTCTCTTAAATCACTTTAAATATTGAAAATAGTCATTTTTATGAAAAATTAATTTCTGAAGAAAATTGTCGAGAAGCAACTATTTTAAAAAGCATAATCATTATTAAGGAAATTGAAGCAATTGTTTATAATTTTAAGACATAATGCTAGATGTATCTTAAAGAGAAAAAATAGGATAAATAATGTAAAAAAATATTTTAAGTTTACTTTGGCAATGAAAATATATAAATTTTAGATGATTGTTTTTGGATTTATTTGACTATAGAAAATAATTAGATAATTTTAGACTAAACTAAAATTGATAAAGTTTTAGAATTTTTAAGTTAGAAAAAACACTAAAAATAATTAGAATAATAACCTGTTTTGATGGAATAATTACTAAAAGTTAAATTTGAATAAATGAAATAAGTTAATTAATCTAAATTTGATTTTACCTGTTTGAATTTAGTGGATTTTGAAAATTTACCTTATGAAGACCTTGTAGATAAAATATTATAATTAATAATACCTTTAGAAAAATGTGGATAGTATGAAATAGATGATTTATTTGCACCTCATTAACATGAATAAATTAGATAACCTGAATTAACATAATAAATTTCAATATAATAACCAGTATTATAAAGATAATAATCTTCTTAAATTGGTGCTTTAGGTTTAACAAGATAAGTCTCTACAAGTTAAAGATAAAAATTAAAAGAAGATTTTTAATTCATGTTAGAGCTTCTACCTGATAATACTTATTAAGTGAGATAAAGACATTAAAAATTAAATTAAAAAGAAATAATTTTTTCAGAGTTTTATTAATTCTAATAACCAAATATAAAGTTGAATTTAATTAAATTAAGTAAATCAGAATTTATATAATAATATAATACTAGAAAAGTTATATCAATAGTTGTATAGAATCTTTATAAATATAATGAATATTTAGGTAATCTAATAGAAGGTCAATCATAATAAGAAGATTGGATTATTGATTTTCCATTTTATATTTTGGATAATTAAATTAAATTCTCAGAATGTCTGTTTGCAACTTAAAGTATTCAATTTATATATAATAAACTTTTTAAATTTATTGAACAAGTGTTTTTATTATCTGAAAATGATAAAAAAGACAATAAGAAATTAATTTGGAGAATAAATGCAATATCATTTTTAGAAGTTTTTATTAGTAAAATAATTGATTTGTAAAATTAAGAATTTTCCTGTATTGAAATATATTCATTAATCAACTCATTATTGTAATGGAAGAGCTTAGCTATGATTTTAAATACATTAATATATCATAATCTAGAATAGGCTTAATAAGTATTAAAAGTCATAAGGGGAGTTTATGTTGAATTTAATGAAATCCATGATTTAGCTTAATAGAATTGTTAATTTATAGATACTAATAGTATTTTTGATAAAACATTTTTATTTGGAAATACTTCTTATTTGCTTTAGAATTAGATGCTAATTATTAGATTAAATGTTAAAATTGAATCAAATACTCAGTAAATAATTGAAATAAAAAACAATTTAATGATTTCAGATAGTAGAATTTAATTGTATTATAATAATATTCTAAACATTTATGATTTTTTTAATTAGATATTCAGCGCTGATCAACTTGTTTAGTTTATTTTTAATAAACTTGAAGTAGATAGATGTTTGCTTAATTTTTCAAATAAGATAAGTTAATTTATAAGTAAAACAATAACTTTATCAGTGGATCATTTCTAATTAGTATAGATATTTTCAAATGAAATTTTAAGAGCTATATCAATAAAAAATAATGAAACAAAATACAGGGAATTAGAAAATATTTGGTATATTTTAAATGAATTATATGGATATTTTACAAGAGACCTCTATAACTATTTAGTGAATTAATATCTTACTGAAAAATTTAATAATATATTTTATATAAGATTTAGTTGTCTATTGAATTCTATAAAGTATAAAAAGAATGTGAATGAAATTATAAATTCAAATGTAAGATAAATTATTAAATCTGATGGAAGGTTAGTTTTAGAGAAAGTAGGTAATTTAAATAAATAAATAACCAAAAAATTATACTTTAAATTTGGTTTTTAATTAATAACTTCTTTTTATATTAGTAATTGCAAATTAGGAGATATTTGTGCAGTATGCCATTATAAAAATTCTAGTTTGAATTTATTTTATGGATAATTGGTATGCAACACAAAACCAGGATTTTTGATATTTCATAATTTGAAAGATAATTCAGCTAAAAGTTAAGAGGAAATTGTTAGATTATAATAAGCTTATATAATAGGAACAAATATTTAAGATTAATAACAAATTAATTTAGAAGAACTTAATTCAATAATTTTATTTTAATCAAGTTGGCCAAATGATCCATTATTTAATAATAGTATTCTGAATTTATTTTTTACTAATTTTGAATAAGATTTATTTATCTGTAATGAATAAAACTTTATAAGATCTATGATTGAGATATAAAATGAAATAGATGAAAATGTTAAATAAGATAAATTAGATGATTTATTTGGAATTGGCCTAACTTCATCATATAGTGATATTACTATAACATAAATGACTCCTACATTTGTAGATTAAATTAATTTCGATTTCATTTCTATGAATGTATTTAGAAGATAATAATCAGCTATATCTCCAAATACTGTTTTTGTTAGAATAAATGAAAATTAATTTGAATTAGATCCTCTACCAACTTAAAATATTAATACAGCTTGTTATTTTGAATCAAATGTTAAAAGTTTAAAATTATTAGGAAAATTAAATAATTTCATAATATAGCATAAAGAATTTCACTAAATTTATTTAATATTTGATGATGAACTTGATCAATTTGCTATTTAAGCATCTGAAAGAATAATTATTGAAAATTCTGGTATTATTAGTTTCATAAAAGGTTATGAATAATTTATTACAAATTAAAAATAAAATTAGATAAATAGTTCTTTATAAATGTTTTTTGAAGTTGAATCTATTTCATCAATTAAAATTAATATAATTAAAAATTTAATTTCTAAAGTTGAAATTATTTTTGCTCCTTATAAAGAAGATCATGAAACTTTAATTAAATTATAAAATTAAACACTTTAAATTTACTCTTTTTTAGAAGATACTAAAATGATTTGTCCTGAAATTGAAGAAATTTCTAATTTCTTCTTTAATCTTATTATAAATTTTTAAACTTACAATTTAGATTCTTTTCTATTAAATGAAAATAAAATTCAAATTATATTTAACACTATTCCAGAATAAGATTTTGTAAAAATATTTGTAGATATAATGTTGATTGCCTAATATTTGCATAAGCTATTATGTATCATTGATAAAGAAAATCAAATAAAAGTAATTAACATTAAGAACACTACAGAAATAATTACTAAGAATAAATATTCATTTTACTAATTTATTGATGAGTAGATAATATTTAATTACTTTAGATATAATGATTTTAGTTTTTCTGATTTCATATTAGATTATTTGAACAGAAATTAAATAAACTAACAGTTTAAATATGAATATCAAGTTTCCTATTCTGGACCTTAATTACTCTAATAACCATTAATATTAAATCCAAGAGAAATATTTTAAGATATTAATTAATAGGATTAAATAGAATTATTATCAATTTTAGATCGGGATATTATAATAAAAAATTAAGAGAAAGCAAATCCACAAGAATTTAAGGAATTAATATTGATTCCAATAATAAATGGGTTTTATATCAACTTATTTTATTTTAAGAGCTTTTAACATCCGATTCTTAAGGAATATAATAATCAAGAAAAAAATGAATTTTAGGTTGAAGAGGAAATAAGATTTCTAATAAATCCAATTAACTCTTAAATAGATTTAGATTAATAAGTATAAAAAATAAAAATAAAAGTAAAATATGGAAAATTAGAAAAAAAAAAATATAATTTAAGTTAATTGTTGTATAAAAAATAAGAATAAGAAAGTTTAATGGTAAAAGGATAATTTTTAACAAAGAATTTTATGCTTGTTACGATAAAAAGCCATAGTAGAATGAAAATTGATATTAATTATAATTTAGGTGGTTTATCTTATCAAAATTATTAATTTTCTAAGCATGTAAAGTTTGATTATTAAATTCAAACTGTTTAAGTTTTAGAGAACACGATTCATGTTTCAGTTTAACATGATTTAAAAAATTGTAAGGTTGAACATGAAAAAGAGGAACACTCAACTTATGGTAAAGGCGATCGTATTTTGATGAAAATAGTTTCAAAAAAGGTTAAGGAGAATCGAAAAGAACAGAATATATATTAATAATTTGAAACTTTAACTCATTCTAAAGAATTATAAACTGGAAATACAATAAATATTATTAGTAATTAAGATATAGCTGTAGCTACAAGAGCAGGGGTATTAAGAAAAGATTATATAGAATTTAAAGATGCAAATTATAATTCAGTTGAGTAATTTTCTTTTAACAGAGCTACATTTGTTCATTCTCTATTTTATTAGATATAATATGTACCAAATTAAGAAAGAATAGACTATGGATTGAATTTGATTTGGACTCCTACTTTTAAAGGAATATATCATTTATTTATAGATGATGTTAAAATTGATGGTCGATTTATTGTTTTAGCTAATGTACCAGATGTAGAAAAATCAAAAATAGAAATATAGGATAATTTGGATATTATACCATTCTGTGAAAGAATATAAATATCTTTTTATTTGAAGGATGAATTTGAAAATTGTTATGGAGACATTGAAAATTAAATATTTAATGATTCTAATTGCAATGTTAAAAAGGCATCAGGAAATTAATCAAAACTTAATTTGTCATAAAATAATTTAACTAAAATTGGTTGTCTAAATATAAATATTTTATTTGAACCATTAGATATTTTAGTTTTAGAAGACTAGGTTATATTAGATTTTTTCATAAATAATTAATTAAAGAAAAGTATTAAAATTTTATATTAATAGGTTAAAAATTGAAACTCTAAGGTTTGGGTTTAGAAAAAAGAAAATAACGCTTATAAGATGATATTAATTAAGTTTGGAAACCAACTCGTTATGATTTGAATATTAGTCGTGTTAATTTCTTAGAAGATCTTTTAGAATTGACAGAAAAAAGACTTAATTATTCATTCAGCATTAAATTTGCAAATGAACCAGGTATTGATGCAGGTGGTTTAAAGAGAGAATTTTATGATATGATTGGTAATACACTTAAAGATGAGAATTATAAATTCTTTTCTCCAGTATCATCAAATTAAAGTAAATATTTTTTGCATCCAAAATTTAATAAACAAAAAAATAAAGAAAGATATGCATTATTATTTGGAAAAGTAATTATATATTTTAATAAAGTTAATTGCTAATGCAATAGGTAATTCTTATCTTATAGGAATTGATATAATAGCACCATTTTGGAAAGTTGTATTTGATGAATAAATAGTATTTTCAGACTTAAGTCTTATTTGGGATAAAAATACTTATAATAATTATGAAAAATTGAAGAGTTTAAGTGAAGAAGAATTAGAATCTGTTTGTCTTGTGTTTACATATTCTTCAGGAAATACTGAGATAGAATTGATAACTAAAGGATCATAAACAAACGTTTCTTAGAAAAATTTAGAATTATATCTCAATAAAACTGCAGAATATGTTATATATAAATAATTTGATAAAATATACAAATCATTTATTGAAGGATTTTAATCAATATTAGACATACAAGTATTTCTTATTTAATTATTATGTATAGATATGTAAAAAATGGTTAATGCCTTATGAAATGTCTCTTTTGACTTAAGGATTATTAGAAATTAAGTCTGATATACTTCTCTAAAAATTTCATTTTAGTGGAGGAAAACCATAACATAAATCATATTTCGAGACTTATATTACTTAAGCATCTTCTGAAACTCTTAAAAATATGTTGAAATTTATTACAGGTAATATATAGATATTAAAAATTTAGGATCATCCTCTATTCCTTTTGATCAAAGTTCTTATGTTATTACTGTCAGATTCGAATAAGGACTTTCAGATAGAAAATTACCACTTAGTCATACCTGTTTTAAATCGATAGAAGTACCTCTTTATAAAAGTTTTACTGAACTTAAATAGAAATTAGATATTGCCTTCACTATTGGATTTGAAGGCTATGCATTTGGTTGAAATTGAGTTTATAATTTAATAAATAAATATCATGAGGTGCTATCTTGAATTAAATTAAATACATCTTTAATTATTTTTTTTATTTTATCCATTTTTAATAAAATAAACTCGAATCATCTTTTAATTAAATTCTATCTAAATATCGAATCTTCATTTAAGCTTAAAGAATTTTTAAACATCTGTTTTTTATTTTTCTAAGAAATATATGATTTGCTGAAATGATGTCTATACTAATTCTAAACGCATTCTTTCTTAATCATAATAAAATAATCATTATTCTAAATCAAATTCACCTAAATTGATGAATCAGATATTTATCTATTTTTATAAACTCAACTTTACTAATATATTATTAAAATTCAATACCAGAAAACAATTTTTAAATTTACTGAAGCAAATAAGATCTCTAAAATATCCCCTAATTGATATCTTTATCAATAAATATTCTTTTAATTTTACTCATTTCATATCCAATTCTTTAATAATATATACTTATATTTTATAAAACTATATTGTTGATTAAAATTTTGTATGATACTAATATTATCTTTTTCTTTTTCCTAATAAAATACTCTATAATTATAATTATCATATATTTGTAAAAATAATAGAGTAGATGTTCTAATGAAATTGGTTTCTTGTATAGAATAAATAAATAATGAAATTATTTATTATTCTATCATAATAATAAATATTGTATAAAGAAATATAATGTCTAATCCAAGTCTAATTTTCAAATAATAAAATGCATTCAAATCTTAAAGTGAGATTGTTTTATCTAAGAAAAGCAATGATGATAATTTTTCCTTCATATAACATAATATTTAAAGTTAAATAAAACTCAAAAATACATAAACCATTAAAGATTAGATCGAACATTTATAAAAAGAAATAGTATTCTTAGATGAAAAATCAATAGAAATAAGTGAAGATTAAAGAAAATATACAAAAAGCAAATTGAAGTTATAATTAATGTAGGTTTTAAGTTAAAGTGAACATGTTTAAACAATAAAAATACCTTAGATTAATCAAAATATTGAAATTAATAATAAAGAACTTATGCTTTATGTATTAAAAGAAACCTTAGCAAGAGATTAAAATAGAGAAATTCTTATGACTGATGGTATACATTCTTGTGGTTTTGATTCAATAATAGGTGCTTTTGGTTAAGATTAATAATGCCTTAGATTTAGAACAACAAATGTATAGTATGAATAATTAATATCTGATGTTATGGTTAGAGAATAATATTTATTAAACTTTAAGGAAAATGTTTCTAAAATCTATAATGTTCCTCTATCTGATGTTATTATTTTAGACATTACAAAAGGAAGCAGTGTAATCTCATTCAAAATTTAGAATAAAACTGATTTATTAAATGATTTAGAATCAATGAAATTTCTTGAAAAAAATTGTAATGGTCAAGTTGATATTCATAATTATTTTGTTGAATGTAATAATTAGAAAAAATCAGGAATAGGAATAAAACCTCAAGATTTTGATCATAGATATAATATGGTTTGGGATGGATTTAAAGATTTTGAATTAAGAGGACCTTCTGATAAACGTTATGAATATTATTTTCCAAAAGGATGTTAAGGTTTCGGTTTAAATATTGATAAATATGGAAAAGATTAAAATTGGATTAAAATGAATGGTAATAAAAATGAGTGGAGAATATTGTATCATGGAACAAAGAATGAATGTGTAAAAGATATAATAATATCTCATTTAAAACCAGGATAAAGAAATTAATATTCTAAATATCAATGTATTAATGAAGAAGGAGAAATTGTTAAAGTTGGAACTGGAATATACTTTTCTGATAAGGTTGAGGTTTGTGTAAATGATGGCTATGCAACACCTATTGATATCAATGGTCGAAAATTTTCAGCAATATTTATGACTAGAGTTAATCCCAAAAAAATCAGATAAAGTGAAAGCATGAAATAATCACGTTATTTTGTAGTTAATAATTCTGAAGATGTTAGATAATATAGAATTTTAATATATGAGTAGAAATGATATCAATTTTTAATTTATTTTTATCAAATTATTAAAAATTTAAAATAAGATTTATAAAAAAATAATATCTAATTTAGAAAAATCCACATTAATTTAAGTTATAAATTATTTTATTCATTTTAAAATTAATATAATATAATTTTAGTTATTTAATTATGATGCTTAATATTCAGTGATTTTTTTTGGAGTTTATTAAATATTTAATATTATATATAATCATTTAACAAAATAATATTATAATTATTGATTCATTTTAGTATATACATCATTAAAAAGTATACAATTTAAAAATAAGAAATTAATTAACGATCTTTATATCAAAAAAATTTTTATTTCAGTCATAAGTTTTTGATAATTTATAAATATATTTTATATTTAAATTTATTTGATAGCTAGAGAGAAGAATAAATGATATCAATATTAGTAAATATTTTTACAGTATATCTTAAAATTAAGTTCAATTATATATCTTTAAATTGATAATATAGTTATAAGATTAGAAATAATTTTTTTCTAAAATTCCTTATGAAAATTTTTTCTTTATTCCTGATTCCAGCCTCTTATAGAGACTTTCAATTTTCTCTTTTACAAGAATTTAAAATCAGAAAATGATATTATTGTTCTTTAATTTTATCGATGTTTTTAGTCAAATTTACTTTAGTCTAAGGTTATAAATGAAATACAAATCTAAAAAAACAATCCCTAAATTTTTAAATATAATATTAGCTCATATTGAATTTCTTTTTTAAAATTATATTCATTTATTAATAAAAATAAGAATAATTATAATTTTAAGTTAAGATGAAGGATTTCAAAATTTTATAATTTTTGATCAACACATAAAGAACTAAAAAAATCAGACTTTTAGTTAATATTGAATAATAAATTAATCAGCTGCTATAAATGTATATTGTTATCTTTTTTATACGATTTGATTAAATTCAATTGTTTTGTTATTTGATTTAAAAATAAATATCGAAAAGTTAAACGTTTTATATATTTTTTCCCATTTTGAAAAACTATAATTGTTAATCATTAAATGTGATTACTTTTTGGGAACATATGCTGATCACTGAATTAGTTAAGTTTAAATATCTTATTATACAACTAATAAGACGGCAGATTATTTTTTTTATAAAAAAAGAAAAAATTATTCTGATTATTGAATTAAAAATGTGATAAGACAAATTTTATGAATATATATATCGATTTTTATGTAAGAATGAATTATTAATAATAATATCAAATAAGACTAAATAGATATGAAGATTTAAACTTCTACTTTCTATTTATTAATAATGTTTAGTTTAACATTTTGCTCTTAATTTAACGAAGATATATTGATTAGTACCTAATATCCTATGGAGAAGATTTATTTTCCACAAATGTAGCAAAAATTAGAACTTGAATTTTGGAGCTTTTGTGTAGTAAATTAGCAAGTTAGCTCTTACCCTTATGTTGAAAGAGAACCGAATTAATTTAATAGATACTAATAACAAATATTTCTGATGAAAACTCTAGATGATAATCAGATATTGGCTTATATGTATTTATATGTGATACCACACTATCAACTCATTCATACTCTTTAAGTTGATGGGGAAAAGATAGAAATCTCGTATAATCCAAGTGAATATGAAGGAATTTGGATATTAAATATTTTTGCTATTGATGGCTCTGAAATATTGTTTGAAACTTTAGGACCATAAGATTATTATAATTTATATTAATTTCATGTAAATAAGTAAATATAAGAATTTGAAATTTATAACGGAGGATCTGCAATGTTTTATGATTAATATTAGTTTAGTTATGTGGAATTATCAATATTTAGAGGAAGATTATCCAAAATGTTCATATATGATTATCACAGAGATATTTATTAAATATATGATGAGAGAATAAATTAATTAAGATAAAATGAATACTAATAGACAATAAATTTGATTCCAGATTTATTTAATTTTGATGGAATCGTATAAAAAGAATTTGAATTTGATTAATTTGGAAGAAAATTTAGTATATTTGGATGGGTAAAATATTATACATAAGATTCATATTTTTTGAAAAAGTATTTATTAGTAAGATTGACATTATTTTAAAATTATTAAGATGAATAAGAATTAGGAGATGAAATACTTAAAATTACAGTAGATATAGATTTATCAGATATAAAAAAATGTGGATATGATGTGATATCTCATCATTATTGGATGCCATTTAATGAAATGGTATATGAATTTTAAAAATGGGCTGATAATATCAGTTTAAGAGATGATCTACCTTATTTATAATTATTATCAAAATGGCATTTTGTTTCATTTGAACATGGAATTAATGTAAATAATTTAAGATCATAATTTAAATTGAATTATTTTGAAAATAATAATTTAGTATCTAAAACCTATTATTTTGGAGACGAATATTATGGTAATTTATTTATAAATACAAAATTCTATGCTTTTTTTGGAGGTGATCGAACTGTTTATGATAAAATGAAAGGATAAACATATGGATTTTATTTTATAACAAATCTATAAAATGATTTAAACATTGAATTTAGTATTATTAATATTTATTCCTAGATTGTCATTATAGTTGTTAAACTTGTAATGGACCAATGTCTATAAATTGTTTATCTTGTTATGATAATAATGAAAGAATCTTTTTAGAAGAATCTCATTAATGTGTTTGTCCTAAAGGATAATATGATAAAGATTAAAAATGTTAATCTTTTTAAGATTTATATACAACATTAAAGTATTAGGATATTGATATTCAAGTATCAAATACTTAATGTATGTTTGGATATTTTTATTTGCCAATGATTGAATAGTGTATAAAATGGTATGAATATTATTTTATAAAAGTCCATAATAAAGTTCTTATAATTTATTTTGTGTAGATTGTTTATTAAATCCTAATGATTGGTACATTCGACCAATCTGTACTACTGATTTTATTACACAATAGGTTAATAAAGAATAAGATGCCTATACAAAACAAGTAAGATTTACTTAAGATTATGATCTATATTATATTGATAATTAATATAGGTTAATATTATTAGAAGGAGTTTATGATTATTGTGATATTAAGAAAGTATAATTAGAAAGTTGTGTTTAATTAAATGTTTAACATTTATCTGGTATTACGTTTGGTATTTGTAAATAAAATAGATATTATTCTAAATTTAGATGTAATTTATAAGATGTTGCTTGTATTTAATTAAATCAAAATGACAGAAAATGTATTAAATGTTTAAGTGGATATTATATATCAGATGATGGTTATTCTTGTTTATAATGTCCAAAAACATGTTAAAATTGTTATGGTTTAAATAAATGTTCATCTTGTGAACCAAATTTTGGACTTTATAATGAATAATGTAAAAGATGTGGAAACTTTTGTAAGAGTTGCAAATATTCAGAGGAATTATAAATAATGTAATGTTTAACTTGTATTGATGATCATTTATATTACTTATCATTAAATATATAAGATTGTAAATCAAATTCAATTGATAATTGCAAATATGCATTTGAAACTTCAGAGTTGGATTTATATATAAATTCATTAGATTATAATTTTAAACCTTATTATGAAACAACAATTACTCAATGTGCAAAATGTTAAGATGGCTATTATTATGATGCTACAAAAAATGTCTGTCTTGAAAACTAAAATGAATTCTAAATTGATAGTTGTTTGTAATTTTATGTGGAATATTTTGGAGATTATCGATTAGACTATTGTCTATTTGGTTATTATAAAGAAAATGGATCAGTATTGGCATTTTATGATTCATGTCCAAGACTTAAATTACATTGTATATATTGTTTAATTGAATAATTTATTTATCATTAACTTGATGGTGAAGTAGTATATAAAAAGGCTTCATACTAATGTCTTATTTGTGAAAATGGTTATTATGCTTCAAAAAAAAATGGAGAATGTTAATCATGTCCATCAGAATTGCATTGCTTAAGTTGTTATTAGTAGAATAAATTTACTAAAGATAATTGGAAAAATGAGATTCGTGCCTTTTATAAACAAAGAATAGAATTTAGCATAGCAACTGTAGTATTATAGCATAAATTTACTGAACATGGATTAAGTTAAAATGATTCAGATTATGAGATACTCTGTTCTGTATGTTAAGAAGGATATGAATTTTATGGTAACTAATGTATTTAAATGTGTCCTGAATCATGCCTAGAATGTGCTATAATTAATAATTAAAATATTTGTGTTAAATGTCCAAAGGGTTTAAATGGAAGAAATCGTAGTTTAATTAATAATTAATGTGTGAGTTGTCCATAAAATTGTGAATTATGTACTGAAAGAGATCTAAAATAAGTACATTAAATTAATCAATTATTTAATAATTAATATTTTACTCATTTCTCTTATTATTGTATATCTGGATTAACAGGAATATTTGATTAAGAATTAGGAATCTATGTAGATTGTTAAGATGGTTCATGTTTTAAATAAATTGTTATCAATCTAAATTTATATTGTGATTTAAATCAATATAATAGTTAATTTGATTAATTAAAAAGTAATGAAGATAAAATTAAATTTAGACATGAAAATATTTTAAGTGATAACTTATTTTCTAATTCAAGTTTTAAATATGTAATTATTGATTTTATCATTTTAGTTTGAGACATAAGAATTTTATGAAATGGCTAATTAAAAATCTATTAAATCCATCTTGATTAAAATATTTAGTAATTATTAATAAAGTTGTCAAGTAAAAGATTAATTATAAATCTCTTAAAGTTTTAGCACAAATATATTTTCAGCAATGTAATTAATAATTATTAATTAATTATAGAGATGTAGAACTAGAAATTTATGGCAACGGAAATACAGCGTTTAGATTTCAAAAATAATTATTGTTTGCAAATTTTAAAAGAGTTCACATCGAAGGAATAATATTTGATATAGAATATTTTAATTTTGGCCCAAATATACTAAAATTTACAAGTCCATTTGAATAAAAAATCGAATTAGTTAATATAATATATTAATAAGCTTCTAACTTAACAACTTATTATACTAACATAACGAATGCTTCTAATGTTTTAATATAAAATATATTGGTAAAAGATTGTACAAGATAGTTTTCTATTGAAGCTTTTATCAAGATTGAAAAAATGAAATCTTTTTAGACAATTAAAATTAACAATTTTAGAATTGCTGATAGTTAATTTAAAGATTTATATTTATTCATGTTTGATCTTAAAGAAAATGATCAAGTTGAAATAATAAACATCAATATTGAATAAACATTTTTCAATCAATCATTAATATATTAAACGAGTGGATATTTATCAATGAATTAAATACGAATATATTCATGTAACATATCCTCTTAAAATGGCTTATTTTAGATTAATTCTTTAAAACATTTTAAATTAACTTCTTTAGTGTTTATATAAAATTCACTTTATTCTGGTAAAATTATAAATCTTAATCAAAATGTAAATTTGATAAATCTCAATTTTGTTAATAATGAACTCTAAGGAAATTCCTTGTTTATTTATAATGAAAAAGTTAATATTGAAAACATTTCAATTGAAAATATTCTATTTTAATTAAATAAATTTAGCGAAAATGCCTTATTTATGAAAATCAATTTAGTCTTACAACCTAATAAGGAAATAATTATTAATTAAATATCTATGATTGAAAATTAATTATTATTATACTAACTAAAAAGTGTTTACAATATTTTAGATGTAACTTTAATCTATTTGGAAGCACAGATAATAAAAATTGATGAATTGATCATTGAAAAAGTATATGGAATACCTGATTTAGTAGTTGCAAATGCCAATTTATTGCAATTAAATCAAATATAAATTAAATAACATGAAAATCACAAATTTAAAGGGCTTTATTAGTATTTCGATTGTTTTAAAGAGTCTATTAAAAATTAATTTAATTATCCTTGGATTAAAATTTATGATGTACCAATGATTGATATTAAATATTTAAATATAACAAAAGCTTAATCAATCAATTACCCTATAATTGAAATTAAGACTTCTATTTTTACATTCTAAACCCAAAAGTATATTAGAATGACATAAATGCATTTTATTCAAAATATGCTAATAATCACAAACAAAATTAATATAGCTTCACTTTTAAAAATAACATCTGAAGAAGATTATTAAATAGAAATAGAAAAATCAATTTTTGAAAAAAATTTGATGCATCAATATGAATATATAGGTTAAATCAATTCAGGTTTGATATTCTATATTGATTGTAAGACTTGTACATTCTTTCTTAATAATCTATTAGTCAAATAAAATATTGTTACAAATTCTTCTAATAGCATTATTTATTTTTAAATTTAAAGTATAGAAATACATAATTGCAGTTTTATTGAAAACAATTTATATGACTATTCAATTTTACAGCCCTATTTATTTTGGAGTTTTAATAAAGATTAGTAAATCTTTATTGAAGAAATATAAGAAATATTTCCTATAAAAGTTAAAACAGGAAATGCCAAAATTTTATGTCAAAAAATACTGTTAAAAGATATCATAATTTCTAACTCTACAGTTTCAGGACTTTATATTTCATTAGAGAAAGAAGCTTCTGTCCAAATTTAAGACACAATCATTAGTGTAATTAGTCCTTCATTTTCTAGTGAAGACGAAAATGGCGGCGCTTTTTTAATTGATACTTCTTTTTCTATTTCTTCAGTAATAAAGTTAATAAATATATATGCTACTAAGATTTATTGCAGAAATAAAGGCGGTTTGCTTTACATTTAAAATGTTCTAGAGGATACTACAATCTAAATTTATAACATTGTTATTAATGATGTATATTCATTAAAGGGATCAATATTTTATGTAGAATTTCCTTAATTTACTCAATTGAAATAGTAATTTATTCTTGAAAATTTTAATTTGACAAATTCAAAATAAGAATATTTACAATTTATTAGTAAATTTAATGAAGTAAATAGCTAATTATTATCAGAATTAGCATTTGGTAGAAGTTTGTTCGAAATTAATAATGCAAATTTTATAAGTTTAAAGAATATAATGATATATTCATTATTTCATGAGTCTTTTGCTATTTTAACATAAACATTAACAATATAATTAAAAAATTGCAGAATATCAAATTCATAAATTTAAAATTCATTATTGAGTTTGAATTTAATGCAAAGTAATTCATCAATCAGGATTATAGAGTTTCACGTTACAAATATTTAAATTTTAAATCAAATACCTATTATAGAAAAATGTACTTCAAATTTATTAAATGTTTAAATACATCATTAAATCTGTTAAAAAGATATAGTCTTTTAAGATTCCCCTATCTAATTGTAATCTCAATAAACCAAAGATAATTTATTGAATAGTTATTGCATAATTGATAAAATGAATTTGTAATAATAAACAAAATCAAGCCTTATAGATATTAATCCCTAAATAACATTTCTTGAGATCTCTGAACTTCGCTTAAAAAATATAAAATGTGAGAATTGTAAAAAAGGATTATTAAATATTTATTATTAAGATGATGAGAGTAAAATAATTATGAATTCAATTATTTTTAATGATAATTAATGTGGAGAATAAAGTTGCTTAAATATAATAAAATCTATTCCAGAATTTAGAATTTTATAATCTTTAATTTAGAATATCAATGATAAACAATATGATCTAAGATTACAAAATTATAAATGTATTCAAAACTTTGCTTATAGAGGTACTTGTTTATACATTCAGGATATCAAGACTTTGATTAAAGATTCTATTTTTTTAAATAATACGGCTAAATCATAAGGAGGATCAATCTATGTAATTGGACAGGAGAGCTTTTTTGTATTGAACTCTGTAATTTAATTTAATAAAGCTGAATTTGGTGGGGGATTATTCTTAAAGGATTAGATAGTTTAAAATTTAAGGAAATAAGGCACGTTGATTAATAGTAATATAGGATAATAATTTGGTAGTAATTTTGCTTAACTTCCTTCTTAATTATCAGTCTAAATTGATTTAGAAAATTATTTACCTAAAGTAAAAATATTAGAGAATGAAAATACTTTAATAGAAGAAATTAAAATTGGAAATTATGTATTATTTTAAAAAAGCTATTCTAATTCATTATATGTTCCAAATGGATAAGCATTGTCTAAATACTAATTTTTTGATTAGAAGAAATAAGTTTATACTTAATATAATTTGCATTTAAGACTAATTCCATTAGATTTATTCAATAATGTTTAAGAAAATTTAAATAATACTTATTGTTTAATAAGTGGTAGGATACTTAATGGGAAAGAAGAATCAAATTTTACTTAGGAATTTACAAGTTTTAATAATGTCACATTCAATTAATCAGATAATTATAATTTTGATGATGTTATCTTTTACTTAGATGATTAATAGAATCAAACTTTATAATTATAATTTCATTGTAATTCCATATTCCCTCCAATTTACGGAAAAAATTAAGAAATTATAGGATATCACAACAATTATTTTTTAAGAATGAATATTAAATCATTACCTTGTTAATTAGGTGAAATTAAAAGCATTTTTGATAGTACTTGTATACCTTGTAATGCGACACAAGGTTTATATTCATTAGTTCTTAATTCTAATAATTGTTTATAGAAGGATGATTTCTCAACTAGTGAAATTAAATCAGCATAATTAAAATTAAAACCAGGATTTTGGAGACCATATTTTGATACTGATAATATTAGTTAATGTATTAATTTATTACATAATTGTAATGGTGGATGGATAGAAGGAGATACATCTTGTTATGAAGGTCATGTTGGAGCCTTATGTGAAGAATGTGACATTTATAATATTCGAGGTTTTGGACATTTTTCAACAAATAAAAAATATACTTGTGGCTCTTGTGTTGATAATAAATAAAATATTGTTGCAATTACTGCAATAAGTTTATGGTATATATTTGTTATTATTAATTAAGGACTTTAATTTCAATTTTAATTTCAGTTAGGAGTAATGTATCTTTAAATTAATAAATGATACTTAAAAAAGTAATTTCTAGACTAATAAGGACGACTAATCTGTAAAATCACTCTAATTTAGGCATCCTAATAAAAATGACTACTAATCATTTACAAATAGTCTCTGTTATTTTTACTTTTAAATTTAACACATTAGTAGAAATTGGAAATGTAATTAACGCTATTAGTAATCCAATTTAATCAATGACTCATTCATTAGATTGTTTATTAAAAGATTTGTTTAATGTTCAAATTCATTATTCAAGAATGATATGGTAACTAATCATGCCGTTTATTTACATTTCTTTGTTTTTAGTTTTATATTTGTTTGCTTTGAAAATAAATAAATTGATATATAGTACAAGTGTAATAACTACAGCTTTAATATATATGTACATTTACATCTAACCATTTTTGGTTGGTAGATTAATTTCATTAATATCTTTTAGATAGATATCTGGATTTAATTGGATTTAAGCCAACATAGCTTATCGATATGATACAGAATTACATTATAAATGGTTATTCAGTTTTTGCCTTCCACTTTTAATTTTAATTTCTTTAATAATCCCATTATTCTTTTTAATTTCTTTATAATTAAATCGATCATCGTTAGATGAAAAAAAAACAAAGTAAAGATGGGGTTATCTATATAATGAATATAAGATCTAAGCTTATTATTGGGAAATAATTAAAATTTTTGTTAAATAATTGCTAATTATTTTTCTTTCTTACTATGATGAAAATATTGTAAAGAAAGGTATTCTATTATTGTCGTTAGTATATATATATTGGTAATTGAGTCTAAGATTTCAACCTTATTAATTGTTCATCCTTAATTAATTAGATGCTTATTCAGCTAATGTATGTGGAATATCTATAGCAGTAGCAATAGGAATTTATATTGATCAATAAAATAGTTCATATGAAATTTAGATACCATATTTAATTATTCTTTTAACTCTTAATTTATAATATTTGGTAAAAATTTTTAAACAAATAATATTGACTCTCATAGAAGAGAAATCTGTTTTGTTTGATAAAATTAAGGAAATAATCATAATTAAAATTCCATGTATTACAAAATATGCAATATTTAAAAAATTGTTGTCAAATAGAAATGTCTAAAAATAAAGAGTTGCTCTCAGGTATCTTAAATTAAAAAAATACTTAATAAACGAAGCTTAAAAAAATCTATCATCAAGAAATTCCTATGGTATAAAAATTATAACAAATTCAAGTATAAAAAAGACTTCCATTTGATTATAATCACTTATTTCAAAAATTTAATTTTTAATTTTTTCTTTTTTTATTACTACAATTGATCTAATAAATTAATTATTTTTGCTCATTGTTCTCTTTTGTTAAAAAATAATAATCAAAGTATGAAAATAAAAAATCTTAAAGTAATTAATTTGCTTATTTTTTATTTTTGTAAACTGAAGATCTCACAATCTGCGTATTAAGCTTGTTTTTATACTTTAGAAGCTAGGAAAATAGTTTATTAATAAAAAAAATAAAATTCTCACAATTAATGAAAGTAGAAAGAAATTCTCTTAAAATTGTATCATTATAATTTCATAATTATTATAGAACTTTTTAAAAGAAAGCAATAATATCTAAATAAAATAAATGTTCATAATTTTCTAAAATCAATGGTTTCCTTTATCTCTAAAGCAAGACCTTCTGCAAATTAGTTGCTAAAAAATTAACCATTTCAAGAAAACTCAGATAATAAATAGTTAAATAAATTTTATCAAAAGATATGTAAAATCAACTCGAATAAACGATTATGCCTATTATTTCAAATTTATAAAGAAATAAAACTGTAATGATAAAAATTAATTTTGTAAAAAAGAAGGCAATGAGATTTTATAAAATAAAAAGGAATTTGTTTTTATAATTTAAGAAAATATATTAAAAGTATTTCCTGCAACTCAAAAAAGCTATTACTAAAGTATGAAAATTTCTTTTATTTTTAGAATAATTTTTTGGGCTTGTGTTGTAAATAAGCAAAAAAACTCTATAGCTCCACTCCTCTAATTCTATAAATAGCATTAATATATAATGAAAAAAATAAAAAAATTTAATAATCATTATAGATTTTTTTTTTAAATGAAAAATAATAAAATAAATGATCAAGTTAAAAAAGAATTTTTATTGTGTAAAAATCAAGCAGAATTTATTTTAAATGAAAAGAATAATAATATAGAAACTGAGGTAATATACTTTGATTAGGAATTCATATATAGTCTATGAAATTAATCAAATGGTTCATTTTAGTTCTCTATTAAAATTTAACTAATTTAAAAAATATCATTTTTCTATTGTATGAAAATTATGCAAATAAAACCATCAAAACAAATTGTAGAAGAATAGAAACTGTCAGATTAGCATTACTTTTATTTTCACAGGATTTAAAAGATCCTTGATTCAGTAAATTACTTAATTTAATAAAAAAATAATCAATTTTTTTATGAACAATAACTTAGGTATAATGAACAACAGATTTCATAAAAAAGTAATCTAAAACCGAAAGAGAAATATATCAGCAGACGCAAATACTATATATGACATGTAAAAAGGGAATAAAAGAAATGGAAATAATGAAATTAGGTTCGCTAATTAAAAGTAATCATTATAAAAACTGGATTCTGAATCAAATATATAAAATCTAACGCCCTCAACTCCTAAAGCACAAATTCCTATAAAATTTGAACCAAAATTAATAAAGGATGTTTTAATGAAGTTCTATTAAGATAATTATGGATCTTGATTTTTTTTATATATAATATTATCATGAATTTTGATTGATTTATCAATTGCTTTTTCAAAGTTTTAATGTTTTATATTTTTATTTTGTATTATTCAAATAAATCAGACATTTATATTTTTTAGAAATGAATTTCGGGATAAAATTTAGAAGTTAATATCTATTTTTAAGGAATAAAAATATTCTGAACTAGTATTATCTTAGTTTAAGTCTAAAGAATATAAAATCAATATTATTTGAAAGAGGAAAACAAAATTGAAGTGAAAATAGGTTCTTCATTAAAATATATATATTTTCACTAAAATCTAAAATTTTTCAAATGCTATAGATTTGGAACTTTCTAAATTTTAAAAAATCAAAAACTAAAGTTTTTCGAGACTTAAACTAATTTGCTCTAATGACTAGAGGGCAAAAAATGCATAAAAAGGTTTTTTGTCGGTGTTTAAGTTTAATTAATTAACAGAAAATATTACCTAATATAAAAAAGTATAAAGAGAATTAGTTTTTTTTCATTTTTTAAAAACAGGGGGATGATGCAGATATTCAAGGAGTAATTTCTTTTTGATATAAAACTTTCACTCAATTAGATAACGATTAAATCAGAGGAGCCTATTAAAGGATTTACAGTTAATTTGATAAAGAAATAAAATTGTTGGAACAAATTGAGAAAAAGTTAGATGGTGTATATATAGAGAAATTAAGGGTTTAATTATATAGATTACAGTAAATGAATACTTAATTATTTGCTAATATTTAAATATATAAATTAATGAAAAGTACATAAAACTTTCGTATCAAATCAATAAAATCAAACTAATAAAGTTCGAATCAATATAGATCTTTGTAAATGAGTTTAACTTGCAAATCATTGACAAATAGAAATATAAAGTAGTTGGGTTAATTTTAGAAAAGTGTTATCTAAATTTAACCAAGACAAGTCTTACAAAAACAAAGTAGTATAAATTGCAGATAGTCTCTTGTTTCTGTCACTGAAAGTCAGGTGAGTGTTGATGAAGAGTTTGAAATTTGGGATAATAACCAAGATCTTAGATTAAAAAAGCTTGTGATTGAAGAGAGAAAACCCTCAGTTGGATAGTTTCTTTAATTATATAAGGCTAGATATGGGTATGTTTAGATAATACATAAGAGGATTTCCTGGATTTAGATAACCAATATAAAATGAGGATGTGATCAAAGCAGCTATAACACATGCATCATCAAGTAAATAATTATTCAAAAAATATTTCCCAAAAAAATAAATAGTCTTTGAAGATGATAATGATTATTCTTAACCTTATAATATTGAGGATGATCAACATTTTAAGAGTTTTAATCGTTTTTTTAGAAATAAAAAGCTATAATCTACTTTGAAAATTCCCTTATAAAATCAAATAAATAAGAGTAGATGATTATGATGTAAAGATGAGGATGGTGATATAAATTGAAGAAATGAATATTAATCTTTTTAAACTTTAAACTATATTTAAAAAATGATAATTAAGAGTGCTATTGATGTTTATTTTTACTAATAATTTGATTAATATATCATTTAAGCAAATGGTCAACTGCACTTCTTTCATCGACTAATTCTTTGATGGTCTTATCCAATAAACCTTAATAGAATGGTGAAATGGGTAATCCTTAGACAATGGAATATTTTCCATTCTTAACTGTGACAGGGAAAGAGAAGATCAATCCCTTTGGAACACCATAGCTACCATCAGATGGAATAGCCATAGATGTATAATCACCTGATAGTTTAAGATATTAGAAATACCTTCAGCAGTACCATTAACCCAAGTAGTTATGTGATTCATGGCTGCATTACCAGCAGATGCAGCACTTGATAATTTTCTAGCTTTAATGATTTCAGCTCCTCTTTATTAGACTGTTGGAATGAATGTTTATGTAACCCATTATTAATCAACTGTGGCTTTATGATCTATAAAATTGTATTTAAAATATTATACTTTTAGCAGTCATTTAATCAATATATGGTACCATAGTTGGAGAATGATTTCCAAAGATTGCAATCTTTCTGATGTCAGTTGAATGTACACCTAATTTATCAGCCAATTAGTGTTGTGCTCTGTTATGATCTAATCTAGTCATAGCTGTGAAATTTTCTTTAGGAATATCTTTGATTTAATTAGCTAAAATCAAACAATTTGTATTGCATGGATTACCAACAACAACAACTTTGATATCTCTACTTGCATTATCCTTAGAATAAATAATATTTAATACATTAATATATTTTCCAGTCTCTGTAAATATTTTACCATTGTCTTTTAACAAATCTCCTCTTTCCATTCCTGGTCCTCTTGGTTTAGCACCAACTAAAAGAGCATAATTGACATCTTTGAATCCTACAGCTTAATTATCTGTAGCTACGATTCCTTAAACCAATGGAAAAGCACAATCTTAAATTTCCATAACAACACCATTTAATGCAGCCATAGCAAATGGTAAATCAATTAAATGAAGAATAACTGGTTAATCTGGTCCTAACATTTCACCACTGGCAACTCTGAAAATAAGAGAGTATCCTATTTAACCAGCTGCACCTGTTATGGCAACTCTAACAGGTGGCTTTTATGATTAACCAAAATGTGCTATTGATGCTCTTGTCAATTGATTACAAATGGCCTTTTAGAGATATTTTTGCATTTTTGGATATTTATTTTATTTATGGATTTGCTCTAGCATCACTACATTTATTTTATATACATAATACGTAATATTTTTATTACTATGGATTTCAATACAAAGGTTGATGAATAACTTATCTATTAAGGTAAGTGGTTGCATTTCAAACTTCTCCGTTTTTCTGTAAATGGATAAGATAAAGTTTGGGAATATGTAGAAAGACCACCTGGAAATAGAGGAGGAGTTGAAATTATTCCAATTATCAAATATAAATAGAAACCTTCATAAATAATTGTTATTGCTAATTTTAGACCTCCTATTAGAAAATTTTGTCTAGAATTTCCAGCAGGATTAGTTGATCCTGATGGTACTATTTTTGAGAATGGATTAAGAGAAATTAAAGAAGAAACTGGATATACTGCTTAGATTGGAGAATATTAATATAATGGTGTACGCATTAGAAATGATCCATGGAAATCTACAGAATTTGGATTATCTGTTATTGTTGATATTGATGGTGATTCAGAAATTAATCTTAATCCATAATAACATTTAGAATCTGATGAAAATATTATAGTGTATAAAATGAATATGGGAAAAACCTTAGCATCTGAAATTGTAGAATTAGCAAAAGAAAAAGATTATGAAATAGCTGGACTTCTTTGGTTTTTTGCTTTGGGATAATAATTTAGTAATTGAATCAATATATAAATTTTTAATATTGAATTATTATGTTATTGCTATCATTTCTTATTGCTAGATGTTTTGCTACAGTTAATCCAATCAATCTAACTATTGGAATCGATATTACTAACAAAGATTCATTATCTTATTTAGGAAAACTTGAATAACATTATTAATAATTTCAAGCAAAAGGATGTAAATCACTTTAATATCAACTAAGTAACTTTAAACATACTAAATCACATTTTACCATGTTACACATGCCAAAAAAGACATAATTATACTAAACCAGAACCAAACTGCTATGGAGGGGGTAGATATTGTTGTAATTCATTATCTTTCAAGCTTAGAATTTTCCAGTTATGCCAATGGGCAATTGTTACTCACAGAAATCATTAGATAAAAATGTATATTCACTAATGATATTTTCATATTTCTAAACTATATCAATTTATTTTAGCAAGATTGTTTAGAAAATCCACATTATACATATTGTTCATAACATATTTTGCAAAACATTTTAAATTATGATGTTGAAGAACTTGATTAATGCATTAATGCCAGCTTTTTAGGTGAAGGAGATTAGGCTTTACTTGAAAATTTCATATTGTCTTAAGAAATGAAATAATAATATAATCAGAGCACACTAACTGTATACTTAAATCATTAAGATATATCTCATTTAGAATTTGCTGATATGATTATCCATATCTGTTAGAAATTAAAAAATGATCCACCTGACTATTGCAATATACATTCTCTTCTTGTATAAAATACATCCATTTAATTATAAGATGAAATCTACTTTTATCTTTTTATTATATTTCTTCTACTCTTAATTTGGATATCTATTAGAGTATTGAAAAAGGTTGATCAAAAAGTGTTATAAAAAGGCTCAAATCCTATTGAAGAGACGATTGGAATAATATAAGAAGAGAATATATAATGAATTTTAAATCTATTTAGAGTGTTTAATTTAAATAATCATTTATGCAAATTATGATTACATTTAATGTAATCATTTGCTCCTTACCTATCATATAGTTCAATTTAAATAGTGGAATGATATATTCCAAATTTTCTACATAATTTTGTTGCTTTCTTTAATACATATTCAGGATTTTCTAAACAAACTATATGTGCAGACATAGCTGGTTTACCAACAGACAAAGACCAAATATGAAGATCATGAACTTCTTTAACCCTCTGAATAGAATTTATTTTTTATCTGAATTCTTCTATAATTAAGTCTAATTTAAAAAAATTTAATAATTACTTGTTGGTGTACCTTCCATTAATACTCTTAAACATTCTTTTGCAACTCCAAAAGTTGTAAAGAGAACTAAAATACTGAATAAATATGTGCAAAGAGGATCAGCGTATTACCAATAAGTAAAAATAATTTCATGATTTTCATCTTTTTTTTGACCAAAAAAGAAGATTAATAAAGCAGCTATCAAAACTCCTATTGATTATAAAATATCTCCTATAACATGAATCATAGCTGCTTTTAAATTATAATTATCATGTTCATTAATTTCAGATAGATTATGACTTTTTAATTTTTTATTTCTTATTTATTTTAATTCATCTCTATCATGTTCATGTTCATGATTATGATCATGATTATGTTCATGATTATGTTCATGTTCATGTTCATGTTCATGTTCATGTTCATGTTCATGTTCATGATCATGATCATGAGAACAACTACTACTACTATTTTCTGAATAATATTTATTCTCTATTAATGTTTTTTATGTATTAGTTTAATTTTAAAAATCATCAGAACATAATTAGTTTGAATGTTCATGATCACAATTTTAAGAATGGTTATGATTTCTATTTTCTATTTAATTTGATATTTAAATAATTTATTGTTATGAATAATTTTATTTTCCATTACTTGTTTATTTACTTTCACTACTGACTTCTTCAATAGTTTTATTATTTTTGCTTTTATCAGAATCAGTTTCTATACTTTATTCAACAACAAGCAAACTAACTCCATTTTCGCTAACCATAGATCTTTTTTATTTAACATTGAATTTCTTTTTTTTTTATTTAGATTCTTAATCATGATTATGATTATGATTATCATGATTATGACTATGAAAATGACCATGATGATGATGACCATGACCATGATCATGAGTATGTCCACCACTTGGAGATGAATGCAATACTTTAGCCATTACTAAATTACAAAATAATCCAAATCCTGCTGTAATTAACATAATAAGTGGATTTGTTACTAATGTTTTGTTTATCATTCTTTCCGTTGCTTCATAAAGTAATAAAATAGTTAATCCCCAAATTAATACTATACTTGCTAATGCTCCAATTACTTCAGCTCTATGATATCCAAAAGACATTTTTTATGATGCTGGTCGTTAACCTAACCAAATTGAAAATATTGATATAAAAAATCCACTCATATCAGAAAACATATGTGCTGCGTCAGATAATATTGCTAATGATTATGCCCATAAACCTCCAACTACCTTTCATATAATATCAATATTATATACCTCTGCTATCAAAAATACAATACAAACCACAGATACAGATATTAAACGACATAGAACATTTTATGTAACATTTGAAAGATCTGGAATCTCATATAAATGTGTTTCATTCTTAGATTAATCAGTCAATGCTGAAACTTAAGACATTCCTCTATTACTTTTACCATCTACTTATTAGTTTTGCTCATTCATTAATGGTTCTTATATTGGTTCTTCTTCCTTATTCATTTTGTTAATTATATATTTTATATTTAAATCAAACCTAATTTTCAATCAATCCTTCTTTTTTCAATCACACTAATATAAATTCATTTAAATCAAAAATATCTTCATTTTATTTCTCTTTCTAATCCATAATAATTAAATTTTGTTACTTAATTATTTATACTTTAAATTTATTATAATGTGTATTAAATAATGTATTATATATTTTATCATCATTAAAGTTTTAACTAATTATTTATTTATGCTTAGAACTTTTTATTTTATTAAAATCATTTTGATTTGAAGTCATAAATTAACCTAAAGTGTATTAACATATTCTTATTGAAATAATCATTTTTGTCAAAGTTATTCTCAAATTTCATATTTCGTTGACTTTTTATAAAAAAAAGCGATTGTTCTGAATGCTCATCAACTAAACTAAAAATGACTCATTTATTTTTGAAATTATTATTATTATTCTTTTTTGCATTCTAAAAAATAATTATTTTGTTTATTGAAAATGATAAATCATTATCTTATAAAATTTTTAGTATTTAAAATTTTTTTATCAAATAATCAATAGTTAATACAAGTAGATGAATACAAATTCAATTTATTAAACTATTTAATTCTTAATATATTTATATATCTATTAAAATTTTAGAAGTATANTACTTGCTAATGCTCCAATTACTTCAGCTCTATGATATCCAAAAGACATTTTTTATGATGCTGGTCGTTAACCTAACCAAATTGAAAATATTGATATAAAAAATCCACTCATATCAGAAAACATATGTGCTGCGTCAGATAATATTGCTAATGATTATGCCCATAAACCTCCAACTACCTTTCATATAATATCAATATTATATACCTCTGCTATCAAAAATACAATACAAACCACAGATACAGATATTAAACGACATAGAACATTTTATGTAACATTTGAAAGATCTGGAATCTCATATAAATGTGTTTCATTCTTAGATTAATCAGTCAATGCTGAAACTTAAGACATTCCTCTATTACTTTTACCATCTACTTATTAGTTTTGCTCATTCATTAATGGTTCTTATATTGGTTCTTCTTCCTTATTCATTTTGTTAATTATATATTTTATATTTAAATCAAACCTAATTTTCAATCAATCCTTCTTTTTTCAATCACACTAATATAAATTCATTTAAATCAAAAATATCTTCATTTTATTTCTCTTTCTAATCCATAATAATTAAATTTTGTTACTTAATTATTTATACTTTAAATTTATTATAATGTGTATTAAATAATGTATTATATATTTTATCATCATTAAAGTTTTAACTAATTATTTATTTATGCTTAGAACTTTTTATTTTATTAAAATCATTTTGATTTGAAGTCATAAATTAACCTAAAGTGTATTAACATATTCTTATTGAAATAATCATTTTTGTCAAAGTTATTCTCAAATTTCATATTTCGTTGACTTTTTATAAAAAAAAGCGATTGTTCTGAATGCTCATCAACTAAACTAAAAATGACTCATTTATTTTTGAAATTATTATTATTATTCTTTTTTGCATTCTAAAAAATAATTATTTTGTTTATTGAAAATGATAAATCATTATCTTATAAAATTTTTAGTATTTAAAATTTTTTTATCAAATAATCAATAGTTAATACAAGTAGATGAATACAAATTCAATTTATTAAACTATTTAATTCTTAATATATTTATATATCTATTAAAATTTTAGAAGTATAGATATTCAGAATACTTTAAATATCAATCTTGAAAAATAATTAGTCAAAATTTCTATATAAAAGATTTTATTGAAAATAAATAATTTTAAAAACTATTGAAATATCTGAAAAAAATTGAAATGTAGTATATATATAAATTTAAATCAAAAGTTGATGATGATGATTAAATGTTTACGAATCTAGTTGAAAATATTAAATGAAGCTTATTAGATTATTTAAGAGATTTAAAATTTTCAAATTAGGTTTTATCATGAATGATAATTTAGGGGAGAGAATAATAAATTATTTGCATTGGTATGAAATGGAGAATTATATTGTTATTTTTTGATTAATACTGGACAAATTTTAAATACTTAATAATTAATTATAATAAGAGGTATAATCAGAAAATGAAATATTGATGTTACCTCTCATGTAATTAGATTCAAAAGCGCTTTTTTCTGAAACCTAGGCTTCTACTCTTAGAATTATTTGACTAAGCTGACTAAGCAGAAACAAATAAGAGACTTGGATTGATTTCTGGAGATATCACTGATTTAACTCTAACTTCAGTTCTTGGCGGATTTAATTCAATATCTGCTGATGAAAATATAATGAGAGGCTATCGAGTTTTCCTAAGATTGAATTTTCTTTCCTATAATGTTGAATAATCAATTTGATATTTATATCTCTCTTTGACTTCAGAAAGGGTTTTAAGGGGAAAATTCATAGTCTGTAATTTCTAATCTAATGTTAGAGATTGATTATAATCAAGCATTGATTCCATAATAGGTTCTTCAAACATTTATAAAAATAATTATAATAATATTAACAATAAATCTAATTGATTAATGTTAAAGAAATAGGTGTTATATTTTATTTAATTGAATATTCTTAATATTTTATTACATTATTAAATGTAAAAAATTCAAATTTTTAAAGTTTATATGAAAGAAAATAGAATGAATTCTATAAATGAAATATTGCAAATTTTAAATGATATAAAGAAACATATTTCAATCAAAATTTAATTAAGTGCTCAAATCTTATTTGAGCAAATTAAAATATTTTATAATCAAGTCTCTACTTGATTAATCTGGAAATTTGGTTATTAATTGATTTCCTACTTTAATTAAAAATTCATTAAAATCTTCTATATCAAGAAGTGGTTTTAACTAAAGTTTTTTCATAACATTCCAATCTAATTCAATGATAAAACAGGACAATATATTTGTAATTAATTTACAAGAGGAACTAGATTCACTTATATTATAAACTAAATCCTCATTTAAGATCTTAAGATAAATACAATATTTACATCTTAAAGTGCTTAAGTAACAATATCCTCTTCTGCTTCTTCTAAGACTAATATATCAAAAACTAATTGAGCTCGTTCAATATTTTATTTTACTTATTTTACTAGAATTAAATATAAATAAATACAAGCTAACATATTTTAAAAGAAAGTTTCAAAGAATACTTTTAACAATTCTGGGGCTTCTAATTTGATCCTTTTCAATTCACTTCTTAATTTATCCATCTAATCAACTGGATCAAATGTAAATGAACTATTTACTAACATTGTAATATCTTTTGCTCTTATTTTTTAATCTTATTCATTTGATTGATTTTCCTTTTTTGCAGAATTTTATCTAGCCTCTTTTAATTTAAGTTCTAAAGGATCTTCTTCTTCTAATTCATGTGTATTTTAGGCACTTTCTGCTAATTCTTCTTTTTTTGCATAAACACCTTACCAACCCTTTTAAATTTTATCTAATAAATTTTCAATTAGTAATCTAATTCTTTAAGAAAAATGATAATTTTCTAAAAGTTTTTAAAATACTATTTCCATTAAATTTAAAACAGTTGATTTTTTAATATCTCTAAACAATGTTTCAATTTAATCTTATGTTTTCATTTTACCATTTAAAATCTATCCAATTTTAAATAAAAATGCATCATCTGTAATTCTATCATTTTAATTAAAACTTTGACCAACTAATAATTTATTATGAATGAATACTTTAATCTATAAGTTCAATTAATCCTTCTAAAGATTCATCAGCAGTATCTCCATTTGGAACATAACCAACAAGATATTCTCCTATCAATTCAGATAATACACTAGATAATGCTTATATAGGAAGTAATGTTGCTAAATATAATCCACCAATAAATCTAACATCTATCAAATAAACTAATAATATATACTTCCCATAATCTTTCTCTTTCTAATCATATGATATTATATCTTTTCTTCAGGTTTTAATTTTGATGTATCTAAATCTATTGTTTTTCTACTATTAAACATTTTTTAAACTCTATTCAATAAAGACGTTTTGAATTTGGATTATTATCTTATCTTGCCATTTTTGTCTTGAGTTGATTATAAAGATGGTAAAAGGGCTAATTTAGAACATAAATTAATATATAATGCTCTATATTTGGGTTCAACTTAAGCTTTTTCTATTATTTTTTCAGTTAAAAAGTCTATGAAATCTTAACTATACAAATATAGTAATACAATTACTTTTATTCAATAATATCTATAATAAATTTAGAGACTTAGACTTCATTATCTGGAGCTAATTAATTTAACCTATATTTAAGTTCTTTTTCTATAGCTTTTTTTTATTCTGGAGTTGTATTAAGAATTTAAGTCCAAGCATTAGCTTCTTCTTTTAATTTATCTTTCCAAAGTTATTCTTATATAGAGATTGGTGCTCTTTATGGCATTCTTAAATTAGGCTCAATTTATTAGACTGGTTATCTATCTAATTGAATATCTGGTTTATCTCTTTTCTATGTAGGTATTTTACTATCTTTTCTTTATTCATATCTTTTTAATTCTTTATAATCAAAATGTTTTCTGTCTTTAATTCTAATCCAATTATTGTCACTTTCAAAATATTAAAAATCATTCATGTTTGCAAAAATAGTTTCAAGTTGCTCTTTTGTGTATGGTTTTGGTAGTCTTTATTCTTCTTCTAATTATTATTTTCTAAGCTCTTCAAGTTTAATTAATTCTTCTTATCTTTGAAGCTCTTCTTATCTTAATTTTTCTTCTTCTATTTTTCTTTATTCTTCTTCTATTTTTCTTTATTCTTCTAACTTTTGTTATTCTAATTCTTCTTTATTTTTTTGTTCAATCTACTTAAATAATCTTAATTGTTACCTTTTCTTAAAATGTTGGGTCGATATCAAATTAATATTCAGTTTTTCTTAATTCTTTTTTTTTTTTTATTCCTTAAGATTATAGAATAACTTTAGGTGGTTATTAAGTAATTTATGTAATTTAATTATTCATAAAATCAGGTGCTAAATCATCAAAAGGAGTATGATTATTTTTATGAAAATATTCTTGGATCTCATTTTTTGGTTAGTATACTTTTGAAGTAAGTACAATATTAGGATGAGATTATGTTTAGTTTTATGTGTCTTCTATATTAAATGGTTTAGAATTTATGTTCAACTTTTTTTTAGTTGTACTACTCATTATTTTTAATTAATATTATGTTGAAATTTGAAAAGGACAGATATTTTCATAAAAGCCCAGAATAAGTATTAATAGTTAATTTATCAGATAAGAAGAGAGAAATTAAATTTGAAAATGTAAAATGTTAAAGATGATTAATAAAATGGTGTAATCAAATATTTTATGGAAAACAAAAGTTCAGACTAACTGCAATCTCCTGTTCATAATGTTTAATATTCCAGTTTTAAAAATAAACCTAAAATGATACTTTATCGCACTCTTTAAAAAGTACAAGTTGAACCTGAAGTTAAGATAGACTAAATTAAAGAATTAAGATGGACAGTATTATCTAAAAATTGTTAAAACTTACTAGAATTAAGTCGAATTGCCCTTGATAAACCAAGTGAATTTAAATTTATTCCTCAATCTCCTTTACCATCTAAATCAACATCTAATCCTAAAATTAAATTTCTATCTAAAAGATAATCTATTGAACTTCGCTTAGGAGATTTAATTACTCCACCTACTTCTTAACCTAAACCAACCCCTAAAATATTATAAGATCCATTCTATATCAAATTTAAGAAATTTTATTAAAAAATTGGGTTGCAAGTTAAGGAACCTTTAAAATTTAATTTCAATCCAGATGATAGATAAAATTTATAAAATGTTCAAAAACAAATTAATAAAAAACATCGAAGTCTGCATCTTTCTCCATAATAATCAAGTTTGAATTTCTCTCAAAAAAAACCAAACAATGCTTATTTTCTTTAAGAACTTTTGAAAGTCTCCTCCAATGCTTATAGATTCCAAATTAATTTAAAAAAAGATCAATCAGATAATATTGAAATAACTAGCTAAAAATTAAACAATATTTAATCAGAATTTGATAAGTTCCATTAACTATTAAATTAGTCTGATTCGTTTTGAATATGTTAGATTTCATTTAAATATTATTATTAAATGCTTATAAAATAAATTAAAGAAATTCTATAATTAAAACGCAACTTTTCTGAAGACAAAGAAGACAATAATCTCAAACTTAATAACTTTAATGGTTTTTAAGATTAACATTAAAGATGGCTTAATGGATAAAAAAGACTTGAAAATTGTTTATTAAGAATTGCAAAGCTAGATGATGGAAAATAAAAATCTGATGAATTTTTTTATACTGATTCTACTAAATAAATTCAATATGAATACAGCTTATTACTTGCAAAATAATTACTAAAAGAAATTACAAATATTTTGCTTAACAATAAGTTTAAAGATTTTTTAAACAAATTTGATTAAGCAGAAGAATACATATAAACCCTTTTAGATTAATTCAAATATTTTCCAAATTAATAATCAAAATTTCAAGAACAAGAAGTTGAAACTAGAAAATATTTATTTGAAATAATAATTAAGTACTTTAAATCAATAAATATTGATTATTTAAAAAAAATAGTGAAATAGTAACGATCTCTTGATTATTATGTTAATTAAATATCAGTTGCAATCTTAGAACTCTTTTATGAAGATTATATTCTTAAATTATAAACAGAAGATTATAATATTAAAATATAAGAATAGAAAAAAAAAATATTATTTAATAATCCAAAGGATCAATGTTCTTTAATTACTCAAAAACTAAGATAGTAATTACCTTAACCTAATAATCATACATTTGGATTTGAAAACAAAGAAATTAATGTGTTTTGTGAACTTAGTAATGAAGAATAGTTTGGGAAAATTCTTGAAGAGGCAATTTTATTTGATTCCTTTTATTATGATAAATAATTAACTAATTAATCCTATCATAATTAAAAATAAAGAAAATTAAAAGTTCAATCTCAAAAGTATAGTAAATAAGATTTGGAATAATTCATTAGTCATTACAAAGTAAATTAATTAAGAATGACCAAAAAGAATATTGGGGAATTTAATAAAACAGATTATTCTAATCGATATTTCTAAACAAGAGAATAAAGATTAAAAAGTGAAAATAATAAATCAAGAATAATTGAAGTAACAAATAAAATCAACAAAAGAAGAATTAATACTATTCAATAATTTTTTGAAAATGATCCAGAAATCAAAAGATAAGAAAATAAAGAAGTAATTGATTACTTAGTCAATTATAATTATAAATAAGTGCCAAAGATCTTATAAAACTTTATTATTCATCATAAATCAAATGAAGAAAAGGATCTATCATCAGAATTGTTACATAAACTATTCTTTAAATACTCTAATAAGTAAGAAGTTGATTCAAGTTAGACATTTTAATTTATGAATTCACAAAGTTTTCAAACTCTATTTAAAGATTTGAAAATTTAAATCCCAAATGATAAAGGACTTAAGATTTTTAATAAATCTCTTGAAGATTAATCCTTTTTTCGTGATAAAGGATTGAATTATTCATACTTTCTTGATACTATTAGAGGATTAGCTTCAGTTTAAAAAAAAAATGATACAAATAATCCTGAATTCTAAAAAAGAGAAATTGAATAAAATACAGATCCTTAAGAAAAAATCAATAAGTAATTATTATTTATTTATATATCTTAGATTTCTATAATTATATATATTTCCAAATAAAAATTTTATCTATGAACCTATTGATCTACAATTATAAAATTGTGAATATTACTAAGATTTTCTAGAAACCTTTTACCCTTTAATTGCTGAATTTTTTTTAAATTCTAAAAATGAAAAATCATAATTAATAAATTTTGATGATGTTGTTAAAGTATTTATGAAAATCAAATTATGTCCATCCAAAATTACCAAAGCTACTCTTCGATACTATTTTTATTATAGTTAAATTGAGGATGAGGGACTTAATTTATAACAATTTCATAATTTCTTGAATTTGTTAGCTATGCAATAAAATAAGAAGATTATTGGAACTAAAGAATCTTCAAATGTTATTTAATATTATACATATATTTTTGAGTAAAAAAATGGGATTTCTAATGATACTTTGGCCATTTTTTAAAAAATTATGATTTTTTATATTCACAAAGATTATTTGAGACTACTTAGATAAACTAAATTACATGAATTTTCAATAGAAAGAAGAGAATCAAGTTAAGATTTTTGAATTATTTGTGTCATAATAAACTACGATAAACAAGATTTATAAAATTATCCATTTCTTATTTCATTTAACTTTTCTCAAGTTAAAGGGAATATCATAAAATTTAATATAAAATTCAAAGTAGTTATAAATCTTCATCTTTAAAAACATGAACAATAAGACGAGAAACTTTTTAAAAATATATTAATCAATAATTATATCTAAATTAATTTTAGAACTTTGGGCAAAAAAAGTATTCTCTTAATTTTGTTTTTATATTTAGGGAATTATTAAAATAAAATTAATTAAAACAATAAAAAATTATAAAAGTTAATGATTATCTCTATGAATATATTGCGGATATTTTTTTTTTGTTTTAAGAATAATTTGTATTATCAAGTAAAGATTAACAAAATAAAAAATGAAATATATGATTTAGAAAGTATATTATAGATGGAATATAAAATACATAAAAAGAATAAAAAATAATTGATAATAAAAATAAATATATCTATTATATAAATTTATAGTTAGCAAATAGAAAATCAAGTGGGCTAATTGCATAATGGACATTTATGAACTGCATGAATCCATCTAACAATGCATTCTGTATGGAATCTATGGGTAAAATGACATTCAAGTTATGTGATATTTTCTTTAGAATCTAAATTTTATAAGCAAATAGCGCAATCCATTCGTTCTTGATCTTATTTTAATTTGTCTTGATTATCTTTTTTTTAACCAACATTCTATTCTATAAATTATTTAAGGTTAATGAAATAATCTTCTTCAACTTTTTTACCTTCTAATTGAAATTGAAACTTTTTATCTTCTATCCATTGAGATAATGATATTAATTGACCACTTTTTGGTTTGACTTTTAATTCTAATAGAGAATTTTAAAAAACTATATTATCATATATTTCTTAAAGAGCTTCTAAATCATGTATTTAGTAGAAATTATTTGATGAATTTTATTTATAAATGGGATGATCTTAATGATTATTTTAAACCCATTACAATCTTTATTCTTATGGTTAAGCTAAATTAAAATCAAATACTTATATTTATTCTTCTTCTTTATTGACACAATAACTTCGAAAGAGGAAGAAGTAAATTAATTAGACAATTGTAAATAGGTATATGAAATGTTCATATGAACAAAATTAATGAATTCCAAATAATGTATCTTTGGTGATTGTTTTATAAGGTTTTTCTAGAAAGAAAGCAATGTAAGTACAAAAGAGTGAAAAAAAGTAAAGTCCTTTTAAAATGCAATTTTAAGTAGTATATGAAAGGTATAAGGATTGAAACAATGTCATATAGCATTTGAAATATTTCTTAGAATAGAGAGTTATGTTAATTTTTTTAATTAGATAAAGGACATAGATAATTTAAGTGCAAATAATAAATGAATAGAAGAAACTAGTTAGCAATGTGAATTTGTAGTTTTCTTTTTGAATACTTAGAAATATTATATACAAAATAGCTTTGATAATATAAAATAGAAGTAAGAAAACTCCAAAAAGAAAAGTAGTTTTCTGGACGACAATTGGTGCTAAAAGATAGAGTGAATTGATTACAAGGATAGCGATAATAATGATATCGTTTAGGTTTTTTTGTAACTACTCTTATGTTGCAACAACCCAACCAACATTTTCTACAAGCATAAATTATAATAGTTGCTGCAATAATATAATTAACAATAGCTAACAATGATCCTATTACTATTTTTGAATTAATTAAGTATGCACTAAGTATTAATGTAATTATGGAGAACTAAATATTTAACAGTCTAAAAGGGTTATATTTTTCATTGTTTGTGATTGCATTAATGGTATTCATGCCAGATGCAAATGCAAATGGATTCATTACAACCGATTCATCCTAATGTTTTTCTAACTCAGCTGATATCTTCCTTAAGTCTTTGAGAATTAGTATGAAGTAAGGAATAAATAGAATATATGTAAAAGATAATACTACTAACATCCATATGTAATCTGAGTCTTTTCCTATACTTGTGAATGTGCCCACTATTCCTATTATAGCAAATATTATCATAAATAACACACCCATCATAACTCCACAAATACTGCTCTTTACCACATCTTTAGGATCCTCATCTCTAATGTGCATTGATGAAGTTCTGAGTGAGAATGAACGATGCTCTCTTATATGCATCGATGCAGCAATAAGGATCATATTATATATAATATATCATTTTATCATTTTTTCTAATTGCTCTTTCACTAGCGGTGCTTATACTTCCTTTATTTCCTTTTGAATTTATACATACACCTAAACATTTCTCGATATATCTTACTCCGAATTATTATTTCAACTTATTCATCCCTTCTACCAAATTATCAAATATAATATCTTGCTTCTAATATGTATTCCAAAAATTAATCTCATATGAAGAACTTAATATTATTTATTAATTCTTAACTTCCTATCATTATCACATCATTTTCATACCTCACAAACAAACTCTAATTAATCCATCTATTCTTTTATCTTATTTTCACTCTCAAAATTAGCTATAACCTCTTTTATACCCTAGCATTCATGATTCTCTATTATTGCATTCAACATTATTCTTATTTAACCCTTCCAATTCTTTGGATCATCATATTAAAAATGATTATGCACCATATATGCTTATAATAATTATAATTCTTTTATATTGACTTCATTCTCTTTTGGAATCATTTTACAAATTATTATAAGAGGAACTAAAGTTTTCAAATTCTTTGCAAATTTAAAGAAGTAATTCTATTAGTCTAACATCTTCACTTTCTTTGTTAAATGCTATAAAACTTAAAGAGTTTGTATAAAATCTTTTTTTTATAAACAATCTAAACTTATTGAAGCCCATGCTCCTAAATTTACATATTATTGATATTCTTATTCAAATTTATTTAAATCATTCTATTCAGAATAAGCCAATTTTGCTGAAGGTCTCTTAAATTCATTAAATTAAACTGAAAATTTATTTATGATTTTATTTTTAAACTAACATTTTATTATAATAAATTTTATACATCTTCACTTAATTATCCATCAAAAACTCCCTATTTTTTTTCTGAAACTTCACGTAATGCAGAATCCAAAATAATCCATTTTACTAAATTATCATGCTATGTATTTTAATTTGATAATTATGAAGCCTTACATTTAATATAAATTGGGAAATTTAAAGTAAATAGAGGCTTAAATTTAATTCCTTAAGTCTTATTAATAATTGTTCGAAAATGTTCATTTACAAATTCAAATCTTGTTTGATATGATTCTGCAACTCTTTCTATTATTCTAGCCTATTTATAATCTTCAATTTCATTCTAGAATAATTGATTCTCTCTAGTAATACTATCAATTTAAGCCTTGCAAAGAAAACCACCATAACCATCCTATAAATAATCTTTTTCCGAACTTATTTTGTACAATCTCTTTGGGTATCTCAATTCCTCTTATACAACATCATTTTTAACATACACGAGTAAATATGCATTTATACCAGGTTTGACACCAAAAGCATCTTGAAATACTTTTTCTTTAGTTTCTTCTGTTACACGAATGTCATTAAATTTAAACCATTTATCTAATCTGAAATCTTTGATGTAAGTATAGTAATGACCAGAATCTTAAATGATAATTAAATTATATACTAGCCATTCCTTCATGGATTAAAATGGATTATAAAATATATTTATTTTCTTTAAAATTATTATAAGAAGCTTAGATTTTTTATTCAAGATTATTGTATGATTATTACAAGACTTCTTTTTTTTTTGAGACTTGCTATGAATATTTTAGTAAATGATCTATGGTAAGTTTTTGATTGGAATCACCGAAATTAAGTGGATTTAGAGGATTATCTTTTGTTTACATTTCTAAAAATTTGATTGTTGTTAAGAGAATATCTTATAAATCGTATTTATCATCAAATTTTGAAAATTGTTATAATTCTAATTTAATTTTTTTTTATTTATCTTTCAATTCTTTATTTTAAGTTCTAATTTCCAAATATTTTTTACTATTCTAATTTAAGAAGCGATCCAAATAGATTTCTTCTTCAAAATAAAATTCATCATTTTATTTAATAAGATCATCTTAAAAAAATAAAATAAAATAGATTACTTTTTTCTTTACTATAAGTAACTCTTTAAATTTAAAATGAGAGTGTTTGTGGTGTACCTTAAATCCAATTGTATTTAGTAGCACAAACAATTTCACTTAAATCATTTTTGAAATCTTCAATAGAATTGATAACAAAATTATCAAAAGCATCATAAAGATTTCCATCTTTTAAATCAATAGGAATAAAATTATAAAGTTCAGTACTATCTCTACTATGAGGTACTCCTGCTTAATCAAATTATAAGAAATGATGAACTTTACAAAAGAATAATTTGGAAACTGCATCATCATCATGAACAGTGGAAGATTTTTATTTTAAAATAGAGGATCCCCCTTCATGTGGAATATCTTCAATTTTACTAGGTTAATGTTCATTATAAGCAAGACCTTCTCCAATTCTACTAAGGAAATAATGATTGAATTCTCCAACATCTTTTTAATCACCAATAGGTAATACATTTCCAAAATCATCACAAATACTTTTGACAACATCAGATGGATCAACATATTTTTTATCACTTCCTATCATACTGATAAATAAATTCTATAGATGTTAGACTAATTAAATGGATTAACCTTATTTTCCTTATTCAATTTATGCTGGTGGTTGAAATTTGATAATAATTTTAACAAAATCACTATTAAAGAAGTACGTTTAGAGCAATCCATTAAAATAGCAAGTGTTACCTACATTTTTAAGACCACATGGAACACCATTATTTCTTTTTCTTTATTCAGGTGATACATTCTCAAAAGTAGTTGTAGCACCACCTTACGGATTAGTTTTGTAAGAATCAATTAAAGCTTAATTAAGTAAAATCTCTTCATCTTGTTTCTAATGAATCTATATTCAAAATATATACTGTTGGTGTATTTGAAAGTGCATTGTTTTTATCTGCCAATGTAAGTAGAGTATTGATTACTTCACTCTCGTTATTACTTTCCTCCCATGCCATTTGAATCAATTCTCTAGAAAATCCCATACCAATATATTGATCTAATAGCTCTGAATTAATTGGTGTCTTCATTTAATTAATTATGGATATGAAAGTTAAACTTTTTGGTGGTCTTGCAGCAGCATTTGCAGCAACAGCTATTTATTCATTTTTTAAAGAAAACAACAAAACACTTAACTAGAAGATGTTTGATTCAATTCACAAACTTAAAAACTACATCTAAAATCATTTTTATGAATGTACTAAAGAGAATGTTAGATTATTCATTATCATAGTTATCTTAAAAATTGGAAGATAGAAAGGACTTCATCAATTTATTAAATGAAGTGGCCAGTAGTTTTTTTGATATAGACAGAGTCAATGATGAAATCAGTCGACATCCTTATTTTAAATAATTTGCTGGAGTTAACTAATAAGTACATTTATTCAATTAAGAATACACTTCATTCTATTTAAGAAAGTAAGATTCACAAATATCATTCTAGAAACTCTCTAGATACTGTATATAATAGTCTCAATTTTATTGTTAGCAAACATAAATTGCATAATCAAGAATAACCATAATTATCTGAGAATACCTAGAAGTTTATTAATTTCTTTTATCTTGTATTTATTAATTTGATTAAATTAATTGAAGAAACTCTTCTAGATTTAGAAGATAAACATATTTTAATATAAATGAACTTTTTCTTAGCAGGATTACTAGATCAAATAGAATAAATTTTAAGATAATTTCCATTATTGTCTAATCTATTTGGTATTGCCCTTCTCGGATAATTATAAATAAATGATCCTTAAATAGGATTTGGACATTAATGTGATGATAATTTCTTTAATTCTAAAATTGAAGACACCAATTCTAATCAAAATTGTAAATGCTTAATCTTTGATGCACTTATTCGTTTCATCTCATTAATTACTCCAACATTATAGAAAAAATTTATTACTATTTTAGTTGATTATCAAATATTATCTACCAAAGATCATTTAATTAAATTAGGATAAATTCTATTGAAAAATTAATTTTTCTTAAACAGTCAAATAAGTAAAGTAGAAATGTATTATGCAAATGATGTAAGTGTGTTTAATCATTTGTTAATATAAGCAACAGCTTATAAGGAAGTAAGATAAGAATTAATTAAACCAGATTTATTAGATTTTTATTTTCTCTATTTAGAGAGAGTCATTGCTTAAAACAATCCAAAATTTGTAGCAAAATTATTGACTAGTATGATAGCATCACATGTTATGATTTATCCACTATTTGGTGATGAGGAGATTTTATCATAAATGATAAATAATGAGAAATAATAAACATTAATTATTGTTCATTTTTTAGGAATGTTACTGATATTAGAAACTAAAGATACAATGGATATTAAAGAAAATCCAAATGTTTAGATGTTGGATTGGTTAGCATAGAATATGGATTTTATGTTAGCAGTTGAAGTATTAAGTTATTTACAGAAATAATTTATATTGAAAATATTTAGAAACAAAGTAAGTGACATTCCTTTATTAATGAAATAATATTTGTAATGTTTACGTGTGACTCATAATAGAAGAATCTAATAAAAAAGTTTATAAAAGAGATAAATTGATGTTAATGCTATACTTTAATAAATGATTGGATACTTAACAGCCGTATAGATTTCAGAATTACCATCAAAAGAATCATTAACAAAAATAATAAGTTTAATTCCATTTGTAGATTAGAATGAATAAACTAATATATTTTCTAATATATTGCGTATTGTTTTTGATCTTCCAACAATTAATTTTCATTTTTTGAAGTATGTTTTAGAGAAATGTGAGAAAATATCAAAAGAATCCGTAATGAGTTATAATGGTTATTACTCCCATATTTTGACTGCATAAACAGCTTCATTTGATTCATATATGTTTTCAATTCAATTATCATTATTATTTGGAAGACCTGAAGCTTTATTGGGAGAAATCAGTGTTAGAATGAAGAATGATTTTTAAAATTTTGAAAAATATTAAGATTTTTTAACAAGAGATGTATTAAATATAAATGATTATAAAAATAGATAATATTACTAATAGATTTATTAGAGAATCCTTATTATTGCATGAATATACTAATGTAGACTGGATCTGAATTTCCAAATAAAAAAGAGATAATGATATAATTGTATCAGTATGCAGCAATATCACTATTGAAATTAAATGAATAGATGACATCACTTTAATTGTTGGAGACTTTATAATTATTTATTTATATTTAAGAATTACCATAATACATAAAAGATTTATTAGATGAAGGATAGGATGGTAAAATTAAATTAAAAAATTAATACTCATAAAATTGGCCATACTTAAACTTATAAAAAGATATGGAATCAGTGAAATACTTTTTAAGCAAGGCATCTGATCCTTTTGATGAAGTAATAATATTTTTTAATTGATAGTTATTATATGCTCCAAACTCATTTCCATTTTTATTTGAAATTAGACAGCTTGTGTATAGTTGTGAACCATTTATAAAAATAATTGAATTTTCCTTACAATCAAAATTTAGAATGAAATTATATGTCTGGATTGGCAAATTGTTATATTATGGAAAATAAGTATTATTGAAAAAGGGATCTGAGAAAATGGAATAATTGTTTGCTATGGAAGAATGCAAGACCTTTATTCAAGCTTTATCAGAATAAGAAGGATGCAATAAATTAGTACAATACCTTTAACAATGATATATCGTTATTTTAATTAAAATGGAAGAACTTATATGTCCATAATGTCATAATATATTCAATGAATTTGACAATATTCCTCTCATGCTTCCAGATTGTGGCCATACCATCTGTCAAAAATGTATTCAATACATGTTATCCAATGCTGATGGTTAGTAGATCTCCTGTCCAGATGACAAGTATTTTTTCTAAGTTCATTTTATCATTAGTATTTTAGCAAAAGGCAAGACTTAAATCTCATAATTTCCTAAAAATTGCTAACTTTTGAAAATGATTGTTAAATAAAGACCATCTATTGAGTAACCTGAATATTAGTTACATCTCAATAATTTAGCTTAGGAACGAATTGAATTGTGTGCTGAACATTTAGAAAAGTTAGAAATTGTATGTTTAACAGATAATATTCGAATTTGTACTAAATGTGCTTTGTTTGGAAATCATAGACATCATGAAATGAAATCAGTTGATGATGTAGTTAGAGAAGTCACTCTTAAAGCTGAAAATATTATGTAGACTTATTAAAAAATCTTGGATAAACAATAAGAAATGACTGAATCGAAGTTTTTTGAGCCTTTAAGTGATAAATTCTAAGTAATGCTTAATGAAAGTTCAATGTCTGTTAAGGAGAAATTTAGGGAGTTACATTAATAATTAGATTAGAAAGAATATAAGTTATTGGAACAATTGAATGGTTTAACTTCGACTTTAGAATAATAGACCAAAAGATAGATCAAAGATTAGATTTAATAGAGTTTATAGTAAGCAGAATTATGGAAAATTGGAGCAAAGGATCGTTTGCTCTATTTTTCTACTATGACAGATAATGGTGAGTTACCTTTAGATTTACTTTATAATTAAGAGTTTAAAGGAAATGCGATAATAGAAGAAATGGATAGAACAATAAAAATATTAGAATAGAAGATTAATAATATTAGAATTAGAAAAATTCGAGTGAACTTTAAAAAAGCTGAGATAGATAAATGTTTTGATACAATGTGCTCATTAACATTATAATTAAATCATACTGAAAACAATCATATTGAAAATAGTTTTACAAAATTTGATCAAGAAGAACCACTTCTTTTACGAGATAATTCTGTAGCAGATTGGACTGAAAATGATGAAAGTTTAATTACTTAAGTTAGTTAAAATTAGAGTCATGTATCTACATAATCATAAGTTATATAAATAAAAAGTTCTTTAAGAACAGAAAATCTTTGTAGTTCTATACCTCCTCTTAAAACGAATAAATAAAAAAGTCCAAATAAAGAATAATAATAATAATCAAATAATAATCTTTAACCTCCAGCTCCAATATCAATATTACGTTAAGGTATTTCTCCAACCCCAAAATTATAAGATAAAAAAAAGAAAACATTTAAAATGAATGAAAAATTTGATTCTGTTTGGCAGGCTTTCAAAAATGATAATTTAGAAATTGCAGATTTTTCTAATGCTGGTAAATATTTATTTGTTAAACATTTTAAGAATTAGGAGATGAAGGATGTTCAATAATTGCAGATTAATTGAAAATTTGCAAAAAAGTGAAATAGTTAAAATTAGCAAGAAATAAGATTAGTGATGATGGTGCAACAATATTATTGTAAGCTTTAACCTAAAGTAACAATTTAGTTTCATTAAATTTATCTTCAAATATGATTACTGAAAGGACATTGGATCTAATCTTATTTTTGATAAATAATCGTAATTACCAAAGAATATCTATTTATCATAGACTCTCATAAATGCAACAAAATCTAGGAAAAAAGTAGAAGAACTTAAAAAGTTAGGATACTTAGTTAACATATGATGGAATAATTTGAAAGTTAATTATTTATAAATTATTCAATATAAGGATTACATGAATATAATATCAAATAATGGATAGATTAACATTAGATTTAAAATACAAAATGAGTAATGGGTAAATAATAAAAAATTGAATAAGAGAGAAATATAAAATTAAAATAATAATAAATGATGAAGCTTCCTGCTAGTTATAGAGATCCAAAGATATTTAACAACAAATATATAATCAAATAATAGATTTCATCAGGTTCATTTGGTATCGTGTATTTGGCATTTGATAAGCACACAAGAGAAGAAGTGGCTGTAAAAATAGAAAAGGAAGAGAATGAAGATGTGAGTTCACTTGATAGAGAAATATCTATCTTAAATCGTTTAAATGGAGTACCTGGAACACCTAAACTTTATTGGAGTGGATTTGAATAAGACTATAATGTAATTGTAATACAAATTTTGGGGAAGGATCTTAGTTAACATATCAAGCAATATAAAAAGTTTAGTTTGAAAAGTGTATTACAGATTTCATATTAATTGCTTTCTACACTTTAATTAGTACATGAAAGAGGTGTTATACATAGAGATTTCAAACCAGAAAACATTTTAACAGGATATCAATAAGAGAATGGCACTATTTATTTGGTTGATTATGGAGTCTCAAAGATCTATTTAGATAATAATGGAAAACACATGTACTGAATTTACCTAAGGCAAAGCCCACTTAAAGACAAGAAATCATTTATCGGGACTACAAGATATGCATCTATTGCAGCACATCGAGGCTACGAATTGGGTAGAAAAGATGATGTAGAATCAATGTTTTATGTTATGATATATCTCTTAAAAGGGTAGAGAGAACTTTCTTTATATTAGAAAATTGCCTTGGTAAAATTTACAAAATATTGGAGATAGAGACAGAACTGATGTTGTTGGAGAAGTCAAATTTAAAACAGAAGTACCTGAATTATGTAAAGATGTTCCATCTGAATTTGCTGAAATCTTTAAGTATTCTATTTTTTTATTATTTAGTTATTTAAAAAAGTTAGAATTTAAATCTGAACCGGATTACAAATATATGTTATCTTTGTTACTTAAGGCTGCAACTAATAATCATATAATACTTGATAAATAATTTGAATGGACAGATCGGCAAACAAAAATAAAAGATCAAATAATTTGGGCTTTATCTGAAGAGAAATAAAAGATACCTTAAATGAATAGTTCATAATAAATAATGGGTTTCAATAATCTCTTAAAACCTCCAGAAGCAATGAGAGCAACAGGAGGTAGTCCCATTCGAATGGAGTCTAAACATCTCACATAGACATCTATTTAAGGTTCATTGTCATCGATGATGATAAAATACATACCTTCTTAAATAGAAAATACTAGTATGTGTAATCAAGATGATAAACGTTCAAAAAGCAAGAAAAGTAAAAGAAGTAGAAAGAGTGCTAAATCTTCTAAACGTCAATCAGTAATCTTTCATAGTGGAGTTTAAATAATAGAACCAAAAGATTAACTTAGAGTAACTAAATATTAATTTTTAGAGACATAAAACAATAGATTCAACTTGGGGATTTTAATAATGTATGAATGAATTTAGTGGAGATGAAGATTCTTAAAAGCTCTCTAAAAAATATGATCAATTATAAGCATACAGTCTTCATCCTAAGAAAATACCAAAAAATACTTCTAAATTATGATATTATTTAAAATATGTGGTATGCTTAAATACTCAACTCACTTGAAGTTGATGACTTCTCAGAGGAGCTACTCTAAGACATCACTAATCATCTTCAATCAATTTCAGTTACAGATTTCTCTAAAGGTTATGAAACAATCATTTCAGAATTAGCAGATATGGGATATTAGTTTATGTCTTAGAATCAATTACCTAGCACATAATTAATTATTCAATACCTTCAGCTATGGAATCAAGAAGTTTGTACCTTCTCTAACTTATGGGTTTTATAGAATTTAGAAATTGCATATCAAATTAAGATTAATCGTATTACTCAAGCAAGAGCACGTTTGATGGCATTAATTGATGAATAATAATATTATAGTATAGGAGGAACTGTGTCTTAAATTTATGAATCTGCCTTATCTCTTTATCACTTTTGCTCAATAGAAAATTAAAGCAAATAATAAGCATTATAAGCAATTCTGAAACTGTAACAACTTATAATTAAGTCTTTGGAACCAAAGCTAGATAAAAAGGTACATCTCTTGATGGCAAAATTATATGAGAGAATGGCTTAATTAGAAAAGGGAGTTTATGAATCCAATCAATTCTGTATATAGGCATATAAAGTTGCTAGTTAAGTACTTACTCCAGATGATTCATTATTATAATATTATGAATCTCATATTCAAATGGATAATTAATTAACTTAACCTCCTAAGCCATTATCCATCACTCATTTACAAGATAATACAGTATTATTAGAAGAAAGAGATGTCGTTATTAGTGATTAAGCAGGTCTTATGAGAGTTACTTATAATCATAAAGCTAAAGAACTTATCATTTTGTTTCTAAATCTTAAATGCATATTTAATCTATCAGATATTGAAAATGAAATTACAATTTATAATTTTTAAAGTTTACCTGTATTTTTAAATGAATTTGTTAATGTGATAGGTTAATAATTGATTTTAGAAGAAACATTAATAATCCCCATTAATATCATAGGATTAGAATCATTTGAAAAATAAGTTTAAATTACTTAAAAAGTTCGTGGACATTATTTTGCTTACTTCACAGAACAAGTACTTGAATATATGGATGATGAATCAGTACATCCACTATTGATTTAATGATTATTGTAATTATTTTTAAAACAATCAACTATATTATTATTATTTTTTGTTTTTTGATTCTCTTTAACTATTAATGAAAAGAATTAAAATAATAAAAGTTTTAAGTATATAAGTAACAAAAATTATCAAATGATTCTATATTATTAAATGTTAATCAGTATTAAATAAAGACACTAAAATCGAAGGACTACTTAAAGATTAAAATACTTTGAGACAGTTTAAGAATAGCCGAGAAGGGCCAGTTGTTGTTGTGAAAATTGTGGCAAACTAACACAATTTTAACAAATTTATAAGAATTCTCCTTTGGTAGTTTAACAACATTAATTGAATAATGACCAAAAAAGTCTACTATTTAAATCTAAATGTTATAAGAAGATGATTTCAACAAGTTTTCATATCTCAAACAAGATTTCAATTTAAATAAAAAAAAGAAGACATAGTTGTACATGCAAAGAATGTGGTTAAGAAACTCTTTTTTAAATGACTAGTTGTTCTAAAATTCCTGCTAGATAACCAATGAAAAGTGCTCATTTCAAAAGTTTTATCATAAAGAAGTCACTTGGAAAGGTATTTTAAGAATTTTAAGGAGCAAAAAAAAGTAATCCATTATTGACATCTCGATCGCATAAAGATATTTTAACTAAATCTCCTCTATTAACAAATAGAGTAAAAGCAGGATCGTGTCTATTAGCAATTTAGAATTCAGATAGTTTTAAATATTAAAATAAAGTCAATAAATAATTAATGGAATAAAAGAGATGTAAGATAATAAACTCATAAGAGAAAGTCAAAATATTTATAAACAAACACGAGAATAAAAATCCAAAAATTAGATTAAAGACGCTAATAAATTGATAATATATTATATATACATATAAAAATTAAAATAATAACAAGACTTTTAAAATAAGAACCTCAGTAATTATATTGAAAAAGTAAAAAAATCACGATTTTTCATAGAGTGTTAAAGTAGTAATCAAAATTATATATATCAGTTACCCAATCAATAATTCGACAACAGTCTACCCATCTATATTCTATAGAATTGCAATTAAGTACTGCAAGTACACAAGAGTGTTTTCTGGTAATAAATGGCTTACCAAAAATATAGCAGTATTATTTAAAACACCAGTTTTAATACTAGAGAAACCTTATTCTAAAGTTTTTTAGTGTTTCCACAAAAGTATTCTTTGGTTTTAAAAATATATGCAATAGAGGTAATTTATAGCATAATAACATAAAATAGAAACATCACTATAAGTTGATTTATTTAATCTATTTGTAAGAAAATGAGGATTAATAAAATATGTAATTAAAAGTCTTAATTTTTAAGCAGTAGAATTCATTTCAGCTATAAAATGCTATGTATAGTATTATTTTCATTATCATTATCAATATATTGAATTTTTTATTAAAAATATTTAGATTGATAATGGAGATAAATTTCAAAATTTTCAACAATATCTTGCAGCATCATTTTCTGGTAGAAACAATAATCCATGTAAAAGATCTAATAATATTAGAGTTTCACCCTCTTATCGATTAGAAGTTGTTCCTCAAATTTAGATGCCATTTTCAGAGATAGAGACATATTTTATTAGGATCAATTTTAGGCTATTCAAAATTTAAATAGTGATAGATGATGTCATTGTTTTAGTCATTGATGCAATTTCTCTAATAGAATGTTTCTTCTTTCAGTTAATTAATCTAACACTTTAAGCATCAAGGATAACCTAAGTATATACAGATTTTAATGGAACAGTAGTTTCATCAAAATTATTTGAACTAACTAACATCTTCTAGTTGGTGATTCATTCTAAAAAATTATCAATCAAAAATTTATACCCAAACTTTTATCTTTCTATTTAATTCCACCCTTATAAGCAATTTTAATTATTATTGATTCATATTATTTATTTTATATACTTTTGTAATTGTTTATAATAACTAACATATAAGTATTTTCATATATAAAATAATTTGATAATAAAAAACCTATTCTAATTATGGGCAGTTGTTAAAGTACTCCAAGTATTGTAGATGATTTACAAACTATGGATTCCAGTGCCTGTAAATAAACAGATAATCAAATAAAAGAAGAAATCTCTTCTCAATATGATGAGAACAAGATCATTATAATTCAGGCTTATTATAGAGGACATAAAGTTCGTAAATCTATTATGCAAACTCTCTAATCTTCAGAACCTTCTGCTCCAACTTAACCAGATAATCCTAAACTTTGTTTTGATCCAACAACAATTGTATAAGAGAGTGACCAACCTATCAAAATGAAAAATGGAGCTATCTATACTGGTGAATGGAGAGATGGCAAAGCTAATGGAAAAGGAAAATATTAATTCCATGATAGGTAGTTACTAATTTTTATATTTCTAGTTACATAGAAGGAACTGTAAATTTTATTCAATATATTTTAGTGGATTTCCAATGAACTTTAAGGTGAAGGAGTTTATGCTAATCAAAATGAAACATATAGAGGATAATGGAAAGATAATATGTTCCATGGTTAAGGAGAATTCAAGTATCATGATGGTCATATCTATACAGGTATCTACCATTTTTATAATAGGTTAATGGAAATAGGGTTTATAACATGGGATAGGTAAAGAAATTTATAAGGATAAATCTACTTATGAAGGAAATTTTTAAAATGGAATGAAATGTGGATTAGGTATTTTTCACTTATCTGATGGTTCAATTTATTAAGGAGAATTTTAAGATGATTTATTTCATGGATATGGTTCATTTGTAAATCCTATTTATTAAGTAGACTTGGCCTGATAAACTCAAAGTATATGAAGGTTACTGGAAGAATGGATTAAAGAATGGAGATGGTACTATGAAATGGGGTGATGGTATTTTCTATTCATATATACAAATATTAGGACGTATTTATAAAGGCAGATATTTTGATGATATTAAACATGGATATGGAGAAATGTAATATACAGATGGTCGAATATATAAAGGATAATGGAGAAATGGCCTTTAGGATGGAATAGGCTTATTTGTACAAAAAGAAGGGATTGCCAAATAAGGTTTATGGATTAAAGGTAAATTAAAAAGATGGCTCTGATTTTAAAACAGAATTTTGATTTTCAATCTCTTCTAATAATATATTAATAAGTATTAATAATATATAATAGAACGAGGAAAAATAGATCTTATTCAAATTTTCAATACTAAATTCTTAGATTTAAATACCTCCTCATCAGATTGGTTAGGGTCTATTTAATCTTCACCAAGTAAGTCATCAGGCAAAACTTTCTGTTACTATTATTATTCCAATATTTCTTGGTGTTTTTAACTACATGATATAATATTATAATTATTAAATACGCAGCTTATGCTAATAACACATCCATCATATTAATTTTTAATTTATCTTTGGAAATCATCTAACTGCTTTTTTTCTTCATTTTAGGTTAAACAAATTGAGAAGCCAGATTGAAATAACAACTTATTTCAGTTGCTTACTCTTTTCCTTTATAATCAAAACTGCTTTCCTCAGAATCATTTATTCCTAATGCTGATTTGTCTATGAATACTTGAATCGTCTGCCAATAATGAATCACATAAATTTAGCTACTATTTATAATTATCCTCGTATTATAATAAGACTTAATTAGAGTAAGCATTTTAATCCGGAGAATTTATTTTCTATTTAGGAGTATGAAGTTTGTGTAAAGAATTAGGTTAATTTGTTGGATTCAAATCTATATTTAAATTTCCTTCTGTATCATCTTCATTCCCTTATTCTGCATTTGAAATAAATTATTCAAACATTCTACTTAATTCTGAATTATTTACTCTATAATTGAACTATCACCAACTCTTTTTAAAAAGATCTTGGTCAATTGCTCTCTTTGAAGTAATTTTTGTATTGCTTCGAATTATCCTTGTACTAAATACTTTAATTCCAATGTTTCTATATAAAAAATATAAATTTACCAGAATCATTTTAATTGACATGATCATGCTCTTTTATTTAAGTTGACAATTAATTTATTTATTATTATAAATTAATAATTATTTAATCTTGAGACTTCTTTATTTCTAATAATGAATTATGCTCTTATAAAAGACTCTCATGTTTCTTTTTAATTGAAATAAGAATGTTTTCAATTTTTTTTTTTTCCATTTATTATTAAATGGATTGTTAAAGAATTTGAATTTGTCTCTTAAAGAAATGGTCAATTTAAAGTGCTTGATTTGTATCTTGAGTTGAAACTGGTTATGTATTTTATTAATCTTGAAACATTATTGCTAATAATTGATTTAGAACTTGATTAAATTTAATCATAAATGCTATTTCTTTTTAATCCTATTACCAATTATTGTCTCTATCTTACAAAAGCATTCTAATCTTTTCTTTTATCTTTTAAAGTTAAGTTTAATCACAAGAAACACTATTACTATTCTTTATCTTTACACTTGAATTAGGACGATGAAAAGAAGAGTTTTTTGTTAGTTAAGGTGATTATTGTTCTATTTATATCATTGATTAATTCTTTCTTAATTTATGAGATATCTTCACTGTGTCTATTAATTCATTGTTAAATAAACTTTAATTTTTAGGTTTCGTCTGTTAGCCTGCCATCACATTTAATATGCTGCTTAATTTTTATTAAGACACTTAAAGTGTTGGATTTATGAATGTTCTATTTACTTTCAATAAATTTTCATATGATTTCTATCTTCCAACTGCAGGACTGTTATTATTCGAGATATTTTGGGATTGACTCTCAAATTACTGTTTTGAAGGCACTTTTGTTAATTTCTTCTCTAAGATTTTCCCATGCAATTTCATCATCTATGATGCATAAATAGCAATCTTTTCATTCTCATTTTATTTTTTCATTGTAATTTTGATTGTTGAGAATAATAAATGATGAAATTATGAAATTCTTCAATATATATTCATTTATTAAAAAATATCCATATTCATTTACTTCGTATGTGTTTCATAAACTATGACAATAAATATGATATAAATATGAAAAATCAAAAGTCAATTAATTAAATTTCGAGAAGCAAATAATTACTTAAATTAATTCAAGTTTTCTTCCTGTTTTAGTTAGATATCAATCATTTAATCTAATTTTTTGATCATCTAACTTCGCTCCTAAAATTAAGTTTGCTCCCTCTTACTTGTAATTAGTGCTTCTTATCTACATTTAATTTCTTGACACTCTTGCTCAATTAATAATGCTAATTTTCTAAATGTTCCTACTTTGTCTACAAATCTTTAATCTAATTAGCTAAACTCTCAATCTTCTTCTCAATCCCTTCACAAAGAAATTCATTATTCTATTTTCTTTCAGTCGGAGATTTCAATAGATGATCATCTTTCGTCATCTTTTTGGCTGTCTAAACATTAGTTTGGCATCGACTTTAAGGGCTCATTGAATGAGGTTTTCTAAGGTAATTCTTAAAGGAACGAAGAAAAGCAATAATTTCTTAAGGTGACTACACTTTTCTTTATTTCATCTTTAATAATTTTATTGTTAAATAACTAGGGAAAAAAATATACAACCTTCTTCTGAAGAAATTTATAATATTTCATATCATATTCAACACTTTTGATTAAATAATACAAAGTTATTGAATTCTCCACTTATTTACATGCAGAAATATTTTCAAAGATTTATCTATCTCTAATTAAGAAATTTTCTAATTCAGATTTTTCCTACTAGTATCATAAATTATATTAGATTATATTTTTATTCTACAAATACATTATTGTTTCCTATTTAATACTTTATTATTTACAGAAACTTTAATCAAGAATAAAAATTCATTTAATTACTAAAAGGACGTTTAGAAATTATTTAATAATTTTTAGAACTAATAAATTTACATTATAGAACTTTCTTCATATTAAATTCAATCAAAAAATACAATTCTTTTATATTTTTTAATTCTAAATTAATCAGTAAATAAAAATTATAAACTGAAAGATAAAATTAAATTTTAGCTCTATAGCTTAATCAAATCTAAAAATAAAATCTTTTGATAGTTTTATCATAAATAAATTTAATGTTGTATTCATTAATATCTCTATTCTATTTTATATCCTTTCTTGTCTCAATAATCTCTACATTTATGGTTTAATATATATTTTCCAATAGAATAGAAATAAAAAAAATAGAAATACAACATGTTTTGTTGGTTGATTTAATTTTTTTTTCTTTTTATAATAATATTTAGACCTTTTTTCTTTAATTTGTTAATTAATCCATATTCGCAATAGATCTTAGTACCATTATTAAATTAATCTTATTTTATTGATAAGTTTTTAATTTTTTTTACTTTTTTTATGTTCCATTTATTAAGTCATAGAGTTGCTCTTTAAAATGTAGGCAGAGATTCTTTTGGAATTTTGCTCTTTAGTTGAAATAGAAGCTAAAGATTTAATTTCATTACTTTTTATAAAAAGATTAAATCATTAAATTATTCGCTATTTTTGATAAATTTTCTGCCTTTAAAAATGTTCTTTTTGTGTCTCTTCTCCTTTTTTTGTTAATAATTTGAATAAGAATTATCGTAAAGCCTCAATAATTTGTATTTGATAAATATATATATAAACAACTAAATTAATTTCACTTTAATCTTCTTCCTTTTTTTTTTTTATCATCTATATATAGATGCTCTTTTGCATTTGTATACATAGACTTCAGATTTTGTTGTTTCCTTTCAATATCTTTTTGATTTAGTAAATGAGTTTATTAAAGTTGATTATTATAAATTATTGATTATAGTTCTAAGGAGCTATCACAATATTTTAATGAAGCTTCGCTATTTGGAATAATGCTCTACTCTTATAGTCTTTATGATTTTTTAAATAACTTTTTGAGTGATTTATTGAGATCCTAATAAAGTTAAAGTATTGAATTGGGATATGGATAGGGTGTTTTTTATATGTGTTCAAGTACATATAAACATTCTTATATTTCTCTCTGTAATTCAGGAAGCTAATCATCATTATTTTATGACATTTTATTTGTCAACATTTATTATTATTTATTAAATTATATTCAAATAAGCCTGTTTATCTATTAGACTATAGATTAAAGTACATTTTGTCTTGGAAAAATGTGCATCCATGACATTTTCCAAAAAAATCAATAATCTAATATAACTTTGTATTCTATAAATCGACAATCTAAATAAAATCATCACTTTCAATGCAAATCAATTAACCTTAACTATTGTATAATATGTTATAAAATGGAGTTGTAATTGCTTGCACTTCTGAATAGGGTTTTGAATAATTTCTTAAATCCCAAATTAAACATTTTTTATCTTCTCCTGAAGTTGCAACTTTCTAATTGTCTTATGGATCAAATCTAACAACAAAATTATTATTTTAATGTCCTTTTAACTAGAATGAAGGTTCAATTTATCTTCTATCATATGCAAATATTATGGGTTAATCTAAACATGCAATGATTAGATTTTACAAAATCTCACAATGATTTACCGGATGAGAACCTTTTCATAATGTTGATAATTTACAATTAATTAGATATTTTTCTTTTTCAAAATTATCAGCATCGAAAATACGAATCTGATTAGCATTGTCACTTACAATAATTTCTTTGTTATTTATAAAGTCAGCTTAATTGATTATACATTCTTAATTGGGTACTATTTTTTATATTTATGATTGACCATTTCTCAATGAAAAAAATAAAATATTCGCTTGTAATCCTGCCCTTTAGCTAAAGTAAATTTTTACATCAATACTAAATGTTCGCATTGACTTAAACCAACAATATTAAAGTCTTAGATCATTTAAATCTATTATTTATAATTACAAGGATTATAAACACTTAATCGATCGTAGCTGGAATATATGAGTAGATTGGTAAATTAATTATAGATTAAACATTTTCTTAATTAATAGTGTGTAATCTCATTGGCTTTAGTTGGATGAAATTTTGAAAATTGATAATATTGAGAATTAGCCTATCTAAATATATGTATATTTTAGTTGTTTCTAGAAATGAAAAAAGAGTTTCTAAGTAGCGATCGATAATCCTTAGTATGATATTCGATACTTTAATGATCTTAATACTGGCAAAGGTAATGGTGATCAAATACTTGAATGTCAAATTACTACATTTAATAATATTAAAATAATAATGATTAAAAAAGAACAATTAGATAAATAGTTTATATGAGGAATCATTTATTAATGAATGTGTAAAAAAAAATAGAAAATTAGACTAAAATAGAAAAGGAAGAGTTGATTGCATAGTATTGAAAAAAGAAATAAAATGCTAAAACCTCCTAAAAAGTTAAAAAAATTGTGATTGTACAATGAATGGGGTTTAGAAATAAATTAAATAGTATTTTAGTGAATTTGGAAATGAATTTAATAATTGAAAGCAAAGTCTCCATATCTTGATAAATCTTTTTATTTATTGTAACGTATAAGATACACAAAGATTTATCTATTAAACACTGAACTAATTAGAAGTGGAAAAGTAATAGGTAGAAAAATAATGTATTTTATGGAGATGTAGTAATAAAATAATAAAAAAATTAAGAATATAATTAATAATGATGGATGAGAATGTTGATTAGAAGGAATGTAAAAAAGGGTGGAATAGAGAATAAGTATTTTGAGAATGAGTAGGAATAGATAGTAGTTTTAGAGATGAAAAAAGTAATAATTAAGAATATTTGATATTTATGGAATAGTGGTTATAATAGTTCAAACAAGATTAATGAGGTAGATTTGATTAGAGATAATAAAATGAATAAGTTTTTAATTAAAAAGAAAAACGTATTAATGAGGATGTGGAAATAAATTGAAAAACGGGTATTTTTTAATGTATTGGAATGTGATTATGATTTCATTTCATTAATATTAATAACATGAGAATCATAGCTGTATTGACTCTTATCCTTGCAGTTGCTACTGCTAGAGTGACAAAGACAGAGAGCCCAAAAGAAGTGTTGGCTTAAATTAACAAAGATTCATTTGGAAATTCAGTGTTGTCAGTCCTTTAACTCTAATTGGCAACAGGTGGACCTGTAGGTGAAATTCAAATTCTCTTAAACAATATTGCTTCATAACTTAATGGAGATTAAAAGAAAGCTGACAAGGTTCATGAAAGTGATACAGTAGCTTTTGAAAAGGTTTATATATATTAAATAAATTTTTGTTTAGATCATCGCTGACTTAGAATAAGAAATTGCATATCACTAATCCTAAATTGTTGCTCTTTCAAATTTAAGAGATTCAACAACAGAAGCATTAGGTGAAGCAGAAGTTGAAGTTAGAGTTGTTACTTAAGATATTGCCAATAATGAAAAGAGCTTTGCTGATGAATCTGCAACAAGATAATCATAACACGAAACATGGGTTAGAAAAGATGCAGAACATGTTGATTAAATGGATGCTATTGATGAAGCTTCTAAAATTGTTTAACATTTATAAGCTGGTGTCGCCTTTACTTAACTTAAAAGTAGATTTGAAAAGGTTTAAGCTAAATTGATGGAATCTAAACATGCACTCTTTAAGGTATTATTTTTAAATTATTAACCATAGCCACTTATTAATGCTTTGACTTAATTAGCTTCAAAGGTTGATAATAAGAGTATCATTAAAATCTTAGAACTCTTGGCTTAAATCAGATAATAATTGGTTGCCAGTAGAGCTTCATTACTCGCTACTGAAGAAAGATAAGCTGCTAATTGGGAAGTTTAAAGCTCTCATTTATAAGAAGAACACAAGAGATTGGTAGAAAGAAAAGCTTTCTTAGAAAACTCTATTGTTTAATTCAAAGTGACCATCTAAGAGGCTGTTGAAGATTTAGAAGATTAAACTGTAATTATTTATGTCTATTATTTTATAGTTATTCCTTGAAGATGCTGAAGATTCATTAGCTATTCAATAAAGATGGGCTGCTGAATAAGAAGCTTAATATGAAGCTTAAACCTTCGAAAGAGAATAACAATTAGAAGTTGTTGAAAGATTATAAGAAGTACTCACTTAAAAGATGAGTGCTGCATCAGAATTCCTCCAAATTAGAGAAGAGGTCTTTTGATTATGAAGTCCAATATATTCAATATACAAATCTTCATAAAATCATTTAATTTAGTTATTACTAATTGCTTGGGCATTTTATTATTGGTTCTATTAGTTTAAATCTTTGAAAAGAACATTAGGATTTGCATTTAAATCATTAGCCACCTAAACTTAACATTAGTATATATACTTCACTGTGTAATTCTTATTTCAATTATCCCATCATTTGTTCAATAGCAAGATCCTATCCAACATTATTATTTTAGTTCAACATTCCTGTCATTATATTTCCTTACACCTACATTTCATCCATTGCTCTTTCAAACTAATTCATGTTCTAATAAACCAACTCTAAAGGCATATTTTAAGTCTACTTAAAACTACTTTCTATACTTATTAATGCAAGATAGGACTTATTTTAGCCAAGGCCTCCACTGTTTTTGTTGAATTTGTACTGTTTTTAATTAGACCTTACATATAATCCATCTTATGTGACATCTTTTATAAATTTTCAGCTTCCTTCTGTTTATTCATTGCTGAAGTTAAAAATAGTTTTGCACCTAAACCACATTTCTTTTATTTTTACCTTCCTCGTTGTTTTTCTATAGGGCTTACTTTGCCTAATTCATTAATTTATCCTTCTCCTTCTCACATTTCTTTGACTCATTTGCAAATCGTTTTGATGCTAACTTCATATCAAAAAGTGCATCATCTATTGTAGGCTTTGGTGCCTAAGGCTTTGGTTAATCATTTCCCATATTAATTTAATAAATATTTCTCAATTAATTTTCTAGGCTTAAAATTCAATTTATTCTATATGTATTTATAGAATAAAGTATGTGATAAACCTGGTCTTTATTTTTGCCTTATTGCATTAGACCATCGTCTCACTTCAAGAAATTTAAAAGATACGAAATTTATTATTGTGTTTATAATTTATTATAAATTAATTTATTCTATTTCAAAGAATCTATCAGATTATAATACAGATATATATATTTATAACTCTTCTTACAAATCCATAAATTATCAAAAATTATTATATCCAAAGTTGCTTGTAATTCTAAGGAATACAAAATTATCATTAATCTTCTTAGATTTTTTCCACTCAGGCTCCTTGCTTTTAATCTTCTCAAAGCAGTCCATACAATAATCACTATAGCCTTCATTGTTATAACAACCTCGTTGATCATTTAGAACTATATATCTATCCTGACCAAAAGGATTTAACTTTTGACATCCATTACACGAATAGCGATGAGAAGATATTTATTTATCAGGTGATTTAATGTTTTTTCCAAATCTATACACATCTATATCTTTTAATTCATTGATATCAGTTATTGGTGTATTAATGAAAACGAGATTATCTCTTATCTAATAGTGTATATTGAATTAATCTTTTTTCTCAGCACATTCACAACAGTAAAATTCATTTTTGAAATAGTTATAATATTAAGCATGATTTTTATTTAATCCTAATCCACATAAATTACATTTTATTCCAGGGTATGGAATATCCATAGCTTAAATTAATCGTTGTTCAAAAGAAAATTTATCTATGGGAATATAAAATTAAAGAGCTTAATTAAAACTTCTAAGCTAAAATAAATTTATTTGTCTCACTGTATGTAAACAATTTGCTACAAGTTACTCGTTTAAATTACTATGAACTGTTAATTAATATTAAAATTTTTGCCTAAATTTAATAAATTTTTATAATTACTTATTCCCTAACTCTCCTGTTATTATTTATTAATTTAAAAGATAATCCCATAATTAATTAAATTAAATCGATTTCTCAGATAATTATTCCTTAAAAGTATGCGTTGCGAATTCAAATGCAATTTTACTCTCTAATTAATGAAATAAGCCTTTCTATCTAATTATTCCATTTTGATCAATAATAATATAAAAAGGAAAAAAGTTTACTTCATATTTATTTCTTGCTAGCTTAGGATACTCTTTTGAATAATAAAATTCACTATTAGGTTTAAATTTATAAATTAAATCAATATCTTCTTTATTATATTCTATTCCCAAATATATAAATCTTAATTTTTCGCCATATTATTCCTATAATTTCTTATAAAAAGTCTCCATTTTTATTATAATAAATACACATGGAACTAACCAAAATAAAACAAGCATTTAATTAGGAGAATGTTAAATTATTATTTCTTTATCTTCCTTATCATAAAATCCATCTAAAGGAAAAAATTTATCTCCTTAAGTTTGAATTGATTGTAATTAATCTATCAAATTAGTTATATATTTTTTTGAATTATCATCTTCTTATGAATCAATAATTAATGATAATCCATTAACTACTTCTTAATATTCTTTTAATGATAATTCTCGATCAAATCTCACTCGTTACTAATAATTTGAATCGCAAACAAATGATAATTTTTCATGATTCCAATTTATTATATGTTCTTCCCATTAATAAGGAATGATTTATAATTCATATTATGAAACAAAATCATTTAATATTTCTCTAATAACAATTTACTCTTCGGCTTCTTATATTTTTAAGGCTTTTCTAACAATTAAATAATTTTAATCTCCAAATATTTAAGATAAATAATTTTCAATCTCCTTTTCAAGTTTATTAATTGAATTTTAAGAAGTTGTTTCAATACTTACCAATATTTTACTTCTATCTATTACTTTTTTGGATCCATCTTTAAAGTAATTTTTTTTCTATATCAATCTTAGTTCAATAATATCTTTTTCTTAAAAAAAAGCACTAAGATTTTACATAACTGTTGTTTGAATTTTCTCCTTGAAGGATTTATAATCTTCTTTAGAATATTTTAAAGTTGGTTCTATAGATTATTCAGTCTAAAATATTTTTTAATCTATAATTTATGCATTATTATTGGTATTGGATTTTTTTTATAGTATTATTTTGATTTATTCAATGTTAGTATTTTCAACTACAAAAACCTTTTATTCCTTATCCAGAATGACTACATGAGGAAATTTTGTAAATTATAGTGCTCTCATTTATAAATCAAAAGCAATATGTTTTGGATTAAAATGATAACAATTAAAAATTTCTAATTCTAGTATATATTTTGACCAAGCTTCTTAATCTGAATCTATATTGATAGAGAGAATTCTAGTATCTCTTAAATCATTAAGAATTTATATATTCAAATCTTTCATCAATTATACACTTTCCTAATTTGTCATTGACTAAATTTTGTTAAATTTTTACCCAAAAAATTAAAACATTTAGAATATCTGGTGTTACTTCTAATTTTTAGCTATCCTTAAATTCTCCATCCTCATAAAGAATTAGATTAGGAAATCCTATAAAAGTGTCTTCTTTATCATAGAATGGATGAAGAGATTCTAATAAAGAATCGCATATAAATTAATCTAAAGGAAACTTTTTTATTTTTTTCTAAAATTCTTCATAATAATAAGCTTAATTTATTGGAATTCTCTATGAAGACTAATAATTGCAAGAAACTTAGAATCTAAAAAATTTATAAATCTTATATACTAATTTTCCACATTATTAATTAAGTATTGCTTAATTTAAGTAACTCCAATACTTTATGGTAAAAAAGTTAAGATTTCTTTAATCATAGCACCTTCTTACTTATTTTAAATCATTTAATAGTTTGATTTATAATTATATTTAATATTTGGTTTAGATAATATTTAATTAAAGTGGAAAGGATAAATAATTTATATATATTATTAATGAAGTGTTACAAAATCATTAATGATTTTGTTGATGATATCAATTTCCATTTTTATTGATCATCTAAAATCTAAAAAAGCCTTAATCATATTAATTATTTCTTTTTATAATATTGATCTCTTTGTTTGTTTAATTTTGAATTTTTTTCAATTTAATTAAAGGCGATTGTTAGATTTCACCATCAATATCCTTTTATAAGATTTCAAGTGGTGATTTAGGTGAAATATGGCGATCATGTAGAGTAATAGGACTTTTAGTCAATGTGTTACTTCTCATATGTAAATTTCTACTATAATAAGAATTTTTGTTTTCATTTTAATTAAAGTCCTTAATATCATCACTAGTTCTATAATTAGTTTGATGATTTAAAAAGAGTGGATCAATTTGTTGATGATACAACCAAGGATGCTGCAAGGCCACTAAGAAGTGAATCTCTAAAAATACATTTGGCAGATAATCTTTTATAGGGATTAGGATTAAGAAGTCTCTTAATGAAATCACAAGGTAATATTGAAATGCTATCATGCATTTTAAATTTTCCTTTTAAAATCATTTTAGTTGTTCCTAAGACAGTATCCTTAAAGAAAGGAAAGCTTCCAGACAATATACGATATAAGCATACACCTAAAGACCAAAGATCTACTTTTTCATTGTAACCACCTCCAATAAGAATTTCAGGAGCTGTATAATATATATTCCCAGTTCTTGTCCACATATCCACATCAATGAATTCTCTACCATTATATTTTTTAAATCTTCTACTAACTCCAAAATCTATAATTTTAATAGCTAATGAATTTTAATCAATTAATATATTATCTGGTTTGAGATCTCTATGTGCAACTCCTCTTTCATGAATATGTTACAATGCAAACAGAAAGTTTCTAATTAAAATCTTGGTTTATTCTTCTCTAATTGACGTATATACAAATACGTTAATTTAGAATTGCGTAATACTTCTTCTAATGAACGTAGATTTGAATATTCCATTACTAAAAATAGAGTTTCTGATTATTCATCAATAAAACATTCATAAACTTTAATTATGTATTAATGATCTAACATTCTTGTATTTTTGTATGCTTCAGTAAATGTTTTAACTAATTCAGGATCTCCACTACTAGAAATCTTGACTGCCACAATCTCTCCTGTATCTTCTTTTATAGCTTATTTCACTAATCCATGAGCACCTTATCCTATTCTCTCTCCTAATCTATATTTTGTTTAAAAATTAAACTCAATAGGTTCAATTTAAAGAGATGCTTTAATAACTCTATTATTGTTATCTTCAATTCTTATTGCCCTTATTTTTATTAAAGTTCAATAAATACCTTTTTGGTTTCACTTTTGAATATTCTATCTTCTTTTACATCTTTGGAAATAATTACTATTACAACTCATATCTCAACTATTCCTTATTTCTCTTTTATTGCATTCCTAATTTATTTTATATATTATTGCTTGGTAAAAAATTGTTTTTAATTTAATAAAAATTATATATAAAATAAAATGCCACCTTATTAATAAATTTAAAATTTAAATTATAATATTTATCTTAATATTTATAATAATCATTTCCCTAAGTATTTTAATCTTCTCTAAACTCTTGAAATGCCTTTCTTTCTTATTAACAGCCTAATTGCTGGACTTTCTTTATTATGATCTTCTTTCAATAAATGATCCTCTTCTTCTAAGAAACAATATGTGTCATCATTTGTTTTTAAAAATCCATCTAAGTCTTCTAAATTTCCACTTAATTAATGTAATCTTTCAACTAAATATGCTTTAGGAACTCCTTTATAATCAGCTAAGAGACTAAGAACTTAATCCATATCCTCTATTGAAAATTTATCAAAATCATTTCTAGGAAATGTAGGATCATTTGATTTTTTGTTTTCAACTTTAACTTTTTAAATTTTATTCAAATCAAGTTCATCTTCTAATTTCTTTTTCTCCTTTTCCATATTCTTAGGATCTAATTAAACTATTTTTAAGAATTTTCTAGGTTATGTATTACTAAATAACATATATCCCACCAATCCTTATGATTGTAAATGTTAAGCTATTTATGCCATATTTTCTTCAGTCAAATTTTACAAATAATCCATATATCTATTAATAAGTTATTTTTAAACCTATTCTTTATTGAATTGTAAGTTCTTTTAATTGTTTAACTCTCTTCAATGTCTCTAAAATTTTTAGATTGAACTATATTGATATCTTTAAGGGCTAGAATTATTTTAAGATCCTCCTAAAGAGTATATGACTAATTCTTTTAAGGAATAAAATCTTAAGCCTAACTAATAAACTATTCAAAAATTTCTCCTGGCCTCATTTTTCAATTGAATTTAATTAATAAAAATTATGCAAGGTTACTTGGTTGAAGGAAAAGAAATTAATAATGATTATTCTTATGAATGGTTAAAGGGTAATCCTGATTTAGTAGCAATCGAAAAAGGAATACCAATCTTATATTTCAATTAAGAAATGTTAAAAAGAGATTTGGAAATGGAATTTAGAGTATAATTAAGTTTTTAAGTAGTTGCAACGTAGATTAACAGAAACATAATATCATAATGAAAATCTTCATGATTTTAATCCTGATATCTAGAAATTGAACAGATATAATAACATTATACCATGTATATATAATTTAATCTATAGTCAAACATTCGATTGTTAAGCTTAAATAAGAAGGAGATGATGAGGAAAATCTTAAAGACACTTATATAAATGCTAATTTTATTAATGTATCAACATTCTTTTTATACAATCTGTAGCTTATTAATGGTAAGGAGAAAATGATTATTGCCACTTAAGGACCTTTAAATTAAACTTTTTGGCATTTTTGGAAAATGACTATTTAAGAAAATATCAGTATGATAATGATGCTTTGTAATTTAAGAGAGAACTAAAGAGTAATCTCATTTTTTATTAATATAGGCATAATGCGAATAATATTGGCCAAAAAATGTTGGTGATTCTATTCAATGTGGAAATATTTAAGTTAATTTACTCAGTTAAGATGATCTTGGAAATAATATCATCAAAAGAGTTGTGAAACTTACTCAAGATTAGGAAGAAAAGACTGTCATTCAAATTTAATGGTGTGGATGGCCTGATTAAGGTGTTCCTTCCCCCAGTGATTTTGATGTTATGAGAGAACTTTTAAATATGATTCATGAAAAACTCATGTCAGATTAAAAAGTAGTTTTCCATTGCAGGTAATTTAATTCAATTATTTTCAGTGCTGGAGTAGGTCGTACAGGTACCTTAATTGCATTAGCTAATCTGATGATTTTATTAAACGCATATAAATAACATATTGGAGAGGATAATTCAAGTATATATATTTGATTAATCTATGTAAGAACTTGAAGAAAATCCAGAACTCTACAGAGTCTCAATTTTTGGAATAGTTCGTCGATTAAGAGAATAGAGATGGGGAATGGTTCATACTTCAGAGTAATACATTTACATATATAAATTTATTGATGAAGCAATAAGATCAATGTTTAACAAATGAAATGATGAATAATGTTATGTAATTAAAAAATAGTATGTAATAATTGTATTAGATTTATTCATTGGTTGAATATTTTGGTTCTAAATTTAGCTTCGCTAACCTTATGAACTTATTCATATTTTTTATCTAATTCAACATGTTTTATATAGGAATTGGGATGCATAATATTATCAGTTAAATAAGAATAATTAGTTGTAGTAGTATTAGTTGGAAAATTAGCATTTCTACTTGTAAATTTGCTTTAACTTTATTGATGTGGTTTGATTATATCATTCTTTGATAATTACATGGTAGATTGAGATTAAAATAGAGGTACTTTCACTTAGGCTTTTGTAGTAGTATTATATGATTATAAAATATCTCCAGTTGATTGTTTGTTAGACTCAAATAAATGTTGTCTATTTTTGGCTTACGAAGTCTTTGTTTAAGAAGGAGGGTTTTAGAAATTTTATAAATATGAACTAGACTAAATAGTGATCAAAGGTTTAGGAATACTTTAAACTTTATTTTTTGGAGTTAGAGTCAATATTTGTGAAACAGTTGATGATATTTTTTAAGTAGTCTCTCCAGTTAAAGTTTATAATTACTAAGACCAAATATTTAATAATCCAGCCTTTTTTCTTAAATACGCTACACATGACAAAGCCAATATAGATTAATCATTTGAGAAGTAAATTTAATCATCTAAAAAATCAATATTAAAAGAATACCTCTTAGAACAGTGAAAGCAACTTCTATATATTTATTTTCAATTTCTTTAACATAAGTATATATTTGAGTTTCATTTAAATCTCTTAATTTAATATGAATTTATTATTGTTGCTATTATTATTATTATTCTTAGTTTTAGTTTTCCTTTTATTAGGAAACCTGCTGCTATTAAGCAAGACTATCATCATCATCAATAGCCCCAAAGGATAGCAAAGTTTCTATTCGATCTAACAAAGTGACTCTTTGTAGTTTCCAATCAAGCGATTATATAATAGATTTCTCTGCATTCCTAAACTCTTGGGTTGTATAGTTATTTATTTCAGGATGAGATGTCATAGAAGAATATCTCTTTAATTTACTTATAAAAGGAATCTTTTCATCTATTTCTTACGCTTTAGCTGCCAACATTAAAGCAGTTGCTGCATATAAAAATATTTGTTTTTCATTTATTCCTTATTGATTGAAATAATGATCTAAATACATTATTGCTAAAAATTATGTATTTGCACTTAGATTCAATCTCTCTGATGCTTATTCAATAAAATCAATAACTGCCTATCGGTTTATTTAATGTTACTATATCAATTGAGAACTCAAAGCATTATTCAATATGTTTATTGGATTAAAAAAAGCATTATATCTCATCTTTATTGTTTTGTATACACGTATTGATGACTTTATTCATTAATCGAATAAATTACATTGTTAATAAATATCCCGCATTACTAACAAATCAATTTGCCTGAAAATGTGATCCTTGTGTTATGCATGCATCCGAAAACATCCAGATATTAGCTATCATAATTTAATTCTTATTATTCTGTCTAACTCATATACGTTAGATTTTATTTTTTAATTAAATATTATTCTTATTAATATACTTACAGATTGTACAATCAACTTCCTTAACATTCAAATCATGCTAAAACTCCTAAATTATTGGATTAAACTTCAATTTACTTTATTCTTATAGAAATTCATATAACAACTATTTATATTTTTTCCAATTATAAAATCATGAAAAGTTTAATAATTATTTTTATTATTCTAATATTCTATCAATTCATAAATAAACTATTATTTAAAAATTTCAATCAATAAAAAAACTATTGTAGATTATGTTGTTCTAATTTTATTAATTTTGAATTTTTATTGAAATGTATACCTATTTTATTTATATTAAAATATTAAATCATAATATCTACACAATTATTCTTTGTACTTTAAAAATTGTAAATATCATTCTATAATATAACTTTTACTTTATTTCTCTACCATAGTTAATAAATGAATTTAATTTTAAGGCAAAAAAATAGTTTGAATAAAGTATTTGAAATTCAGAATTAAACATTGATACTTAATATAGAATATGAATCTAGTGAAAGTAGATTTTTAAAAGGTTCAAATAATTCATGAATTATTAATTATAGTTTTGAAAAAAAATTGATTTTGTTTTCTAATTCATTAGCTGATAGTATGTTAATAAATTTATAATAAACTTCAAACAGATGACTACCTAATAATCTCATAAATTTCTTTGAAAATTAAATTTTACTAATGATTATCATATTTAGTATAATGGGTAGTTTGTAGCTTTTTGTGTTAATTAAAATTTTTTGAAATTAAAAGGGATCAGAAGAATTTAAAATAATTAAAGCAATATGATTAATAGAATTATGACATTAAGTAAATAATATTAGTATATTCTTATTACATTAATGTATATATATTTAACATTCATGCAAATTTGACAAATAAAAATTATTGATTTGAATTCAAACATATAATTTATCTCTGTTATGTAAGAATAAAAAATGAAATCTTATAAAACAAATATTTAAAAATAGCCTTACCAAATAAATATATAAATATATTTATTGAATCTATATAAATAATTTGCTAGATTTTGAATAGCCAAAATAAGTGTTAAAATGGATTAAAAAAGAAAATAGAGAAATGCTTAAAATTATTTGGATTAATAGTGAGTTTATAAAAGATCAAATTATAATTAATCTATAAAAAGAGTGTTTTTGCTAATTAATTATTAATGATGTTCATAGAGATGGAATGGATTCCTATTTGATTAATGTAATATAATTGTAAATCTAAAAATTGAGTTAATATATATATTAATAATCAATTTATTTAATAAAACAGAATAATTTCTAATATTTAATTAAGATTAAGTATTATTAATAATAAAAATATCATAAATAGATAATGGGTGCCACTCAAGGAAAAGAAGTATAATTGAATTAGTAATTTAGTTATCTCCATAAATGAGAGAAAGAGTCCTTAAATTATTTGCTAAATTCGATGTAGATGGTTCGAAGTCTATAGAAAAAACAGAAACAATTAAATATTGGTAACACTTTAAGTTTACATGTACAGGAAAAGCAATTTTGCAAAACTCAATACTGAAGAGTTATTCAAATCAGTTGATACTGATAATAGTGGAACAATATCTGAAGAAGAATGGTTAAATTTTTGGACTAGCGTATTAAGAAGTGGACATACTGAATAAGAAATATCTGATGAAGTACTTTATATTTTTATTTATTAGTTAGAATCAATTGAAACAGGATCTTCTTGGTGCAAATTTGAGAATTTGGATAAAAAAGGTGGTTGATCCCAATTACATTTAATAATATATTCAAAAGAATTGTTTATTTCCTTAATAATTCAATCTCTTAATGCTTTTTTGAACAAAATCTTTTAATTTATTATTAAATTGTTAAGTTTTATCAATTTTCTCTTCTTCTTATGATTTATTACTTATTCTTTCAGTCATTATACTACATCTTTGTTTAAATTTCTTAACTTTTGATTATTCAATTTTATTTAAACTCGAAAGTACTACATTATTTGTATTCTTTTATTTAAATCCTTAAACATATTAACTCTAGTTATAATCAATTTAATAAGATGATCTAATAGCCAAAAATAATGAAAACACTTACTTTTATTAGTCCTTCTTCTGCTTCTTTAATATTGACTTGTCCAGTATAAGCTCTAGTCAACTCTCTTATTAAATTCGATCTTTTTTGAGAATTTTCAGGAGAATACAATGGTGCTGCCTTTTCAATTCTTTTCGGTTAAATTTCATAATATTCTTATCTTACTAATGGAAGAGAATCATCAAATGCACATAAATCAGATATCAATGTATTTTGTGGTTTTTTTAATTATAAAATGTATTCTGCCATCTCATAATATATCATATTATTTTTAGAATCCTTAAATTAATGTTATGGAACTCTATTCTTATAGTTTTATTCAGATGATAATGATCGTAATTTAGTTATTGTTTCATCTAAACTCAAATCATTAAATGAATATTTTATATCAAGATCACTGTAAAATTATTTTAATTATTCTAATTATTTCGACTCTTCTTTATTTTAAACTTATATTTACCATCTTGTATCATCACAATATTCTTATTATATTGACTCTTCATATTTTAATCTTCCTAACATTTACCATCCATTCACTTACCTATATTTATCTATTTTTGTCTTAAAAATCTTCAAACCAGGAGGTCCATGTTTACTTTATGTTGAATCAATCTTACAATGATGAGCAGTACAAAATTATAATGCTTTATTTCTTTTTAATCCTGCCTCTCTTAATCTATCATAAATTATTGCATCAGATGTAGTATAATCATTCACTCTTTCAGAAGGTAAAAACCTTATACATTCCTTATAATAACCAATCTCATCATTTATATGTTTTGTATTTGAATTTCCAACTTTTTTGTAGTTTTTCATTTTTATTTCTTTAATTTATTAATGTATTAAACAATTTCATAAATTTTCGCTGATGCTAAAATTCAATCTTTGGGCTTTTATTATATTTTACAAACATCACTCTCTCTACCTTGTTTAATTCTAATTTATTAATCATAAAATATATCACCCATCTCTTCTATAACTGTATATACTAAATAAAATCAATCATGAAATATTTAGATAATTCAATCTTTAATTTAATATAATAGAATCTTTCTTTTTTTAAATCTTCTTAACTAATTTTAATAACTACTAAAAATCATCTTCATTTATCTAAATTCATTACTATTTCGATATCTTATTAATACTTTTATTAAATTCTATTCTTATTTCATTCAACCTTTTATTAAAAAGAAATACAAAACTTTTAAATTTATTCTTAACTGAAACTCTAGTTTGAATAAATCAATAAACAGAACCTTTAGATTTAAAATCAAATGTTAATCAAATCCTTTAATCTTGTAAAAAATTAGTAAAAAGAATAAGAGACTTATTTTAACTTTTATACTTTTTTGAATATTAATTATAATTATAATTATAAATTCTATAAATTTGTTTCATTCTAATTATTTAATAATAAATATATCAATATACATATAATATATAATAGCATTCATACTTAGCATAACTATAATAAAGAATTAATACAAATCTATAATAGTTAAAAAATAAATTTATTTTTTAAATATTTATAAAGTTCTAAAATTTAATGAAATATTTTTTTGAATTAAATTTCTAGAAAAATACTTAATACAAATTGTTTTTTTATGATAAAAATACAAGTAAATCTATAATGTATCATTTTTTTATATTTAACATATCATGAATTTTCTTTAATATTAAGTAAATTGCCAATTTAAGAAAAAAAATGCTGCATTATCGAAAAAAAGATTATTTATAGTTTCTTCAGATTTGATAATAATGGAATTATTAATTAGATAATCACAGAAGATTTTCTTATTACAAATAATTAAAATAATCTGGAGAGAAAAGTAGAATAAAAATCAAGAAAGATAAGGATAGTCAAAAATCATCTGATTATTTCAGATTTAAACTCAGCTGATATGCTAATTATATGATAGAAATAACTCTTAAAAAGGTTAGTCATATTTTATTTTAGAATGGTTTCTAGTATTATGATAAAAAATTGTAAAATGAATATTAATTAATAAAAATTTAGATGGGTTTAATTTCCCTAAACCTTATATAAGATAAGATTAACCAAAATATAATAAGTAATATCAAATATTATTTCTCTTTAATAATAGATTTAAAATTTAATAATGATTACATTCATTTTGTATATTATGATTACCCAACAAGTGGTTCTGCTGTTTCTGTTTTCTATTATTCTGACTCTTAATTTTATGGGAGATCATCAACTAATTATCCTTATTATTATTGTGTTTGCTATTATTCTTTTGATTCTTCCTCTTGTAATTATTACTTTTCAGCCTCCAATTCTTCCTATTATTTTTCTTAAACTTATTCTACAACTTATTCAACAGCTTCCACAACCTCTTCTAATTATTTTTCTTATAATTCTTCTTTTTATTATTCTGATTATTGATTTTATGTTTCTGCTTCTGTTAATTATTGTAATTAATTTTAAGATTAATCTGTATTTTATATCTCATTTTCTTAATTTTATCCAGTAACAAGGTTTTCTTATTAGTTTTCTTATAAGTTTTCTTGTTAGTTTTCCTATTATATTTAGGATAAATTATCCTATTCTGGTGATTATACATTATTAATTTATTCTTATTAATCTTACAGAGCGTCTTAATTTTATAATTCAGTTTGTTATTCTTTTTCTTAAGATGTTTCTTATAATTAATCTGCTGATTATTCTATTTATTATTCTGCTGTCTATTATTCATCTTATTATTATTATTCAGGCTATTGCTCATTTTATTATTCAATTGATTAGTCATTTTGTTACTCAACATTTGCATCTGATTATTCTATCATCTATGAGTCTAGTTATTAATCTACAGTTTCTAATTGTTAAACTTATTAATCTGTATTTTCTTAATTTTCTACCTGTTCTTATTATAATAATAATTAAGTCACTCCTTTGATATATTTGTTATTAAATACCTATGCTTTCTCCTTTCCAATTTTACATTGATTTTGCAATAAAAAAATCTAATTAAGAATCAGCCATCACAATAGGTTGATCTAAACATTTATCGCTTGTTAAAAATGTAACTTAAGAATTACTATTTATATCAATAGTTGAAAACTATTATCTATTGATAGAGAGAGTTTATTTACAATTCAGGTATATAAATTGAAAATACAGGAAGAGAAAAGCTCAACACTTCCTCTACTCCTTTGCATATTTTTTTAGATGTCCCTTTAAATTCACATTCAGCATATAATATTACGCACTCACCTTAAGGTTAGAGATCTTTTTCATAAGTTAGTAAAATTTGCTTTTCATCAACAGTTTATAATGGTGAGATCTATTCTGATTAATAATCAAAGGGGTCATTATTATTTTGCCTAAATTCAGTATATTAAGCAAATTATTCTTCTGTGAATAGTTATTTTGGTTAATCAAATAAATTTTAAACTTCTGCTTGCTCTAATAAAATTGGTTTTTCATCTAAAAATTTAGTTGCATTTGTAATTGTGAGAATAAAGCATATATGAATTAATCTCATAAATTAATAAAACGAATTAAATTAATGTGACTAAGCTTTTAATATTTATTTAATCAAATAAAATTTTATCATAAAAAAAAATTGCATTTAAGAATTAAAATAGTTTTTTTGATTTAAATCATGATAATTGTGTAAATGAAACAAATCTAGCTCGAAATTTCTTTTAATTTTTATAAGAAAATCTCATTAGCTTTAACATAAATCATTGCTTTGATAATAAAATAAATATTTAATTACTGATTTATAAATTATAAGTTTTGGAAATTATATTTTTAAATTCTCAAAATGTTTACATATGAATAAAAGCAATAATAGAAGATTGAAAGGGAGGAAAATAAAAACTTATACCAAAAGAAAATGTTAATTTTTAAAAGTTAACGATTTAATTTTATTAATATAAATTGATTTTTTAATAATATAATTATTTAAATCAAAATTGATTGTTATTGTAATAATTGAAATGAATAATTCTATATCAACCTAGGCTAACTCTTCAACCTAAATTAGTAGAGTCACTTTATATTAATATGGTTAAAATCCGATAGAGATCAGTTTATCATAAGCCAGGTCACTTGATAGTCTATTTAAGTTAATTAATAGAAAGTTGTCTTTTAAGAAAATTAGAGTTTTTGATCAAAGATTTTAAGAATTATTTTAGGAAGATCTTAAATACTTGAAGAATGAATCGAAAATCTATATAACAACAAATGGTAAGAATTTGGATAGTCGATTTGTCCTGTTTGAGTATAATCCAATATAAATCCTATGTAAAGGTGGTTAAGCAACAGTAATGTTGATATCTCATAAAATTACATGTGAAGAGAGAGCACTTAAATTTATAAGTGAAGGTTAAGAGAATCAATATTTATATATTGCTAGAGAGGCTGTGATATTAGAATAATTAAAACATCGTAATATAGTCAGACTACATAAATATAAATTGTTTCCAGAAAAATCAGAGGCAATACTTGAATTAGAATATTTAAAAGGTGGATCTTTATTAGATTATGTGTTAAGTAGAATTTGTTCTTAATCTTAGATCATGGTGCATTAGATGAACCAACTGCTCGTATTTTATTTAATCAAATATTAGATGGGATATCTTATTGTCACAAAAATAATGTTATTCATAGAGATTTAAAATTAGATAACATTCTTCTTTGTGATGCTATAGATTTACGAGTATTTAATATAAATAAATTATAGATTAAAATTATCGACTTTGGTTTGGCTTATTTATCTGGAACAGGTATTCCTTTTAATGAACCATTAAATGTTGGAACAGTTCTTTATGCTTCTCCTGAAATTGTTTTTGGTAAATTGAAGACTGTTAATTTTTCAGTTGACATATGGGCATTAGGGGTCATTCTATATTATTTAATTTTTGCTTAATATCCTTTTAAAGGTGACAACAATACAGAAATATTAGAGAATATAAGTTAAATCAATTATAATATTCCAAAATAAGTGAGTGTTGAACTAATCAATTTAATTAATGACTTATTCAATCCTGATCATGAATAGAGGTTGTCATTGAAATAAATCAAATAACACAAATGGGTTAGAGGATAAATATAAACCAATCATTTATTAAGTATTCCACTTTCTGAATTACCCACTACTTCAAAAGGATTAATAACCTAAGAAAATTCTATCAGAAAAAAAAAAGAAGATATTTTAAACTATGTAGAAAAATAAAATTTTAAAAATATGCTTTCGGATTAGATCTATAAAAAATAAACACAAAAATCATGTTTGAACAATTTGCTTAAATGAATAACTTTAGAAAATTGATATTATTATTGTAATTTAAAATAAATTTTTAATAAATCAGTTATTATGATTTCTAAATATTTCGAGAACTTGAAGAATTATAAGATAACTCATAAATTTAGTTAATTAGTTATCTCTTAATTAAATTAATTTTATTTCCACAATTATTTATGATTTATGGTTGCATATTCAATAGTTCTATAGAAAAGAGAATTTTTGAATATTATAATAGGAAATGTGATGTAATTAAAGAGTAATAAAAATTAAAAATGGATTAGTAAAAATTATATAATATAATAAGTTAAATTTTAAATGGCAAGTCGTTTTAATCAGAACTCATTTCAATAACTAGAATCGGTAAGGCCAAGCAGAGCCTAATCGGAACATCAAAAAAGCAAAAGTGAAAAAGGGATTACAAAAGTACATCATAAGAGTCATGCATCTCATCATTATAATCCTCTGGTTATTCCTTGTGATTGGGTCTTAGCAGAGAATCATGCTAAAGCAAGAAGAGTTGCAAGAGAATTAGAAGTTGAGAATTAATCAGCATGTCCATGTTGTGGATATTCAATAGAGAGAAATGATTTAGAGTATGATTGTGATCCATTAGAGATGAAATTTTTAGGATCAGGATTCCCTTTGTTTTATATGTTTATAAAATACTGTATTTTCATATTGGTTGAATTTTGGTTATTAAAAGGGATGTTTTGTTTAGCAACAGATTTGATGGGTGATTATTGTTATAATTAAGAAAAGATTAGAGTTGAGAAGAAATCACATAATGCTATTCATGATCATTTAAATAAATAGCATTATCATGAACACAATGAAGAAAATTAAATATGTGGAGGATCTTTATGGCATTTTGTGAGTTTAGCAAATGTATATGATAGAGAAGATATTAGAATTTGGTAATCTAATTTATCACTTGTTGTTGTATTTGCAAATATGGTTTCATTTTTATTTTTTAGAAAAGCTTAAAGAAGTATTGATATTGAAGTAGATGAATCATAAGTAACCCCATCTGATTATACTATATGTGTAAAGAATATTCCAAAATTAAATGAAGACTATAAAGAAGTATTAAAGAATATATTTTAAAATTATGCAGCTGATGGGAGAGAATTGAAAGTAACAAAGATAGTCTTAGTTTATAATTTAGATGAAGTGATAGAATTAGAAGAAGCCTAAAAGGAAATGATAAGAGAAAAATAAGAATATTTATTAGAAAATGGATTAAATTTTACAGATTTTAAAGTCAAATAGTTGGATGAGAAATTAGAATCTTTAGAATAGAAAATACATGATAAAGAGCATGAACTTTTTATAAATAGAGAAAAATTTGCAGGAATAGCATTTATAAGTTTTTTAACAGAAGAAATGAAATAGTTGGTATTATAACATAATCCATATACATCTTGGGAGAGAACAAAAGCGTTTTTTAATAATGGATTAACTGGAGATATAAAAGAAAAAGGAATAATTTTTGAAGGTCATAAATTATATGTAGAAGAAGCACCAGAACCAAATGATGTGGATTGGGAATTTATTCATATTTAAACTGGATAGAAAGTTAAAGCACGTGTTATTGCATGGTCTATATCAATTAGTTTTATGGCTGGTTGTTTCTTTTTAATTTGGTTTTTAAGTGAATTAGCAGAAAGAATGAATGAATAAGTTGAAGAATAAGAAAAAAAAGGGATTAAAGATTCATTAACTTAAACTATAGCATTTATAACAAGTTAATCAATCTCTTGGACTGTTGTATTTTTTAATAAATTTGTAATTGGAAAGGTTTATCATTTAATAGTAGATTTAGAGAAGATATCTAATAAAACTAAATTTAATATAAGTTTTGCTAGAAAGTAATCAGTTGCTTTATTTATAAATACTGCTTTAATATCATTAGTAATAGATTTCTTTTTGACTGGTAATGTAATAGGGAAAGGAGGATTCATATATAATGAATCTAATGTTTTTTTACTTAATGCATTTATTCCTCCAATAGTTTGGTTTGTTGATCCTTGGAGTATATAGAAGGATTATTAAAGGTAAAAATAATAGAAAAATGTTAAGAATTGTGTACTTACATAATAGGAAGCTAACGAAATAATGGAAATGCCTGATTATTCTTAAGCTAAAAGATATGGAGATATTATGAAAACAATGTGGTTCACTTTTTTTTATGGAGACATCATCCCTTTAGGAATATTATTTAGTATTATGGGTTTAACATTATATTATTTTGTTGATAAATATAATGTTTTAAGAAGAAGGACTATTAAAGAATCTTTATCCAAACATTTAAGCATCGAAATGATTGAGATGTTAGAATTAATAGTAATATTTACAGGGATTGGTAATACAATAGTATCGAGTATATTATTTGGAGAAGTCAAATGGTAAGATTTTATTATTATCATAATCGGAATTGTTTACAATTTATTGCCTATGGAAGACATATCAAGCGTTCTATTCCCATTAGAATAAAAAGATGAAGTCTTATCATATTACGAAGCAGAGGAATATTTTAATACTGATTATGATAGAGAGAATCCAGTAACAAGAAGAGAGATTTTACATGAGATCTCAAAGAAAAAATGAATTTTATTTTATTTATTAATGATTGTAATTAAGACAGAAGAACTTAATTATCTTATTTATACATACTTTTTAGAATAAGGATATTCCCATAGTGCTTTTGCATTAATAAATGAAGTAAAAATAGATTAACAACTTTATCGTGATGATGTAAAACCAGGTCAACTTATTAATTTATTGGAAAAGTCTTTGTTATTTTAACAATTACAAGATCATATTCAAATCAATTAATATTATGAATGCAAAGTGCCATAATTACTAATACAAAAACATGTTTGTTAATTCACTGAAAAAAAACAATTAGCTGAAAAACAAGAAAGAAGAGATCGTGAAATGATGATATAAAATGCATTAATGAGAAGTTAAGAGTTTGTATCTCGCAATGGACAAACTATGGATTTAAATGTTGAATTGTAATAAGACATAATACAATTACAAGATGAAATTTTATTAAGTGATTGGAATGCATAAAAAAATATTTTAGCAATATATCAACCTAATTGCATAAAATTCATACAAAACAATTAAATTATACAAATTATGCCTACAGTAGTTGGCGAAAGCTTTTCTAGAGTTAAATTAATGAAATTTGATAGATCGAGCGGCAATAATATGTTAATTATTTATGAAAATGGCGCTGCAAAAGTGATAGACACAACAATTTAAATCATTAAAATGTTTAATATCAAAAATGCAATTAAATTGTTAGATTTTCATTGGAATCTTAATTGGCCCAATGTTGTTGCTTTGATTTTTGAGAAAGATATCGAAGTATGTATTTAGATAAATATTATTTAAGATTGTGGATATTTATAAATGTTAAACTTTAAAGTATTTAGAAAATGTAATTCATTTTGAATGGAGACATTTTGATCACTTTATTGTTATGGATTAGAATTATTATATAAACTTAATGTAAATTGATCTTGAAAAACCATAATTATAATTAAAAGCAGAATTAGAAACTACTTTAATTGAATTTAATAAAAGGAAAACATTATTAGCCTCATTTTCAAGCACACTTAATATTATTAAAATATGGACATTGTAAAATGATGAATATGTATTTGAAATAACAGATGATTAAAAAATTTTATAATTTTGCTGGTGTTCATCATAAAATGCTAATTATTTAATCACTTTGACATCTTAAACCCTTAATATTTGGGATGTTGAATTTGGATAGATAAAATGTACTTATGAAATTGACTTTAATGTAACTAAAATGGTTTCTATGGATCTTTTAAATGATACTCCTTAAGTAATATTAATTGGTGAAAAAGTTGTGCTGTATGATTTGATAAACAAGAAGAGAAGAGTCTTCAATTGTGATACTCCTAATAAAGTTATGCGGATAAGTGATGAAGAAATTCTTTTCATATAAAGGAGTAGTTACATTGTTTACAAAAAAAATTGATATAACATAAATTTATATAATTTATTATGTTTCAAAGTTAATTGGAGTATGCTGGAAAGACATCACAAATACAATAGAATGTTGTTGGAGAAGTATGTAATTTTGAAAATCAATTCAATTCAAGAGTTGTCTATTCAAGAAAATTATACTAATACCTCTTAATATAAATGATCGTTATATGTACACAATTTGAATTAAAGTGTTAGCATTATTCATATATTGGGTATATGCTTCAGCTTCTCTAGATTCCTACTTGGAAGGTAAACCATGGCTATTTTGGCTATGTGTATTTATTTCAATAGGCACTGCTACTATGGCATTAATATTCAGAAAAGATGTATCAGCATTTCCTTGGAATTGGGTTGTATTTGTAACTTTTACTCTCTCTATTTCAATTGTATGTGGTACTTTAGTGGCTTTGGGAGATTCAGTTATTGGTCTTTTAGTTTTCAGCAGTCTTGCAAGTATTAATATCAACATATTATTAGGTATGGTCTTCTTTTTATTTATGTATTCTTTGACAGTCAAAAGAAGACTTACATATTAAGGATCCATACTATTTATATCAGCTAGTATCTTACTCATTTTTGAAATCTTTACAATCTTCACTGAAGTATCACTGTTTTGGTTATCCACAGTATCACTTTTTGCTTTTCTTTTAGCATTTCTACTTATTTATGATACTTATACTAATGTAAAGTAAAAATATTATATTATTAATTTTAAGTTCAGGAGATCAATATGATGTTAATCAAGCAGATGAAGTCTCAGGAAGTGTGATTATATATTGGGATGTAATCTTGCTTTTCTTAAAAATGAATGAACTTATAAAAGATTACTTAGTGAGGGAACGCAATTGAATAATATTATTAATGAAGATTATTTTATTATTGCTACCGTATCTTGCATTAAGCACAATACATCCTGAGGGTAACTTAGACTTTGTCAAATATTGCAAATATTTCAATTACCCTGTTGAGGAACATGTTATTCAAACAGAAGATGGCTATCTTCTAACATATTTTAGAGTCTAAGCAAAAGGAACAAAAATGGTGTCAGGTAAAAAAGTTGTTCTCCTTTAACATGGACTGTTAGATAGTAGTGATACATTCATTATTAATGATGAAGACAAGGCCCCTGCCTTCTTAATTGCCAATAAAGGTTATGATGTTTGGCTTGGTATTTTAGATAATTATTAATCATAGGTAATAATAGAGGAAATAAACATGGAAGAGATCATATTAAAAAGAATCCATTCTTTTGGTCATTCTGGGATTTCACCTTAGAAGATTTTGCTATCTATGATCTTCCAGCAGGATTTAAATATATTGTAAATAAGACTGGTCAAAAAATACAATATATTGGACATTCTTAAGGAACAGCTTAAATGCATATTCATTTATCTCTTTTCAAATAAAGTGTTGTTAGAGATAATTTGATATAATTTATAGGAATGGGACCTGTTGCTTGGGTTACAACTAAATATTCACCATTAGTTCGTTTACTTGATACTAATTTCTTAGAAGTATTAGCAACATTTGGATTACATGAATTTATGCCAGGAGATACATTTTTAACATCAGAAGTAGGAAGAGTAGTATGTGGTTTAATGGAGAATATTTGTGGAGATTTGATTGGATCTTTTGTTTCAGCAGATCCAGTTCTTGATAATTATGATCGTTATGATGTTTTAGCTGGTCATTCTCCTGCTGGTACAAGTGTCAAGAATCTTAAACATTGGTAATAATTTACTAGAACTGGTGAATTCAAGAGATATGATTATGGAGATAGAGAAAATGTCAGAAGATATGGAACCAAGAAAGCTCCCTTCTATGATTTATCTAATATAGATGTCAAGTAATTAATATCATTTATTAAATTAGAATATTTTATATTGCAGGATATGATGATTTATTAGCTGCTCCTAAAGATGTTAATCATCTTTTCTCAGCATTAATAAATGCACCAAATAAAGAACTTAAATTCTATGATGCTGGTCATTGTTCCTTCATGTGGGGAAGATAATTACCATATCTAGATGATTTATGGGCTCATCTAGAATGAAATATATCGATATATATATTCATTATCAAAACAAAAAATAAATATTCTAATATTTTTATTTAGAAAAATAAGAAAAAAATATTATTACTTTTTTCACTTTAAGGTTTTAGAAAAGTTTTCATATGCTTGCTTACTCTTTATTCCTTCCTTAATTAAATTTGTGGCTTTTGTTAAATCTAATATCTTTTTCAACTGGATAACCAAAAGCAATTTTATTATGGCTATTATGAAAAATAAAATTATTGCGAAAACTTAAATTATTATCTCAAATTTCTCATCATGTTCAATTTCTTCTGTTGTTGCTTAATATATTGATATTGCTAATATTAAAGTTTCAGTAACAATTATTCTAAAATAACTCTCAAAACTATACTTACACAGATGTTGTTATTATTAATTTTTATGTCTTCATGTGGAATACTTATAATAGACTAAACCCTTCTAATATAATAGTAATGCCTTATTAAAATCAAAATAATTAAAACATGCAAAAATTAACACTGTTATAGCATCCCAATCTTAATGACTTCTTAAGATGTATCCTTGTATTATGCTGAATGCTAAAAGAGTGATTGAATTTAATATAATGCTGCCCATTATATAATTGTAATGACGATTTCTTGTATGAATTAATGTAATTGAATCTTAGGAAATTGAAAAATCTAAAAGACGTTCTGACATTTATATTTTTATATATAAAATTTTATAATTATTCAACCATAAAAAATGTATTCTAGATTAAGGGATAAATTAGAAATAGAAAGAAAATAGTGTTATTTTGAGTGAAATGATAGGAATAAAGGTAGAATTATAATTTAATAAAAAAACAATTTCAAGACATAAAATTACTACCAGAGTATCTCATCATTTAGCGCTATTGGCTAGAAGAAGCTATTTGTTAATTACATATTACTTAGTTTATTTTATAAACCAGATGCCATAAGGGAAATAGAATCAACTCGGCCTCTATCATTCTTAGTAGTAGAATTTTTCACAATAAATCTAGTTACTGATTGAGAAGATGATTTGTAAATATTTCTAGTTGGTGTAAAACTTTGGAATTCTTATTATTTTTTTAATTTTCCCATTTGAATAAGCCATTAACGATACATCCAATCATCAGTCTAAACAGATTTATCAACCATAAGAGGAGGTTCTGGTTATTTAACTTAATCAATTTATCGTACTCTCTAAGGTGCTTAAATTCTATATAGAGGATTCTTTGGTTTTTAGCTACTCATTGGTGGTTTTTGTTCTGAGTTTTTAGATGGAGACTCTTACAATATAGATGTTTTTTATGAAGCTAAGGTTGATTTTAAATTACTATTTGGTTATTAAGGTTTTTTTTTATTATTAGTTTCTTATTATTTTAATAGATTTTTTTATTTCATTGAATATGTTTTTGGTTAAAATAATTAAACCAATTCATCATCTGATAATTCAGCTTCAGATTGACTTGAATCTGATCCATTATCTTAATCATCTGTTTAAGGCATTTTACCTAATTCTTCTAACATTTATTATTATATATCTGGTTAATTAGCTTAATTTGTAAATTCTTTAGTTGTATCTTTAACAATTTAAGATAAAGCATTACATATACTTACACCACAATTTAAATAATCTTTAATTTAATAATGTTTTTTCTATTAACCATAAAAACTGCATTCATAAGTATAAACCCAATTAATTTTGAGTTCTCTCCAAAGTTGAATTCTAGCTGTTTTATCTTTAGCATTTTCGACTCTAAAAGTACAAGAAGAATAATCCATAAAAGGATTAACTTTTGACATCAAAAGTGCAAATACTCTTTCAATAGTCTTAACTTAAGAAGAGTAAGCACAACCATAAACAAATGATGATTATCTAAAATATAAATTTTTATTACTTTCTTGAATGACCATGTAAATCAACTACTAATAATATTTGTCTTTCTTTACTAAATCCTTTTACATATTTTTTTGCATAATATACACTTGGATGTAAATATTTATTTGGTTTTTTCCATCTTCTATTTAAATCACTTCCTTCTAAACCACATCTATAATTTCCATTAACAACACCATCTGAATTCATCATAGGAAATATTTTAAAAATGCAATTCTATCTCAAATAATCAGCCTAAGGATTATTTGAAGTTAAAAATTCTATAATACCCTACATAACATAAGATCCTTAAGGTTCTCCAGGATGTTATCTAGCTAAAAATACTACTCCTTTTCTAAATGCTCTCTTTTACAACGAATTAGAAGTAATAGTAAGTACTTCACATGTATTTCCTCCAAGTGTTGTACACAATACTTTTCGAGATAGGTATCTAAAAATTTTAAATTTAAATATTACTAATTTCTTTCTTAATCTTCCAACTATGAATTTAGAAATTCTAATAGATTCGTATAAGTATAAGGATAAGAATGAGCAAAGTAAACTTTATCTCCATCATGTTTAAAAGTATAATGAAATCGTAACTGATAGTATTTCTTTTTCAAAGATAGAGGGTATTCTTTCATAAAAACACTTTTGAAGTAACTTATATTAAATCCATCTCTACACCATTCAGTACCTACTAATTAATTCTCTTTTATTGAATAAACAGCTGGTTATAAACCTTCGTTAAATAAACTTCCTGTTTTAAGCTAATATTAATTATGGAATTAAATACATGATTAAGTATATTAAATTAAATTGTTTAACCTGCTTTAGCTCCAGTTACGCTAAAAAAAAACCATTATGTGTTTCCTCTTGTATTAATATCATTTTGAATTATTAGATCATAAATATTATCTGCTTTTTTGAATGCGCAAAATAGATTGCCTGATTCAAAATTGGAATCAAATTATATTTAATCAGAAGAACATGGTGTTAATTTTTAATCGAAAAGTGCATCTCCTCTAAAGAATACTCTTGGTAATGTTCTTCATTTAGAATCGTCCATACCTCTTAAAATTGGCTAGGAGACTTGCAAAATATGTTCGGTCATTTGAAGTCCTTTTGCCTAAATCCAACTGATCGAATCGTTTGTATACTAAATTTTGTTTATTCTCTTCGTAATAATCAAGGAGTGTCCTATTCTCATCAACCACTTATATATCAGGAATCATGCATTGTCTTTAGGAAGATTCCTCGATAAAAGTTGTATAACTTTTACAAAATTGGGGAAGTGCTCTTATTTTTCTTAATTATTAAATTACTTTTGAGGATATAATGATTTTACATCTATATCTATTGTTAATTTACGAGGCAATAATTCATTAGGTGGTGCCAGTTTTGTGAGTGTTTCATATACTTATAGATCATCTTCACTAGAACTGTCATTGTTTTTATTATTGTTAGAATTCATTAATTTATATTATTAATTATTGTTAGTAACTACAAATTTACAGAAATCTCTCTCATTATTACACTGTAATCTTAACAATTATAATTAAACTAATCAATTATTATTAATTCTAACCCAAATAATGAGAATAACAATATATCAAAAATTACAGACTTTATAATGAGTTGAAAATTGAAATATATAAATTCTATCATCATGTACAAGAAATTCTATAAAAAATTTAAAATATAACTTCATAATCAATTTACAAAAAAAGATGCAAATTAAACAGTTTAAAATAGTCAAAATTTTAAATAAAAAGAAATATTTTTTAAAATTACTGCTTCATATTTGATATTATAATAAAAGCTTTAAGAAATAAAAAAGAAATTTATGTCAAATTTAATTACTTCGTTGATGGAATGCCCCTATACATTTGTCCACAAAATCTCTTAGAGAAAATAACTAAAATAAAATTAAAATTAAAATTGAAATTAAAAAACAATTTGAAAAAATAACTAAAGTTAAAGGTACACTATGAACTTAATGATTATTATATAAATAAATTTATTAATATATTTAATTTAATCTTATTTTATTAAAAAATCCTTCCTCAATAATTGTTTTACAAAAATGAAATAGAATAGATTAAAATATCATTAAAATTTCTATTTTATATTAGAAAAGGACAAGACTGGTTTATGAATATTTTATTTTTGAGACTTTACTTGTGGAATTTATGGAGAATCCAACTATTGACATGAATTAATTATTGAAAATTTATTCTAGATTTACTTAGGCTGTTCTAAATCTCTTGTTGAGATTCGATTTTTTACTAATTTGTTCACATCTTTAGTTCTTATCATATCATTAATTTGTTTAACCTAAAATGATCTTAAACTTTTTGAAGATTATATGATTGACTTTTAAATAATAATGTTCTTATTATTAATTTAAAACTCTGTTGATCCATATTGTTAAAATTTTCGTTGTCTTGTTGTTTAAATTTATTTGAACTTTCTTTCCTTTTTTGGTATTGATAATTCTTTGTTTTTTTTCTAAAATTAATTAAGTCTTCCACATTCACTGCATTCACAACTTCCTCTTCTTGTTCTATTGTTATTTTCTCTAAAAATTTATTCAAATTTAAGGGATCTCTACACATTCATATTAGATATAGAAATTGACCTTTTTCTCAATATAATTCGTCTTCCATTATCACTTTCAATTTAACTCAATTCACTAGGTATTTGAGTCTTGATATCATCACCAAAACTCTACTTTCTTTTGTTTCTTTACTATCTATTAAATTGATGTTCTATAGGTGTCGGCAAATTACTATTTTGCACTTAAAAATGGCCTAGATTTCCACATAATTTGCAATAACATGATTTTCTTCTTAATGGGTATTCAAATATGGATTCTTAAGTGAGATTATCAAATGTTTTTCTATGATTTTCATTAAACGATAATGAAAGTTTAGATGTCATTTATATTTATGATATACAGAATAAAAATTTTGGACTGATTTATAATCATGAAGAATTTTATTATATAAAATATCTAATTTTTTCTGAATAAAACATGGACATTTTTAAATTTATTGATTTTAAATATGAATGCTTATACAATTTTAATAAAAAATCAGAATATAATTTTAAATGCTTGTAAGGTAACTTTTTTATTATAATTAGGGTAAAAGAGAATATAAAATAGAAGTTTAGTAAGTAAATATGAAAGAATTATCATCAAAATTTCTTTTTTCTTATAATTTCTTAAATTAAATAGAGGAAAGAGAGAACTAGCATAACTATTTAAACAATAAGGTATGATGCAGGAATATAGGTAAACTATGACATTAATCTAACTGCTACGATCATTAAATTAATACTAAATTAAAAGGATTAATTGCTTGTTATTGTATGAGTAGAATTCGATATCAATTCTTACATAATTGTAAAGTGTTCAATTATATGGCCATCTAAATAAAGTTGTATATCTGATAGAGAGTAAGAATTAGCAGAGACAATTTCCACAGTAATTGGAGAGTCCAGAGTTTTTTTAACAATAAATTTTACTCCTTCTGAGGGTTAAACAATAAGTTCTAACAAATCCTGCTATAGGATGATTGATGGAATCAAAAGGAGGAGGAAAAATAGACCTGAATTAAAATGAAAATAAGTACTAGCAAAGGCAAAACCATAAATTCTTTTTTTGCTCCTCTTAAAATATTGATCAATACTGTTTGCGAATGGATCTTAGATAGATTCTCTATCACAAACAAAGTACTTTTATTTAATGAGTGTGGCACTTGAACGTCGATCCATTAACTTTATTAAAATAATGGATAATAATAAACATTGAATAATAAAAGGAAGGCTATATATAAACTTTTTCCATGAGAATTTATAAACATAAGAAATATTTATCAATATTAAGATTAGGGATGACAATAAAATAAAAGAGAAATATGAAAGTACTAAAATAGTTGATATAAAAGAGTGGAGAACAATATGAGTGTATGTAGAGCCATTGATTATAAAATATTATTTATGATAATAATAACATTAAATAATTAGAAATATATAGATAATAGTGCAATGCCAGATCAAATAAAGGGTTGGAAAATTTACACAATTCGATCACTGACGGCTTTAGAATTAAGACCCATATCATAGGATAGTTCTTTAATAATTGGACTGTTTTCTTATAATTGCATTCTAAAAGATAAGAGAGTAGGTGATACTTATTGACAGTTGGTTTTTCTGAATTTTGTAATACAAGACATAGAGCATCACAAAGTCTTTCCAATTTTTATGCTCCTTAACCTTAAAATTCTTCTGGTAGGAATGCATTCCAAGCATTGGAAATATTAAGTAATTCTTTAAGTTATACATTAGGTCCTACAATAAAAAACGAAAGTATACCTTTTGGTTCTCTACCTCCAACAAGCCAGGGATGTTATAATAATTATTCAGTGTAAAGTCTTTATCTTGGATCTATTTTAAGTGTGGAACATAAAAATTGAATAAATTCTTGACTAAATTTATCAGAAGGAAGTAATTCCAGAATAGTAATTTTGTTAGGTTCAGAAGGTATCTTTTAATTTGATTCTACTAATGAAATGATCTTAGCTTCACTATGTAGTAAACAACAAGTATCTTTGAGTTAATCAGTATATTTAGCGATTTCTTCAATAATGATTCTTGATCCTTCATAGATTAATTAAGCTTTAGGATGGAATTCAAGAGTACCAATGGCACAATTAAGAACTAGCCATCCTAATTTCCAAATATCATTAGCCCTTTCAAGAATAAAGTCTTCTTGAGCAGGGAAATGAACTTTTTCACTTGATGCTTTACTCCATAAAGAAGGTGTTTCTAGAATTGTTGGATCATAAAGACTACTGATAAAATTAAATAATATACCTCTAGACATCTTTAGGTTTACCTAGAATATAAGAATTAAATAATTGATTTCCTTAGACTTAAACTCTATATTACAAACCTTGCCCAAGTTTAACAGAACCATCTCTAAGGAAAAGTATTTATGATGGTCCAAGTGCACCATGACATTAAGCTCCTTATTAATGGATTTTTTATAATCCTTATAGAATAGGTGGAACAAGCTATTTGATACTTCTCTCTGGAAGAAAACCCATACTTTCTAAAAGATTCTAGGAATTAGAAATTAATGTTTACTTATAATGAACCACCATTCATATATTCCATAACAATAGATACATATCCTTCAGGAGTATTCCAAAAAGTAGCATATACTTATACATGTAAATTTGAATTAGCAAATTTGTTCTACCAAAAGGAGATCCAGTCTTTTAAGTTTTTACGAATTTCCTTGTTGTGTAATGGTTCCTAAATATCAATTTATTGAATTACTTCTTTTACAACATAAAGTTTCATTGTTGGAGCATGTAACATTTTTTTGACAGGACTCTGATCACCGTAAGCTATTAAGTTAGAATCGATAATAACATCTTAATGTGCCAGTAGTAATCATGTCTTCTATTCTCATCTAACCTTGGACAAGAGTACTGATACTTAGGCCTAATTCTTCATGTATTTTTTTTTGGTCTTTCATGAACTAACGAAAAGGTGCCAATGGATTTTTGGATTGCTAATTGTGTTCGCGCTAGAGTTTGATTTATAATTAATGCCTTCAATGGACTTAACATTTGGCTCACCTACTTGTACTCTTGTATTGCTTCTATGTTCTGCAGATTCTGTTGTACTTATTGTTTCTACTCCTTCTTCTAAGCCAAAGGTTCTATCTATTTCTTCTATGGTCTGAATTACATTATTTTTATACTTTTTATTTGCAAATGCTGGAGGCAAACGACTAATATTGATTTTTGGCTATCCTCTCTTTTACGTTGTTTACAATGATTGTTCATCTATCACTTCTGCTTTCTTAAGCTCCTCATTCTTTATACTATTGAATGAGTGAGAACTCATTATTTTGGGTCCTTTCGAATCGTTCATTATATAATTATTCAATAATTTAAAAATAATTCATCTTCTCATTACTTAATCCATCTTATCCAACTTATCAATCTTTTTTAATCTCTTATCTCTCCTATATCAATCTACTTCTTTTTCTATTTCACAAAAATTACACTGCTCCATTTTTATAATCATTCCTATCAAATATTCTCTAACTTCTTAATTTTTTACAATCATGCCTAATAACTTCTATCTATAAATATATCCAATATTACAATCATCTCTTCCTTACNGATTTCCTTAGACTTAAACTCTATATTACAAACCTTGCCCAAGTTTAACAGAACCATCTCTAAGGAAAAGTATTTATGATGGTCCAAGTGCACCATGACATTAAGCTCCTTATTAATGGATTTTTTATAATCCTTATAGAATAGGTGGAACAAGCTATTTGATACTTCTCTCTGGAAGAAAACCCATACTTTCTAAAAGATTCTAGGAATTAGAAATTAATGTTTACTTATAATGAACCACCATTCATATATTCCATAACAATAGATACATATCCTTCAGGAGTATTCCAAAAAGTAGCATATACTTATACATGTAAATTTGAATTAGCAAATTTGTTCTACCAAAAGGAGATCCAGTCTTTTAAGTTTTTACGAATTTCCTTGTTGTGTAATGGTTCCTAAATATCAATTTATTGAATTACTTCTTTTACAACATAAAGTTTCATTGTTGGAGCATGTAACATTTTTTTGACAGGACTCTGATCACCGTAAGCTATTAAGTTAGAATCGATAATAACATCTTAATGTGCCAGTAGTAATCATGTCTTCTATTCTCATCTAACCTTGGACAAGAGTACTGATACTTAGGCCTAATTCTTCATGTATTTTTTTTTGGTCTTTCATGAACTAACGAAAAGGTGCCAATGGATTTTTGGATTGCTAATTGTGTTCGCGCTAGAGTTTGATTTATAATTAATGCCTTCAATGGACTTAACATTTGGCTCACCTACTTGTACTCTTGTATTGCTTCTATGTTCTGCAGATTCTGTTGTACTTATTGTTTCTACTCCTTCTTCTAAGCCAAAGGTTCTATCTATTTCTTCTATGGTCTGAATTACATTATTTTTATACTTTTTATTTGCAAATGCTGGAGGCAAACGACTAATATTGATTTTTGGCTATCCTCTCTTTTACGTTGTTTACAATGATTGTTCATCTATCACTTCTGCTTTCTTAAGCTCCTCATTCTTTATACTATTGAATGAGTGAGAACTCATTATTTTGGGTCCTTTCGAATCGTTCATTATATAATTATTCAATAATTTAAAAATAATTCATCTTCTCATTACTTAATCCATCTTATCCAACTTATCAATCTTTTTTAATCTCTTATCTCTCCTATATCAATCTACTTCTTTTTCTATTTCACAAAAATTACACTGCTCCATTTTTATAATCATTCCTATCAAATATTCTCTAACTTCTTAATTTTTTACAATCATGCCTAATAACTTCTATCTATAAATATATCCAATATTACAATCATCTCTTCCTTACTAATGATATATATTAAAAAAACCAAAATTAATTGTACGTTTTGCAATCCTACCTATTACTATTCTTTTTTTATTATCTTTATTTTCCACTTCTTTCAATATTTTATAATCATAGATTTTATCCTTCTTCTCTAAACAGTACCATCAAAAAATTTTTATGCTTAACAAGATAAATTACCTCCTTGCTTTTGTATAAATCCAAGTATTTATTTTTTATTTTTTTGGCCATTCAATTTCATAAACTAAATTTTTACCAGCCTTGAATCTTTCTTAAAACTGATAATTAAATTCGAGTTGTTCTTTAACGTTAGTTTTTCGTTTGACACCTTCAATCTTATCTTTTGAACTTATCACAATGTAAACTTAGAGGATTATTAATTTTGTAAATTTGTTTTGACCTTCAAATAACAAATCATTCCAAAATATCCCATCTTCCCCTATTTACATTATACTTGGTTTAAGCCAGAGGTCAATAATTAATCATTTGGATGCTTGACTATCACAATTCTCATTAATATTGTTATTCTCAGTTTTTATTATGAAAAATTTCTTGCTATTTTATATTGGATGTAATGGTAAATGATTATGTAATTTAGATTGAGAATTATTATTCTAGTATTAAACTCAATAGTTAAGATCCCTAATGAAGTTTTTTAGATACAGCCTAGAGATTTTGAGATATTTATGTAGTAAGCCTTTACAATAGTAATACTTATGTTGAAAACACCCTCTATTTCTTTATATATTCTTGAAATCTTTAGAAGGACTGATTATTTATTATCATAAAATTCTAACACATTTTAATTTTGAATTATTAGAATATAAAATATTTTTTATTCTTTGTCTTGATTTTTTTTAACTACTAATTAGACATTCACACCTCTTTTATGAAAATGGTGCTGTTATATATTTACCTCTTGTTTTTATTATTTCCTGTGGTATTTTAATAGATAACTGAATTTAAAAATTTAGAAGAAGTAATGATAATTTTGATATATTTTTTTGCTATGATTCTTTATCAAAAACTTTAATAATTAATGATCTTTGAATAAAATTGAAATAATAAATATAAGACGGACTTTTTTGGAATCAGAAAAAATTATTTAATAATTAATCATTTTATCAATTTTTTTCTAATATAATATCAATAATCTCATCTAATGATTATTCTTTGAAGCATTCAAGATATTCTCTAGCTTGTTTCTCATCACATTATAAAAGTGAAATCAAGGTTCTAATTTTCTCTTCAACTTCTTGTTAAATCTTACAATTATTTTCTTGATTAGTATTATCATTTTAGATTGTTTATTATGTTACTTCTTATTATTTTTCTTATTGGGTCTCTTAATTTGTTTCTTATTTATCATTAACATTACATTCCTCATCTTAAGGTTGTTCCTATTATTATTGAGTATTCTTATTTTTTTCAATCTCTGTTTTTATGACTTTAAAGATGTCTTTAGCGATTGAACAAACATTTTGTTTCATATCTTTAAAGGCAGGATTTCGGAAAAAATCTTTGATTTGTTTAGAAGCTTCATTTCCAAATGGTACTTATCCAAATGGTCCATGATCATGATGTCCAAAACCTTTTTGTTCCCAATGACAAAATTTAGCCTTATGTTCTTTTCTGAATTGATCTAATTCTTCTTAAGTACTAATTTTAAAGAATTGATGATGATTATGAAGATTTTTGACTTAACATTCTTCACATAAGTCATAGTCAGGACATTCGAGACATTTGAATCTTGATCCTATAATTGGACTTGTTTAACATCCATCACAAGTATGAGTTTGATGAACCATTTTATCTTGAGGAACTGATTTAGGTATTTAGGAGGTTATCACAAAAACCTTAATAGTTTATATTCCTTCATCGACAAGAACTTAAAAATCCTCTTAACAACTTAAAGTGATTTAATCATTTTCTTAGTCGTTATAGGTAAGTTTAAAGTTCAAATCGATGTTTGGAAATATTTTTTAGATGTGTGATCTTAGATCTGAGAGAGTTGGATTTTATGATTTGAAGAGATGGATCTCGTTGTTATAAACAATCTTGATTTTCATATTATTTATTTGGTAAAAAGTAAATTTGATTTATTATAAATTATATTTTACCTCGGGATCTGATTGATACTGACATAGTTTGAGATTGATAGCAGAATGAAATATTATATGGAATGATCTTCATCAGGGGTAGATATGTGATATATAGAATAAATGTTTAAATTTTCGCGGTTTTTTTTATATATTTTTTTTGTGGTTTTAGAGTTGTGTTCTTGGAGGAGTATTAGAATAGTGGATTGGTACATGAATAAGAATTAATGTAGAGTTAAGTGATGGCATATCAAAAGCACCATAAGAAAATTATTAACATATATTAATTTAATAATGGATAAAAAGATAATAGCAGATGTATTTCAGAGACATTTAGATTAATTGACTAGTCGACTGAATGATGTATGGTTTAATAAATTAGAAGGTAGGACATACCAGCTCTGTGTATTCTATCAGGTAAAGAGGATGGGTCAATCAAACCAAAAACAAAGGCATTATTTGTATGGTTATTTGGATACGATATGATTGAGACAGTGTTTATCGCAACAAAGAAGCAAATATTCTATTTAGCAAGCGAGAAGAAGTGTAAATATGTTATTTTAACTTTTGACTAGTGTAAATGATGGATGAAACTAAGCAACGATTAGGCGGGAGATACGAGGTAAACTTCTTTAAGAAAGTTGGTGATAATCGTGATAGCTTTGAAAAAATTCGTTAGAAATTAGGGAATGTAAAGCTTGGAATGCCTTCAACAGAGTAACAAGCAGGAAGTCTAGCCACAGAATGGTATGACTATAAAGGATGGTCTTAAATTGTTGATGCGAGTTAATTGATAAGTGATGTACTTGCAGTCAAAGATGATTAAGAGTAAGCCTTTATCAATTAATCATCATAATTGACTACTCGTCTATTTAAGAAACTCATTAAATAGATTGAGGATTCCATTGATGTTGGAACCCGTATTACTCATTAAGATCTAGCTAAGAAGGTAGAATAATCATTAGAAAATGATAAACTAAAAGTCATCAAAGATATAGGATTATAAGATGGTTTATATGATTTTGCATATACACCAATCATTTAAAGTGGTGGTAATTATTAGCAAGTTGATACTCCTAATAAAGAATATCTTTCTTCTGATGTTATTATTATCTCTCTTGGTACATAAGTTAATGAATACAACACTAATTGCATTAGAACATTATTTATTAACCCAACAGAAGTTCAAAAAAAATTGTATAATACATTGATAGAAGTTTAGAGCAAAATTATTGGATTTCTAACTGTTGGCACACCATTAAATTAAGTTTATAAGGATGCTTTAGCTATGTTTTAGCAGAAGACTTCAGAATTAAACATTACTAATCTTTAGTTTCCTACTACATTTGGATATGGAATTGGACTTGAATTAAAAGAACCATTTCTAGCTATTTCTGAAAAGTCTACTCATGTTGTGGCTAAGAATGAAGTTTATTTTGTTTAAGTAACATTAGAGAATCTGCCTAATGGATAGAAAGGCATAACATATACAATAACAGTTGGAGATGTCATTGTTGTCACAAATGGAGCAGCTAATGTGACAACTAATTAAATTCCAAAAGCTTATAAATAGATTTCATATTAATTACAAGAAGAGGATGAATAACCTGCTCCTAAATAATAGACTAAATAACCAGATGCTCCAAAAGAAGGTAGAACAAGAGGACCTCGTAATTAATAGATTCAAATTCAAAGAGAAAATGAGAAGCAAAGATAAATTCATTAAGAGAGATTAGCAAAAGATAAATAGAATGAATTAGAATAAAGACTAGAACATGATTAATTTATCTAGAACTCTTAAGAAACAAAAGCCTTAGAATTAGACAAATTATAATGTTATTAGAAAATAGAACATTATCCAAAAGAATTGTAGAAAGGACAGATTTACATTGATAACTAAAAATGTGCAGTTTTGGTACCTTTGTTGGGTACTCACATACCTTTTCATGTTTCTTGTATAAAAAATGTGAGTAAGATTGATGAAGGAAAGATTGGTTCATCAATTAGAATAAATTTCTTCACATCTGAGACAACAGCTGGATAGATTCAATTTCCTTAAATAGATGGAGAAACTATATTTATTAAGGAGTTGTAGTATAGATCAAAGAAGAGTGATCGTCCTTAGAATTTGATATTGTAGATAAAATAATTATAGAAAAAGGTAAAGGCAGAATAGTAAGTAGAGAGAGAGAAATAACATGTTGGTGAATTAGAGCCTTTAGTGGTTAGTAAATCAGGAAGGAAACCAATATTTAAGGATTTAAAAGTGAGACCAACATTTGGTTCAGGTAAAGCTGCAGGGATATTGGAAGTACATACAAATGGTTTTAGATATATACATTCAAATAAGGAATAATTGGATATTGTATTTAAGAATATTAAGCATTACATTTATTAAAGTCCAGAATAAGATATAATAGCTGCTTTACATTTTCATCTTCATTCTCCGATAGTATTGGGTAAGAGAAAAACACATGATGTATAATTTTATTGTGAGGTTGGAGGAGCAGTAGAACATTTGGAAGGTAGAAAGAGAACAAATAGAAATGATGATGATGAAATAGAAGAGGAAGAAAGATTACGTGTTCATAGAAAGAAGATGGCAAGAGAATTTGAAGTTTTTATTAAGACAATTGAAGAAATGGGAGCTGATTATAAAATATAATTTGAAAAACCATTTAGAGATCTTGGATTTGAAGGAAATTGGAATAGAGCAAGATTATTTTTATAACCAACACCTAATACTTTGATGAATATAGTTGAAAGTCCATTTTTTATATTAACATTATCTGAAGTTGAAATATGTTGTTTTGAACGTATAATTCCAGGAATAAAATCATTTGATCTAGTTTTTGTATTTAAGAATTACGATAAATAAGTTTTGAGAATTGAAAGTATAGATATAAAGGATTAGGAAGGTGTTAAAAATTGGTTAGATAGAGTATTATAAATATTTAATTATAGATGAATTTGTTATTTTTTGAAGTAGCTTAGAATTTAGTTTGGAAGAATGTACTGGCCTAAATATAAAAGGATATTCCAGGATTTGTATAAGATGGAGGTTGGACAAACATTTTGGCTGAGAGTGAAGAAGAAGAAGGTGAAGACGATGATCCAGAAGCAGGAGATAGTGAATTCTCTCCTGAATAATCTGTAATTATAAATAATCTTAATCTTTTAAGGGTGATGATGGAGATGATGACGATGATTCAGATTTTACAGAAGATGGTGATGATGATGATGATGGAGGTAGTGATGATGAAGAAGATGATGATGAAGATTTATCTGATGTTCTTGATCTTAATAAAATTAGTGATCAAGATGAAGATGATGATGATGATTCTGATTCTGGTAATTTAATACATTTATTAATATAGATAAACACAGACATAAACATAAATCTAAACCTTAATAAAAACCATAATCTAAACCATAATAAAAACCAACCTAAGTTAAACACACTCAATAATAAAAAAGACCACCAACAAGAAAATGAGTATTATTTTAAATTTTATGGATTATTTTAAATACTGTCCATGGGATGGATATCGTTTCTCAGATAATGATGTCTAATGTTTCATTTGTAGACGACCCAAGTATTAATTGACTGTAATGCATTTCTCTTTTATTTAAGTCTTACATTCAAGAGGAATAAGAATAAAAAAAATGGGAAAAAATATTATATGAAAAATAACCTTATGATGATAATTATATTGACGAAACATTCCTATAAAGTGTACAAAAACAAGACAATTCAACTAATGGACCTGATTACAAACAATTAATTAGCAAAACATCAGATTTAATTTTTGCTATCAATTGTGTTGTATTCTATCTTTTAAGCTACTTCTTAATGTTACATGATATAATCAATACTTAACTTTAACTTTACTTTTGGCTTACAATTGCTATCACTTGTTTAATCATGTATTCTGTTGTTAAAAAAATGAAAACTTAAGAAATCTTGAGCAATTTCAAAAGCATTGGAATATATATCTCTATCTTATTACTTTTTGCTCCTGTAATGTAAACAGTCAATCAAACTTATGCTGATAATACTATCTATGTGCTTACAAGTGTGGCTATACTTATTTACATTTTCCTTAAGGATTATGATTATGAAAAAGATTTTACTGAATTAGATGTCTCTTCATGGGCATCATTAGTATTTTCAAGTCTATTAGCTTCAAGATTGCATAATGAACTCTAAGTCTTTTTAATGATTTTTGCATCCAATTTATTATTCATATTTGTTCCGATACTTTAAAGAAGCATCAAATAAAAATATAACTCTGTGTTTAGACTTATCAATTTGATTTCAACTATTGGACTTGGGTTATCATTATTATTTTTTTCATATTTCTTAGCACTTCTATTTTTCGGATGGTAATCTTATTTCATTTATTTTTTACTAGTGTTTTCTTTATTACTTTTGTTTCACCTCTCCAAATCATTTGGTTATATTAATACAAAAAGTATCATTATAATATCAAATCTTTAGCACAATAAGAGGACCATGGGATTTACCAAATGTTAAATAGTATGATTGAAATTAATAATGATTACATAAAATAAAGCAATTCTCAAATGGAGAGAGATCTTATTAAATGAAAATCTTCTTACCGATGCTTACAAGTTCAGAGATTGGGATCAAGTAAACCTTGAAATTCCAGAAAAAGAAACTCTAATTAAAGATCTTACTAGAACCAGAAATGATGATCCCTATTTTAAAAAGGAATCCACTTAAAGAAACCTTATGTTACTTGCAACATTTTATTGTTAATAAAACAGTGTCAATTATCAATAAGGAATGCTTGAAATTGTAGCTCCATTCTTAGTCATGAAAAATAAAGACTTTCCTATTTATAAGTGCTATGCTTATTTCAATTCTTTTATGAATACATATTTCCCAAAAGTTCTTGAATGGAATGTAATAATAACACTAACTTACATTAGATTCTTTAAGGAGAAAAGTAACTTGCCCATGTTTTATGCGCTATTCAATTCTGTGAGATATTGTTAAAATATCATTGCTCTGATTTTTATAATCGCATTCTTAAACTTGAAGACTTCAATCTATCAATGGTAGTTACACCATTAATTATGACTCTTTTTGCTAAAGGTACATCTTTATAATTAGTCTTTTTAATTTTTGATGAATACATGAAAAGAAAAAATCCCAATTACATATTTTTCATGGTTACTGCCCTATTTATGATCTAAAGACAAGTATTGAAATTTGATTATATTAGAGGAAATTTTATCTTTTGAAGATTCTGAAGAACTTTTTATGTACCTCAATAAAAAATTAAAATGCATCAATTATGAATCAGATATATAGTAATTATTTGAAAGAGCTGATGAGCTTCGTGATTAAACACCTTAATCTTATGAGTAATTAATAGCCTCTACTTCGTTTAATGATAAAAGCGGTATATCTAATATTCATGTTGTAGTTTTAAGTGTTGAAGATATTACAGAATTAACGTAAATCAATAAATCATATTACTTTAAATGTTTATTTATTGAGGTTTCAGAAATGAAATCTCTTCTTGGAAAATCAAAAAAGCAATCTACTAAAAAAATACAATTACGCTTACTTGATATTAGAAAGGACAAGAAACCTAAATTAAAAGAGTTTGTTCCAAAAGAATTTATAGTAAAAAAAGCAGATGGAAATCTACATACTTGTTTAATTATGGAATCGAATAAAACTATAGAATATGCTGTAAAAGTTGCACAAGACCTGATTTTAGAAGGTGTTAGACATGTCTCTATTTTAAAAGGAGGCTTTTAAGTAATATAATATCTTTATGGATTATAGTAATTATCAGCTTCAATCAAATAATAAAAGGATTGTTCAATTATGTGATGAAAATTTAATATTTATTTATAAACAACATATATATATAGTATATTGAAGTAAATCTAATAGCCATAGTATCAAATAGAGGTAATAGAGGGGATATCATTAATTCTTTTTCACTATGTAATGAGTATTGCTGAGAAATTTTACTTTCTTATGAATCCTATTTGAAAAGCATATTAATTAATAATGATGCTGCCTGAATCACTACCAATTTTAAAAGAGCTTTCTTTAGAGATGGATATGCTTAATGGGTAATATCTTAGCTGACAATTAGTTGGATGCCTAACATACAATATCCTATAAGACTCAGATTTGAAATGAATGATGATATCTTATGGTCAGTACAAAGAGATTAAATAATTTATGTAGGACCACGATATGTAGATTCAATGGAGATGTATAAGAAATATTTGTCAACTTGTAAGCAATTCTATATATTGAAGACTAACCAACTAAGAATTAAACTGATATGATGGAGGCAATTCTTAAAAAATAACGATAGTTACGGTTATTTATTAACAGACCTTTAGCACAGAGACATTTTTTATAATTTGATTCTGATTTTGAGTCAGGGAACTTAGATTTTGCATTCTAAATTAGATCAAATGAGTATAATTGTTATATGAGATGTGATTCAAATTCTCGTTGCAGTCATAGTTGGTATCATTTTAGCATAGTTTCGGAGAGAACACAGACAATAAGACTGAATATTTGTAATTTCAGTAAACACCGTAGTCTTTACTAAAGAGGCATGAAACCTTATATAGGAATAAATGGTATTTGGAAATAGGGAGGTGATAATATAGTTTATGATCAGAAAAATTAAAGATCATCGAAGTTAAGCTTTGATTTAAATGTTGTAAATGGATAGAAAATATTCATTGCATATGGAATTCCGTATACTTATACTTAGATGATGCAATTTATATAACCTTTTGGATATACTGTTTTGACAAAGTCATCAGCAGGCTTAGATATTCCAATTCTTTATTTTGGAGAGCCTAAGAAAAGAACTATTATAGTAACAGCTAGAGTTCATCCAGGAGAAACAAATAGTTCTTATATGATGGAGGGTTTTTTGAAATATCTAACATCTCCAAATGGGGAATATCTATTGTAGAAGTAAATAACCATATCCATATCAAGAGTTCATAAGTTATTGCAATCCCAATGCTTAATCCTGATGGAGTAATAGCTGGCAATTCTCGTACTTGTTTATAAGGAATGGACCTAAATAGATAATTTTCAGATCCTGATTCAAATAATACTCCTTAAATATACTAAATCAAAAAGATGATAGAAAAATTAAGACATCCTCCTTTTGTTTATATTGACATGCATGGTCATTCATTAAAAAAAAATTTATTCATTTATGGACCTGAGTATCCTATTTTTAGTTTAAATTATTTAAAATGTCGAGTTTTAGCTAAATTAATGTCAGAAGCAACAGAAGTTTTCCGTTATTGGAGTGGCATTTGGAGAGTTTAACCAAATAAAAGAAATACAGCAAGAGCTATCTTGAATTAAGAGTTTAAAATAGTTAACTGTTTTACTGTTGAATGTTCAAATGGATTATATTATTTGGGATCTTAATAAATTACAAAAGAATTTGGAATTCTTGATTTTGAATAATTGGGATAAGAATTACTAAAACAAATTTAAATTTTACTTGAAAAAGAAATAAAATATATTGAATATTAGAAAGACAGACTTAAAAATAGAAAGTAGAAGAGAGTAAATCCATACACTAATTTATTATAACAAATACAAAAAGATGAAGAAGAACATTAAATATAAGATGAAGATGAAATATTAGAAAGTGAAAGTAGTGAAGAAGAGTAGAAATAGAAAAAAAAACTTATTCGTAAACATTAATAACCTAGATAATCTTAATTAAGAAAAGAAATTCAATGTAGAAAATCATTTGTATCTGATCGAAAACCAAGAAGTTAAGATAAATCTTTAGATAGATCATAAATTTCATAGAGACCTTTTTCCCCTTACAAAGCTTTTAATAGATCTGTATCATCTTCAAGATATGTTAATTGTCCGAGTAAATAATAACAACTAAAATAAAGATTGAGTAATTATGGATTTAATTGATAAATAGATATTTGAATCATTATTATTCTTAGAAATATGATCATTATGATTACCTATAATATTGGAATGACCATTTCTACGTAACAATTCTTATTCATATTCCTATTATTCTTTAATTAATTAAAGTTGTTTCTTTCTCTCTTCTTCAATTAAAACTTGTTTCGAAGTATAAGAAGGAGGAGGTTATCTATTCCATATTTTCTATGTATAATAATAATATTAATTACTTCAAATTTATATTTTTAATAATCCTTAAGTCTAATTTATTTCCTATCGAGATATTGAGATTATTAAAGTTGTTCAACTTAAACAGGGATTGGAACCTATTCATTTTCAGCTTCTTTTTAAATTCTCAACACATTTAAGTTCTACTTAACTTTCTACAATTATGATAGTTATAGTTACTTTTAAGGTATCATCTCGAATTCTTATTTCATTCTAATAATTTTATTGCATTCTCCATAATCTTGCTTCTAAAGCATTAAGAGATGCTACTTTATCTTGGAATTCTGATTCTTCCAATATAGAAGTTTAATCCTACATTTATTATTCAATAGGCTTCTTTTAAAACTTAACTTTTTTCTTTTCTAACAAACGTGTATGTTTCTCTAATTCTTAATATAGTCTTTATAATTTTGAATTTATTTCTGCTGTTGGTTTTTCTTAAGTAATTTTAGTAGTCATTTTTTCTAATGCTCTCTCCATATAAGGTCTACTGATATTTAATTCTTTCTTCAAATCAACAACCAATAATTCTTTTGATTTTTCTCCTTAGAGTACTTATCTTCTAGTGTATGGTTTTTCCTTTTAGGAATTTACTTGATTGTAAATATGATAGAATTACTTTTAGGTAAATGGAAATCATCTAAGTCAAATTATTCTTATGACTTTATCTCTTCCCTAAAACGTAATCCTTTATCGCTAATCACTACAATATCCTTTCTTATTGCCAATTCTTTAGGTGTAAGTTTAAACAATTAATTCATTTAATATATGAATTATTTTGCTTGCCCTCTTCATAATGGACATTTTCTAACACTTGTCTGTACAGACAGATCTTGTAATGAGAAATCATTAATCTGTCGTAAGAATTTTATATGATTTTATAGCTCTTTGTGAACATACGGATCATTAATCACACAATACTTTACCAATCAAACTTATGATTTAATAGGTTGATCATGCAGCCAATCATAATACCGAATTAAGTTAATAAAGTATTTTAGATGTTTCCCTTTTCTTAGATAAATCATATAATGAATGTCTTAGAGCAGTACAACTATGTTATAAAAATATAGGTCAATCGATTTAATGAATAACTAATCAATATTTCCAAGGTGTTGTCTAAGAAAGTTGAAACATACTATCTTGATCTCAAAAATCAATTAAGAAATTTTTCCAGCTCTAAAACTCCAATTTAGTTTCTGCTTGATTCCCTTAACATTCCTGCTGAATTACCTGAGTATAAAAACAATATTGAGTAAATCACATAAATCATAATTAGATAAATTCTGGAACAATATACTTTTGGAAATGGTATGGCTATCAAATAAAGTATAAATTCAGCAATTATGGTTGCTTGCAAATCTTAAATTACTTAGCTCAATGACTAATTAACAGAATTGTAAATAGACATAGATACAAAAGTTGAAAATTTAGGCAATATTTTCAAAGCTTAACCTATCACAGCAACAGATTTAGTATAATCAATCTCTTTCCAATTTTCATAAACATTTAAAGGTGCAAATATTAGTTTAAGTGGTCAAAATATGATTGCAGAGCAAAAAACATCAGAATCTAATGGATAAAGATTCATAATTTGTGAACCTTGTGTACCTAAGAATGGAGTTTATAAATTTGGTTTTAAGGTTATCAAATATGCTGGATGGATTGGAATTGGTGTTTGCCATAGAGATATTATTGCCAGTGCTAATTACAAATTTAACTATACTAATATAGGTCATGGGTAAACTATAATAATAATAATGTAGATCATATTTAATATCAAATAATGCCTATTCATGGTCTCATTTGTAGAAGGATTTGAATTCAGCTCACAAATCCTTTGATTTTGGAGTAGGAGATATAATTATTGTTGAAGTTGATATTCCAAAAAAGAAAATTACATGGTATAAAAAGAAATCTTAATTGAAATTTGTAAGAGAATAATCAATATAATTTATAGTCTATGAATTTGGATACAAATTTAGATCTGTATCCATGCGCAAACTTATGCAGTCCAGGAGATACTGTTGAAATTGTCAATAAGGTTGAGTCTTGATTCATAATGTGATATATATATATATTAAAATCAGCAACTTGTAAACTTTGGATTCACAAATACTGTATTGTTATGTTTTGCATTTGAATATTCAGATATCTGAGTAGCTCTCATATTGAAATTCTTTCTCGTAACTTCCGGATTTAAAAGTGAATTCACCTCATAATGACTAGCATTGTGTTCCTTATTGTAGAATGTTGTTGTTAGGTTACCTCTCCATTTATTCTAAAATCATTATTCATAAAATACATCAGAATATTTACTAGTATTCCAGATGTCATTTGTATCAGTAACCTTAAATTATAAATTCACCTTTTTCTGTTAGCTCTGAGACATCTATTAGGTCTAACCAAAACTATATTGTTATCTGATTTTATCTAATTCTTCTAGAAATTCTTCACGATATGGTTCCATTTGACTCATTTTAATATTATTTATATTAATATATTAAATATATTGTTTCAATAAATAAAGTTTACAAACTCATTTAAATTGCTTGATAATATGATAGTTTTAGTTTTAATATTTAGCAAATACAAAGAGAAAAATAATATACTCTAATATGTAAAGCTTATTTAAAATTTTGGAATAATTATTGAAAATGAAAGTATATATTTAATAAATTTCCTTGTTTTATCATATTAAATAAATATATAATATAACAATTGTAGTTATGGTAAAATAGAAGGATGTTTTTTGTAATGAATAATAACATAGTAATTTTGAATATGTTGATTGTTGAGAAGATTAATTGCAGGTTTTTCAAAATAAAATAAAAAACTTCTAAAATAAATTTAACCATAAGATTATTGAAATGAATTACATAATTGAGCTAGAGAATAAAGGATAATAGATTAATGTAGGAATATAAAAATAATAAGAAAAAAGAAAGTCAAATAATAAAGTAAATGAGTATAGAAAAGTTGGATGAGAGTGCAAATGAGTTAGTAAATATTGGGATAGAAGTTTTAATTTTTTGATTTTAATGACATGAATAAATAAATTCTGATCTTATAGTGTTAATTAATTAAATTTAATCTAACGAATAGATGGGTTGTGGATCTTCAATAGATGTACAAGATGATAAGACTACTTTCCTGCTAAATCAAGCTAATACTACAATCACTGATAATGATTCAATCTATTTAATGAAAACAGATACTAGTAACAGAAAAATTACAGAGAATGTATAGGTTTTGAGATAAAAAAAATCAGGTAATTTATATATATATATTAAAAGGGAATTGTATAAATTTTTTATCGACAACTTTAATGAACCATTTTATCTTCTATTCTTTATCAGATGAAGTTATAATGGGAATAATAAATAAGATGTTTTATTGTTGTTTACGTAGTAATACAAGTCTATATCCAAAAGACTGTGTTGCATCATGCTTTTTGATATTGGAAAGAGGGAATTTATAATATGAAGGATATTCTTTATAAAAGGGTTCTACCATTGGTGAATTGTCTTTATTGTTGCATTTGGAGAAGCAGAAAAATGTATAAGCAATGGATGATTGTTTTTTTTGGGGTTTAGATAAGGGTACTTTCTTAAATTCTTTGGATTATATAATGGCCAAATAATATGTGTAAAATAAATAATTCATTACTGGACAATCTTTCTATTAATTTTTGACTCCAATGTAATAGGATGGATTGGCTTAAAATATTATAATAACTAAATATAGACCAAATACAATTATCGCATAAGAGGGAGAGAGAGCAGATTCATTTATAGTTATAAAAAGTGGTTAAGCTGCAGTTTATAAAGGAAAAAAGTTTATTCGTTATCTAAAACCTAGAGATTGTTTTGGAGAGAATTCTTTATCAATGACAACAAAAAGAAATGCAACAGTTTAAGCAATAAGTGAAGTTTAATGTTTAGTATTAACTAGAGAGAGAGTTAAATAGATATTAGGGGAAGATGTAAAAAAGTAATTGTAATATGCTGTTATTAGATAAATGTAAGTTAATTTAAATTAAATTAGGAAAGATTGAAATAATTAAAAACACCAAGTTTGGAAATTGAAAAATTAATACCATAATTTCGTTTTCATAATTACAATAATGAGATTTTTGATATTAATGAATTACATGATTATTTAGTAATAGTAGTTGAAGGAACTATGCGTTCAGAAGATAAATAGTATCATAAAGGAGATTTGGTATCAGATGTATATGATGATCAACAATTCTATTGTACTGGAACTTTAGCTAAATTAGATAAAGTTAAATTAGAATTAGAAGATTATGTTATTGAGGAAAGTACTTATGAATTTAAAAGAGTTAGACCACAATTTTCTGAATTAAATAATTAAAAATTAATTGGTAATAGTTCTTATGGAACTTTATATAAAGTAGAATATAAGGGTGAAAAATATGTATTACGTAAAATCTCAAGAGATATTATATCATAATGGAATTTAGAAAAATAGATTAAACAAGAACGAAAGATTTTAGAAATTATCAATAACCCTTTTGTAGCTAATTTTCATCAATATTATTAAGATGAATAGAATATCTATTTTTTATAAGATTATGTTAAAGGGAATAATTTGGGGGATTATTTACATTAGAATGGATTATTAGATAAGGAAAAAGCATAATTTTTAATTTCTTAAATGATTTTGCTATTGGAAACCTTTTCTAATCTATCAATTATTTCTAGAGAATTCAAACCAAGTAATTTCATTATTGATAAAAATGGATATATATATTTAATAGATTTTAAAACCTCTAAATAAGCATATAGAACACATACTATTATTGGTAATCCTCATTATATGGCACCAGAAATCATAGAAGGCAAAGGTTATACTACTTTTAGTGATGTTTGGAGTGTAGGAGTTTGTTTATATGAATTTTTATGTGGTGGAGTTCCTTTTGGAGAAGAACAAGATGTATTTATTATTAATAATTTAGGATCCTTATAAAGTTTATGAAGAAATTCTCAATTATTAACTTAAATATCCTTAATTTTATAAGGATTAAGTAGGTAAAGCATTGATGAAATAGTTAATGTCATTAAATGTCTATTAAAGAGTTGGTTCATCTTTTGATGAATTAAAAGCTCATAAATGGTTTACTATCTAATGGGATTAATTGTAACATAAATAATTGAAATTGAACCCAAAAAAATAAGATTCGAATTTAAAGAGATTAAACAATGTTGAAATGATAGAGAGATATTGAATATATATATATTATCTTCATTATTGTATTATTTATGAAGAAACTATTTTTATACTATTTATATTTATTAAACCTTTTGTTTTTGGGTGAAATCTAAGCATCACGCAAAACAAATCACTTTATATTTATTTATTCATTTGTCATTATTCATCATCTTTCAATATCTCAGGATTTCTATGTATATTTTAGTTTTTATATTAAATACTTTAATGCTAATTTAATAAGTTCAGCTTCACTTAAATTCTCAAATTCCTTTGGCTTTTATACTTTTATATTTTACTCTATTTTACTTCTATCTTAATTATCTACTTCATTCTAATATTAATCATCTTTTAGAATCATATCCACATGCATTTCCCCAAATTTAACATGTAAATCCTTATGTTATTGTTAATTTTATTCTTATTCAACTTGATTTTGATTATCAAGAGTTGATTATCTCTTTATAATGCTTTTACATTTTGGTCTTATTTCTTAATCCATTGTTTAAATTAGTAAGTAAATTATTTATAATATTATAATTAACTAAAAATTCAACCTTCTTTAAAGAATTTAAATTTCCTGATCTCATGATATCTTTATCGATTATATTAAGAATATTATATATTATTCTAAATTTTCAAATATGTTTATTTTTCTATCTGAAAATTCTCATAATTTCAAAACTAACGACCTAAAATCATCATTTTTTTATGCTTCTTTTAAATTTCAAAAAATAATCAAAACTCTATTGATCAATTTCAATGATATACTAATAAAAGTAGTTTTCATTTATCTTGTTTCACCTTAAATAATGAATAAATTTACTCAAAAAATTAAAGAAAATCAAAATAATAAAGAAAATCGATAAATTAATTAAACACAATCGATTTGTTAATTCTTTAATTAATTATTTAATAAATGTAAAAATAAAGCTCATGTAATCATTTCTCTAAGTACAAGCTTGAGTAAATTGGTAATATAATCAAGACAAATTTTACAAAATGCGATAATGCTAAGTAATATAAATGTGAAAGTGATGTTGAAAAATGGTTATGCATAGAATGTGGATTTTTTGGATGTAGCAGAAATAGTAATAACTAATGTTCATTAAAGCATAATTAATAAACAGATCACCCCTTATCGATTAATAATAGTTCTTTTGCAATATGGTGTTATGTTTGTGATAATGATTTAGAGTCTATCATAGAAGAAACTGATAATAAAGCTTAAAAAGAAAAAATCAATAAATTTGTTGATAACATGAAAAATCTCTTATTCAAAAAAACAAAGTAAAATAAGTCTGATCAAACTATTTAATAATTTTAGCAGATCTAATAATAATAACCCTTGAATTAAGAAACTAAACAATAAGTACCATAACAATTAAATTATACTCTAAAGCAAGTATTCGGATTAAGAAATTTAGGGAATACTTGCTTTTTTAATTCTGTTATGTAATGTTTAAATGCAACATAGAGTTTAAATTAATTTTATTTGGATTTTAAGAAATATAATTTCTCATCTTATAATAATAATGTAGAAAATGATGAAGATGATGATTGGACAACAGTTGAGAGTAACAAATAAATAAAATAATAAATGAGACCTAAAAGTTCAAAATTATCTATAAATTAAGTTTATTAAAATTTCTTGATTAATAGTAGAAAAAGTAAGGGATTAGTTGATCCAGTTGATTTATTTAAGTCAGTGTAAGCAGTGTAAGATTATTGAGATTATAATAGATAAGGAAGATTTAGATCTATGGCTTAGTAAGATGCATCAGAATTACTTCGTTGTTTATTAGATGCATTATCTACAGGAGAAGAAAATACACATATAGGTAGAATTAATAAAATAAAAACAAATGGTAAACCAAAAAGGACTATTGTTGAAAATGTTTTTGGAAGTTATTTATGTAATTACTGTAAAAATTATATTAATAAATTTAGTGGAATGCTTAGACTGTGGTTTTATTAGTAGAACATTTGATTTTTGTCTTGACTATACTGTTTAAATTAGAAAACCAAAAGGTCTAATAAATTAGAGGTTTTAATAAGAATATTCTGAAATTCAAAGCGAAGAATTGAACGATGTTATTGTTCCATATTTACATAATTCAATTTTAGTTCAAAAAAACAACAATCCACCAAAAATTTATCAATAAAAATAATATAATTTAAGTGTGATAGATTGTTTAGATGCTTTTACTGAATATGAAGAATTAAACTAAAAGAACAATTTCTTTAAATGTGAATAATGTGCAAAATAGGGTAAAAAATCAGGAAGAGCTTTAAGAAAGTTTTTTTTTTATGATTTACCACAAGTAGCAACAATAATTTTGAAGAGATTTTAATAGAAATCAGCAGGTAGATTTGAAAAGGTAACAGAATAGGTAGAAATTCCAGAAACTATCTATTTAGAGGACTATACTATTTTAAAAGGAGAACCAAGTTAAACTATTGAAGAAATTAAGGCATAAAAATTTTAATATCAATTATATGGAGTTGTTGTTCATTAAGGAACAATGACAGGAGGACATTATGTATCTTATGTTAAGCATAGAGAAAATAATTAAGATCATTGGTTTTATTTTAGTGATAGTAACTTTAAAGAGGTATCTCTTAAACAAGCACTTAGCAACTAGGCATATATTTTATTTTATGAAAGAGTCTGATAATTAATTAATTATTGTTAAAATTATTATGTTATTTGAAAGTTCCATTAGATAAGGGGATCCTCGTCTTTCTAATCGAAATAAATCAGGATAGGCAACTGAAGTATCAAATGCTTATGATTAATCATTCAATGGAAGAGTTATTTATGCAAGAAATCTATATTCAAAATTATTCTTACAATTAGTTATTGTTTGTATTTCTTAATCATAATTTAGGTATTTATGCATGGATCGTGCATTCTTTACCTAATTTAGATAGTTTCTTAGAAAAATAGATGTGGATATTTTGGTTGAGTTTAGGGCTCTGTATAGGAATAGCCACATTAACATTTATTTATAGGAATTCATTAAAAACTGCTCCTATTAATTGGATAGTTTTCTTTTTATTTACTCTATCTTTGGCCTCAATGTGCGGTTGTTTATTAGCATTTGGTAACTCATAAGTTGGTTTAATGATTTTTGTGAATTTTGCAAGTATCAAAAAGATTTTATTTTAGCTCTAATATTTTTTTTATTTTTGTATTCTTCAACTGTTAAAAGAAAGATAACTTATTCTGGAGCTGTCCTTTTTGTGTCTGCAGGAATATTGATTGTATTTGAGATGTTTACAATATTTTCTCAAATCTCATTAGTTTGGATTATGATCATTTCTTTGTCCTCCTTTTTATTTGCATTTTTATTGCTTTATGATACCTACTCAAATTTGAAGTATTTATTCTCATTATTATCTATTTAGTGCTGATGTTACTTATGATATCCAAACAGCAGATGATGTGAGTGGTAGTGTAACTGTATATTGGGATATAATATTATTATTTTTGAAAATGGCAGAACTTATCAAAGATAATCTATTTAATAGAAAAAATTGATATATATTTATAACAGATTATATATTATTTAAATATTTGAAAAAAATTGTCATTATAAAATCTATCCTGTAATATAAAAAAAGTTAGAATTTTTGGAATGACATTTAGATAGTTAATAATGTTAAAGAATGAAATTATGTTTTAGGAATTGTATTGATTAAAAATTAAAAAACTTCAGATAGAAATATCTATTATCTTCAGATTATAATGAAATAATAAATTTTTGTATAAATATAAAAATTTAAGTTAATATGGATGAACATAAGAAATGATTGATGTTTATAAAGTATGCTTATTGGAAAAGGTTATTGATTGAAATCAGAATTTATTGTACATTTGGATTCTAGTTCAGGAATTGAATAATAAAAACTATCTAGAAATATCAATGTATATTTTGAATAAGATTGATTAAAATTTATCAATAAATATAAAATTTTTATTTGATTTAAAAAATATAATAAAATAANTATTGTTTGTATTTCTTAATCATAATTTAGGTATTTATGCATGGATCGTGCATTCTTTACCTAATTTAGATAGTTTCTTAGAAAAATAGATGTGGATATTTTGGTTGAGTTTAGGGCTCTGTATAGGAATAGCCACATTAACATTTATTTATAGGAATTCATTAAAAACTGCTCCTATTAATTGGATAGTTTTCTTTTTATTTACTCTATCTTTGGCCTCAATGTGCGGTTGTTTATTAGCATTTGGTAACTCATAAGTTGGTTTAATGATTTTTGTGAATTTTGCAAGTATCAAAAAGATTTTATTTTAGCTCTAATATTTTTTTTATTTTTGTATTCTTCAACTGTTAAAAGAAAGATAACTTATTCTGGAGCTGTCCTTTTTGTGTCTGCAGGAATATTGATTGTATTTGAGATGTTTACAATATTTTCTCAAATCTCATTAGTTTGGATTATGATCATTTCTTTGTCCTCCTTTTTATTTGCATTTTTATTGCTTTATGATACCTACTCAAATTTGAAGTATTTATTCTCATTATTATCTATTTAGTGCTGATGTTACTTATGATATCCAAACAGCAGATGATGTGAGTGGTAGTGTAACTGTATATTGGGATATAATATTATTATTTTTGAAAATGGCAGAACTTATCAAAGATAATCTATTTAATAGAAAAAATTGATATATATTTATAACAGATTATATATTATTTAAATATTTGAAAAAAATTGTCATTATAAAATCTATCCTGTAATATAAAAAAAGTTAGAATTTTTGGAATGACATTTAGATAGTTAATAATGTTAAAGAATGAAATTATGTTTTAGGAATTGTATTGATTAAAAATTAAAAAACTTCAGATAGAAATATCTATTATCTTCAGATTATAATGAAATAATAAATTTTTGTATAAATATAAAAATTTAAGTTAATATGGATGAACATAAGAAATGATTGATGTTTATAAAGTATGCTTATTGGAAAAGGTTATTGATTGAAATCAGAATTTATTGTACATTTGGATTCTAGTTCAGGAATTGAATAATAAAAACTATCTAGAAATATCAATGTATATTTTGAATAAGATTGATTAAAATTTATCAATAAATATAAAATTTTTATTTGATTTAAAAAATATAATAAAATAAGTAACTTAATTTTGGATTAAACAAGAAAACAAAAATATGAGAGAACAACAAGAATCATAATATCTAATAATAATTTGAGTATCGCAATGTAGAATAATTGTAGACGAACACAAAAATTTATAAATTTTAAGATTTAGATTGTTCAAATAAAAGTAAAGGCCTTGCATTTTAAACGAGTTACCCTTTTTGATTGCGAATTGGTTAGAAAATTTTAAGAAAATTTGATGAACAAAAAGAACAATTACTATTGTAATTAATTAACAATTAACATCATTTGGAAAAGCTTTCAGAAATTACAACTACATTAGGATAATAATAATAGAGAAAAAAAATATGGATTAAAGAGGAACAGATTAAAATTTCATTCTATAATTACAGTTTTAGTTTTCTTGAGTTTAATTTTCAATATCATTAATATATTTATGGAATTATAAATAATAAAAAAAGAAATGTTTTTTTTACTCTTATATGGTGTCATGTATCTAAATAGATTTATTAAGAGCTTTTTAACCATGAGCTTATTAATGATAGGCTTATATGAATACAATGGAATGTTTTATCTTTTTGAGTGGATTTGGTTGTGGTTTATAGGAAAGATTTTATCAATGGTATTTTTAATAAAAGAGGAATCAAATGATGAGGAAGAGAGAGAATAACTTCTAGAAGAAGAGATTAGTGAACACAAATAGACCTATATACCATGGACACTGTATGTAATAAATGCATCATTGGAAGCAGCTGACATTTTTTTAATATGCATTGAATTATTCTATACAAACTTTGGATTATTTATAATAGTAAATATGAAAATAATAAAAATAGTGTTAAGGGTTTGTATTTGTATTTTATATTCTATACAAAAATAAGCAAGATTAATTTAAGATAATATATGCTGGAGTTGTAATATTAACAGGCATATTTTCGATTGCTATAGATACTTAGGGGAATCATGAATGTTACATAGGTTTGGCAGCAGCTTTGCTTTAGATAGGGACAAATATTTATGCAATAAAATTCAAAGAACAATTTATGTCATAGTAATAAGAATTAACAATAATAAAAGATATATATTCCAGCATTCAAAATATATTTCCTATACCGGTTTAATTTAATTTACTATATGGATCATAGTGATGGTAATAGTAAATTTTATACCATGTCCTAAAGAGTCAATAAATTATTAAAAAAAGTGCGAAAACAATAATAATCATTTAGGTGATTTTAGTGGATATTTTTAGGATACTTTTTCAGAGAAATAAGATGGTGGATAGAGTATAGTAATAATATTTGTATATTGAAAAGGCATATCCAGTGATAATATTTGTGATATTGATAATTGTTAGTTCAGCCATAACATATATGGATAATAAAATAACAATAAAGTTGTAATCAGATAGGAAACAAATAATTTAACAATTTGTATTTTTTCCATTATAGATATGGATTTATGTTGATGCTTAGCTTGTTCAAAAACATATAGTTTTGTTAGTATTTTGTATACTGTTCTTTGTTTTATAATGGTTATTAGGACTCTATATAGTAAATGATTGATAATAAAGTAGATATTTCAAGTCAAGTAGACATAAAAATATGAATAATTGGAGGAAGATTAAGATTCAGAGTTTTCATGATGAAGATTGTAAATTTTTTGTAATGAATCATACCACTCAATAATCATAATATCCCATATAAAATGGTACTCTAAGCAAGAGCATGGAAGGATTGTAACCATAGATTTTGTTTCTTTTGACAATTCTTTCAAGTCTAGGTCCTCCAGTTCTAATTTGATTGAAACAATCTTGACAAAAATCTACTAGTGCCTTTAAAATAAATAAAATAGATATACTAAATCAGTAAGTTTTCCTGGCAAACAATTTAATACAATGTATCTAAATCCTTTAACATCATTATCACATCCATTACAATCTATAGGATGATTCTATGTATACTATTCTCCTCTTTTAACTTTTTGATTATTTCCTATTCTATATACATCAATATCATTTAAAACAGATTTGTCTACAAGAGGAGCATTAAAGAAGATCAAATTATCTTAGACTCTAAACTTTTTATATCCAGCAGCTTTAGTATCAACGACTTCTGCACATTTAACACAATAGAATTCATCAGAGAATGGACTATAATATTATTATGTTTAATCATTAAGTTCATTTTAACATAATTTACATGTTTTACCAGGGAATAATAAATTTAAAGTACGTTAGACAGTTTAATTGATTTAGAAATTGGATAAAGGAATAACTTTATTCATTTAAGCAAGGAAGGCATCAAGATATTTTTATTTACCTTCTCTAATGGTATATTCAATAATAGGAGGGAATCTAAGCACTTTCTCACCTTAATCAATTTCTTTAAAGATGAAACTAAGTGAAAACTATCTCTTATTATTTAATTGGCTCAATTTCTTTCTAGCATCTGAATATAAGAATTAAGTTATTTCGCTATATTCATCATCATTTAATGGTCCTTTTTAATTTAAACTTTCTATAGATTCTTCAATATAAGTTATTAAAACAGATTCTAAATCTTCAATCTAAGATTAAATTCTAATTGATCCAACTTTGTCTACTACAATGAAATGTGGGAATTATTTCACATTGTATTAAACTTAATCAGCTTAATTATCTTCTCTAGGGAAATAGAATTCTATTATTTCTTCAATACCTTAATTTTTTAAAAAGAACATTTCATATGTATCATATTTATGTTTACTCAAAGCAACAAATCTAAATTTATCTTTAAACTTTTCTTCATTTACTAATAGAACTTTAAGAATTTAAGTAAATTATCTATTACATAATTGATTATCATCCCAATACATTACTATTAAAACTTAATCTTCTTTATGTTCAATATCAACTACTTAATCCTTACCATAAGGATGATAATTTTATATTGTTTAAAATGGTTAACCTAAACTTAATTCTAAACCAGATTTTAAACAATCTGTCAATTCAGTTACTCTATCGAAAATTAATCTTTTATCTTCTTCTTATTCTTCATCATTATCAGGATCATCATCACTATCATCTATTTCCTATTCATATTTCTTAAATATTGGTAACACTTATGAGTATATTGTTTAATATTCTTTAAATGTTAGATTTTAAATTGCTTTCTTTTAAACCACTTTTACATCAGGTTAAAATTCTTCCTTTTCATGAACATAATTAAAATATTCTGATCTTACTATATACTCTTAGATTACTTTATAATTTTTCTTAAGAACATCTTAAAATCCACTTGTGATCATATCTAACATTCCTGTAGGATCCTTAACAATAGATCTTTTAACATGAACATTATCTTTACCTAATACTGATGTTACATTATTTAAAAATAGTTTTATAGCTTATTATGATTATACTGAAACCTCATATGATACCTTTAAATGACTTCTTTCTACTATTTCTTTAGAACCATCTTAAGCAATCTTATAACATTTAGTTAAAGATAGCCTTATAAAATCACTTTTAGCAAAACTTTTATTTTAAGAGAGTAAATCTGCAATTTATTAAGATAAAGCTTTTTTTATAAATCTAAAAGTTTATTAATCGAGAAGTTCTCTATATTTACCTTCATCTTCACTTTCAGAGCCTGCTTCCCAATAAGTTTTTATAATATTTTCTACATCTCTAGCTTTACGTGTGACTTCAACAACCTAATTCTCTTTTCCTACTACTGCAATCTTTGGTAAATAATTTAATTCCATAGCTCTTTAAAAAGGATTTGATGAATCCCAACCTAATATATAACGATAATGCTGGAATTAGGTTAATTGATTTATCTTTAGATAATTCTTAAAATTATTTGAATCATCATCTAAAGATACAGCTATAGGATTTATTTATAATTTTAGATTTTAATTCAAACTTAACCAATTATTCAATTCATTCAAAGCTCTTGTTGACTTTTCGTTCTCTGATGACTACACATTAATGTTATAATTTTTACCCAAAAAACAATTAAATCTGTTGATCCTTACTTCGTTTTAAAGTTACCTTTTTTAGTCTCGAATGTACTTAAATCCAAACTCTCGACTCCATTTATTGTTCCAAATTAGAATCCTCCTTTTATCTTTGGTTTTAGACTTTCCTTAAAATTTTCGAATTGTTTAATCACATCCATGTTGTTACCATAGGTGGCTTAATCTAAAGCATCACAGAACTCATCATATTTGCCTGTCTACTCTAATTTGAATCTATTGGATGACTTCAGCACTATTGTTTACACTAAACTATAATATGCGGTTATTGAAAAAGCAATACCCTTTTCTTTTTAATACTTCCCATTTCTTTTATCTCTCTATCTTAAAACTTTCAGGTATCAAATGACGAACCTTGTTTAAGATTTAAAGATCAACAGCCTATTCTTACGCCATATGTTTTAATTATTTTATTTTATGTATTCTCAATATACATAATATCAATACTACTCTCAATCCTTATCATTTAATTCATTATCCATTATAAATTATCTACTTATAATAATCATTGATGCAAGTTCCATACTATTCATTTTACTTACTACACTATGCTATACTACACTATACTATGATTATATTAACATTATAATCAATTCTAATTTTAATCATTAATAAAACATTATCATAATTACATCAGCTCATTTCAAATTCATCTCTTAATAAAAGCATTATTATTATTGTGTGCCCTTAATGTAGTGTGAATTTACTATTATCAATTTCTATTTATATAAATATGTAAACTCATGAATCACCATAATAATTATTAAAAATTAAAAATAAAATCAAAAATTCTTTAAGAATTTAAATATGTATTAAGAAATTTATGGTTGTACACTTATTCATCAATCTAAATATATAGATAAAGGTAATTTGTATGTTGGAGGAATAAAATCACTTGATTATATCAAAAAATATTAGTTTGGTGCAATAATATCAGCAATTGAAAAATTAGATAAATAGATTCCTGAATATATTCATCATTTTAGAATTGTGGCTTATGATGAAACAAATTTTAATTTGTCTGAATATTTTGAATAAACTAATTCATTTATAAAGCAACATCTGGAAAAAACAAATGTTCTTGTTCATTGTTAAGTTGGAGTATCAAGATCTGTTTCAATATTAATTGCATATTTTATAAAAGAAATGAATATGAATTTTGATATAGCTTTACAGTATATTAAAGATAAGAGAGAATTTGTATATCCAAATGAAGGATTTTAAGATTAACTTCATCAGTATTATTTAAAATGTAAAGATAATAGCAAAATAGATTGAAAATGATTTTAATATTTTTTTTAATTTCAATAATGGGTATTTGTCATTGTAGCAAAAGTAGTGAAGCGGAACAAAAGTAGGTAAAAGTGAAAGTAGGAGGAGGTGAAGAGGGAACATGTACATGGAAGATATTAAAAGGAGTTTAGTAATACAATTTTGTAACAAATTCTGGATGGGAAATGAAGTTTGAACTCTCATCAAATGGAACTATAAGTGGTGGAAACAAAAATGACAATGAAGAAGGAGCACTGAAAAAGTTATATGCAGGAACTTTAAAAAATGGAATTTTAGATTGTATAGCTACATTTGAAGATGGGGCATAAATAAAATATGATGGATAAATGGATGGATCAATGATGAGAGTTACATGTAAAGTTATTAAAGGAAGTGATAAATTTCATGAAGGAGATATTGCAGATTGTATTGGACCTGTTAAATATGATTGAATTTCATTAATACTTAAACATAAACACCAAAAAAAGGTGTATTAAATTTTTTATTATTTTTTATATTTAAGTTTTGAAAAGTTAAAATAAATTTAAAATAACATATATCGATATCAATTTTTAAACACTTCTACATATTACTTTGTTCGATCATGTAAGTCTTCAATTTAATGTTTAACAGTTTCATCAGTTACATCTTCAAGTACATACTTATTAAATATATTTATTTATTACATCTCTATCTCCATCATCTGTAAAATCAGTATATTTAATTTATCCATCATCCTCAAGAGCATATGTTATTTTTAAATGATAACCCATTCTCTTTTTACCTCTACTTAAATATAAATGAGCTTCTCCTTCAACTGATTCTACAGCTGATATCTTTGTCTATCCAATTTTCATCTATTACAATTTATTATAAGTCTAAATACCCCTATAATATTTTCTAATGAATTTTTAATGTCATTCATAGGTACTTTTTTTTCCTCCCAAGTTCCTGAAACATTCCATTATGATCCTATTGTTTATGGTTATTAAACTTAAGAAGGATCTTCAACTTTTTTTGGTTGACAATCTATTTTAGGATGATTAGGATCATGCTTAACCCAATAAGTATACGAATGCTCTTTCTTTGTATTATCCATTTAAATTTCCAGAATATTTATAAATTAATTATTAATAAAGTAAACATTCATCATTAACAACCACTCCTTAATTACTATACATAATTGTATCTAAAATTAGATTATATAATACCTTCTTTAAATTTTCTCCTTATCCTTTATTTATTCCAAAGTATAACTAAATTTCTCACCTTTTTCATTGACAAAAAGAATACTCTATTTTGGTGAAATGACAATTACTGTTTTATCAATAAAATCAGCCTAAATTACATTATTAGAGAGTTTTAAAAGTAGAGCATTCCTAGTTTTTAGAAATTTATCTACAAAAACAGTAGAAATTTGAGATTTAGATATAGTAATATTTTCATCGATTCCTAAATAGGTAGTAAATTTTAAGAGTAGATTCACTTTTTTGTTTAATTCTATTGGATAATTATCAAATTAATAATTAGATTATTGATTGAATCTATCGAAATAATAGAATTATTGTTTATTTCCTTAAATAATTTTAGTTGAATCATTGAATAGAACTCCAGAATATTGATTTGATAGGATATAACCGATTCCATATTTACTTTGATAATCACAACATTTTATAACATATAAGCCTTAATTCTCTTTACTCTAAATTATAATAGGACACTTACAAATTCAGCATGATTATCATTATCATGATCTAATTATACCTAAGGTTTAATTGTTTACTAATTTTCTTATTATATATTATTAATGCCTTCAGTTAAAGCTATAATAAGATATAAATTTTACTTGTAATTCGTTAAGCTTATGACATTTTAGTTTGAGTAGAAAAAAGATTATTAATTTTTGGAATTTAAGAGTTACTCTTAATTGAAATTAAATCAGATTAAAATTACTTAGAGTTAAACATAACAGCCTAAGAATATTGAGATAACCATGCAGCAGTTGGTGGACTAATTAATTAAGATATATGAGTAGTTTTAGGTATTGGATTAGATGTCATAAAAGGATGACATAATATTTCATCTAAACTTAATCTTTTTGATGGATCAAGAACAAGAATTCTAGATATTAAATTTTTAGCATTCTCAGATATTTATATATGATCTGGAAAATTGAATTGACATTATGATATTTTATTATATGTTGTCTTTACATCTGAAGTTTCAAAAGGTGGTTTACCTATTAACAATGTGTAGATAATCACTCCGAATGACCATATATCTGCTTAATAAGAATGTCCCATTCTTTCTTCTAATATTTCTGGTGCTATATAATTTGGAGTCCCACAAATTGTATGTCTTCTCTATCCATCATAATCTAATTTTGTAGCCAAACCAAAATCTCCTAATTTCAATTCCATCTTATCATTTATAAATAAATTCCCTAATTTCAAATCACGATGAAGCACTCTATGAGAATGAATATATTTCAATGCACCTATCAATTACTTTATATAACATTGCACTTCTATTTGAGTTATTCTTCTTCTTCTTTTTAACAATTCATTCAAAGTCTAAAAATATTACAATTTATTTTATCACTTGATTTTAACACAGTTCCAAAAGAATGTAGACATTATCATTATCCTCAAATACATCTTCAAATTATACGATATTTTAATGATGTAATGATTTATGCAGCTTTATCTCAGTAATTAACTTTGATATTACCATATTTATACCTTTGCTTTTGTTCTAGATTTTTTTAAAGTACTTTTAGCAATAATCTTGGCTGCCAATACTTTCTTGGTTTCTATTGAAGTTACTTCATAGCATTTTGCAAACCCACCCTTCCCTAATACTTTTCCTTTTTAGTATCTACGAAATGCAGTCTCTCCATCCGATTTCTTATATCTTTCTTCTATTATGGTATTTTCAATTTACTGTTATTCTTCCATTTAAATTAAATATTAAAACCAAAAATATATTAAATTAATATCAAATAAATTTCAAATCATACTCTCTAGGCTTTTGTTCATTTCAAAATCTAAATCCCTTTTTACATATTACGATCATTAAATAATATTACCAATATTTCTACATCAAAAATCTTATTCTTTTCATTTTTCTTTTAATAAAATATTTAATATGAACATCCTAAAGCCTATCTTAGTTGGCTTTATTTAAATTAAATAAAAATTAGATTTCATCAAGATATATACAAAATTGATATTTTAAAAACTTATAATTCATTTTCTTGATATTTTCAAACAATTAATTTAGTATTTACATTAGAGTAACAACCTAAAGTACTAAAAAATTTATAGTTTAATTGTTTAATTTTGCAAAATAAATTAATTGTTAATTTTCTATTAAAAATAGATAATATTTTTTAGATTTATTTATCTCAAGAAAAATTTCTTGGAAAAATCAATATGAAATCTCAAAGAAAGTAACTGAAAACCTCTCTAAACATATATTATAAGTTAATTATTTGAAAAAATTTGGTTTGAATTAATATGAAGGGAAAATAAATTTACTTATAATAATTTTAAAATTTAATTTTTTTGAGTCAAAATTATCTTTATATAAAATAAAATAAATTTTAATCAAGTAAAGGTATGATTCTTGATTTGTTTAATTGCTAAGCAAAAAAAAGGGCTAAAGATACTTTAATTGAAGTATTAATGAATTATAAAAAAATTTTGTAATTTTTTCGGTTATAATCTAGAATATTTAAGTAAATCAAATATGAAATATTTATTATGAATAAAATTCATAAAGTAAAGGGGAAATTAAACTCTAATTTTACTTAATTGTATAAAAGATTTGCTTAAAAACATTTTTTAAACTAGAGTAGTTTTTATACGAATATGATGAATAAACAAATTTTTAAAATGATATGTCTTAAAGTTAATTTAGTAATCATAGGGAGAGATTTGAAAAGAAAATAGGAATTTTAAGAATTTGTTTATTATTGGTTGATAAATATGAGTCAAAATGTGACAAAAATCATCTATTGATTTTATGCTAAAAAATTAAAGAAGAAATTATTAGAAATAATTAGCTTATTAAAGAAACTAGATATCATTAAGGATACAAAAATAAGGTTGAAAAGTTTAATGTTTGCAATTATGTTATTCCTTTTAATTTTATGTGAAAATTAATTATATTAAAATAGTATTTAATATTATAAATGAAAAACATACAAAAGTTAAGAGAAAACATAAGACAAAAATGAATTTGTAAATGAAATAAAAAAAATGAAGAAAATAGAAGAAATTTATTGAAGATATGAAAAAAGGTTTGGATGAAAAATGTTAGAAAAATTTTTCAAAATTTGAGATAATTTAAAATGATAGTTTAGATATAGCTTAATAATAAATAATATATAATTACATAGAAAATAAAAGATCTAAGAAAACTGAAACGGTAAAATCATTAAATTATTTAATTGAATGGATAATTCGAACAAAAGTAGTATGTATGGATGTAAATTTATTGGAAAGGAAGAAAGTTTATTTTAAAAAAGAAGTTAAAATGAGTAGAAGAAGATGATTAATAAAAAAGTGAATTTATAAATAAAAATGATGTCATTTTCATAAATAAACAACGTCAGATTAAAAATAAAAATTAAATATTTTAGAAAAATGATGTTTATAGATTGAACAATTATAATAAAATATGTAATAATATAGAACTTTGTTCATTATTCTTTTTGATTTGGTAGCAATATCAGACAGTGTTTATACAGCATTATTACCATATTTTTCACCAATGGCTATAGATAAGGGATTTAGTGAGACAGAAATAGGTATTATGTTAGCATTTTATCCTATTGGAAGTGTAATAGCAACGCCTTTTGTTGCTTTATGTAATTCTAAAAGAAAGGCAATATTAATAGGATTGATATAAAGTGCTATAGCAACAATAGGAATGGGTATTTCAAAATTTACAGAAGATGGTTTATTTTTTGGATTATCATGTATTTTTAGAGTGATAATAGGATCAGTAATAAAACAATAATATTAAAATAGGGAGCATCTTTTTTATTAATTCCATCCTATGCATCATTGCCAATATTATATAAGGAAGATGTAACTTAAAAGATTGCAATATTAGAAATAGGTCATTGTATAGGTAGATTAATAAGTACAGGGTTTTTTACAATGATAGCTTAATTAATATAGTTTGATACTTACTAGCTTCCTTGTTATGGATTATCAGCTATATATATTATAAGTTATTTGTTCACTTACAAATATTTTTATTTACCTGAAGTATCAGAAGGAATATCTCCAAAGAAAATATAAAAAGATAATTCTTAAATTCATTAAAATGATAATTCTTAAATTCATTAAAATGGTAATTCTTAAATTTATTAAAATGATGATTTAAATTAATCATAATAATAACTCCAACATAAAGATGTATTAAATTAATCTAATTAAAATGCTGAAGATCATCTTTAAAGACATAACACAACTATTAAAAATCTAGAAGTTCCTTCACAGAATATTATGAAAAAATATAGTTCTAATGGTAAAAAGGCAATAATTAAATGGTAAACTTAAATACGATAAATTATTAAATAAAAAAGGGAAGGTAAATAATTAACTATTCATGATTTTACTAAGATTAATAATAATTAATAATAAATCAATAATTTAAATTTTGATAAAAGTGGTATTAAGATGATGAATAAAAACACTTAACTAGAACTTAATTAAGAATAAGGAGATATTGAGGAAGGTGACAGTAAATTAGAAACCAAAGATTATATTGATATTTTCAAAAATAAATCTTTGTAAGTAACATTCATCTTTTTTTTTTGGCTTTCTGCTTTAGAAAATGGATTAAGACCTTTTTTGGTTAGTTATATTTATATATATATAGGCTAATGAATTAGGAATTTATTATGATTTATCACAATATAATATTTCTTATCTCTTTATGATTGCTATTTTTACTTACTTATTATCTGCAATCTTAGTAGCTCGTTAAACGTATTTCTAAGAATAAACACTTTTTAAATTAGGTATGTGGATTTTGGGAATAAGTTTTTTCTTTTATTGTCCTAGAATATTTAAGCTTCCTCAATTAATTTACTTTATTATCTTTGGAGAACTAATTAGAGGAATAAGTCTAGGTATTGGATGTGCCTTATTTATTCCTAATATCACAGATTCATGTATAGATAAGATTGGAATATGCAAAGCAAATTTAATAGGGGCTAATCTATATTAATTTGGGTGGTCTCTAGGGGATATTTTTGGTCCCATTATTTGTGGTGCATTTGTTGAATAAATTGGATATGAATTAACTACTCTATGCTCTGGATTTGTTATCATAGTCTTTACTATTATCTATTTAATTTTCAGAAAAAATAAACAATATGTTGTTTAAGTCTCTACCATTTCCACTATAGAAAATATAAATAACTAAGTCACATTAAATAATGATAATTGACATTATAAATTGTAAATTATTATTATTTATCTATTTCTTTAAGATTATCTCACTTATTAATTCTCAAAAAACCAATAATATAATAATATTTGTTATGAATACTTTGAATCTTGATGTTCTAATCTTATAATAAAATCAAAATATTTAATATTATGCTACTTACATTAAATATTAATTGTAAATCTACTTTCTAAAATATTTTAATTAATTGATCTATTTTATAAAAATTAAATAAATATATCATAAACCTATCTTATTCATCCAAAGATTAAATCAATTTTATCTCTTTGATCAAGTATTTATTTTACAGCTTGCATATTAGTATATTTTAACACATCTTAGGAAGAGATTCATCTAAAAATATTTGGTTAATATTATCCAAAATTTTAAGCTTTCCCAACAAATTTCTTTATTTTACTTTTTAAATGTAATTAATGGGGTTAATTTGATTAGCCCCTCATCATCTTTTTTTTTCTTTTTTTTATTTAAAAAACAGTTTAAGATCATATGATGAAAAGTTAAGTTTATTTTTTAATTTCTACTTGATAAAATATCGAATGAATTGTTCCCTAATTTTCTGTTTTTTTAGTATTTTTAAATTTAATATGGATTCATTTTTAATTAGATTATTTAATTCTATATTTAATTAAATTATCCTTCTTTCATCATAGATTTCTATTAGATTAAGAGGCATAGCCTTTTTTTTGCTGAGAAAATGATCTAAACTAAATAATTATTTTATTGGAAAAGATTATGTCATTGCTGAGAATATTTTATGCATGGATTGTTTGAAGAATTCTTTGAGTTTACTAATTATAGTAGATAGTTTTATTTAAGAAGTATAAAATTTAAATCCATATTAATAAAATAATAAACTAATTAATTGATTATTTAANCTAGGTATTGGATGTGCCTTATTTATTCCTAATATCACAGATTCATGTATAGATAAGATTGGAATATGCAAAGCAAATTTAATAGGGGCTAATCTATATTAATTTGGGTGGTCTCTAGGGGATATTTTTGGTCCCATTATTTGTGGTGCATTTGTTGAATAAATTGGATATGAATTAACTACTCTATGCTCTGGATTTGTTATCATAGTCTTTACTATTATCTATTTAATTTTCAGAAAAAATAAACAATATGTTGTTTAAGTCTCTACCATTTCCACTATAGAAAATATAAATAACTAAGTCACATTAAATAATGATAATTGACATTATAAATTGTAAATTATTATTATTTATCTATTTCTTTAAGATTATCTCACTTATTAATTCTCAAAAAACCAATAATATAATAATATTTGTTATGAATACTTTGAATCTTGATGTTCTAATCTTATAATAAAATCAAAATATTTAATATTATGCTACTTACATTAAATATTAATTGTAAATCTACTTTCTAAAATATTTTAATTAATTGATCTATTTTATAAAAATTAAATAAATATATCATAAACCTATCTTATTCATCCAAAGATTAAATCAATTTTATCTCTTTGATCAAGTATTTATTTTACAGCTTGCATATTAGTATATTTTAACACATCTTAGGAAGAGATTCATCTAAAAATATTTGGTTAATATTATCCAAAATTTTAAGCTTTCCCAACAAATTTCTTTATTTTACTTTTTAAATGTAATTAATGGGGTTAATTTGATTAGCCCCTCATCATCTTTTTTTTTCTTTTTTTTATTTAAAAAACAGTTTAAGATCATATGATGAAAAGTTAAGTTTATTTTTTAATTTCTACTTGATAAAATATCGAATGAATTGTTCCCTAATTTTCTGTTTTTTTAGTATTTTTAAATTTAATATGGATTCATTTTTAATTAGATTATTTAATTCTATATTTAATTAAATTATCCTTCTTTCATCATAGATTTCTATTAGATTAAGAGGCATAGCCTTTTTTTTGCTGAGAAAATGATCTAAACTAAATAATTATTTTATTGGAAAAGATTATGTCATTGCTGAGAATATTTTATGCATGGATTGTTTGAAGAATTCTTTGAGTTTACTAATTATAGTAGATAGTTTTATTTAAGAAGTATAAAATTTAAATCCATATTAATAAAATAATAAACTAATTAATTGATTATTTAATTAGATTTATCTTATATACTCAATAGCGTGTAGATGTTCCAAACATAATTTGATCAGCATAAGCTTTATATTAATTAACAAGGACAGAGTGAAGGGAACATTGAATATTTTAAGCTGAATTGAAAAAGAACTTGAGTGGATATTATTGATTTGTAGAATCAAAGGTTAATAATTTAGAAAAAGCAACAGTAAATGCAAGCTAATAAGATATAAAGAATAAAAATACTTTGATTTTAGAAACATTATATGATGGACGTCCAACATTATTTTATGGATTAAGTGGATCAATGATAACAAGACTTTATTATTGACAATATGCAAAATTATGAGGATCAAAAATAATTGTTGTTTCTTATTCAAAAACTTCAGGTTGATCGGGACATATAGTTTTACCTGCATAATCTAATTCACAACCATAAACATTCAAGAATTCTATTAATAAAGTCCCAATAGTAGGCCAATTCTTATCTTAATTTTGATAACTTTATAGAAATGATACAATCATTAAAATTAATCCATATGAACTTAATCCACCACTATAAGTATCAGATAGATCACTTTTATGAAGAAATTATTTCATAATGAGTGTTAATGGTTTGAGTGGCTCATAATTCTTAATATATTTTCTAATTAATTAGACACATTATAAACCATTATGTTTAGTTTCTTAAATAGATATATCAAGTCTTTTATTCATATATTATTTATTGCATTTAGCTCTAAGTACTGGAGTAGTTGATTAAGTAACACATTTTGTTTCTTCAATAAATTTACATTTTTTTAATTCAATTTCTATTCTTTATAAAATATCAGTAACAAACTTTTCATGTTAATTAGATATTTTAATTACTAGATCAATATCTGAATGTGGCAAACATAATTCTGTTGCATATGATCCATAAACATCAATTTGTGCTCCTGCATAAGTTGTACTTACAATAGCAGATATTTCATCAATTAATTTTTAGAATGCATTTCTATTTTTTTTATTATATTAATCAATTTCTGAAACAAATAATTTAATATCTTAAGTTAATAATTCAACTGTATCATAAGTTGGTAAATATTATGTACATTAACCTATTTCTAATTAATATTCATAAAATTTCATTTCTTTATTTTAATCTTTTTATTAATTTTTATTTTTTTTGCTACTAAGAGGTATTAATCCATCAACTTATTCAGTTTATGTAGCTGTTGTATTTTTTGGATATTCCATCTTAATTCCCAATTATTATAAATATGATTTATTATTTCTGTATAACTTATCTATTTAATCACGATCTTAAATGTTTAATGTTAATGAACATAATTTCTATCCTTTTTATAATTATGGTATCTTAGGTGTCTATGCTGTTTTCTTTGATTGTAATTCTTATTATTCTTCTATAAATAATTGATATGGTCTCTATGAATTAAAGTTTTGAATCAGTATATCATTCACTCTTTTACTCTATTCTGATAATTCCTATACCTCACTATAAATCTTGTTCTTATCTAATGTTAACTCCAATATTACTCAAAAATTGGCTATTCTTATTTGCCAAAAGAGCCTAATAGTAAAATTTAGATTCAACCAAATTCAATATTATTTCATCATGTACTAAATTTCGATAATTGTTTAATTTTACATTCTTTTGATATTTAGATCTCTTCTTTCTCCCATAATGATAATGCAAACTTTGTAATCTCTTCCATATGACCAACTATTTCTCTCACTCTCTTTAATATATATACTAATGTTATCAATAGATTCTAATCTTTCTATTAAGACAGAATATTTCTAAACATTATGTTATCTATCATTGGAAAATGCTATCTAATCTATTTCAAAACTTCTTAATTCATCCAAACAAAAACGAATATTTATAAATACTTTTTTTATTTATATCAAATGTCCAAAATGTTTCATACCATTGCTGATCTCTCTGATCTTGATGCCATTACTAAATCAAATAAACAACGTCTACGTCTACTCAACATTATTACCAAAGAATAAAAAGTAGAAATGCAAATCTAAACAGATCAAATACTATAAATTTTACCAAAACAAAATTCACTTACTCTACTCAATCAAAGCATTAATTAATACATTCAATAAGTTGATCAATATAATTAATAACATTAATTAAATCTTGAAGAATTAATCAATAAGATTAAAGCCACTGTCAAACGAGTATTAAATTAAGAAGCATATGTATATGGATCATTTGCAACACAACTTTCATTACCTAGTAGTGATATAGATATTGTAATTATGACTACTCAATAAATGTATATTGTTGATCAAATGAAGAAATTGGAAATTGAATTTTCAAAATCAAAATTTATTGAAGAAACAAAATGTATTCTATTTACTGCAATTCCTGTTCTCAAATTAAAATCTATTAACTATCACTTTAATAAAAAAATTGATATTTCTTTTTAAGAACCTAGACACAATGGTATTTAATGCGTTACATTAATTAAATAATATCTAAATTATTTACCAGAATTGAGACCATTAACTATGGTCTTAAAATAATTTTTATTTTAATCCTCTCTTTTAGATCCATATCAAGGAGGATTAAGTAGTTATGGTTTAAATTTAATGATTATTTCTTTTTTATAATCTCGTATTGGACAATAACTATCTTTAGCATAATGTTTAATTGAATTTTTATATTTATTTGGATGTGAAATAGACTATATTGCTAAAACCATTTATGTTTTTCCACCTGATTAATAGATATCAGCTTATCCTATATATTTTAATCCATAAAATGCTGTAAATTAAATTCCTACACTTTTTATATAAGATCCTCTAAATGATAAACATAATGTAGGAAGACCTACCTATAATATATAAGCTATTAAATTTATTTTTGCTGTAGGGTTTATGAAGGCTTTAAATTATTAATCAGATTAAATAGATGATTTTTTGACTTGTGGAAAAGATATCCAATTAAAATTAGAGTCTCATATTCATAATTTCTATTAATAATGATTTTAAGTTTATATATGATATATTATGAATCATAAAATTGTTAAAGAATATTCTTATCATTTTATATTGATCTATAATGATAATGATAATTTATCATTTAAACATTTATTAGAATTTACTTTTCTCTTTTTAATATAGAAAGATATTTTAAATTATATTTTTATTAAAATGAATTAATTATCTTATTAAAATGAATTAATTATCCTTAAAAATAGTAAAATAATTAGAGAGCGTTTCATTAGTCAACTCTCCTGTAAATAGTACTTCTAGGTTTTCTGATGTAATAAATCATGGATTTCCTAAAGAAAAAAGAAGAAAGTCAAGGAGTTAATTAAAACCATTTCTTTTACATTAAAAAACGATCAAGGAAACTTTAAGGAGAAAAAGTTGCCATTGTAATGAATGTGGATAATTGGGAACTTTTCAATATAAATGTATGAACATTAAAGGACCTAAACCTTATAGAAGATCAATATTAACAAGAAGAGCTTCAAATCAACAAGTGTATTTTTTTAGTTAAATTTGAAAGACAATCCGCTCAACCTTAATTAGTATAAAGGATTAGATAATAACTTAAAAAAATTAAAACCTATGATGAAAGTAAATTGAGTGCTCTTACAGAATCTAATAATACTCATTTAACTTTTAGAGGGATTGAAGATTCTATGACAAAATTACATTCGTATTTCCATAAACAATAGTCATAATAAATAAAAGTTTATTAACTAAGTTAATTCACTCCCAATTGTTCACCCAAACATTTAAAATCTTAAAAAAGTTTACCTTTAATACAATCGTATATGAATTATAGAAAACTTGATTCATAATTATTAAAACCATTAAAACTAAATTAAAAACCTTAACAAAAATAATAATTACTCACACTCCATAGAACAAAATAGCATTAAAACTTATAAACAGTGGGTCCAATCTGACACTATTAATTTCTTTTTGATATAATAGTTAGTTTATAATTATATAACATGTTTATAAATTCAGTATGTTGTAGTTTTTGACATAAAAGTAATAATTAAATTAATATTATTATGCAAATAACAAATACCACTCAATCTAGTTCTCGATATTCTTTTAATCATATAGTTCTTACTGGATCTAATTCAATACTTTATTCTCTTAATAAATTTAAGAGAAGCAGCTTAAAAAATAAATATTGCAAATAAAATGAAGATTATTTTCCATCATCGACTTTAGCTTAGTTAAGAAGAAAGAGTTGCTGCTGCAGTGAATGTGGTTAACTTAGCAATTTTTAATTCAAATAATTAAATAATAATGCATCCATTAGATAAAATAATCTTTACTTGAAAAGTACTTCTATTTGTTAATCAGTGAAATTAATGTAATTTACGCTTTTATTTTTAAAGAAATTAATCTACTAGAGCCTCTGTAATATTTTAAAGACATCATTCAAGAATGAATACCTATGGAGAAACTTAACTCTCCTAAGTTTATAATTTGACTCCTACAAGAATAAGTCCAATTAAACAAAAATAAGGTTCATAAAACAAACTAAGATTCTATCTTTAAAATAAAACATTATAACAGGTTAAAAGAAATAGATAGTTTTAACTTAATCTAATTACTGTTCATTAATGCAATAAGGATTAAGAATAATAAATAACAAATAAATTGATAGTTAAAAGTCCTCTTACATAGAGAAAATCAAAACCAGATGTTCGACCATATTTAAGCCATCTAAAATTAAAACCAATTTGCATTAAAAATTAAGTTACTCACTTTGAAATCTGAAATTCAAATATAAAAATATATATTCATTTACTTTAATTACCTACTATTCTTACTATCGATTCTTAAATATCTATAAATTATTGAGGATGTGAATCTTAGATATTTTACTTTAGAGTTTGCCAATATACATTAGTATTCATGTTTATATCTGAATTATTATTCAAACTGAACATTAATCCAAATAATGATGAAATTAATGGTTTATATTCTATAAATAATAATACATATCTTTTTACAGTTATCATTCTCTAAAAATTGAAATTTGCTATTTAATTATTAATTTAATTATGAATTTATTTTCTCCTTTATATATAAAATATATCATACATCTTACTATTTATTAATTATTTATTTAATTTCATTATTTTTCTTCTCTTCTTCAATTTTTACATTATTTTGATCAAGCTCTCTCTCCATATATGCTAATGGTAGACTTAAAACCTTATCAAGATTATTATTCACTTATTTGAGTTCTAACAATATAATTAAAATTTACAATAAGCATTTAACCCTCTCATTCTAAATTTAGTCATTACATGTTTAGATGCTTAATCAAAATTATTTATCTATTAAAAAGTCCATTCATATAGAGTCTTAAATTCTTTATCATTCTTTAGAATTGGATCTTCTACCAATTTTTAATTTAGTTATTTCAAAAAACCTACCAGAGCATATTTTCTTATTATATCGATGTCAATATATACCTCTACAAAATTCTTATCATAAAGGAAGCAGCAAAATAATCTAATTCTTATACAATACTTGATATTAAAGTATTTTTATTCTCATTTTAAAGATTCAAACTCATTTGTTATTACATATTAAATCGATCATCACTCATCTATTTATTTAAAAATCTATCCTCCCTTATTTTATATTATTCATAAACATTTACAATTAAATATTCTGATCAAAAATTTTATGAACTCCCAATTCAGGTTGTAAGAATTTGATTGTTATATTAGGTAAATTAGTAGATAAAATTTAACCTGCATGAACATGTTTACATTCAGGATGAATAGCATATACAATTTATCCAATATTAAAAGAATTCAATCTAACAATATCTTGTATTAAATCTAAATTTTTTATATCTCTATGAACTGGATAATTTTAATCAAATAAGTAATTTCGTATCACTGATCTATATTTTGCTAATTTGCTCATTTCTTATTATAAAAAATAAATTGAAAATCTTCTTGGTTATCCTATTGCCTATATTTTTATATTGTATATATACTTATTTAATCAATCTCCACTCTTAAATAGATTTCTTGTCTAATTATATATTAGCTTTATTTAACATTTGTCTAAATTCATTTAAGCTAAAATATGTATAATCTAAATGAGAATAAAAGTATTCATGTTAAATCCACTTACAAAACTTTTTAATATCACATAAATCAATACATTCTAACTGATTTTTTTACCTTTAATTATACATTCATTCTAATTGCATTGATTATATCTAAAATAATATGTTAAATCGATTTCATTTTCTAAGACATCAAATTTTTAAGGAATTGATTTACGACCTTATTTTTTAATTGAGTATCTTACAATTCTTATTTTTCTTAATTTTTTTGATTGGCTCTTACTCATAATCAAATTCTTCTTCTTATTGATAATAATCTTATAAAATCAAATACAAATCATGTGCTGTACAGTTTTGATTTGATTCTAAGAAGTTTTTGTTCTATATTTTATAGATTTCTTTACTTTTTTATAAATTGACAACAAATTTGTGATTGTTCTTTAATATCCAAGTTATTGTAATATTTCCTACATTTTCCCAACCCCAGCTAATTTTTACTATCTAAAGACTAAATTTCTTTCATTTATAACTATATACTTTTAAGAAAGACTTCTAATTCAGTTTGGTTCCATTTATCACCTAAATCTATTCTTAATTTTGAAATATCTATTTATTCAAGGAATTCGTTCATATTAAAATTAATATATATGTCATTAAAAATAAAAATTCTTTTCTTTATAATTGTTCAAACTGAATTACATATTTATAGAAAATAATTTCATGAATTAACAACATTTTCCAATAACATATACTTTCTATAATTATCAGGCATTTCTAATAAAAATGATTGACATTCCTTAGAATTTAATAATGTATGACATTCTTTATTATTACCTTAAAATTTCTTAGCATAAAACAATATCTTTCCAATCCAAATCTTTAGATTCAATCTATTGACACATAATAACAATTAATAAATTATTTAAATGAAATTTGGACTCTTAAATAAGGCCTCTTGAATTCTTTCTAAGTATTCGAAACTGCTTTAATTTTATAATAACTATAAAATTAATAAGATAAAATTTACTTCATTGAATAAAACCTCATCTCCAACTAATTTTAAATAAACTTCAACTGAAGAAAAATCTCTTTATAAACACTAAAATGGCCATAATTATTCATATTGCTCTTTAAGTTTGATTATACCTTATTAATTTTCAATAAATAAATCTTTTATATATTGAGGTAATATATTAACCTTCAAGAATAAAGAAATTTAAAATTGCAATTATTAAAAATTGCTTTAAGGATTTAATTACCAAATGGCTATAGCAACATTTATTAGCAATTATTTATAAATATTTCCTGGACAATTACCATTACTGACGAGAACATTAGCAAAATAATAAGGATTTTCCATTAAATCAACTATAAGAATAAGCTAAAAAATAAATATATGTATTTTTACATCTCTCTATAGAAAATCTTTATATTATTCATATTATTAAAGATCTCTTAAGAAACTTTATCCAATTTAAGCTAAAAATGAGTCAACTTTACCATAAATGATTCCTAATTGCATAGAAATCATATATTAATCAAGTGAAAGTGTAGTAGGATTCATAATATTATGATAAAATCCACTAAAAGAATGATAAGTTTCTTAAGATAACTATTAACACTTAGTAGATACATATTTGAGATAATTTAGATTCATAGAAGGAATTTCAAATTGAATTCTTAAAATATTTAGGAATATATTTGATCTTTCATCTTCATCAACAAAACCAAGATTATTTATAATTAAATCCATATTTTAATTACTAAAATCATCCTTTAATAATGTAATTACAACTAAACTTATTAATTTAGTTATAAACGAATTAATATCAACATTTTTCTTTCTTTATTATCTATCCTTAATTCTATTATTTTGTGAGACTCTTAAACAATACATATATGTAAATAAGATCTCTTTTTAAATTGGTTAGAGTTTTAATAATTATTAAATAAATTCAACTGAAATATTTCCCAATAATTATTGAGTAAATATTGTTCCCATATTCATAGCAAACCAATCTAAAATACTAATTTCATTTTCTAATTTAATATTAATATGTTAATACATTTATTAGAATCATAAGTATCTCTACTCTCTAAATTTAATAACACTCCAAAAAATGTACTTAAAATTGATTTTATTTTCTCTTCATCACTAATAATTTATTTTAATGCATCTATATTATAAAAAAGTGGATATGCAATTGCATAAACATCAATCAAACTTGCTAATAATCTATTTAAAAATGGACTTTCATGAGTATTAATTACTTTTTCAAGATATTAAATATTAATTCCAAATTCTTCTGATTTTATCAATGCTTCCTAAATACTTGAATTTGATGTTGCTTCAATTAATAAAATTTGTAATGGTGAAAAAGTATCAATATAATGAAGAGTATCTTCACTTAACTACCCTCCTAAATAGAAAATATTTTTAAATAATATCTTTCCCATTTCTAATAAATGTTCACGAGTCTAAAATAATTAATTACATTTAATAAAATCAAACAATTTTTATTAAGCTGGAGATTAAAATATTGAAATATATCTGCTTAATAAATCAAATATACAACAATCACAACTTTATAGGCTTTAACAATTTTTAGCTGCTTTTGAATAATAAAGATCTTTGCATTCATGATAAAATTCAAAAGAAAATTAATTTATTCCTATTTTCTCAAGCATTACTATTGCAAATAAATTTCTTAAATTTGGATATATAGTTAGTATTTAATTAAAATAATCTAATAGACACATTAAATAAAAGTTAACTGAAACTATTCGCTAAGCACTTGATAAATCTTATAATACATTTTCCACCTTATTTATTAATGAAAGAAATGAACATTTAATAAATTTTTTAAAATTTTCTGTGCTTTCTCCAAATTACATATCTGCTTATATTATTGTCACTCTCTAAGTTGCTAATTTTTATATTATCTATTCTTATACTAATCTCAAAGAATTTCTATTATATTAAATTATTCTATTACTTTGAAATATATTAAGCAACTAGCCTTATTTCTAATAATTAATTTGTTTATTAATTTATGGTGGATAATTATCGAATAAAATTAATTTACGATATTTCCTCATTTAATGTTTTTAAATCAAAGAAATCCTTTGCTACTTCAAAAATGATTCTCACAAATTCTTCATTATTTCTAATAAGTTATGTCATCTTAGATAAATGATTAATAATACTTCTTATGCAGATTTCTCATAAAAATGAGAATCAATTTTCTCAAACAAACTTTTTAATTTTTGTGCAATCTTTAAGCTAATTGGTCTATTCTATTCTTATAATGTATATAGATAACTCAAAGAAGCTAATGCCGTAATGCCACATAAAGAATATTTAATAAATTTTTACATAAGAAATATAAAATAATAAATAGATTCAATAATGAGTCTATCCTAGTTTTACTAGAAGGTTTTGAAAATTATAAAACAAATGTTTTTCTTTAACACAACTTATAGATTCATCATAACAAGATTTATTCTTTTATATAGAAACTTTAAGCAGACAAGTTATGATTATAATTATAATTTTAGAAAAATTTTTGATAATATATAAATTATTTTAATTAATGGCATACGTATTTACATTTTCTCCATTACAATAAATCTATATTGGATCAATAAATGATGCTTCTAATTTATAATTCCTGGAGTAAAAACAAATCAAGCATATTATTAATTGTAAGGTTAATTAAATTAAATAGTTTTGGTACCTCTGAATGCCCAAATGTGTATGAATTCAAATAAAAGTTTAATTACTTGAAATTAAACATTTAAGAATAAGGTGAGATCATTTCTAATCAAGTTTTGTAATGGTTCTAACATAACATAGAGGGAAATGTTTTAATTCACAGTTAATTTGGAATTAATAGAGCACCAGCATTAATTGCATCTATAGTTTAATAGATCACTTAATTTAATTTAAATGAAATATTATAAACAATATCTTTCAAGAAGCCTGATATTAAAGTTTCAAGTAAAATCTAAGAACAAAAAGAACTTATTCAATTAGATTAATATTTTTAATAAATCTCAGCTTAACTAAAACCTTAAATTAAATCCTAAAAGAATTGTGCTTTTAAATGTGTTAAGTGTAGAACTGATGTTTTTGTATCAACCGTTTTGGTTCATGGAATAAGTAATTTTTATTTCTTATATCTTAGAGCCTGAATGTAATCATTATTTCGTTGAAAGACCTCTTTTCATTGAAGAATATGAATAAGATGGAAAAATATCTTGCTAAAAATGTAATTAAAGAGTTGGTGATTTTAAATATATTGGATCTAAATGTAATTGTGGAGAATACATATGTCCTGCTTATATGTATAATAAATCTAAAGTTGATAAAAAAATTATATGATATAAATAGTAAAATTCGATATCAATTTATATTCTTTTATTTTTTTATTTTGACTATTAAGATATCTGGAAGGGAATATCTCCTAAGGTTATAACATGTATAAAAAGTGTCAGGAGATTTACATTGTTTATCAAAGGTTCCTTCAGTAGCACTTTAACTTATATAAATATATGTTTTAAATTCACATACGTTAATCAACTATTCAGTGAGAGATAATCAGATACATTAAGAGATTGAAAATAGCTCCTTACCAAAATAAATAGCATGTATCTACAACTTTATTTTGCCCCATTGAAGCCTTCATAATTTTCAATTATAACTTAACTAGTCAATACAAAAGTTTTTCTCATTGAAAATATATTGCTTTTTCCATAATAACTAAAGTAGCTTATCCTCAAATACATCATTTATAATTTTGACATTTTACAATATATTCATTACATCTATTAAATAGCTTAGAACTATAATTATTAGAGATATATACTCAATTAAGTAATTGCCTGAATACATATCAGCTGCTCAATTAATATTAATTTAATAAGTTCCTCTTTCTTTTTAGTCATAGACTAATCAAAAGAACTCTTGTAATCCATTTTAATGAATCAATCCTAAAGATGATAAAAATACCAGAATAAATAATACTAGATTAGAATTATATTATACTTAACTATGATATATAAGTAAAGACTATATATTCAAACTAATATGGTTCTCCTCAAAAACGTCTAATTTTATGGAATTCTAAATATAAAATAGTTTTTTGTTTATATTTAGATATAAATCATCATGTTAAGTTGTTTTAATTATCATCATCTATTATTTTATTTAAAGCATTCAATAAGATAATATGGTTATTCAATATCTAAATAAAGGATATCATATATTTGATAAATTCTTGTTTATGCTCAAATATTTTGATTATATTAAGTAAATAGATAAAGGAATATCTTCTGATTCTAGATCTTCATATTATTTTTTAAGGAAATAATTGTATCATGCACAATATTATATTAATATTCAGTAGGATAGAGATGCTTCATAAAAATATAGAAATTTCTTAATTATTAATTTACACGTAATTTAATATGCTTTTTCTTACATTCTTGATTAGTTTTGCTATGTCTTCACAAGAGTTACTAAAGAAATGTTATTTAGAACAATTCACAATAGGTGATCCAGAAGGTAAAATATGTTATAGATTGTCTTAGTGAAAATATAGATCTACTTTGAGGATCATATAGTAAAGAATCACTAAATTGATTATGAATGTTTAGAATTCATAATTTCAAGAGGATATTATAAAGTTGCATTAAGTCTTTATGAGAATTACTTTATGTTAAATCATATAGACATTACTGATAGAATTGTGTATTGTTATTGTTCTTTAATTTATTTAGTTAATTCTTAAAGAATGATAAGTATCTGAATTAGAGAGAAATGTAAACTCTTTTTAAATTAGCAATGGCTAAAAGCAATTAAGTTTAAGTGGTTTAACCAGTTGTTCAATGGGCTTAATCTAAAAATGCTACATTTATTAATATTAAGTTTTCTCATAGATAAGATGCTCCAGCTTGTTTGAATGCTAAATTGGAAGTAGTTGAAATAAAGAATGATTCTTTATTAATTGAAGCATTTGGAATAGTTTCACATATTCCATTCAAATATCGATATGCTATTAAATTATACAAACTAATTGATCCAAATACTAGTTATGAAAAAGTAGAATCTGTAGGAACTATGTATGTAAATCTAACTAAAGTAGAACCAGGTATGTATAATATATCAATATTATTTTTTAGTATTATGGTTAAGATTAACTGAAGAAGATTATAAAACTCCTATTTGGTGGGATTTAAAAGATAATTTCAGAAAAGATATGGAAGAATTTGCTTAAATGCTTGAAAAGGAAAGTGAAAGAAAAGAAAGAAATGCTGATAAATAAGCAAAAAAGAATTAAAAAAAAAGAGATTAAGAAAAATAAAAATAAACTTCTCAAAAAAGTTAAGAAGCTAAAAGGTAATTAGAATATGAACATAATTAATGTTATAAATCAGGTAAATGTGAAATTGGATGGTATTAAAGATAATGATTGTTTATATTTGATTAATATTCAATTTCCTGATTATTATTTTACATTTTCCACTGCTCCTTTTGGTACATTCATTTATTTCTTAAGTTTATCTTCCTTATCCAAAAGATTATCATATTTCACCAAACCTTTTAAATAAGTAAATACAACTCCAAAAATTATTAGATTGAATAATGTTAAATATATGTTTCTTTAAGAATAAAACATTTTCATTCTTGTTTAATTTATAGTCTTTTCCATCTCATAATAAGAAACACCTTATACAAATGAATCTCTTTATGCTTTCTATCCTATTAAATCCTTTCCTAAATCTTGATTCTCATTTACTGCACTTAAAAACAAAAATAGTGACCAACTCAATATCAAATATAACCCTTTTGATATTATTGAATTTGTTAATATTATTTCTAATCCTCTCACTAATGGTTTTCTTATTATTCTAGGTAATGGAAAGAATACAATAAATGCTAAACCAACACCCGCATACATTGTTAAATACATCAATTCGTATTAAAATGCCATTTATTATTTATATTTTTAATAATCAAGTATTATTTTCTTAATTTCAAAATACTTGGCAATTCCTCTCTTTTAATTACTACTTCTCATACAAATCTCTTATATCTTTATGCAATAAACCTTTTATCAATTAATTTGATTTCTATTATATACATAATAATATTGAATTATCTATTGCTTTATAAATACTTGTCTCTAATTTACATTCTGTTATTTCATTTAGTATTTTAAAATCTTTGTTTTAATCAATAACAATAAAATTTAGTTTAGAATTAATCTATAATGCTTTCTCTTACAACTTCGGTATCTAATCAGCTGTTTATTCTAAAAGAAATGTGATATCAAAGTTAATGCTTTAATTTTGATAATTTTTCCAAATTTAACACTTTACATCATTAATTAGATCTGGAATGTAAATAAAAAAGTTATTTGAATCATCTGAGAGAATTTTATTCAAATAATCTTTATCATCATAAAGGATATTTATTCTAATCAAGAAATTGTAATCCATTGAGTTTACAATCATAATTGATAAATAATAAATAACATATAAATAGTAGATCATTAAAGTTTATTTTACTCAAATTTATGATAAAATATTTCCCAAAATCTTTTTATCTAAAGTCCATTCTCTTCTATTTTTTGGTTGTCCTTTTTTGACTCTTCTATTTAAATATTAATTCAATAAAGATTTATCTTCTTTTTATTTTGGTATAGCAGGTAATAAACAACTGCTATTTAATGCATGTTGTATACTATAATCAAAACTTTAGCTTATAGGAACTTTAGAATTACAACTGCTTAAATGAGTACTTATACTATGAACAGGTTTTTAATTTTTAGGAATTTTAATTGGAGTCTAAAGATTATCTTAATAAATTTGTGTTTAAACTTTTAGTTTAATTTTTGGTAAATCTAAAGTTTTCTTATATTAAAATTACTTTTATTAAATAAATGATTTTTATTATTATAATTATTATTATTATTATTATTATTATTATTATTATTATAATTATTATTATTATTATTATAAAGATTCTTCTTTCTAAAATGATTTTGTTTTAGTTATTCCTATATCTATGATGTGAATTTTAGAATATTCTTAAGTGTTTATATTTATTACTTCATATTCTGGAATAGGCAAAATACAAAGTCCTCCATTTAAACTTGTAATAAGTTCATCATTTAAATAATAGATATAATCTATTTAGACATGAAAATTAATTGTATATATACAAAATCCATCATTTGTCCATATTTTAAGTTATTAAGATGAATTACTCACAATAATAGTTTCATTACTAGTAATATTTTGTATATCAGATTCATGACCTGAATTAGTTTCATAAGCAGTTAAGTTATAATTAAATACATATAACTCATTTGATTGTGAAATTACTAACTATTTATTTTTACTTAAATGGATTAAACCTAATTTAAGAATTTGAATTGATTTAAGTAAAGATGTTTTATTATATTCAATCTAAACAAAGTTAATTACATTATCAATACTTCTAATAATCAATTGATCCTTAAAGTAAATAATATCTGAAATAGCATTTTTGTTATAATTAATACGAGTATATATTAATGTTTAAAGTTCAAATGGTATACATAAAACTGCTCCTTTGGAACAACCCATCATAAAATAAAAAGATTAATCGACATTTTCAAACATTTTAGAGATTTTATTTTTATCTAATGAATCTATAGTCAATTCAACATCATATAAAGGAAGAGTTAAAGCAATTATTTATACATATGTTATATTTTAATTTATTTTATCTCCATTTATTGTTCTAATTTTATCAAAATAGAGAACTTCTGTCTCTTAATTATCTACCCACTTAACTAAAGTTTAATTTGATAGATGTAAATAATATGTATTTTGTTGATTTGGGCTATCAATAATTTAGAGTACTTAATAAATTTAATTCTATGTAAATATGACATTATGATTTTTATTAGAATAATAAACATGATTTTTAAAAGCAATACATTAATTAGACATTGCAGATACTGAAGAATTGTGTAAATAATAAGCTTACAATATATGATTTAAATCACAAATGTATAATTAATCAGCTGATTACAGAAAGTATTTAGAATAACTTATGAATTTGAAATATTAAATTTGTTGATGATAGATTGGATAAGATTGACAAAATATAAGATTTTTCAATTTCCATACTTTAATGAATAGATCATTTGCTACTGTAAATAATTCATCTTTTTAAACAGTTAGACTTACAATAAGGCCATCATGGGCATGTTCATGAAAATATTAAAGTGTTCCATTAATATCATAACACCACAAAGTTCCATAAGCATCTCCTAAATATAATAAATCATTAATATAATGAACATCTGATATTGTTAAACCTAATTATAATGTTCCTAAATGTTTAATAGTTCTTAAATCATAAATTGTAATGTTTTTAGAATTGTACAAAATATAAAAGTAATCTAATAATTTACATTATCTGTTCCATTCTAAAGATCCACTCAATTATTGGTAATTTATTATAGTAAATCTTTCTTTCATTTGAATTTCAAATGTACTTACTGAATTAAATTATACCATTACAAAGGTACTCAAATGATCTAAAAATAACAGATTTGTAAATTATTTGCATTCCATTTGAACTTTATTAACAATCTAAAATTCAAAATTTAGAAAGTATATAAACCAATCTTAGCATAATAAAAAGTATAATCTATTTTTTTTAGACATTGATATGTCAAATATTCTATATGATTTTTTTTTACACCATAAAATTTATCTGATAATTTTCTACTCCAAGTAATGGTATTTTATTAATATTTTCTTTTTGTGATAGATTAAACAACAATGATCCCAAGAGTTAATACAAAATACTTAAACAGCATAAGTATCCATTATCTTTTTAGAAATCAATCCTAAAGTCATAACTTAATTCATAAATTATATTAATATTTTCATTACATAATAGATTTATTTAGTAATATGTATTCATATTTTTTCATGATATTATTAAAAGCCTTTATTAAATTATGATTGAATAAGTTAATCTAAAAATATTTATATCTTTAAAAATATAATAGATTGTAGATTTTTAAATATACATATATAATAAATACTTGTATAAAATTTATATATTTTACTCTATAAATACTCATTATTCATCCCAATAACTTGGTGGGATTGTATCTACAATAAATTCAAAATTTTTTAAATTTCTATAAGTTGAAATAAGATCATCTCTTGTTGCATTTGTTAAGGCTGTTCCTAATAATTCAAATTCAAATAGTTCAATTCCTTATGTAATATTAGAAATATATCGAAGGATTTCTTTTGATGCTCTATCTGAGATTTTATTTTAACTTAATCTTAAATCAATATGTTTTGGTTGATGTTTTAGAGTATGAATAGATTTCACAATATCTAAAGCTCCTCTATCTGTAATTGAATTGAAATTTAAATTTAATTTTAAGAATTCTAATTTTCTTTAAGATAATAACCCTTCACCAATAAAAGAAGCTCCTGCATCTCCAATATAATTTTCTGTATAATCTAAAATCAAAGTTTTTAATTTATCATGTTTAAACAATACTTTTTTCAATAAATCAGCCCCTCTAGGTCCACATTTATTAACTCCAATAATTAATTTTAATGAATTTAAATAAGGTATTTTTTCAATAGCTAATAAAATAGATTCATAACCTAAGAACCCAAAATTCTTTGAAGCTACATTAATTGATAAATCATTAAGATTTTATAGATTTGTTAATGCTTATGCAATATGTTTAGCACCTTAATCTTCAATATAATTAAATTCTAAACCAATATGTAATTTGGTTAGATTAATCATCTATCCTGTAACACTCATTAGAGTTTCAGTACCATTAGAAGTAATATTATTAAAATATAATTCTATTTCTAATCCTTTAACTTATCTTTGATGATAAAGTCCTGCACTCAAATCATCAATTCCATCTTATCTAATCTTATTTCCATATAAATTTAAAACTAAATTGTCTAGTTTTGGTAATTTATATAATAATGTTTATAGAGATTTTGTTGATGATGCAGTTAAACTACAACCCATCAATATTAATTCTAATGATTTTAATTATCTCATTTATGCTAATGATAAAAGCATATCAATTTTATCATCTCCTAAATCTGTATTTATTAATGAGATTTAGAGTGTATGAACTTTTTTCATTTCAGAAATACTCTTAATGATTTGAACTCTACCTTAATGAGTGAATAAACCATCTAATCCTAAATAAAGAGATTCTAAGTTTTATAATTATATTAATAGAGCTTAAACATTTGAAGCAGTTGTATTTTATATAGGATTATTTCCTAATTGTAAATTCACTATAATTATATTTAATATGGAGTATTACATTCTTTTAAATTCTTGAAACGACTAATTGTTAATAAAAGAGTTTGAATATGTGTAAGCCCATTCAATTAAAAATTGATTTCCAATTTACTAACATTAATATAGTCTTATAATTATTTACAAGCCATTTCTAATCCATGATTACCTATTGATTTTCCTAATAAATTCATAGAAATTGAATCTCCATCAATTTTGATTTCATACTACACTTAGGAATCTATATATAATTTGATATTATAGGATATTAGAATTCCAAAAAATAACCAAATGATGTATGATAATTACATAATTTATATAATGAATGATATTAGCGATTAAAGAAAAGACATTTAATACCTATTTACAGCATAATTAGACATGAAATGTGAAGTGGGCTCCAATATATTTCATAAATACATAATCAAGGGTTATTTGAGTGAAAATCACAGTGGTGTTTACTAAGCTTAAGATGCATATGGAAAACAAGTGGCAATAAAAGAAGTATGAATTAACTGAAAGCTAGAATCACGATATAAAATAAATGTAAAAAGAAGTTTAATTGTTAAAGTCACTCAATCATCCTAATATAGTAAAATATCTAGACTCATGTATTCTATCTCATTCCATGAATTAATATCATTAAGAAAAATTAGGATATATTTGTATGGAACTAGGTTTATTCAATTTAGATGACTTGAAAGAAGCAGGTTATGTTTTTGATAATACATTAATTGATTAAACACTTAATGCTCTTGCATATTTATAAAAAAAGAATATAGCACATTGCGACATCAAACCAGCAAATATTTTAGTGATGGCATTGAATCCCATATGTTATAAGATATGTGATGTAGGATCAAGTAAATGCCAAAGTTCAGTATTAATTGATTCTGTTGGAGTAACTCTTTATCTTATATCAATCTTAGACATACAAATATATGTCACCTGAAATGTTTTAAGGAAATGCCAAGAATTATTATCTATCCGATGTATTTTCTTTAGGATTACTCTTTCTTTATATTTATAAAAACTATTCCATATCTCATGCAGAAAGATGTGAATTAACACCTCATGAATACATGCTTAAATTAAATGATAAAATCTATGAAAATAATGATAATGTGTCTATCCTTCTTAAATAAATGATTTAATTGTGTCCACATGATAGACTTGATTTTATTTAACTTGAAAAATTTTGGGAAGATCATAAAAAATTAAAAATCATTCAATAACCTAATGTAGATTCTAGAGAATAATCAATTAGATTTAATTCTAATACAACATTTCTTTAAGATGAATCTCCCCAGAAATTTTCACATTATAAAACTAGTAGAATTACTAAAAAATAATAACCTGTTTCAAAATAATCATTTTTCTCACAACCTAATAGTTTTTCCCTTGAAAAACAATATAATATTAATCCATTTCAATGTAATCCCATTAGTGATAGAAGAACTACAACGTCTACTAAATAAAGAAAACAATCCTATTAACTCTAATTAATAGACTCAAATTCAAAGCCTCCTAAATCCCCTGAAAAATCTAAAATACCTAGTCCATTGAAACAAAGTACCACTAATAAATTTTAGCTTCCTTAATTGTAACCTTTTAAAATCAGATTAAATCAAGGATGATTTTTTTTTTTCGATATTACTATTTAATAGTTAATATTTATGTTACGTTCATATTCATCCATTAATAAGCTATATGTATCCTAATAAGGTATTTCTATCTAGAATATTTAAATTTCTTTGTTTTACTAAATTAATTATATTGAGATACATTTAAAATAAGATGGCTAGGTTTTTTTTAAATTCTTCAAATTTAATAGAATTATCAAATTTTAAATATAAAACTTTGAATTCTATTCTTAATTCATAAATTTATTTCTTTTGACATCAGAAAAATCTCTTTAACAAATGAATCCATCTTTATTTTGATCAAATCTAATAAGGATATAATATAATTGGTTGAATGAGCGATAAAATTGTTTATAATAATTTACATATATTTAAATATACTATAGGAATATTAATTTGATTGTCAATATCCCTTTCTATCTTTTTTATTTAGCAATCAATTATAAATTTATTGTTAAAACAACATCTAATTAATTGAAATAGAAAATTTATAAAAATGATTTTAATTATGCATTATTATAATTAATTAGCATTTTTAATTTAACATATTTGATCAAGAAACTATTTACGCTTATTATAAATTATCTCACAATAAATGATATTTGTTAAGTGAATCAACAAAATTATAAATAATTCTTATTATTAAATATCTGTTAAATGCAATAATAATCCTTGATAAATGGAACACAATAAAATTAGATTTCAAGAAATTCTGTTCATTAAAATACATCTACAAAGAGTGTCACTGCTTATTAAGATTATATTGCTAATCGTTAATCAGCTTCAAAAAGTCTATCTTAGATGTGTTATAATTGTATCAATAATGACATCTCTGATTAAAAGAAAAAAATAAAATAGAAATTAATTGAATAAGATAAAGCATATGTTTAGGAATTAACTAAGTCAATTATTAAATAATAAGAAGATGAAAATACTTAGATAATATAAAGGAAATTAAGAGAAAAAGAATTCTTATAAAAAAGTTATTAAGAAAGTCAAAAATATAAAGAAGAAAGAAAAAGTAAAGAAAAATAAGACAATGAAAAATTAGCATAATAAATTAAATAAACAGATATTTAAGATTAAAATAAAATTCAATAAGAACTCATCTAATCATATTATAAAAAGAAATAATTTATGGAAAGTTTGAATGAATAAATTAAAAATAGAAAACTCACAACCTAAGATGATATTTCAAATGATTGGTTTAAAGTTGGAGATGAACAAAAAACTTAATAGATTATATAATAAAAGAAAATTATAGAAAGAAATTTAATAAAATAATAAAGAGATGAATCATTAAAAATGAAAGAATCTGTATTAAATGAATAAGAAAAATTGCGAAAATAATAAGAAAGATAATAAGCTGATTATTAACATTAATTAGATTAATAAATAAAATTAGCAGAATAAGGTAAAAAAAGATTAATAGAAACTTAATATTCGAAGTATTTATAAAAGGCCATTTTAGAGCAAAAGGAAAAGAAAGTATGCTTATTCAATAATTTAGAGAAATGAGAAAATAATGACAGCAGAAGAATATAGATTAAATTGTGAATTAATCAATAAACAAACTTAAAAAAGAGAAGAGATTGAGTAAAATTAAGAAATTTAAAAGAAATTGTAGTACATTGAAGATCTAAATTAATAATATCAATAATAATTAGAATATAAAGCTAAAGATAAATAGAAAAATAGATTTATTGAATAGAAATTATCTGAATCAAATAAGAAATATGAATATTTAAGAAAAGAATTAGAAAAACCTATTATTAAATCATGTTAAAAATGCAATAAAAGTTATGATTCAAAATGTCTATCCAAAAGTAAAATATTTTGAGTAAAATTATTTAAATGTAATAAATTTTGAATAAATTAAATATAATTTTTATAAAAATGCTGTAAATCTTTAATAATACTGAATGACACTGTAAATCAAAAGAATAATATTTGAGTCTACAGAGAATAATCAAATTAAAGTCAAAACGTAATTTTCGAATTAAAAAATATTAAAAATATTTGATTATTAGGTTTTCATAAACATAATAAAGTCATTGTTATTTGAACTATTCATTCTTCCGTTTCTTCCTTAATTTTTTATGGTTCATTTTGATAAGAACTATACATATTATTAAATCTCTATTGTTGATATAGATAAGCATTTAAATTCATAGACTAATAAATATTTAAAAACATACATAATAGTATTATTGAATGGGATGATAAAATAAATATTATTATTGATCTTTTAAAGGAAATGCACTCAAACTAAAGGTTTGATCTATATTTTAAGTATTTAAAGATGAAATTTTTTATAAATTAATTAATGGAGGATGAGCTAAATAATTTACTTATCTTTTGAATAATTTTTCTATAGGGTATAAGTGAGTTGTAAAAATTGGGAGTTATTTATTGATTTTATTTAAAATAATCTAATTAATTTTAATAAATACTGCATTAATATCAACATTAATTTTTTTGTTATTTTATTTATCCTTCTTTTAATTTATTTTCGTTTCTATCTTTCTCGTGTTATCATAATTGTAAGATTCACTATAAAAACAGTATAAAAATACTTTAATTTTTGTAACGTAAGAATTATAAATTTAACTTTATTTATGTCGTCATTATCAATTTATTAAGACAAGTTATAATTTTTATACTTGAAAATGATATTTCTAAATAAGTCAGCAAATTCATAGTTAATAAGTGAGTTATTATTAGTTTCATTTTAATTTGCACAAAAAATAGAGGAAATAACTGAAGGTTTTAAGTTTTTAGTCATTTGGGAACCTAAATTGAAAAATATTTCAATAACCATTTTTATTTCTATTTACCGTTTTGGAAAGTCTTCTAAGAACTTTTCGAACTAAAGAATAGAAATAATTTTTGATAAGTCCATCAGTTCTATTAGGTAATTCTTTAGCAATATTTCTCTAAAAAGTAAATTGATAAAAAAATACCCATTTATTTCCATATTTATTTTATAATTGAAAAAGTTTATCAATTTCATTTTAAGTCCATGAATCTTTATTAATATGAGGATTTAATTGATTTTAGAATCTTTCTTTACAAGATTTGCCAGATCTTTTATATCCGATTAAATTCATATTTTTTGAAACTCTTTTCCAATTAAAATTAAGTAGTTCACAATTCTATAATAATGCATTATCTTCCTAATAGAGGGTTAAATAAAAACATACATCTTGTTACCAATTCTTTCTTTACATGAATATAATATATAATAATAAATTATAAAATATAATATATGCATTTCAGCTCATTTTAATAGCAGCTAATTGTTCTTTTAATGCTGCTAATTATAATTATAATTATAATAATTCTGGACTTGTTCTCATGGAAACTTTAGGAGTATAAACTGGTGCAGGCATATTATTTCCATACATCATTTTTTAAGCTTAAGAAACCTTGTTAAAGAAAATTCTAATAAGTATATTACATTTTAAATTCCTGTTTCATTCCAATCATTAATCATTTTTTATCTTTCTATTGAATTTCTTCTACTGGATTCTCTACTGCTACTACTCTTTTTCTTTTTAGATTTTTTTTCTTTCTTTTTATGTTTTTTTGGACTCTTTCTATTAATATATGATAAAAAGAATAATACTCATTAATTTCTTTTTCTTTTTTTTCTCTATAATCAGGATGTTCTTCATACATTTAATTGAATAAGCTTTTTTTAAATTTAGTTGATATTTTCTTAAGATGTAGATAATTACATGCTCCACCTCTAAAATAATAAATAAGTAATTTTATACCTTTAACAAGTACCATCAATATATTATTTACATTTAGCACTACTAAAATCAAGTACAGGTGAATATTCCATTTATAATGGTTTATTTTCATAAGATAGATTTTATAAAGCATTAAAACAACCCTCTGCATAATATTCTGATGTATATTTCACATAAACATTTCCAACTAAATGATCACCAATATTTTCACATACTATAAGATCTTCTATTTCACCAAATTCAGCCAACTGTTTAACATTAATCAAAAATATATAATACCTTTAAAAATACATCCTCATAAAAATTTTCGAATTTTTCTAATGCTTCTTCAATACCTGCTTGAGATACTGCATTTCCAGATGCTATAGCTACTTCTATAGGAGAATTTTAATACATATGCTACAATATTCAATATTATGTTAATTACTTTAAATAAAATTGTTTATGAGATTGGAGGTATACTATGGATTCTTTAACATTTATTCTCATAACGACAAGCACCAATTTTTATATAGAATGAGCAATTCACCTAACCTATAACATTATTATTATAACCTTATCTTCTTCAGTTCCATAAACTCTTTCTAATCCTCCTGCCATTAATTATCTAAATATAATATTGCAAAATTTAATCCTATCTAAAATTTATTTCAAGAATTTAAAATTACTATTTATTACTCAAACTTTATATCTTAACCATATCATTAATTTATTCCTCTTACTTCTAAACATATTACATCCAACATCTCTAAATTATTAATAAAATCTAATTTTTATATCTCCCTTATTCTTTTATTCTTAATTCAAGTAGTTATTAATTTATACATCTTTTGTCAATAATCTTTCTATAAAGATATATTATTATTTCAATATAAATAAACAAAAATATTAAATACATATATACAATCTTTACTATCAAAAGAGATAATAACTAAATACCAAATTGCATTAGTTAATTATCCATTATTACTTTATTAATTAAAAGAATTAAATATTATATCTTAATTAATAGAGTAATAACTTTCGATTTATATTTATGACAAATCTAATATAAAAATAAAGTTCATATTTTATATTATTTTATTTAGTCTTCTAAGATTGAATTATGATTAAAAAATAAAAGGAATCACTTTAACTGAATTTATTGCTGAAGTAATGAAACAAATTAATAAATTTTTAATCTATTAATATACAGACATATGTTTAGCCCAAAAATCATTATTATTTTAATTATTAATAGAATTATTGTTAATTATTTATGTAATAATAAGAGATTGAATAAGAATAGTTGTAAATTCATGGAAATTTGAGATTGAGATATGAATTAATAGAAAATATTTTCATTTATATGGAAACTAACTAGCTTATATAATTTAGATGTTTGAACAAATGGGCTGATCTAAAAATCCAAGAAATTTTAAATAGTAGATTGAACTAAATAAAAAAGGAAATTAAAAAGCTTGAAGTGCTAAAGAATCCAATTTTATAATATGTTTATGGAGAATTAGCTGGAGAATTAAACAGTGAATTTCTTACCATAAGAATGAATATAATCAATGCTGTAAATAAAATGGATTTTTAATCATAAAAATTTAAAGATGTATTTGAAATGAATCCTGTCGGAATTAAAATTTCTAAATATCTCAAACTATTATTTTAGGTAATTATGAAGCTTTATAAAGATTCTAAATCTAGGCAATTTCAGAGGAATAATTTGCATAATTACATTCAATATTAGAAATTGAAAATGAATTATAAGGAAGTCCAAGTCTTTGTTAAGACATGTACAATTTATTTTTAGATATTATCAGGTTACGATCTATGAGATTCATGAATGGTAAAAAATTATTATTATTTAGAATGGCATAAATAATACAAAATTGATATCATTTGTGATGAATTGATTGAAAAGTAATGTTAAATAGAAGCAATATCGGCTCGTATCAGGTAGACTTAAATAGAAAAAATTTTTTTAAATATATGAAATATTTTCTAGAAAATTATTTATATCTTTTGTTCTCCAATTTTGCAAATTTTACTCTATGTATAATAAAATAATTATGTATTTTTAATTTTTATGATCTTGTCTTTTTTTAATTTCTGAAATCTTTGCTTTTTTTATTAAAATAAAAATGGAATTAATATCCAAAGTGTTCAATTTAAATTTGAAAGATTATTTTTTTAAAATAATTGAATAATTTTTTCATCCAAAAGAGTGAAATAATTAATTTGAGAAAAATACTATTTTCAGATTTGTTTTTAATTTACAAATAAGATTAGATTTATTAAATTTATTTTGAATACAATTAGATAAAAGAGTATATGTTATAGGTATTGATATATAATTAAAAAAATAAAAAATGTTCCATAACATCATGATATAAATATGAGAATAAATGGTAAATGAGTTATTAATCTATATATATTTATATATATTAAAAATGAATTAATAATAATAAAACTAAGATGGTAAACAGAAACTAAATAAAAGATCATTAATAATAATATTTTTATGGATTTCTAGGTGACTTTGGACTTTGTTCTCTAACACTTTTAAGATTGGGTAATCTTGAACTTGAACAATTAAGAGTGGAATTATTATTAGAGGCATTATTATTATTATTAGAATTTCTCTTATATTAAGATAAAATATTTAGTAAGGTTTATTATTATGGAATAGTTTTTAGAGAGTTTTATTATTATTGATTTTTATTAAGAGGTGAATTAGATCTGGCAGATTTATTATAGGCATATGCTATTGGTTTAGCAACAACTTTTCTATGGGATGGACTTCCAGGTTATTAAATTTAACTTTATGGTTATTATATAGGTTATTATCTTTTAGGAAATTCAACTTTATCAATATTTTCTAAAGCAACTCTGATTGGACTTTATTCTTTTTAAACTTATCTATTAAAAGAATATCCTTAGAAATGATCTTTTTTAACTCTTCTACTAGAATTCCAATTCCAAGGTTCTTCTTCTTCAAAATTTTCAAAATTTTAAGTATCAATTTCATGATTAACTTAAGGTTAATAGGGTGTGATTTTTTCTCTTATTCTTTTCCAATCAACTCCTTAAAAAAATGGATGGATTTTAATTTCACTTACTCCATTAATACCTAATCTTTCAGAATTATCAGCAACAAGTCTTCTAATTAAATCAATACATTATGGTGATAAAGTAATATCTTATGGTATTTAAAATGTTTATTGCCAATGTAATATTTTTTAACAAGTTGTTTAAGGATCATCAGAAAAGAACGGTGGATATCCAACAACCATTTCATATAACATTACTCCAACACTCCACCAATCAACTGTTTCAGTATATCCTTATTATGTAAATACTTCTGGAGCTATATAATCTGGAGTACCAACTGTTGATAATGCTAACTATCTTCTCTTTTACATTTTATTAAGAATAGGAGATGGTGCTGGATTCTAATTTGGAATCTTTCTACCTAATTCAACTTTTGGTTTTATTTCTGAATATCTATAACTTATATTATATTATTTACTTGCATAAACCAAAGTCAGATAATTTTAAATGTCCTTTTCTATCAATTAAAATATTATCTGGTTTTAGATCTCTATGAATATAATTCATTTTATGAATTGAATCAACTGCTAAAACTAATTCTGCTATATAGAATTTAGCTTCATCTTCAGTTAAAATATCCTTTTTCATTAATAATGTCATTAAATCTCCTCCTGCCATATATTCCATTACTAAATAAAGATATTTATCATCCTCAATATATATAAACATTTTATACTTGAAAACTACATTTTAAATCTACTACCCAAGGATTCTCTTAACTTAATATATCTCTTTCTGCCCTTATATGTGCTAATTAATTTTTAGCTAACATTTCACATTTCTTCATCTTTTTTACTGCTACTATTTCTTTAGTCTTTTTAATTCTACAAACTCTCACTTCACCAAATGCTCCTCTACCTATTATTGCTATTGGCTCAAAATCATCTGTACAGAACTTCTATCTTCTAATTAAAAGAAATTCAAAATTATTATTTACTTTTTTCTCATTAGTTCCGCCTCCTTTTTTAAAACTAATTATTTATAATACTCTTAATCTTAAGCTACATTTAATTAATGTTTTCTTTTACCCTTTAATTACATTTCTTTCATTTTAATCCATAATTTAGACCAATCCTCTCTTCTCTCCATCTCTGCTTTCAATAAATCTGTGTATTTCCTTTCTATATATCTTTTGCATGCCTCTACCTTATCTTTTGTTGAATTAGATATTGCTAATTGTTTTCTAGGAAATTGATAATCCATTTATATATTTAATTATAATAATCATAACTTATATCAAATTTTATGAACACTCAAAGAATTTTATTATTCTGTATCATTTTTTAAAATTATTATTTATTTATAAATATTTTAATACATTCAGCTCTATTAAGATAACAAATTAATCATATATTATTATTAGAATAAGTAATATTTTATTAATTATTCTTGTAATAATAAATTTTAAATCTATTTATTAGATTAATTAATATACATTAACAGATAACATTTAATTTCCATTATCTACTTCATCTTCCAATTTAACCTTCTTTTAAATACAATCATCATTATTACTCAACAACTCATTAAAGTTTTTGGTTGGCATTTTGTCGAAGTCTTTATTGAATTTTTTGAAAGCTGATTTCCTTTCTCCAATTGATTGTTGTCGGTTGAATTGACATTGAGAAAATATTTATTGTTATTCATCAATTTGAATATCCATTTAAGTTACTGAATTAGATGAATTCATCATTTCTACTAATTTATGATAACATGCAAAATATGATTCAATATCATATTCTAATTTTGTATAGAGTTATTCATCTATATATTTCTTTTCTAATACTTTTACACTACTTTAAATGAACAATTAGGTTAAAGATTCTTCAATCTAATATATAAACAATAAAATTCTACTTTTTTACGAATTCTATTGTTATTTGATTAAAAAGCAATAATATATTGAGAGTTTGCTTATTTAGATTTTAATTATTTTTGAAATTCTAATAAATAATTATCTGTAACCATAGTTTTTAAATAATAGATGGTCATACATTTAGAAAATTTTAATGCCAAAAATAATGGATGTTTAATCTATAAATAATAAATAATAGTAGTACTTTATTACGGATATTAGGAGCAGTTAAATAATTATGTAATCCATTTTCATTATTTTCAATAGGAGCTTAGATTACATCATTAAAATGTTTTTCTTTCTTACAAAAATTTCTTTCTAAATATTTAGGTTCAAATGGTTAAATAAATTATATTTATCTATGTTCATCTCTTGCACTTTTTCTACTATCAACAAAAACAGGGGGAGATTCAAGTGCAGTAATAATATAATTAGAATATTTTAATAAGAAGATCAGATGAAATTTATGTCCTTAATGATTGTAAGTTGTACTATTAAATTTAACACCCTAAATAAAATCGATTAATGAATATACAGAGAAAAATGCTTTACCATCTACTAACTCTTATTAAGTAACACCCTCTAAACCTACTTCTTCATAGAGTCCATCTTATTTTAGTTTTACAGCCATCAATTAAGCCTAATTTTAAAATTGAAAGCTACTTAACAATCTATCCATTAAGATGTATCTTCATTTTCTAGTGATAATTTAATTGATAAATTAGGTATATTCCAACTTTTATGCCAATTCCAACCTAAATCATTTGAGAATTATAATTCTCTTTCAGTATCAATTTTCAGATGTACAGGACCTTATTTTGCAGTGACTCTAGGATTAAGATTCATGAGACAAGTCTTAGTTAACACTTGAGAAACCGTGGGAGTCCAAGTAAAAGATTTTTTGTGATATGCCATTTAATGCAAATGGAATTTAAAATAATTTTTAAGATATTAATTTTCATTTATTTTATTTTTTCATTAAATTCTCTATTATACTTAAACATTTCTTTTTACAATATTCATCTGTATATGTAATTTAAACCATTCTTACAGCTTCAAGTATTTAATCACCCAAGATATTCTCTTAATTACCATACTATATTATAATCTTTAAGTTTCTTAAATATAATTATCTTTCATATTCTGTTCCATCATATATTTATCTAATTGATAATTATTACAATATTTTAAAATCATTTACATAAAAGAAATCCTTATCTAATTTCAATATTGTCTCTATCAAAAATAAAGGTTTCGAAACATTATTTTTTGTATGATTCAGATATTCTAGAAGGAATTCTTAAAAAAATCTTGCATTTTCATGTTAAATTATGACTAATATGATTTCTTAATTCTCATAAAATACAAATAAAAGTTGAATCAAAATACTAAATATTTCAGCATTATCACCTTATCCAAAATAATTTAATATATTATTAACAAGTTATATCATTTACTAATTACTTAATTTTAATATTAAATGATGATAATGATTATCTTCAAATGATAACAATAATAGTTAAAGCCCATTTTCATTCCATTTATTCCATTCAATTTCACATAAATAATGAACTAATATTTATGCTGTCATTTTAGTTTCTTTTATTTATTAAACTAATGCTTAAGGGTTTATATCAAAAATCTTACTAAAAAAATCTAATTAATTTCATATGATTACATTAATCCTTAAAATCCATTTAATACATACTATTAATCATTAAAATGATCTCCTATGTTTAGAATCAATTAATGAATTATTGATTGATCTCCTTTGTTTATATGAGTCTCCAACCAATCAAATGTGTCATCATTAATTTCTTTAGATTTCAATTCTGTTAAAAAGGAAATCAAATTTTGTTTAATGTCCATTTAGTTTCTATATATTTATATATATATAAATTAATTATTATTAAAATTGATTACTTTAATATTGTTAGAATTAAATCAAATTAAACTAGTTTTGTATACTAATTCTGAATTCAATTAAAAGTTATTCCATAATATTAATAATTTTTATGAAACAACAAAATTTAAATGTGGATCTTAAGTAAATTATTATAAAGATTCTTAAAATTATAAAGATAGTTTACATTATAAATTAATATAATATTGAAAATGATGAATTCCAAAAAAGAGATTTAAAGAGAATGAATAAAATAATTAAGAATAATTTGAAATTTATTAAATAAAATGTTATTATTGATAGATTTTAAAAGTTTATCTAAAAAAAAGATAGATTAAAAGAAGAATAATTATGATTAAAAAATATATAATAAAGTGATATTCTAAAATATCACAATTTATCTGCAATTTCTATATTGTCAAATATAAATATATGGACTTTATATATACAGACAGGTGCTAGAATAAAACTAAATAAAAATCCTAAGCTTTCCATAATTGATAAGAATACCAATCCACCTTAACCTTTATCTCCAAAATTAGCTGCTCTTACGAATCCATTCCAACCCAAAGCATCAATAATACTTACAATTAACCATAATATTGCAGCTATTAACTTAATATATTGAAATTGATTACATGTAAAATTTTGTACCATTTAAGTAAAGATTAATCAGCACATAAACCTTTGTATCCTCTATAAAATATGTACATTTAGATTCCGTTAAATATGAAGATGTTAAGGAATCCATATAAAATTCTGATTTTGGGATATCCAATTCCAGCTTAAATAAAGCTATCCAAAAGATTCAAACATGTTGTACCAAATATCAATAGATAAGAAATATAAAGAAGTCTCACTAAAGACTTATATGGATCTTGTAATTCACTTAAATCAAAATGAAAGATCTTAATTATTGGTGGCCAATTAAAATCGGTCCAATCAATGTTAGGTTGATTTGATTTTTTATCTATAATTGCTGCCTAATATTTTTACATTTGATAATAATTAGTTTTATATTATAATACTTTATAATAATCTAATAGTTGCATAGTACTCTAAATATAATATAAATTTTCTATAAATGAAATAAAAAGTAGTATTTGAATAGCCTTGTCCAAAACTTTTAGATGAGTAATAATATTATCTTCATTTAGAATACCATTTTATGAAAGTGATAGTAAAAATTACTGGAGAAAAATAAGAAATGTTTGTCATTCAGTTCGATTATTTTAAATGCCACTTATCAAATCTATTTCATCACCTGTAATAATTTTATCAAGATAAAAGGATGAAGTTACTTTTAATTCTAATTAAACCAAATTTAGATCTTGTACTTGTATAGGTAATTTCAATTAAGAGTAATAAATGGCTAAAAAAAGAGCTGATGATGATTTAAGTGATGCATTAAAAGCTATAAAAAGAGAAAGAGAATTATTTTATTATGTAGAAAAAGGTAGTTCAATTGATCTAATTGAAAAAATTCTAATGAATGATCCAAAAAGGTATAAAAATATAAATTATATATATTATATAGGTACCTTTATGAACCAAAAAGTTCATTTAGATTAGTTAATAAAAAAAATGTAGCTGGATTAACTCCATTATATTTAGCAGCCAAAAATGGATTTGAAGAAATATGTAAAATCTTAATTTAATATGGTGCTGATTAAAATATATCAGTATAAGTAAAAATAGATATCAAACTTAACAATTAGGTTAATTAAATTGATGATTATCCTTTAGCTGTTGCACTTAGATGGAGACATTTTGAAGTTATCTAACTTCTTTTAAATAATAATCCTAATCAAAAAGTGAAATAGATTTGTTAATAATCAATTGATAAAACCTTAAGATAAAAATACTCAAAATATTTTTGAAAATGTATTCATATGGTTACTCATTTTCTATATGTGTTTATTATTTAATTTAATAAATATTATACTCTAATCATTCATTTAATAAAATAACTCATGAAAACTATCGTAATCATATTCATCTTAATCACCTTAATATATTCAACTCCATTAACATGTAATGAGGCTATGACAATCGCAGAATGTACAGATATAATTAATGGCATGTAATGTTCAATTCCCTAAAATAGACATGAATGTATTTGGTTTGATAATAAATGTTAATTCAAAACATGTTAACATTCTTCAATTCCTTGTGATGGATTAGTCTATTAAGGTGAATTATGTTCAAACAGTAAATAAGGATGTTAATCAATTAAAAAATGTTCAGATATTGACAATTAAGAATCCTGTACAATTCTTAAACCATATGGTATTGAATGTTTTTGGGATTAATAATGCATTTAAAAGAATTGTTAACATAATTCTATATCAAATTGTAAATTAACAAATGGATAAAAATGTATTTATTAGCATCAAAAATGTTCATCAATTAATTAGTGCAATGATATTATTGAAAAATCAAGTTGTTTAGTGTCTTAAATTTAAGGATTAAATTGCATTTGGATGAATAATAAATGTGCTGAAAACTCTTGCTTAGCTATCTCAACTAAAGTTATTTATTAATATTATAAATTTAGGAAGAATGTTTTAAAAGTATTCGAAATTCAGAAAAATGTTTTTTCACTCAAAATCAAAGCAATGATAATTCATGTATAAGTTGTTCATTATTAACTTAATAATGCAAATGCGATGAATATATGATTTTTGGTTGTTAATGGTAAAATAACTCTTGTTAAGAACTTTCATGTTCTACATATTTAAATTAGATTTAATGTAGAGATGACTCATAATGTATTTGGTATAAACCAATGAATAAATGTTTAACTATCTAAGAAGCTTCTTAAAATGACAGAGCTTGTGATATTTACATATTTAGTACCATTTTACACATTTGCACAATCTTTCTTTTATTAGCTTTTTGGTGATATATCAATCATTATTATAATTTATATTTTATAATATTTATATTTTTTTTTCGAGAGTATTTTCAAATATAAATAAAAAATACTTCTAAAAAGGTTCAGTAAAAATAAATCACAAATTAATGCTAAAAAGTACAAAATTAGATTAATATAAGTAAAACTATTATAAAAATCTTCCATAATTCAAATAAATACTCCCACAATTCTATCCATTTGATTTGGTCTACTGACTATCCTTAAATTTACTATTTTTATAATTCTCTCATTCTTAAATTCGAATTTGTTTCATTTTTGACAGATTATATTTTGATTGGTTAAATTTAATACATGGCCTAATTGGTTTAAGTTTGATAAAATTCAATAATGTTAAAACTAAAAATTAATTAAGATTAAAAGTATCAATTAAACACATATATTACACTCTCCAAATCATTTTATGTTTGTGTTCCAATCCATGAATTGAAACTCTATATTATATACTCACTATATTGAATATTATTTCAACTATTGTAGCTTATTCACATTAAAAATAAAATGTATGAGCAGCGCTAATTTTTGGATTTTTGCATTTGAATATTAAATACTAGTATTGGATTTAATAACAACAGTATATTCTGGTCATAAAGAAATTTAAATTTGGCATAGAAAAAAAGAAAAGAGTTATATTCTAAATATTGAAAGAAACAAATATTAATATAATAATTAACATGAATCATCCATTTTAAATTGTACCTTCAGATAATTTTTTGAATATTCTGAATCAAAAAAATGGTTCTGTCATAGATATAGATGATGAATATAGAGTAGAGTAAGAATGGATGTTTGAGAATGAGAACAATTATGTGGAAGAATAAGCAGAATCTTAATAACCTATAGTTTATGAACGTTCTAAAGGATTAGTTGGAAATCAATTATTGTAAAAGTTTAAGAAGACAAAAGAAGAGGATCTTTTGAAACAAAATAAGGAAGTTTTTTAGGCTAATCAATCCAAAAGCCTCTATTTAAATAAAATATAGTAATTAATTGATAATCCCGTTGTTGTAAGCAAGCCTAAGCAGACGTATAATTGCTTTATTCTCTTAGTCGTCAGAAAGTTATTGTAGAAAGCGATTCATCGGATGGAAAGAGTAGGCTGGCTAAAAATAGAGAGTCAGCAAGAAATTCTAGAAAAAGAAAGAAAATATATGTAGAATTACTAGAAAACAAAGTGAAAGAATTGACAGAGCAAATAAAATAATTGGAATAAAATTTAGAACAATATAAAACAAAAAATCTATAAGTATATCTTTACAATATATTTTATTCAGCTTGAAAATTTTAGAGAGGATTATTATAGAGAATTATCTCAATTAAATGGATTTTAGAGTATTTAGATATTGTAAGAAAAATATGGTAGCACATCTTAAAGAAGATGGAGTGTCTGTACTGAATTAATTAATCTATTGATTGAGTCAACCATTCCTATAGAAATTAAAAAATTAATGGAATCTGCTAAAAATGGAACTGACATGTTTATATAACCACTTTTAAATCATAATTCATGTTTGCAATATAGATAATTTTTCTAATAAGGGATCATTGATCTAGAAATGTAAGCTATAATTTTAATTGAGAGCAACAAAGAATTTTGGATTGTCATATGATAAAATAAGAGAATAGGTGTTCTACTTAGAAAAGTTGAAATTTGAAGTCATATAAAGTATAGGGGCCAATTCATATATAGAGTACTTAAATTAATCGCTATATTGATTCTTAAATTGTTTATAAAATTAAGCCATTTCATTTTTTACTTAAATATATTATATCAATAATAGTTTAAGTAATAAACAATTCAATCAATATGAAATTACTATATTCTTATCTCTTCTTCAGTTTAAATTTATAATCTAGACGCATCCAATTTCACTTAAACATTTATNTTTTGAATATTCTGAATCAAAAAAATGGTTCTGTCATAGATATAGATGATGAATATAGAGTAGAGTAAGAATGGATGTTTGAGAATGAGAACAATTATGTGGAAGAATAAGCAGAATCTTAATAACCTATAGTTTATGAACGTTCTAAAGGATTAGTTGGAAATCAATTATTGTAAAAGTTTAAGAAGACAAAAGAAGAGGATCTTTTGAAACAAAATAAGGAAGTTTTTTAGGCTAATCAATCCAAAAGCCTCTATTTAAATAAAATATAGTAATTAATTGATAATCCCGTTGTTGTAAGCAAGCCTAAGCAGACGTATAATTGCTTTATTCTCTTAGTCGTCAGAAAGTTATTGTAGAAAGCGATTCATCGGATGGAAAGAGTAGGCTGGCTAAAAATAGAGAGTCAGCAAGAAATTCTAGAAAAAGAAAGAAAATATATGTAGAATTACTAGAAAACAAAGTGAAAGAATTGACAGAGCAAATAAAATAATTGGAATAAAATTTAGAACAATATAAAACAAAAAATCTATAAGTATATCTTTACAATATATTTTATTCAGCTTGAAAATTTTAGAGAGGATTATTATAGAGAATTATCTCAATTAAATGGATTTTAGAGTATTTAGATATTGTAAGAAAAATATGGTAGCACATCTTAAAGAAGATGGAGTGTCTGTACTGAATTAATTAATCTATTGATTGAGTCAACCATTCCTATAGAAATTAAAAAATTAATGGAATCTGCTAAAAATGGAACTGACATGTTTATATAACCACTTTTAAATCATAATTCATGTTTGCAATATAGATAATTTTTCTAATAAGGGATCATTGATCTAGAAATGTAAGCTATAATTTTAATTGAGAGCAACAAAGAATTTTGGATTGTCATATGATAAAATAAGAGAATAGGTGTTCTACTTAGAAAAGTTGAAATTTGAAGTCATATAAAGTATAGGGGCCAATTCATATATAGAGTACTTAAATTAATCGCTATATTGATTCTTAAATTGTTTATAAAATTAAGCCATTTCATTTTTTACTTAAATATATTATATCAATAATAGTTTAAGTAATAAACAATTCAATCAATATGAAATTACTATATTCTTATCTCTTCTTCAGTTTAAATTTATAATCTAGACGCATCCAATTTCACTTAAACATTTATCAATAATATTTACATTTTTACACAATTTCTTTACAAAATTCCATTTTCATATTAAACTTTATTTCAAAGAGTTCTATAATTTAATTAATCAATGATAAATTATTAGGAATTAGATCAGATCTCATTTTCTTAATAGATTGTGATAAACTTTAACTATTTTCATTTTCAATTGTAAGTTATTCTAAATCAAATACAATATGTTATTTAAATAACATACAATTAAAGAAGTTTATTAAATAGTTAATGTAATTTGGAATATTATATTTAATGTAATTGGTGGCTCTTTGAATCATAATGTTGATCATTTCTATTAATAAATTAGTATTATACTGTTATTAGATAAGGTTCTCTAGATTTCTATTAATAAATGTTTAACATCATATTGATTAAAATCAAGGATTGATAATCCGCAAATTAATTCACTATAAGTTCTTACTTCATCTTATATTCTAATAATATTTTTATTATTACATTTTTTCTTAGAGTATGGCACAATAATTTTGAATTATCAATTCCTAATAATTTCCTTGTTTGAGATTACAAAAAAGTAGGCATAACAATGTTAATTATTGATTCTTGCATATTTGTTAATTGTGTTAAAGAAGAAATTAAAATGTTATTTTATAATCAGCAATATCTAACAATAAAAAAAGATAATAGATTTGAATTATCTAATTAAAGAAGTCTGGTTCATCTTTATAAAGCTCTATAAATAATTCTTAGATTTATTTAATATCATCCTAAATTTCTTTAAAATTAATAGGAGAATTAGCAATTTATTTTCTCAAAAGAGCACTTAAAACTTACAAACCTTTAGTCTAATGGGAATTTTATATTAAACATTCCTTAACCATTTTAATAATTCCAATTGATACTATATTTAATAGTTTAAATTGCCAAATTTAAATCATAAAGCTAAAAACATTTAATATCATCCCTAAAATTAAATTCAGAATTACCTTATCTGTATTTATATTAATGTTTTTCTTATAATTCTATTTACCATTCATTTTCAATCAATTATATGATATCAGAATAATTTCCTTATTCAAGTCCTACTAATTCACAAAGAGTATTCAAAATAGCTTCTTTGTCCATCAGTTTCTGTTATACTTAATAAATATTTTTGAGATCAACAAAAGTTTAATAAGAAATTAAATTTTTAGATGGTTATAAAGAATGCAAATAAATTAGATTGTTTACAATCTTGCAGATATAATTTGGATAATTTATTATATTTGGATTCAGTTATTATTATAAAATTGTTATGAAAATATTCATTTAATTTAGTTCAATAACATTTTTTAATATCAATTTTTTTAATAATTCAAGAACTTACATTTTCAAAGGAATATAGATAACATTTTATTCTTACAGAATTATAAACGTCTCATTAATAAATTTGTCATCGAAAATATAAATAGGGATTAAAGAAATATTTTCATTTATAACAAAATACTGAGCTTCTAATTTGATATAATCATATTTTTTTTGTTAATAATTATTAATTAAATCTTTTAAACAAAATATTTATTTAATTAATATTTCTTCAGAAAAATAGCCAATTATGTAATGGATAAATTGAGTACCATATTTTCTTATTTTAATTAACAGATAATCTTACTTACTATCATCTCTTTAATTAATGAATAGATTTATATATTACTTTTCTTCTAGCATTATCAAATTAATTAAAGTGAAAATGATAATTTTTTCTTATTAATACTCATCTATTTGTCTATAAGATAATAATGGTTAGAAAACTTACAATATTTTGTAAGCTAAATATTTGTCTATTATTTGGTTTTCATTCTCAATAAAAGTTTGCATTATGAAATCAAAAAGTTTTATTTATAATTCTTGGTGAGGTAGACGATTTTCATTTAATCTATGAATTACTCTTAAAAATTTAATTAATAGATCATATTAATATTAATGATAAGTGAAGATTTCACAAAATTAAAGATTAATTTCATTCTATATTAATTGGTCAAATTTAAAAATAGAGTTAATCAATGAGATGTAGAGATCAGAAAGAAGATTTAATTTTTGCATATCATTCCAATTATAATATTTTATCATTTTATTAGTAATGATATGGTATTATGTTAGTTACAATTTTACTTTAATAAAAGGATTGTTCATCATTTCTGTTATTATTTTGATATGACAGTTGTCATAACTGTTTTGATTGATAATGAATTAAACAATTTCTAATGAGGGTAGTTATTTTTATATAATAAAATTTATTAATTCACAATAAAAAGGAATTAATGAAAAGTCCAATTTATTCATTTAATCTAAGATAATATTTTGGATTTCTTTTTATAAATATTTAGGTGTTTAATCATAATTTTCCATAACGAAATTCTTCAAAAAAACAAAGTATTATAATTTCAAATTCTAATTAGGAAATGGTAGAAGTAATTGTTAAAAGCCCTTTTAGATATTTTGAATATCTCTGAATATTTTATTTAGCTCAATTTAAGAATTAGTTCTTATAGATTGATTTTCATTGTATAATAGTTGAATTAGAAAAAGTATTTATTCCATTTATTAAAATTAATGGAATAAAATACAAAGTCTAATTAAGAATATGTAATTAGAATTGTTTATTTTAGTTTAAGAAATTGAAGTTAATACAAAAGAAAATGGAGGATGTAAAAGCAGATTAAAGTCCAAGTGTTATAAAATATATGATGAGGAGAAAGAGTGCTGAAGAGATTCAAGCTCCTTTACATGATGTTGAATATAATAAATAGCCAAAAAAGAAAAAGTTGTTATTCTTTAAGACATTCTAGAAAGTCACAATAGATCCTCATATAAAATTAGATGAAATAAATGAAGAGAAATGGACAATAATGAAAAATAATTATAAATCACTTATAGAGAAATCTCGTTAAAGTCTAATAAAATCTACTGAAGGTGGTTAGAGTATAATGAATAATAAGGAACCACATAAGATGTAATTCCTTACTAGAAGATAGTCTATTGAATTTCGATTACGTGAAATAGCTACAGCTCCTAGTAATCATACATCAGTATCACCATTAAAATTAACTACATAATCTAATGTTTAACCTTCTGTCGATCCAACTTATGCTCGATTTAAAAAATATTATTAAAAGATAGGGATTCCTTCAGATAGTCCAGTCAAATTGAAATTATAAAAAATGATGTCTACTCCTATTGCTCCTTAAAAAAAGAAAGATAAGAGTTCTCATTCAACTAATTCCTAAAATCTTTCTCCATCTCCACCTAAATCTAAGATATTACATATTAAAGCTAATAATAGTCTTTAATATCTCAAAGAAATTAGAGAAATATGTTCTATAGCATCTAATTATCATGCTTAAGTTAAATAAGATGAAAAAAATTAAATTTAACATGCCAGTTAATAAGTTGGTTACATTCAAGCTGAATTTAATAAATTTCACAATATGTTAACTTCAGATTTAGAGACTGTTGATTTCATTATTGATAAAAAATGATTAAATGATTATTATTAATAATGAATAAATTACTATATTAATTTTAAACTATTGGATTCGCATGCGATAAAGAATATCACAAAGGCATGAAAGATGTCAAAACAAAATTTAAAGATATTAACTAATTTAAAAGAAGAGCCTTAAAAGATTTTAATAATGTTGATAATGTAATTAATTCCATTAGTGAAATTATTGAAAAAAGAAAAAGAGATTCATTAACAAGATCGATTGATTGTACTACTTATAGAAGTAGTAAATAAGAGAGATTATAATCATGCCTTAATAAAATGAGTTAAATTGATTACAATTAATAATAAATTGATAGAGAATCAGGTATTAGAACTTCTAGCATCTTTTCTGATAGAATTGCTGCCATCATTCCAAAAAAAGAATTTGCAAATAAATAATTAGATTAAGAATTAGCTATTAATTGTCATTTACAAGATGCAACTAAATTCGGATAAATTATGGAATAAGCCTTATTGTTACATTCCTTTCATAAAAATTGCAGTGAAAAACTTAATTAAAATTTAAGTATCCTTGATCCCAATAATTTTAAAACTAAAAGAGATAGAGCTAAATTTTAAAGGAGAAATGAAATGAATTCTAAGAGTGTTGAAGCTTAATAATATTATATGAAGAAATTTTAATTAGAACATATGAGATTAAAAGATAAATTAATAGATTCTGATCAAAAAATTCATATTGAACATAGATATTGTCAAGATAAAAATTAATCATCAAAAAGTGTTCAAAATAAAAAAAAAATTTAACAAGTAACAGAAAAAATGAATAGAAATAAAATACTTGTCATCTAAAATTTATTTAAATAAGGTCATGATTAAAAATCTCAAAAAGCAGAAGATGTTCTTAAATTTCTTGAATTATACTCTAAAATTGATAGAGAAAATAACTAAATTTTTAGTTAAAAAATAGAATTTAATGGTACTTTTTCTATGAAAATTGAATCATTTTTGAGAAAGATTTTCTTTAAATTCTCTAATAAAGAATGTGATGATTTTAATGAACTTTATAAGTATATCAACTTATAAGGTTATCTTGAATTTTTTCATTTATCACATATAGATATTGAAGATAAAGAATTAACTAGTATTTATTAGAATAATGTTAAAATTTAAAATTAAGATTAAGAAAGAGGTTTGAATTTTAATTTTTTCAGAGATTCTCTTATTGATATTGCTAATTGTATTTCTTTGTTACCAACGAAAGAAGAAAAGTTACTTAGGTATCTTATTTTTATTAATTTAGATTAGTAGAAGAAAATTTATTAGAGATCTATGATCAAGTTCTTGATTTAAATGAAATTAGACTATTTACTATTAAATCTTATTAAGGGTTTAACAGTTTATTTTATCCTATTACACAAAAATTATTCTTTATTTATGGTAAAAAGATATAAAATTATAATCTAAATAACTAAAGACTCAATTTGGATAAAATTATTTCAGTGTTTATGTAAATAAAAGTATTTCCACAAAAGCTTAGTAAATAATTAATTAGACATTATTATTGTTATACTACAGAATAAGATGAAGGATTAAATTTGAATTAATTTTAACATTTCTTAAATTTAATGGCTTTGAGTTAAAACAAACGTATGTCTGTAAGTAAAGAACTTAATAATATCATTAATTATAACTAATATAAATTATAACAAAAATTTGATGATATAAGTGAGTATGAATAAAAAATATTTAGAAAAATCATGATATTTTATTTTCATAGTGAATTCTTAGCTTTATAAAATGTTGAATAAGATTGATTTTATTTATAAATATTCTCTTAATTTAAAAAAGATATAGAATATTGTTTAATAAGAAATATCTTCTAAAATATTAAGATGTTTCAAATATGAACATAGATATATGTAGTTAATTGATATATGTAGTTAATTTGTATAAGATAATGATTCATAAGTAATTTTAGTTAGAATTCAAAGCAGTTTTAAAATTAATAAATAAAAATATTTAATACTAATCATGGCTACCCTCAATGTGCATATAAATTTGAATCAATATCAGTTGATTTTACAGTAAGAGAAAGCCAAAAATACTTATTAACTACAAAAACGAGAATTTCCAAAAGGTCCAATCAATTTTTACGAGTAAAGGTTCAACTCAGTTAATTTCTCAAATTGTAAAATTAATGAGGTGATTGGATGGATTCTCATAATAGCTGTAATCCTATTAGTACTTATGATGGCAACATCTCTTATCTAAGATTCAGTGATAGGATTCGCCATACCATTATTATCAGTTGTTACATTCTTCATAGTATATTTAAATTGGGTATCTATGAAGTTTTTTGTAAACTCATGATTTTGAACATTCTATTTTGTATTGAATAATAAAACTAACTATCTATTATATATAATATCAGTAAATTTATGTCAAATATATGTGTGATATTAGTATTTCAATTCAATTCTTGAAATTCTTTGCATTTCTATCTGATATTTTAATATATATTTTAAAATAACTCAAATTCATCAAAATTCTTTTAATCTGAATTCTAACAAATTTCTAAGGTGAATAAAAAGGGGTCATTAAGCTTTAGAAAGTCTTTAAACATAATAAATTTGAGATTCAAGACAAAAAAGTTCAATTAGTGCGAAATGAAATATAAAATGATGTATTCCATAAAATAATATAGGTGTTTAAATTTCAGATGAACATTGGGATTTTTTAATAATAAAATAAAATTTAACAAAGATGATGGGAGGTTGGGCAGTAGTAGAAGTTGAAGCAAGACATCATGATGTCTTAGCAGTTGTTCATCATGGTATCAATCAACATTTGGGATCTACCCATCAAAAATTCACAATTATAGAAGTACGTCATTAAATTGTTGCTGGAACTAATTATCAATTCATTGTAGAAACAGAAGATCACAAGAGAATTTAAGTAAAAGTATTTGAACCATTACCACATACAAATTAACCTGCTCATGTTACAGCAGCTGTATATTTGTGATTCCATAAATATATATTATATACATTCATTTAAATTCAATTTCATATATTGGGTGTCTGAAAGATTACTTTCTCAATTCTTCAAATTTGATTAGAGTTTAATGAGGTCATAGAGAATCAATAAAATATTAATATAATCTTAAATGGGCCATTGTGATTTATAAAATTTTATAAATATTGTTTAATTTGTTAAACATCTTTAATTCAAAGGGAATTAGATACACAAGATCAGTTGTACATAGATGTTATGATTTTTTAATCATAATAATTAATTTTGATTATTGTGCATTAAAAAAAGTACTGTATCTTTGCAGAGTTTCATCTTCTTTTCCAAATCTAAATGTTTCACTATTAAAATTTAATAAAGGTACTGTTAATCAAATATTGAAAGTGTCTTCTTAGAATGGTAAAATCATCGATCAAATAATACAATGTCTACGGTAATTCTTTTATCTATTTATGCTATATGATGTACAATTGCAGCCCCAAAAGAATGACCTGCTCCAATTATCTTATTTAAATTGATATTCTTTTATTAGTATACATAAACAAATGATAATTGAAATTTATTGACTCTATCATTCAATTATTAATGTTTAATCATCTTCACTTTATTTAAGATTTACTATCCTAATGCATTCTCTAATGAAGCTTCCTCTACTTTATATTAATGAATCTTTTATTCATTTAAAATTATTGTTACTTCTTCTTATTATATTGAATTAATATAAAACTAATTTTCTCATTACTATATATAATCTTTATTTATATCATACAACATAAACATTGATTGCCAATTCTTTATAAATTACAGAATAATGATCTTTTAAACCACCTAATCCATATGAAAATACAATTATTGGCAATTTACCTTCAATAATTTATGAATCAACTTCAATATCTCTAACTTTTCCTTTGTTTAGGAATCCTAGCATCCAATAAATAAACATCATTGAAGGTCTTTGATGCATTACATATTAAAAGTGGTTATATATTTATTTTATATAACCTCTATTCCTTCAAGAATTTTTTTGATCTAATTTTAGATCTTTAAACACTAGGATAATATATTGAAATCAAATCTCCATTATTTAATTTTACTTTCCGTAAACCCAACCAAAAACTTTGATTTACCTTTGGATATTTATATTAAGGTATTAAAAATACTAAACCAATATACCTTATCTAAAAAATTATACCAACAAACACTATTATATATGCCAGAACAATATTTTGATATTATTAATGTAATATATACAGATACACTCTAAATTTATACTCCTTTTATTATATCAATAGGTATATTGTTATTCTCATTTTCTAACATTTTATCATAAAAAGAATTATGAATGCTGATGAAAATATCATCTATGATTTCTCTGTTAAATCTATCTCTATGTTATAGATTAAAATCAATTAACAGATCATTCATAAAACTACTCAACATTAGAATTGCTAATGTTTATTCTAATAGAGGTATGTCCTATTATTAGAATTTATAAGGATATTTCATAATTCTTAGTTCTTAAAATATATAATTATCAATTATATTCCATAATTTATATTTATCTATCCATTTCTATCCATTCCTATTCTTTATTCAATTAAACTCTTCATTCAATTACATTTTCATTTATAAATTTATGAATTCAATTCCTAAATAAATTAAGAATATACTTAGAGTAGAAATTATACTCATATTTGTCTTAATCATTTTCAACATCACTCTTTACTTTTTAAATATTGCTGAAAATAAACTTAAAACTTGTGAATTATCATTTAATGCAATAGAAAGGTGTTATAGTTTTGATCATAAATTGATATACAAATAAAGAATGACCAGGACATAATGTGATTACTGCACTGTATTACTCTGGTTAATGCCATCTAATATTCTTATGCTTTTTATTATGACTCTCATAATCATTAATAAGAGTAGATATTACATTAAAAATTTTATGAATAAATTACATTTAGTGGAAATAATCTATTTTGGGTTGTAATTTGTTTATAATCTATTTATACTATTCTATATTTTTAAAATGCCAATAAATTAAAATTATAATACTAAATTAGCTCCTTTGATAATCTTATTCATTGAATCCTTAATCAATTGTTTTATTTGCATATTGATAAAAATAGATTAAATCTATACAACTAACTATTTACGTGAAACTAATAAGAAAGAAACTCAAATGCAAATTTAGCTCTTAGTGTGAAAATATAAAAAATAATATTTATAAATACTTAACATAAAATTTTATTAAAATACACAATAAAAAATAATGATCTTTATACTATTTAAATTATAAAGATAGAAGTGATTAACATATATATGAATTTGTTTTAATATAAAATATTATTTTTATAATGAAATTATTGTTAATCCCTGCATCCATTTATTTTTTTAGTAACAGGATGGTACTTATTCATTGAATCTAAATTACCATACTATCCTTTTTAGCATTTGCTTGAATTTACACCAAATGTATAATATATAAATAAATATTTTAGCATGCAATATAGTCATTATTCACAGTTGCATTAGGATTATGTATACTAATAGATATAAAAAAACTTTAAATGGCTTTCTTATTAATAGGTATAATAGATATCTCATTGATAATACGATATTGGTTAAAATTGGAAATGTAGGAACTTAGTGAAGAAGCATTATAGCAGTATTATTATATAAAAGATATTAAAAAATGTTGGATATAAAATTATTTTATTAGGAATAATTATAGAAGCAATGCGTGATTAAATTATTTATGAATAATCTGAGAAAAATAAGAAAAAGAAAGTAAAGAAAATGATAGAAGTTGAAGTAGATGAAGATGAATTTAAAGTTAAAGAAGTTGGAACTTAAAAACTTGTTACCAAATAATCAGAATAACTCATCTAATCTTCTATTAAATAAAAAGGAAAACAAGCCAAGAAATGATATTTATTATAATGTAAAAATATGTGGATAGGTATCATTTTTTGTTTTATCTTTGTTTTGATTAACAATTATTGGAAATAGTGAATTCTCTTTTCATTTAATTTAATTATGGAATATCTTCATCACTACTTTCATTTTCATGTTACTTTTTCTTAAAAATTTGAAAAACATCTTTAGTCATTTATATTAACTTATCTTTATAATTAATACAATTAGTAGTTGAATCTACTGACGTTATTCCAACTACATTAACACTAGATCTTCTCAAAGTAGTTGTAGGTCTTAATTTTTAATCTTAAATAGAAAATTCAAATAGATCTTTTCTTTCAGATACAGATTCTTATAATTTTTTATTTGTTAAGCTTTTATTGAAAATATCAATGCAATCCTTATATTATAAATAGAATTATTTATATTTAATATGCTATTTATTAATATTTTACCATTTTTCTTCATAATTTTAATTTGCTCTTATTAAAGTAGCATTAATTGATAAGGTTTCATTATATTTCCTTTGTAAATCTTCATATTGAATTTTTAATTAATCAAATAGTATTTTGGATGCATCATAATTATTTTTTAAATATTTATATTCTGTTATCCATTTTTATAATTCTTCTTAATTATTTAAGTCTTAATTTTTTTATTGCTTCATAGATATTTATTGTAATGTAAATGCTTAAATCTATTGAGCTCTCTTTAGATCTAACTTTGGCATATTTTACTAAGTAAAAATAGTCTCTCAATATTGATTCATTAATACATTTATTTTAATAACATTGAATTTTATCTTCCATTGGAGATGTACAATCTTTATCAGAATCATCATAATCTATCTAAACTAATTTCTTTTAGACTTCAATTAATTAAGATATGTATTTATCTATGTTCTTTACTCCTTGACTAGGCTACATCTTTAATCTACATATTTCATTTGATAATGTCTAAAATCTAAAAGACTTTCTTTACAAAATTTAACTAAATTAAATCATTCTTCGACTCTTATAATTTGCTCATTTTTATATTAGCTAAAGCCAATTGAACCTTGTAGTTCTCTATCTCTTATTATAATCTCAATGTTGCTTCATTCACATTCACTATCTAACGAATGTATTATATTTTATACTTATTTATACTTTATTAAAAAACCTTAGTTTTAAGGATCATTTTCATAAACATTTTAATTTTAACACGATTACTCATAATATTTTATTTGCTCTTGCAATTATTTTATTCTTTATTCTGATTCCTTTAATATAAAATCATTTTCTTATTAAGTCACTTAAAGTATTTATTCTAATATTAGAACCTAAATTCCATTTCATATTACCTTTGATACAGCTTCATTCCTTTCATTAAGTAATTTTGTTATTTATTATTTTAAAAGTTCTTACTCTTATTGCATTACACTCAATAACATTTTCATATCAGTTCGTCCATTTATTAGACTTTAATACTATTAGTTTATGCTTATTTATTCCTATAATCTTTAATTTAAAATTTAGATCTCTTGACTCAAGTAATCTATTTTCAATTTTGAAGAATCGCATTGATCCATTTTTATGATATTTAATTTAATAATGCATTCACTCCAATATAAATTTAATCACTATGTACATTTTAACGATTTCAAAAATAGATTCAACTATCAAATTATACTATCTAATTTAAATCTAAAAATATATTTTTGCATTTTTCGTCATTAGTTCAGATCTTAACTATGTACTAATGAAATTTAAAATAAATTGTTAACCCATAGCTATAAATATAACAAAATCTTATAAACATTTTTTATTATTCAATTTAGACTTCCTTCAATTCCTTTAATTAAATAAGATCATTTAATTATATCAAAACTATTTGTTATTTTCCTTTATAATATAAATTTATTCAAAAAAAAAAGCTTTAACAAAATAAATCCATATTACTAATAATAGTTATTTATAAATATTTATAATAAACAAAATGAAGCTTTGCAAATAGTAGATTAGTTTAAGAGGAGGAGGATGTGGAACAACTAAAATTGAACCATAATCAATATCTTTATCAAAATATGTAGGATTATAAAAATCTGAACTTTTGGGTAATCTTAGAAAATATAGTAAAATTATATCAGATAAATCCTCAACTGTTTTCGATAAAACATAAAGTGATGAAGTGATGTTAGCCATATAATGGTTCATTTCTAATAAAGAAAATTTTGATAAAATGTGCTAAAATGATAAAATTGTTGTATAAGCTTTTGATATGATATTGTATTCTTTAGATTAATTATTGAAACAAATTTCAGTATATCTGAGAGCCTCAGGATTTTTATGTTTGTAAATTTTGTAAATTTGCAATGATCTATTCAGAATACTATTCTCATTTTTACTAAAAAATTCAGATCGTTTTATTGATGATTCATTTAAACAATAAATTCTAGAATATCTAACAGAATTTGAAAATAATTTGAAAATAGAATCCTAAAACATTTGGATTACTGGAGCTGAGTTTGAATTAATAATTATGTAAATATGCGTTGAAAATTGCAGAAGTAATTCTTAAAAAGGTTAAGAAATCTTAATTAACTTTATGTCTGGATTAATATCTTCTTTTATGTCATTATCACCAACAGAAGATTTAATATATTCATTAATTGAAGGTGGTAAATTTATATTAACGGCACTTTATAAGAAAATTGAGAATAGTATTAAATTATACGAAATTTATTATTTTTTTGAAACTTTAAAATGGGTTATCATCAACTAATTAAAATAACAATAATTTTCTGTTAAAAGTCAATTAAATCAATTAATAGATGGATATAATAAATATATAGCTAATTCTAAAGATTGGATAATCCATTTTTGTTGGATAAAACTTATTACAGATTTGCTTACTTATCGACCTATAATTAATAAATTTGATTTTTTCTAAAATTAAGATTCTCTTTAATAATAGTTAAATTGGAATAGATTAATACAAAGCAAATTAATAACTCTACAATCATATAATAGAAATGAAGCAAAAATTAATTTATTCTATGATTACTCATAAAGTGCAATTTTAAAAGAATTTGATAATCAATTTTAAGTTTTAGGTTTAAATAAAATTAGATAATTTTAAAAATACTTATTAGAACAAAAACTATTAGGAAACTAAAATATATGTGAATTATATTGTTAATTTACTTTTGATTCCTAAAGCAAAACTATCTCTTTTAATACATTTCTAAGTAATTTAAATATAGAAAAATGTTAGAATACATTAAAAGTTATCCATAAAACTCTTACAGATTTTAATAATTTACATTAAGATTTTTAATAAAACCTTAGTATTTTATATGATTAAAAGAGTTAAACTAAAAATAATATTTAATTACAATAGGAACATTGTGCATCTCTTGCATTTTAATTAGAATAAACTAACAAATGCTTGGCATTTCTTACATTTGAGACATAGTCGTAATTATTAATTTTAGCTAATATTTGTTAATTAATAGAATTTCAATTTGATACTACTACTACTAAAAATTTAGATGAATAAAATAAGTTAATCATAAGTTAAATATAATCAATTTTGAATGGCTTTGGAGATTAATTTTAATAACATATAAATGAATTTTAGTTATAAATAATTCAATAAAGTGAAATTTTAAGTAGTTATGAAATAGATTTCTAAACCTAATATAATAATTAATTTTAAATAAATAAACAGCTAAATATTAGTATATTTACAACCACAATTCTAAGATTCATAGAATATTCTTCTGAAATTATTAATAACTTAAAAAAGGTTTTTGAATTGTCTAATTAATTAAATAATAATTTGTAATCTGATTATAAAAGTACTCTAAATAGTTTACTAAATAATATGATTAATAGGCTAACTTCCAGAGATTTTTTAACTAATTATTTAAAGAATTCTTTATCAATATTTTTTAAAATTAAATAAAAATAAAATTAGGCCTAATTATTACTGATCGATTCCATAAATATTAATTACAATATTTAGTATCTATTAGATGGTATAATATCTTAAATCAAAATTTATGAATATTAAATCTGTAAAGTTGAATTTGGTTTAAGATAAATTATTATTTTAAGTAAGGATGAAATTAGAAAAGCAAATAAGTAACCATAATACAAAGATATTCTATTAAAATAAGAACATTTATTAGATGAATTATTTTAAGAAAATAAATTTTCGTAGTAAATAAATAAGGAGAAATTAAATATTTTGATGAAATAAATTAATGCTGATTTTGATTAGTTGAATAATGCAATGCCATAAAATGAATTAAAAAAGGATTTAATGTAATTTTTTATGGACATTTTATCACTTTTATTGTAGATTTAATTATAAACAGATAATTTTGAAAAATGTGAATAAAAGCTTAAACAATTATATACTGATTAAATAAAATCAATAGATATATAGAGATATAATAATAGTTAAACAGAATAGAATAATTTCCCTTAATAATAAAAGAATTTGATGCTACTCAAAGATTTGAAAAGTTATTTTTAGTAAAAGGTTTTTGATTTTTAAGAACTTATGTAGAATTTAAGAGAAATAAATACATTATTATTAAATGCTTAAAAAATAGATGATTAGAATGTGAAAATTAATCAAGTATAAAAAGAGGTTCTAGAAACCTTTGAGAGTAAACATTATAACAAATTTATTAAAGATTTAGAAGAAATGCATAATTTAAAATAGACTTTGCTTTTAATAACAAAAGAATCATTAAAAGATGAAATAATTTATTATGTGATTGATAAAATATATAATTTTGATGAAACTGTTTGTTTATAAAGTGAAATTGAATTTGATTTTGATCCATTTATATAAGAATCATAAGAATAGATTTAAAAAATGAGTAGATAGGAAATGAATAATAATTAAACAAGATAAATGGATTATAAAGTGAGAGAGTGTTTAGCTTTCAATATTATTAAAATGTAATAAATTATTCATGAAGAACCTTTATATAATTTTAGTTAAAATATAATTTAATAACTTTGGATTTTTGAAATGGATGAACGAGTAAAAGGAGTACTTAAAAATAAAGAAATGATAGAATTATAAAAACGATTATTTTCAAAAGATATAAGATCTGTATCTGAAAATTTAAAATTGATTATTTAACATAAATTTGATAAAATAAATTAGACAGAATAAGAATTATAATTAGAAATAGATTTAACAAAAAAAGATAAACTTTAAAAGAATTTATTAATTCTTAATTAAGAATTAGAAGATTACGTAGAAGGTGTGAATGAAATGTCTTAAAAGATGGATATTAATTTTGTATTTATGAAAGAGATTTAGAAGTAATTACATTTAATTAAAGAGAGAGTTGAAAAGATATAAAACTAAATAAATTTATTAAGTAATGATTTTGCCAGATTGATTGGTAAGAGTTATGAAGAGTTATTAGAAATTAGAAAATAAAAAGTATTAATATTAAGGGAAGTTTCAGAATTAAATGAAGTATATATATAATTAAATATAATGACAGTAGATCCTATAACAGGATAAGAAATAAAAGGATTAGAATTATAATAAGAAATTAATGATTTTTTAAATAATAATGATAAATAATATGATGTAATGCTAATAACAGGTAAAGCTGGATCTGGAAAGAGTAAGGTTGCAGAAAGAATAGAAGTTGAATTGTGGTAAAATCATAATAATAATGAAAATTGGATTCCATTATTTATTTCTTTACCAACAATTAAATAACCTTAATTTAATATTATTGATTAAGCATTAGAGAAAGAAAATTATTAATTTGATAAGATACAAATTCAAGAATTCAAAGAAGCTATTAAAAATAAGAAATTAAAAGTAGTTATAATTTTAGATAGTTATGATGAAATGAGATCAGAATTCATATATTCTAATTTATGTCATTCAAATAGATTCATCACTGAATTTGGATAAGATGTTATAAGTTCTAATTTTAAAGTTATCATATCAACAAGAAAGGAACTATTAACTATTATGGGATATCAAACATGGTTTTATGGAAGTAGTTTAGATAAGATGAAAGAAATTATATTAATGAGTTTAAATGAAGATTAAATTAAACATTATATTAAATAATACTGTATATTCAGCATTAAAAAATAAATAATTACATTATATGAAACATAATTATCCTTATTCAAATAATAATTTATAGCCAAAGAATTTTTATAAATTTGGAATTCCGTTTTTTAATTTTTGAAATCTGAAACCCATTTTGAAAATACTCAAGCTAATTAATTATTAAGTCATGATGAAATTAAAAAATTATAAAGATATTTAAAATCTAAATATCCATTCAAATCTATGAATGATAATTTATCTTAATAATTATACTTAAATCTTTATAATATTTGGAGTATTAATAAATATTAAAAAGTTATTTATAATTCTAATCTTTAGATACTTTTTAATACACCATTTATATTAAGTGTGATTGTGTAAGTTTTGCCAAATTTATCAAAATCTAATAAAGAAACATCTATTATTAAAGATTTATTTTTAGAAAACTTTATGAAAATTAAATAAAAGTAAATTTAATCAGAGTAAAAGTTAAATTAATTTCGAAATGGCATCATTTAATAAGAATATAATTATAAGGATATAAAAGATTTAGGAATGAAAGTTCTAATTAATTTAGAGAATCAAAAATTTTTTAATTTATTTTCTGATTCAAGTACATTAGAGTTGATAGATGATAAATCATTGAAGATAGTAAATTAAGTATTTAATGTAGAAGATGACGCAGAAATTGTTTATGAATCATTAAAACAAAAGAAATTTACTTCTTATTAATTTTATGAATCATTTATAAGTTATTATTATGATTAGTAAATTGATAAATGGAAAAAATTAGGTAGGGTTTATAATTTTGAGACAGTGAAATTGGATTTATAAGATTTTTCTTTATCTTTAGCACTTGATATGACTAAAAATTAAGTAACTTCAATAGAATATAAGAAAAAAGGAGAATTAAAAATAAAAAAAGCACATAATTTATCATAATTTTAGGAGGAATGGTAGGATCAATACTTTAATGATTCTTAGGGAGAGAAAGAGTATAAAGCATTATTAAGAAATTCAATGTTAATAGTATAAAGTGGTAGTAATTATTCATTCAGTCATACATCAATATAGGAATTTTATGTAGCAAAATACATTAATGATTTTGTTAAAAGAGTAGAACTAAATGGGGATAGAATAGGATAATTAAGAAATATGAATTAAGATTAATAATATTAATTAGAGAGAATAGAATATAGTTTATTTAATTAGAGTTAATTTAATATAGTATATGAACATTTTTAAGGGTGCTTAAATATATTAAAGAATGAAATATTATAAATTTAGTAATTAAGATAGAGATTGATATAATTAGTAAGATTATCAGGAATAGTTCCTAAATTAGAGAGAGTTTCATCAAATAGTATATATTTATTAAGTGTTTTAAATTTGAATTTGAGAGATGAAGATTTGAGTAATATAAATTTATCAGATACAAAGTTATATGGTGTAAATTTGTATAATAGTAATATGTAGAATTCAAAGTTAAATAATGTATCTATAGATAGTTGTAATTTGAATAGAGTAAATTTAAGTAATGTAGAGTGGAAGAATATTGTATGTAAGGAGAGACCAATATTTAAAGGACATAAAGATTATATTAGATCAATAGTAATATAATCAGAAGGTAAATTATTGATATCAGGAGGAGATGATAACATAATAATAGTTTGGAATATAGAGACATGCTAATAATAATTGATACTAGAGGGACATACTGATATTATTAGATCAATTAGTATTGCAGATGATAATTAAATATTAGCATCAGGTAGTAATGATAAAACAATAAGATTATGGTAAGTTAAAAGTGGTAAATAGATGGAAATATTAGAGGGTCATGAAGATAGTGTAATATGTGTTGTATTTGGATAAGATAAAAGTATAATAATATCTGGAAGTTAAGATAATCAAATTAGAATATGGAATATCAAATCTAGATAAATTATAAGTATTTTGGAAGGACATAATAAAACAGTAACATAATTATTATTATACAATAATGGCAAAAGATTAATATCAAGTAGTGAAGATAAAAGTATTATTATATGGGATGTAATAAATAGAAATAAATGTGAATAATTATAAACTGAGAGTGAAATACTTTCAATATCTATACATCCAGATGAGTAATTATTAAGTTATGGAAATAAGGATGGTAGAATAATTATATTTAATATATAAGAGATTAAATAAATGAGTATATTAGATGGACATAATAGATAAGTAAATTGTTTAGGATTTAATAGAAATGGTTAAATATTAGCATCCGGTTCAGATGATTAATCAATAAGATTATGGGATGTAAAAACATTTAAGTAAATTGGTTATTTATAAGGACATTCTCATTTTATATCATCTTTAGTATTCTCTCCTGATGGATTGATTTTATATACAGCAAGTTTAGATTAAATTATTAGATAATGGAATGTTTAAGCAACTAAATAACATTAAATATTAGATGGTCATCTTAATTATGTATCATCTATTTGTTTTTCTCCTGATTCATTAATATTAGCATCTGGAAGTAGAGATTGTGTTATTAAATTGTGGAATATGGAAGATACTACATTAATATGTGATCTATAAGGTCATTCTGATATGATATGGTGTGTATAATTCTCACCAATTAATACGATCTTAGCATCTAGTAGTGATGATTAAACTATTAGAATTTGGAATACATTCTATTACAAATGTATACATATTATTAATGCTTAATGTGATTCCATTTCTACTTTAGCCTTCTCTAATGATGCTTCATTATTAGCTTCAGGTTCTGGAGGTTTCTCTTATATTATTTAAATATGGAAACTTAAAGATTATTCATTAATTACTTAGTTTGATTTTCATTCTCATACAATTAATACTATACTCTTTATGCAGAATTGTAAAATTATAACAGGTAGTAAAGATAATTCAATTATTATCACCAATTTTTAAACTCAATAAAAAGAATAACAAATCAATATTCATAAAGATTCTGTAAACTCACTCAAAATTATATAAAATATTCTAATCTCTGCTAGTAGTGATCATACTATTAAATTTTATGATCTAGAATTATAATAACTAATCTTAACCCTCTAAACACATTCAAATACAGTTACTTCAATTGCTATATCTCCTGATAAATAGCTATTTGTATCTGCCAGTGATGATATGACTATTGCACTATGGAATCTTTCAACCAAACAATTATTAAATCAAATATACACTCTTGATCAAGTCAAATGTGTTGATTTCTCTCCAAATGGATTAATCATTGCTGCTGGATTTTTTGATGGATCTGTAAATTTATATTAAATTGCAGATAATTACAAACTTCATTGTTATCATTCATTCTCTAAATGTCCTCTTATTTAAGCTACAGAATCTATCTTATAGAATTCTTATATTTATTCACAAACTCATTGCTTAGAACCACTTTTCATTTAAAAAGGAGCTATTAAAAAATGAATATAATATATTAAATTATATATTTTTATTTTTTATGTCGTAATTTCTACTCGTTCACTTAAATGATGAAGTCTAATTCATCAAAAAGTAATTTTATTTGAAAAAACATGTTAGTAATCTCTATCTCTTTGGAGAATCACTTAGCAAATTCTATTAATTATTCAATTTTTAAGAATTCTCTAATGAGTATTCTAAATTCAATGTTATTAAAATTTGTAAGATAATCAAAAATTAAAAAAATTACTTCATTATGAACAAAAATTTAAAACTCTACATATTTCATTCAAATTTTAAATTGTTGATCAAATTAAAAAAGAAGTCTTTAAGTAATTACTATATTAATTAAAAATAGTAGTTATAATAAGCAAAATAGCAAGTTACGTTATTCTACCTATTTAATAATGTTTATCTTTTTTTTTATTTTGATTGAACATCTAATAAATAATCTTTTTCTATTTCTTTTTAGAACTATTTTTAAATAAATATTTAAAATGATCTTTATAAAGTTAAGCAAAAGGAATTTTGGTTGATTCTAATTAAGAATATCTTGCTAAGAAATCTCTTTTTTTAAGTAAAGCCTAATATTGGCTATTAAGATAAGAAAATACTTTAAATAACTTAAACATTCTTATTTAATCTTTCTTTTTTTATTATTTTCTTTAAAATTTATTAAAATGATGTATAGATTGTCAATTAATAAAATATTTTAAATTAAATGATTTTGAAAAAATAAAAAGAATAATATCTACAAAATCTGTTAAACAATATATCAAAAAATCAAAAACGTAAATAAGAGGTTATGAAATAATTTTTTTTTAATAATCAAACAATCAAGTTTTAGTTAAAGAAAGAGATAAATTTTAAATTTTACTTTAATGGATTTAGAAGAATAGTTAAAAAAGAGAAGAATCGCAAATACTATAAAAATTATTGAGGAATTAAACTCACTTTAAATGTATTAAATAATCCTAATATAGTAGATGAGTAAATAACTTAATAATGATGAAATATTTTATTCTATTTAACTTTCCCTTGTTTGTTTATTTTTTTTTATGCTAATATTATTTCATACATTCCTTCATTTAGTATATAATAAAATATTGTGTAAATATGTGATATATTAATGAATTTAAATTTATTTGTAAACAGAAAAATATTTATAAATAAAACGATGGAACAATGGAAATAATTACTTAATTAAATTCATACAAGATATTATATAATATATTTATTAAAGTATGAGTAAGAATATTGACATTGATAGTCCATTTGGTTTTGATTAATAAGATGATTTTTCAATATCATAACCCCCTTCTTCAGATTCTTACGACAGTTAATAAAAATAAGCCAATATTACAACCCACCTTAGTGAGAGTCCAAAGGTTTTAATGAATTATTTAATAATTAGACTTTATCTGGAAATATTGAATAGTAGAGTGACCATTAGTATATTTAGGAATCAAAAGTGTTTGAAACTGGAGAGATAGGAAATTAATAGTCAAATTCAAATTTAGAAGATATTAGATTGGATAACAAAGTTGAAGATGATTAAACTAATAAGGAGAAAGTAAAACTATAGAATAAAGTACTTAATTATTTATTATCTAGTCTTAATTTAACCAATAAAATGATGAATAAGAATAAAAGGACTACAAAACTAAATCAAAAAAAAAAGGAATAAAAAAACAATAGAAGTATTAGAAATAATTGCATAGTGATGAACCACTAATCAAAAAATAGATATAAACCAATTAACAAAACCTTATAGGTTAATTAAATAAACAACCACATCCTTATTATGAAAATTAGAAAATCAATGAATCTTTTACTGATTTGTGTTTAAAATCATCATCCTCAATCTCTCAATATCAAATTAATTCTTTTTAAAATTTAGATGAATTATAAATAACTTAAGAAATTGATTATTGGATTCCTGAATATGAAATATTGTATAAGGAAATATTTAGATTTTTAAAAAGAGAATCTATGTGGAAACAGTTTTATAAATAATCTCCTAATATATTAGTTTACTTATTTTGTAACTATACAGTTAATCAGGATGAATCTTCATGGTTGGATATAGTTTAATTGTTGAATCAGAAGTATAAATAAATGGAAAATAATTGGAAGAAATAGTTTAAACTTTCATCAATTATTAGTTTCAAAAGAGATCATGTTGATAAGAATTTATTTAATTCTTAATGGATTAGTTAAGATATTAATTAGTCTGTAAAATCGTATAAATTGATGAATTTTAATAATATATGCAAAAATGAAAGAATTACCTTTGATTTTAAATAGACTGAAAACTTTGAAAAGGTTTAAAGTTAATTTGATAATCTATTAAAAGATCCTTTAATAACTCAAGAAAGTAGAAAATTAATTCAGAGTTTGCAATATATAGTTGAAAGAATGGAATATCACAAAAAAAAAGGTTTGACAAAGAAGACTATAAGTTTTGATTAAGATGATATCAAGGATCTTTGTGAATGTAATCAAAATATCAAAGAATAATTTGATAAGATCTATTAATAAATCAATTAACCATCTTAATTATTTCTTAAACTTATTAAGGGAAATATTCAAACTAAAATTAGTCAGAAGGGTAAGAAAAAGAAGAATACTCTTGAATGCTTAAAAGATTTAATCAGGAAAGTTTTAAGAAAGCTTGAAGATTAATGATTTATTATTAACATCAAGAGACAGTTTACAATGTATATTTTTCTATTCCTTAATTAAATTTTTAGATCCTTTTTTATTTCAATTAAATCAAAATTATTGATGTTAAAATAGTTCTAATATTTTGAATTATATTTCTACTTTAAATGGATTAAGTGTAAATAAATCTTAAAATAAACTAATTTATTCTAATAATATTGTTGTTATTAATAATTTTTTTATTTAATTTTCAACGAATTAGTGTGTTATTTCGAATTTATAATTGCTGAATTATTTATTACAGCTTAAATCTAATAATTATAAATATTTGTCTTATATGTAATAGGTAAAGTTATCTCATCAGATATTGGAAACATTAAATCATTATTTTAAAATAATATTAACACTTAAATAACAAACCCCATTAAAAAATTACTCATAAATTGTATAATATAAAGATATATAATAGGTGAAAGGAATTTTCATTAAAAGAGATTTTTTTTTTATGCTCCTTGGATTATTATAAATTAGAATGACAGTTACAAAATATATACATATTCTTCATAAATAAAATGATGTTTACAAAATTTTATATTTATTTTAATAAAGAGATCTTATCATGAATATTGAAAATAGCAAATAAAATCTAAAGAATAAAATTCATTAGACTAAAATAGAGTGCTTCTATTTTTCTTGCCAAGTTTAAAATCAAATAATTCTGAATTCATTAATTGATTTATAAAGTCAAAAACTAAGAGGAGGAGGTTGTGGTAGTTCAATTGCAGATACTAAAATTTAAGATGTAAACTAAAAAAACATTCCTGAAGATTTTTCTGAAAAGTTTAAAGGTTTTTTAAAAATAATACAAGATAAAAGCCGCTTGATATCTGATAAATTTTAAAAGGAAGAAGTTTTAATTGGATTTTAGTGGTTTAATCATAATAAGGAACATATTCAAACAATTTGTTAAAAAGAAAATCTGTGTAAATAATTTTACGAAGAAGCAATAGATCTGGCTAAACAAAATTTTTCAACTTTAAAAATTTATGTCAAAGCTTCTGGATTTTTATTTCATTAATTGTTACAAATTACTAATTAGTTATTTAGAATAGTATACTATTAACATCTTCATAATAAAAAAAGACGTTTAGAAATAAAATTGAAAGAATAATTTTTATAAGACATTGCTGAAATTGAAACATAAATGAATATTGAATCTTAAAATATATGGATGAATGGAACTAAATTTGAATTATAAATGATTAAAACTTGTTTAGCTCATCTTAATACTGATTCATAAGAAGGAACAAAATTATTAACGAACTTTTTATCTAATGCAGTTTCTTCTATTATTTCTTTAAGACCTAGTCCTAAACTTTTAGATTCTATTTTTGAAGGAGCTAAATTTTTACTTTTAGAACTTTATGATAAAAAAATATAAAATCCTATCCAATAATATTAAATTTTTGATTTTTTTGAAAATTTAAAATGGTCAATAGTTAACTAATTAAAAACTAAGTAATAATCAGTTTAAAGTGCAATAAATTAATTAAAAGATGGATATAAAAAATATTTCAGCATTTCGTAAAATTGGATAGTACATTTTTGTTGGGTTACTATGTTATCAGAATTAATAGCTTATCGTCCAATTATTAGTAAAGATGATTAAGAAATATAAAATTGGAATGAACTGTTAAGAACCTAGAAAATTGAATAGTTATCTTATAACAAAAAATTATATATCTTAAAGTATAATCAAGAAAAGGAATCTGGAAATATATTCCCATTCCTTTAAATATTTTAAGAATTTTTATTAATTTAGCAAGAAGGTGAAATGAAAATGTTATTTGATTATATTACATTCGATTTTGATTAGAAAAAAGAAATTACTAACAATTAAATAGAATAAAATATTATCATTTTATTTAGTTAATCTAATTTTTATAATCCAAAGAGCTACTCTAACAAGCTA